TTCTGGTCCAAAGAGTGTAGTATACGGAAAAGGGGAACTGCCACCTTAAAGGGAAACTGAACGCCAAAAATAAGTATGTCTTATCCGAAGGAGAATTGGGCACTGATTCCGATGAGCTATGTCTCGAGCCGATCAGAGAAGAGGAACTGTGTCAAATTTCATAAATAACACCTCCCATATTTGGAAATTGGCCTTGATGACGTGCGTACTGCTTAGCTGTCACCATGCTGTGCATGTTCAGCAGTGTAATTGAATGGAAGAAACCAATTACTTTGGTGTTTTGCAGCTCTGTTTCGTTCCCTGACGGTAACCAAATCTAGATGTAGGAATCTGTTGAGCAGGAGAGTGACACATGTCTTCCCGGAGGCTGTCCAGGCTGCAGTGGTGATGAAGAAGACACGATCATCACCCCGAGATCGATCGTAGCGAATTGGAAACTTTGAACTCATGGTGAATTTGCTTCCACTCCAAGGCAATGTCGAGGTATGAAGGGTGCTTGTACTGCCTTCCAAAGTGAAGAGGAGATGAACATGGCTTTGCATAGCTGTTGTTCTATGCCAACTTACCTACTCTTGCTGGTACCGTAGTGGCATATTGCAAATTTCGTGGACGAACAACTCTAGTCACTAGTGGCTAGTGAGCAACACTAACAGGTGAGATTTTTCAATTCGACAAAAAATGTTTTTGTTTGAGAACTGACAGTGGCAGTCATTAGACTCAGTAGGTGTCTCTCTGCTGCTTCTTTCCCTTCATCGGTAGGGTTGTGCTTGAAGTAAAAATAAATAGAAAATGTGGAACAAAAATCTGATCATGTAATTCGAATTTGAACTTCAAAGTATGTGTACATCAAATCACAAAAATGACTGTCAAGGTGGTGCTGTGCATTGAAAAAGACTGGGAGCTGGCAGCAATGGAAAGGGTAGAAACGAAACCAGTAATGCAGAGTATTCATAAGGTAGAGGGAGATAAAAACGGGAGAGGAGTAGTGAGCACTTCAGTTTGAAGTAGTGTCAATAGACAGCATCGTGTTGCATACGTTGTGAATATTGTGTGAATCTAATAATTGTCACGAAATTGATACCCAAAATTATTATCCCCTGAGTAGTATTATGGTGTTCTCCTGTGTTTACATGCAGAGCCTTGACGTTGCTGGACAAGCGACAATATAAATTACATAAACATGTAGCTCGTGATGTGGGATGACTGCCGTATCGCATTGCCAACGCAAACCCATCCTGTGTCAGTGCAGCCATCCAGCAACTTGAACTCCCCGGACCAGATGCCGCTGCAGCTGAACACCATGCCGATGGAAAGCCAGGAGTTGATAACGAAGCATTCTGGTCTGCACAGTACAAGGCAAAGAACAATTATGAATTATAATGCATTGTAATCTTTCCCACACTTCTTTGTAAAAACAAACAAACAGTGCCATTATCACAACACTTGATCAAGCATCTTGATGGAGGTATTTTCCATTGTGCTGGCTCAGCATCTGCACCAGGAAGACCATGTACACTTACACGTATCTTGTGTGTGTGTGTGTGTTCGTGCGTGTGTGTTTGTGTATCTGTATGTGCACACGTGTGTGTGGGGGGGGGGGGACGCACATGTGTATGGGTAGGAATGTGTGTGTGTGTGTGTGGGGGGGGGGGGGTACACGCACATGTGTATGGATGTGCGCGCTGCATGCGTGTGTCTGTGGGATGGGATGGGGGTGCACGCACATGTGTACATGTGTGTGCGCAATACAGCATGTGTGTATGTGTTCGTTGAACACAGGGTGTACTCCTGATTACATAAACTTCGTGATCATTGTGATTTCATGTGCTTTGAAGTTGAACTGCGCAATACATGTACTGATGCTTGATTAGATTTATGTTCCACATGTTCTATTTATTTTATTTTACTTCAAGCACTTGTATTATTCAAGCACAACCCTACCAATGAAGGGAAAGAAGCAGCAAAGACACCTACTGAGTCTAATGACTGCCACTGTCAGTTCTCAAACAAAAACATTTTTTGTCGAATTGAAAAATCTCACCTGTTAGTGTTGCTCACTAGCCACTAGTGACTAGAGTTGTTCGTCCACGAAATTTGCAATATGCCACTACGGTACCAGCAAGAGTAGGTAAGTTGGCATAGAACAACAGCTATGCAAAGCCATGTTCATCTCCTCTTCACTTCGGAAGGCAGTACAAGCACCCTTCATACCTCGACATTGCCTTGGAGTGGAAGCAAATTCACCATGAGTTTTCCAATTCGCTACGATCGATCTCGGGGTGATGATCGTGTCTTCTTCATCACCACTGCAGCCTGGACAGCCTTCGGGAAGACAGGTGTCACTCTCCTGCTCAACAGATTCCTACATCTAGATTTGGTTACCGTCAGGGAACGAAACAGAGCTGCAAAACACCAAAGTAATTGTTTTCTTCCATTCAATTACACTGCTGAACATGCACAGCATGGTGACAGCTAAGCAGTACGCACGTCATCAAGGCCAATTTCCAAATATGGGAGGTGTTATTTATGAAATTTGACACAGTTCCTCTTCTCTGATCGGCTCGAGACATAGCTCATCGGAATCAGTGCCCAATTCCCCTTCGGATAAGCCATACTTATTTTTGGCGTTCAGTTTCCCTTTAAACAGTCCACCCTTCAGTACAACCAAAACACTGAAAAAAAACCCATTATCTTGGCCTGTATTTCTCCACAAGTGTATATCAGTGTGAAAGATGAGCTGATCACACACATGGACTCGTTTGAGGTGGAACCAAGCAACAAAACCACATAACTAGAAACAGCCGGAGCCGAAAAATCAGCTCCAGAAAAACTCGTGATGCAAGGCAAAATAATAGGACTGTTGAAGCTGGTACTCAATCCACACATCAAATACCACTACACACATGTCAAAAATAGAAGAATTTGGCGGACAAATGGCAATTCCAGTGCGTTCTTGCTTCATCCATGTGTGCACACTCTCATCGTATACTATTGGCGACCTCGGACTCTGCTCTGATGCATTGAGGCTCCCGACGACTGAGCGGCGCACCTTGGTAATATAGTTTGTAACATTTTGGCAGGAGACAGACAGCTCTTGAACACACAGCATCGAAATAATATTCCGGAGACGCACCACCAATACGGTGCCCATTGGCGAAGCAGGACGAGTCCACAGACTTGAGAAACTGTACTTAACGTAACGTTACACATCAGTCCGCAATCCGAGGCCCGATTTGACTTCTTTCCACTCAGCTCATGTTCACCAGCCTTGACCATTCTGTGTATCTCAATTCTTAAAACACTCATTTCCAGACAGTGCACGATGCAGGTCTGCCACTTGCATCCAATGCATTGGGCAACAGCTAGCTAGTTGCCCAGTTCTGGGCTATTAAGTCCCTGCATACGTTCCCCTGTGGTGCACGACGCTATTGTTTCTTCAGCTCCTGCGCTGTGTGCTTCAGAGCTCTGAAGTTGGTTCGGCGTATACATTCAGTACAACTCAGCATCCACAGGAACGTTCCCCTTCATTGGTGTTACCATCATCACTGCTGTCACCACGTTCGCCTGCATCCGAAAGATCCATCTCATTTGTTCCCTATGTCTTTTTGTACCGTGCTGAAGCCAGCAGCAAACAAAACGCTGATCGGCACGTCGTTTTCGGCGTAGTGGAAGACGCTCTCGACTACTACCTGACTCAGAAACGCTCTCAGAATCAGAGAAGCTCTCAGCACCTGACAGCAGGCTATCAGCTGATCGCCGTCACCTCCAAATTCGCCCGTCAATACGCCACCCGTCGCACAACTAGCTGCCATATCTTCCTTCAGCCATAACGGATTCACTTCAAATTTTCAGTGCTGGACCTTGAAGCCCTGCGCTGAGCGAGGCACAAGCGCTTGATGCAAATAGAGCCCTCTAACCCAGGTAAAAAATATGCCACAGTTTGCCAAACTTCAAACGCCTGTATCTCAAAATGATGTCATGCAGCTAACGTTCCTACCTTGTCCGCTCACACATGTAAATCAGGCCTCGTTTACACAACAACGATTGAAAAACGTTTTTTTTCCGTTTTCGAAACGTTTTTGCTGTTCAGACGAAAAGGATAAGCGTATTAAAGTGTATAATGGAGAGGAAGGAAGACCGAATGACGGACTTGCTGCAAGTACACGTATCGCACTTTTCTTCGCAGCCAATTTACTATAATGTTCTGCGGTTGTGCTCGTTTCGCAACTGTCAATGAAAACAAATCAAACAACAAGTACAAGTAACACTAGTGCTGTTGTAACAGTGTTGTCTACCGTTGACTGTCTAGTGTTTACAATGACTTATGAAGTTATGTAGTGTTTACAATGACTATGTAGTGTTGGATCCTTAGCCTAGGCTTAGCTACCGGCGTACCGCTTCACTTATCTTCGAATCTTTTGCAAGTAAGTTTTGGAATGGGTGTGTCCAACTCGCCCGTCGACGCGTCCTCTACTGAGTCTGTATAGTAAGTTAGTGTTACCGGTACTGTTATCTCACAAGAAGCCTCAAGCCAAGGCTTCTCCTCACGACATGATTGTACGACACCGGCCAGATGATGTGTAGCCGACCAACTACCGGTAGTCGTGAGTCGCCGCGCCAGGCGTCGGGAGTCATGGTAATCATGGAGGTAGGATCTGCACGCTTGCATGTAACTACTAAGTCTTGTTCATGTCGTTGTCTTGCACTTCCTATCCGTCACTCGTCAGGTCCGTCGGTTCCGCGAGTCGTGTGCATCGCGCTTTGGAGGCAACTAAACCGGCCTCACCCTCGTTGTTTCACTGCTCGCCGTAGATATGTCATCCCCAATATCTAATCGTAAGAAGTTGGGGAAACTCGTTACTGAGCACAGCACGCTAGCGAGGCGGCCACATGCCGAGCAGCTGAGCCATGGTCGGCAGGAGCAGGAGACCGTCGGAGCGGCATCGCTATCCGTGATGCCGAGGATGTGGACCTACCCGACACATCACGCAGGACAGCAACATACTACAAGTACGAGCGATTCTGACCCTGGTGACAGGGATGATCGCCGGGCAGAGCTACCAGCCATCGTGGACAGGTTAGTTGACCGAGAGGGAGGAACGAGGCATTCGGAGTGTGTTGTGCGGTCTGGACTGGAGTGGCACGACCCTTGCGAACTATATTTTATTCTTCTTTTACTAGGGAATTCCCAACAGGCGTCAGCACCTTTTTACAGGGAACCCTAGGTATAATTTGATGGATGAGCTAAATTCAGCTGGTGAACTAGACATGCGGCAAGCCGGTGGAAGTGTATTCCACCTGGCAGCGCCCAAATAAGAAATTGCACTAAAGCCAGCTCTCCTCTCAGTCTTTCTCGGTGTGACTCGGTATTACCAAGAGCACATAACCCCTGGGGTTTTGATTGTACTCTTGGTACAGTCGTCCCTCTCTAATCCGGCACTTGTTAATCCGGAACCCTTGCCAACCGGCGCACTTTCTGATGAAACCGATTTTTTTCGTTCAATTCCTACATCGTAATCCGGCACTTGAATTCCGCCTCCGGCAGTGACTTTTTGAAACGATTCGCTCAAACAGCACGTAGTTTGATTTCATAATCCGGCAGTCGTAAATCGCGTACCGTACAGGTGCACTCCTTGCCAGGCCAGTCTGGTCAGTGCCGCGCGCGTGGTTGGTTGTTAGGACTTTTCCGAACCCGAACTCAATTTATACAAAGAGAAAGACCAAGGAACTACAAGTTACGCTATACTGTCCACTAACACCACCAGTTACTAAACAATCAGCGACGATGCACGACACTGACCGACGGTACTGACGTTCTACAACTAACTGGCTAACAGCTCTAGCACATCTTGGATGCGCACTCCAACAGCCTTCCAACTCTGGCACAAGCATCCCGTGCACTTGCTGATGCAATTGTTTGCTCCGAAGGACATCCGTCGTTCGACCTGCATGATGTCGACTGCTTGCGTGGCCTTCTCAAGAGGGTCAATGTTGTCCAGGAGACAACTGCTAAGCAGTCAACCATACTTTCTTATTTTAGCAAGAAGTAGTGTCCTGCCAATTTTCAGGTCTGTGTGTGTGTGTGCGTGTGTGTGCAAGAGTACATGTGAACATGTTCTCTGTTTTACTTTATCACTTTATCACTGTGTATATTCCTGGAGAACAGTTGAGAATATAAAGTTGTGCACCAAATACTTGGATCGACACGGAAAAACCCTGCGTTTTGACGTATAACACATGCATGCAATTGGGTAGGGCCGGGTCAGAGGGCAGGATTTCTTAATCCAGCACCCTCGTTAATCCAGCAGAAAACGCCGTAGCAAAAGGTGCCGGATTAGAGAGGGACGACTGTATTATGTTCTTGTAAAGTAGCTTCGTAGGTGTTCTTCTCCACCTTTGGTTGCAAAAAAAACAAAAATCACAAGTTACCTACATGTACATCCTGAATTTAAAGATGCGCTGATCCAGCACAATGAACACAACACTGGGAGGGACTCCGACTCCCGGCTGTGTTTCATTTATGAACTGGAATTCATTTACAAGTACACCCGACTGTAATTATTTGGATCTGCACGCCACCAAGCTGACCATGCGAGGATGGCTGGCTGGATAGCATGTAAGATCCAGTGCGGACCGTCTTGGAGATGACCATCTGTGTTGCTTTGTACAGCACCACATTCATGTGGCCGGGCGATGGTCAAGTACAGCGTGCAGTCGTGATGGCTGACCAGCAGCCCGTCCTGCTCTTTTCTACACGCCTGCTTCTTGACAAGATGCAACAAGACAATGGCGGTAGCAGCGATGGCGACTCGGCTCTATTGCCAATTGCCAGTACGTATGGTATATCTACAGTAATGTACACGATCCAGCACTACCAATGGTTGCATACTTACGTGATGTTTTAGATGGATTTGGAGTACATTGCTGTTAGTGCCAGTCACAAACGGTACGGTGCATTGCTGGTCAGTGCATGCATGCAGGCTCTATGGTATAGGCCGGGTAATGTGATTACATCATCGTTTGAGATGCTTCTGTATGGAGTGGCAGAATTGTGGTATCACCAGCACTGGTTTGCCACTCAAAACAGACACAAGCGGCATATGTGATATCACTGGCATAAGCGCTGCAGTGTGTATGGCTGGTGTATGCTGAGTGAAACTTAGTTAGCATGCCGGCATCTTGCATGCCGCCGCTATGGAAAACCGGTCAAAGCAAGCACTCTGAGTTAGACTGCCTGCATCTTACATGCCGCTATGGAAAACCGGTCAAGGCAAGCACTCTGAGTAAGACTGCCTGCATCTTACATGCCGCTATGGAAAACCGATCAAGGCAAGCACTCTGAGCTTGGCGACTACCGTATTTTCAGGAGTATAAGCTGCACCCTGCTTTTTTGTCACGAAATACAGACATCTACTCCATTTACCACCGTTAAATTGACCACGGTAGTATAAGTCGCGCCGACTTTTGCAATCGCATGACTATGGACCAGGAGCACACCAGCCAGGTTTTTCAGATCCCTCGAGTGCTTGGCTTGCACATACGTTTCACTACACTGAGAAAAGAAGAAATTTGTGAACGGGATCAATTTGACAAGCATGTCATGATAGAAACGTTACTGTGATTCGGTAGGCCTGGTTTTGCTCCTTCATCATTCGTCTTCACAAGCCCATAGCCCTAGTGAAGGCAGTGGAGCACCGGAGAACAAGAGTCAGCAGTAGAGCCAGACTATGATTATGGGTGGCTACAGACAACCTCGATCAACCGCTGATCATCCGTGCACATGATGAAGGTTCCTAAATATTTGAATCCCTGCATTAGTTCGAGTTGTTCATCATTGTTGCATGTTGTTGCCTTACAGCCATGACTAGCTCCGGCGTGCACTGATATTTTACACGTTCTGTAATCCTTCCTCTGTCTTTGCCAACAAATCAATGCCATCACCAAAGCAGAGATCCGTGAGACATCGGCCACCAATGCTCATACCTTCCTCTATGTTCTCCATTGCTGCCCATCTACCAATTCCTCCAGAAAGATAGTGGACAGTGACAGCAAAAGGATGCATACTTGTCTAGCGCACCCGTATGACTGCAAAGCGTCACTTGTTATGTGATCTGGATGAGGAATGCCAAGAATTGTGGCCAGCTGTTTTCTGTGGAAGACATCCAAGGACGCCAGGTTGCCCTCTGTGAGTCCCCAGGTCTCGCAATTGTACAGTAGGGTGGAGATCACCACCGAATTGTATATCCTCAGTCTACGCATTTCAGATACCTTGTCTTTTCAATGCCACAGGGAGAACATCCTACCATGCGAAAGACTTCGAAGCCATCTCCATGCGATGCACCATGTCCTCACCTTCACCCCAGTAGGACCCAAGTTTTGAAGATCTTTTCCATGTTTCAGCTTCAGATGTCACCTGGATCCATTCCGTCTTTGACTGGCTCACTTTGAGACTCCAGGCCGTGCCGGAGTGTTGCGCTTATTTTGGGCATAACTTCCTGTAGCCAAGAGAGCTTACGGGGCAGGAAGTTGACATCACTAGCATAGCCTGTCTCTGGTAAGACCATGTGTTTGCACTTGGGTCTTGGTGGGAAGCGATCACGACTCCCTTGCAGGGCAGCCTCCAGGTATCGTGCAAACAGTATCGGGCTGAGCCCATCTTCCTTGGGGCCCAGATATTGGCTGGGCAGGGATGAGACCCGCAATACCCACCATGACACCCACTACCTTTGCTTGGTCACGTGTGTAAAAAGCACGGGACATACTGAGGCCATGCTTTGGCACAACACCCAATAGTCCTTGCCAACCCCTGTCAAAGGCTTTCCGAAAGTTGACAAAATTATCATGCGTAGAACACAGGTGATAACCGCATCATTCTTCCACTGGGAATTTGAATATTTGCCCTACGATGCTGTGAGGTAATTGCTGAACTTACGACCATTGTCTTTATGGTAATCATAATGGAACGACACCATTACTGAGGCCATTTCCCAGTGCTGCAGACCATACTGCAAATCACCCTGTGCATCATGTCGGCCGCTGCGGCATTCCCGGCCACCATTGGTAAGCAGCTCACCAGGTATCTACTCAATATCAGGTTTGCTCCTTGGCCAGTGAATGTTCGTGGTGTCCTGCTGCAATGCCAATCACACCTAACTATCAATAGCCCCACCAGTGACAGACATCACTGGGACTCGGGGCCAGAAACCCAAAGTGTTCGGTTTTGACTGCGGTACTCTAACCACTAAGCTTTAGCATGTCCTCAGCCAAGCCGTGGCAGTTTTACGTCCTTCAACTCTTTCCATTTCGAATGACTGTTCCTTGCCTATGAAGTGGACACCGTGGCACGCTTAGTTCGACACGATTCTGTCCATTCTGTCCAGATTCTGTCCACACGCTTTCCGATTACACAGACGTTGAATCCACGGAATACAATTCCACCGATTCCAAAGCGAAGGCAGGTTTTTTTGCCAGAATATATGCTTTTGGCCGGTTATATGGAGTGATCCATGACTAAGGAATGCCCAAAAATCCTATTGTCCGTTCACTAGTACGTGTCCACAATCGCTCATTCTGGTCATTCGAGATTTTTCACACCTGAATACAGAATGTGTAAGTGAAGGTATTTTATGACAAGTGTCCAATGGTGTCTACTGCGTATTGTTGTCCTGCATTGATGACATTAGAGGTCTATTCCATGAAAGTGGTGCTGGATACAGACTCTGCTCTAGTCAGTGACATCTTCAGAACACATGGATTTGAAGAGGTGAGTAGAGGTGTCGCATGTGTATTGAGTGGACGCGCACACCCACGTATATCTGTGTGCGCGTGCGCGCGCGCGCGTGTGTTTGTATGTATGTATGTGTGCGGGTGGGTGGGTGGGCATGCATGCATACGTGTGTGTGCGTGGGATGGAGGGGGGGGGGGGTAGGTGGGCGGGCAGGCGTGTGAGTGTATGTGAGTGCATGTGCTGTCGCAGTATGCGTGCCTTTATTGGAGACGGTTACCTTTACAGTCAGACCTCTCCTATCCGAAAGAAAATCACCGATAACCATAGCATGCGTGGCACATCCAACATAACCGGACCTCACAGTTTGCATACCAGTCACGCATGGTCTTGTACACTATAAGCTTGGTCATAGCCGGCTTCCACATGGCATGCAGAAGTCGGAACAAGGCCAGGAATCTGTGCAACCAAATGGGGTTCGCATGACTCCCTGATCTGTTGGCTGCATGCATTGCAGCACTCAATTCCAGGGATTGACATTTTTTCGATTGTTTTACGGAGTGTGCGTACTCTAGCAATTTTCCATGGGACCCATATACACGTACGCACAAGTTCACACCTTTTTTATGTGCCACATGCATCTAAAGTATGTGTGTTCGGTTGTCCGCGTTCCCTTGCCTATCCAGATACCTTTTAGTGGAAAACAGATGTGTCTTTTTAACGGTGCAATAGTGGCTTGGTCACGCAGGCTCGTACCCACTGTGTGTATGCATGTACATGTATGTGCACCTGGTCTATTGAATTGCACTTTCGATCTGCATGTGTGCGTGTGGGGCTATATGCATGCATGCAGACTAGAAATGACGATGTCAAGTTCAATTTGATCTGGACGGATCGTGTGCTGAAGCCTGAGATTCTTCCTGACATGCGTATCTACCAGAAAGTCAATCACTTCCCAAGGTAAGCGCCGGCTTGCTCGCCAGTCACTGGCTACTAGCTTGCTCGTATACTCACTCACTCATTCATTTACTCACTCATTCATTTACTCGCACTCTTACTTACTCACTCAACCCCTCCCTCACTCACGCTTTTTTTGGTGATGATATTATCGTTGAGACGATGCATGCAAGACCGTTGTATGCAGGTGAATGTCGATTGATGGTGCTGCGTGTAATGCATCGGCTAGCAAGACTGAGTACCGGTATTTGGAGCACACTTTTTGACAAGTTTTTGTGCTTGTGAAACAGGTCCACTGAACTGTGCGAAGATAGTAATCTCTTCTGGAATATACAGCAAATGAGATCATGTAAGGTAAGCAAATGAACAGCATGCATGCCACGGTGAGCCAGGCCTCTTTTCAACATGCAGCTACTATCTATTTTTAAAGCAAGTTGTGTTTATAGTATTTGGGTTATTTGCCAATAACGTACTCCTTGAAGTACACGGTGAATGAACATCTCCAAAGACTATTGCTGAAGCATGCCTGTTTTCTGCGGGATGAACGCTGTTCTACCACTCCCAGAAGGTGCCGGTTGTCAGCATAACTATTACTTCCAGCATAATTGTGTCCACTTTGCCGTTACCAATGGTATACTACCGCAAAAGCCCGTGTATAGGCCCCGGGCATATAGAACAGCAGCCTCGATTTCCTGGGCGTATACGAGGGCACGGGCGTTATTTTGGAACCGGGCGTGTACTTGGAATGGTGATAGCAGTAAGTATTGGGTATCAGTACCTGTACATGACATTGTACTGGTGTTGCCGGCATACCTGGGCGTATACATGGGCATGGGCGCTATTTTGAAACAAAAGTGTTGACTTCTCCTGACTGGGCGTGTACACGGAGGGTGGGCGTAATTTCGAGTGGGCATATACAGGGGCTTTTACGGTATGGAAGTCATGAGAGCGAGCAACGGCCACTCGTGATCAGCAACTGTTACATTTAGAGCCGGTGCATTATCGAGCTTGTTCATGGGCCATGACACTACGAAAAAGGTCATGTGACCTGTTCACCACGTACTACATAGTACAGTACTAGGCTGTGGTGTCTATGAGATCTATAGATAGGTACAGCCACCGCCTGTTCACCGGTAGAGTCTACTCATATTCTGTACCCATGAAAAACCTCCTCTCTATACACAGGGGCGTCGCACACGGTACGGTCACTACGGTATTGACCGTACCACTTTTTGCCCCAGATACCCCGTGAATCAACAAAATACACTGATCTGGGATCTAAAATTCCAAAATGTTCGGCTCAACCACCACTCCCCCACGAGTAAATTGTACTTCAGATGGCTGACCGTACCACATTAAAATACCTTCCGACGCCCCTGATACATCCACTGAGCACTTGTTTCACAATCAGTGTGTACGCTCAGCGGCAAACAGAGCACGGAGACTACCCCTTCTTCTCACACCGTACCAATCATGCGGCACACTGTTCACGTCTGCATGCTGTTGCATGCTGTTGCATGCTGTTGCATGCTGTTGCATGCTGTGAGGGACACCTTTATGCCCAGCGCACTGTGAAACATCCAGGCTCTGTCAGATTGTGCAAAACATGATGCGAAATGAATGAGCAAACCGATCGCTAAAGTCTGTGGAGATGTTTTATGATGACAGATACAGTCATATCTTCATTGCCAGGAGCCTGGTCCAAAGTGTATGGTCCAAAGTGTATGGTCCAAAGTGTATGGAGGTTCCGAAAGCTAACCGACAAGATGTTCTTTTTTCCAATACGCGTACATTGCATATGTGCAGCCTGTTTTGCCGTATCTTCCTTGATGCTAAGGACAAGCAACTATTCGACTTCATGCCGGACTCCTATGATCTGCCAAGCGACCGGATAGAGCTCAAAAGTAGGTGTAGGCTAGCCCATGCCTTGTTGCAATCGGTCGGATCATGGTAGCGCAGCGCACACGACGTACTACACTGCATTCCTGGACTCACTACAATGTAGGCCAACAAGCATTGACTGGACTGACTCAGTCTCAGTGTGATATGTTATTGCCACTTATTGGGGATGGTGCTTAGCAACGACTAGTCAAGTAAACTGTGCATTTCTGCTCTAAGAATCTCATGACTTGGAGCCGGGTAGCAGGTTGCCGATGATGTTACCGTACAGTCTATGCAATGAATTAGCACTGTCGTGATTTAGGGCGTTTGTGTGGGATGCCGCACAGTTAATAATAACATTAGTTGTGTTTGTACTTCAAGTACATAACTACTGCGGAGGTCTTTTCAGATGATGACACTGAGCTGCATTTGTGATCATTGGTGCATACGTACATATACATGTCAGGGTATATTCTAGGACAAATTTCCAACCGGTTACGGTCCAATGAAGAGTCGGGGGGTCCGGGGTCCCCCGCGGAATTTTTTTCAAAATACAACCCAAATATGGCACTCGACAACAATTTAACAGATTTCTTGGTGCTGGAGTACAAACTCGTGACCCTAGTACCAGCCCACGCGGCTTCGCTGGAAGTATCCGTCCAGAAAAAAGCGTTTGACCATTCACAGCTCCATTCACCCACAGAAAAGTACGGGCGGTTGGAACTGATTTGTAACTTTTCAACCGGTCGCCAACAATTTCAACCGGTCGAAAACCGGTTGGGGCGGTTCTAGAAAATTCCCTGCATGTAGGATTGCGGCTTATTATGCAGTCACGGGTATGCCCTTACAGGCCCGCAGATCAGTACCAGCCTGCCGGTGCTGTGCCAGAAACGGTGTTGAACTGTGCATTGCAAGACTCTCCCTCAAACTTGGGCATTCGGTCAAATCTAATCTGATCCTTGTTTCTCATGCGTAGAATGCATTGAATTGCCTGAGAACGGGACTGCAGCGTGGATTGTGAAGCCGCATGCAACTGGCTCTGGAGAAACGGCTTATGTGACAGCAACTGTAAGTGACAGGAAACCTATTGGCACGTACATGCATGTATGTATGTGTACATGTGATACAGGCTGCACGTGAAGTTGCGACAACTGTGACAGCGGCTTGGCAGTCCCGGCTTGCTCGGCGTGGCTAGCTGCTGACCGCTCTTTCTGTACGTCTTGACTTCAGGTGGGTAAACCATGTTGATATCATGCTGGAACCATGTTGATACCGTCGGCTGGCAGCAACCTGGTACTAGTGAGTGTTAGAACGGTTCTTACGTGCTGTAGTGCTGCGAGGGGCTAGAGTCCAGATGCATGTATAAGCCAAACATGAACATGGTTAAGCTGTGCTGTAGTGCTGCGAGGGGCTAGAGTCCAGATGCATGATGTATAAGCCAAACATGAACATTGTTTAAAAGCTGTATAGCAGCACTGCGGAACATACATGAAATCGTGTATGACGCCCGGCGTCCAATATCATTGGAGAGAAAAAGTAGAATGCCGCACTGTGAGAAATGCTTAGTGCTTATAGACGAGATCCCCCTCTCTTGGAAAGAGCCTTGGACATGGCAGCAAGGGCATTAAAATTTGACTGTCAATCAGTGGGCATACTTAGGAAGCACTCTTGGTGTAGCGCGGCGTACGCCCCTGCTTACCATTCACCCTGTGCATCAAACTGTGATGTGCTACTCGCTATATACTGTCGTGGTCACATGCTATTGGTATATGTGCTTTGCCGTCCTCTTCAGCCACACCAGCTAAGTACACATGACTGGTGTGTGGTGCAGCGATATATACCTCCCATGCTTATCGATGGTAAGGCGTTGGATACCGGTGAACGGATGATCTCAAATTACGTTTCCATAACAGTAGATTGCGTACCCGCAGCAGCGATTTATGACTATAGCATGATTGTAGAAGCATGGCTGTGTGCATGTGGACCATTATGATTGTGTATTGACCCTCATTTTAGACCCCCCCCCCAGTAGACCAGTGTAGAGTGGACTACGTTGGATGGCGATATATACGCACGTGTATGCCTTTGAGATGCGAGACGATTGTGGTTATGCCGCATGTACGTTGGCCATCGTCTCTTGCAATCGTGGTTAGGTTGTATAGCCTGATGTTAGCACAGAGCTCAGTGTAACCTTCATGTGCCTCACTGTGACCTGTCCTATTCTCTGCAATGTACCGTAAAGTCCGCTGCAAACGCCCACCCCATTTTTGCAAGATCTGCTGGCCTGTACACACTGACCCCATGCACTGTCACCCCTACTGTACGAAAGTGCATATCACACCGTAGTGCGAAGAGGGCTTTGCTACGGTAAACTATGTCCACTTTCCTGGTTTCAAAATATCTTTGGGCACTAGCTACGAGCTAGCTCCTAGTGATTTTATGATGATGGTTGTTTTATGGCGCAAATCCAAACAGGAGTTTCTTCCGAATAACAAGGTAGCGAAGAACAGAGTATTGCAGGAACCTTAATACACTTCTGGCGGTGTTTGAAGCCATCATTTCCAAATCACGCATTGCACAAAGGCAAGGGTTTTTCTCGAGCACTTCAGAGTTTTCAACAAGTTAGCAGCGACTTTGTACATGTAGCTTCTGTGACATCCCCCCTGTTCGACTTGCAACTGCAATACTGCGACAGGTCAAGTCGTTGAATGACGCCTCGTCGGAACAATCACCATTCCGTTCTGAAAGCGCGACATCGTGGCAATGCAGAAATTTCGTGATTTGAAAACCAGATTGACTCTGGGGCATCACCACATGGACAACAAAGTAATAACGAAGACGACTCATTTATCGTATGAAAGGAAATCTTGACAGAAGTTTATCTTTGCAGCAAGATAATGACAATCGCTTTTGTACAACCTACTGCCAGTAGTACTGGTAAGACATAGGCAGTTTGTAGACATTACAGTCGCTCTCGTACGCATTCGACCTTCATGCCAGTTGTTTACAACTATATTGACCTGAAAAAGACGAAAATAGTATGGACCCGCTGGGGTGGGCGTTTGCAGCGAAGTGGGCGTTTGCAGCGGACTTTACAGTACATCTTTATTGCCCCCCCCCCATGGTGTTCTTATGGTTTCTGGTTTGCTCTACGACTACCTCAGATCGCCCATGCTGCATAAAAGTGTATGTTTGCGTCACCTCGTTCGACCCGCTGAAGATCTACCTGTATGGCGATGGACTTGTCAGGTACGGAGTGTGCATGGATAGCGCCGCAGGTACAAATCACTGCTATTGTGTGACACTACATGCATGAGTGAGTGTGTCAGTGGTGTTACATGAGCCAAGTCAGTTGCCTACTGTGTACTACATATATACGATAGTCCAGGAATGTGCCTGAGACGGTCTCTATCATTTAGTACAGGCCCGGAGCCAGCTCCTGAGGGGTGGTATGGGCTCCAAGTCAGCTGCAGGACCGATGTATTTTCCCATGCCCAATTTCAAAATCCTGGAAGGATGCATCTCTAGCTCTATGCTGCATCATATCTGTTTGTTTCAGCTACACATTCCTCTAGCAACACTGAGATGCTGGTGGCAGCTAGCGTAGCAGACCTCACTGGACAAGAAGAGCAGTTTAGGACTTCGGGGAGAGACTCTAGTGAGGTGTACAAGAGGATAGCGTGTTACTAGTACTTGCAGATAATCAAATTGCACGCGGAGCAGCCCATGGACGCTGGAATTGGTAAAAACTGGCCGCACCAGCCGTACAAGTGGCGTCGGCCCGGTAGTAGAGTTATTACACATGACGGTTGACCTCACAGCGGCTGCGCTAACACAACACACCCTGTTGCATGTGTGTTCTGTTTCTTGTCTATTGTCCCCCCAGCTTCCAGACTGATGACGAGGAGTCTGGCAAGAAGCGTTCACTGCTGACAAACTATTCCCTCAACCTGATCAACAAGGATTTTGTACAGTGCGTCACTGCTACACTACAGTCACACATAACTGCCTACCTGGGTTTGCACTCACACCATGTTGAGTAGTACTATGGCCAGGCTGTGTCATCTCCCTGGTTGCTATGAACCCAGGGGCGTGCTTGGCGAGGGGCAAAGGGGGCAAGTGCACCCCCCCCCCAAATATTTCGACCGGGGGTTTTGAAAAGTCACCAATGTATTGCGGAAAGCCCGACCTCGCGGGAGCACATCCTGCACCTGTGTCTTGTACATTGTACTAGTAAGTTGTAGTGCAGTAGGGGCCTGGTGCGCGGCCTACATGCAGCCAGGCAGTCCCGTACGTACAGCCTGTCAAGTGTCATATCAGATTGCACGACATCGCGAAAGGATGCGACCACAGTGGCACACGAACGTCAGCGCTGGCTTGAAAGGAAAGAGAATGGAAGGGAAGGCACAGTGCCGTCGACGGCCGGATTGGTTTTTAAACATTTGTAAAGTTTTCATCCTTTATTTTTTTTAAATTGATAAAAATTGTAACAGTAATAATGACGTCACATGTACAAATATCTGATGATGTCACCGGTACAACCTTTTGAAAATTGCTGTTGTCTGGAAGTGGTGCACCCCCCCCCCCCCCCCCCCCCTGGAAGGGGAGCCGAGCACGCCCCTGGAACCCCTGATCATGATGTGTATGGTAAACTACGATGACGTGCTGCCCATGGGTTTGCTCTTCGCTATGCTCTTGTTGTGATGGCAGCTGGCACAGTGGTGAGGGAATACAGGACTTTGGTGAGGACACGTGGACGTTTGGAGCACTACTTCGCTATCTGTGCAGAAGCAATGTGGATGTGGCTGGTAAGCCGTGTAGAAAGGGATGATTCCTATGTTTAGTTTTAGCCTTCCCATCCAATGTTGTATGGTGAAATCCATTCGCTCAAAAGGTGTGTGCATGCGTTACTTTTGTTTTAGCCATGGCTGACCCTTATGCAGTACTGTAGATAGCTTAAAGTGCCCATTTGATTTATACCTTCTATCATTACAACCCGCGTATCACTACAGGCAATAGTTGACTACAGTGCGCGCGCATGTACACGCACACACAGACAGACAGACACACACACACACAGACACACACGGCGTGATGTACATGTATGTGAGCGCCGATAGCTGATCACTCCAGCACCGTGGCACCGCACCATACAGCATACTGCAGATCTACTTTGACTACGCATCAGAAACACTTCCAGTGGTAAGAGGATATGTGAAGCACGGCTCGCTTGACTGTACATGGCTCCTTTTCAAGGCAACAGTGCTGGTCATTCTGGACTTGAAATCATTACACTTTGAAGTGACTTCAAAGTACACTAAACAGCACATGTGTGCATGCATCGCACACTCCTCCTCTCCCTGACTTCTTTTCTCTCCCAAATTATGATGCCAAGCATGGGATGGGCTTTATGCATGCTTCCTTTTGATTGCGGTAGTAGAATTTCACATGCAGTGCATTGCTTGCAGTGCATTGCTTGCAGTGCATTGCTTGCAGTGCATTGCTTGCAGTGCATTGCTTGCAGTGCATTGCTTGCAGTGCATTGCTTGCAGTGCATTGCTTGCAGTGCATTGCTTGCAGTGCATTGCTTGCAGTGCATTGCTTGCAGTGCATTGCTTGCAGTGCATTGCTTGCAGTGCATTGCTTGCAGTGCATTGCTTGCAGTGCATTGCTTGCAGTGCATTGCTTGCAGTGCATTGCTTGCAGTGCATTGCTTGCAGTGCATTGCTTGCAGTGCATTGCTTGCAGTGCATTGCTTGCAGTGCATTGCTTGCAGTGCATTGCTTGCAGTGCATTGCTTGCAGTGCATTGCTTGCAGTGCATTGCTTGCAGTGCATTGCTTGCAGTGCATTGCTTGCAGTGCATTGCTTGCAGTGCATTGCTTGCAGTGCATTGCTTGCAGTGCATTGCTTGCAGTGCATTGCTTGCAGTGCATTGCTTGCAGTGCATTGCTTGCAGTGCATTGCTTGCAGTGCATTGCTTGCAGTGCATTGCTTGCAGTGCATTGCTTGCAGTGCATTGCTTGCAGTGCATTGCTTGCAGTGCATTGCTTGCAGTGCATTGCTTGCAGTGCATTGCTTGCAGTGCATTGCTTGCAGTGCATTGCTTGCAGTGCATTGCTTGCAGTGCATTGCTTGCAGTGCATTGCTTGCAGTGCATTGCTTGCAGTGCATTGCTTGCAGTGCATTGCTTGCAGTGCATTGCTTGCAGTGCATTGCTTGCAGTGCATTGCTTGCAGTGCATTGCTTGCAGTGCATTGCTTGCAGTGCATTGCTTGCAGTGCATTGCTTGCAGTGCATTGCTTGCAGTGCATTGCTTGCAGTGCATTGCTTGCAGTGCATTGCTTGCAGTGCATTGCTTGCAGTGCATTGCTTGCAGTGCATTGCTTGCAGTGCATTGCTTGCAGTGCATTGCTTGCAGTGCATTGCTTGCAGTGCATTGCTTGCAGTGCATTGCTTGCAGTGCATTGCTTGCAGTGCATTGCTTGCAGTGCATTGCTTGCAGTGCATTGCTTGCAGTGCATTGCTTGCAGTGCATTGCTTGCAGTGCATTGCTTGCAGTGCATTGCTTGCGCAACTATGGTCTTCTATTGCAGGATTGGTCTTGCAGATTGAAGACGTCGTCATCAGAGCCCTGCTATGTTGCCAATCGCCAATAGCTGCCGCAACACGATCCTCGGAGAAGCATCGCGGTAACTGTTTTGGTGAGGTCGTACTTTAGTCATTCATGCGAGTGTTGTGCACAGGAACTCACCCCGGCATCTGACATTTCCAGCGGCCAGTATCGGCCAGTGAACTCCGACCACTTCCGCTTGAGAACCATGCGGTCATGAGTGGCACACTGGGTAGATACGTCGTGGACTAAGCTAGGTTTCATGACAGCAGGGTGTCAAAGGATGCTCGACTCAAGGTGCGATAAGGGAACTGCACCCGGCATGATTGGATTTCACTAATCAGCATTGTTAAGTACAAGTAAATGTATCAAATTATGGCCACATTCTATTCTGCTCACAGTTTTCCAGGCACTTGCGTGCTCATGCACCTTAGACTTCTAGCGTTGACGCAGACCATGTGATGGGTTCTATTTGCACTTCTCTTGAACCATCCCGTGCTCATAATGGCATTTTGGGTGCTGTCGGCCACTTGTTCATTGTCCAGAACTATTCGAAGCCCAGCTGCTTGTTGATAGTTGTCTAAAACCTTGGCTGCTGAAGGTCAAAGGTACTCCTTGCTTTGACAGGTATGGATTCTTTTTGATTATGGGCAAGGCCCATTAGTTATGTGGTTTGGCAACTCGTGTAACAAATACAGAGCCATTGACTCGTTTTGCATACCATGTCCAGCCAAAGACTTATCTTGTATTGCCACATTACCGTGTAGTATTTGTGCTCCGCCCATACAACACAGCAACAACAACAGAGTTGCATAGCCAGTGACTTGCAATGTGACCAATGGATGGCTGAGCCAGGAGAAGAGAGAGGCTATGATGGGAGAAGAATGGGGTGGTGGGAGGGGCATATTGCGGTGTAAGACGGCTGCCCTCCTGAAGTGATGTACGTTATCCCGGTGTGGTCCATCATGCATCGGTTTGATTGTGGCCTCTTCAATAATCAAACTACAGACGATGAGGGCCACACATCCTGACCTCACTTGCATGTGTGTGTGTGTGTGTTTGCCCGGTTTCAAGTACTTGTCCAATAGAGAAGCGAATCAAATCCAACCTGCTTGCAGATCTGCTCAGCTTAGTTGGTAAGAGACCACCAATGCATTGCAGCATTGCCAAATGGAGATTGACAGCATCATGGTGTTGGTCTGTGTTAGGTCAGTGTGTGTCAGAGGTGACTGCATGTAGCGGAACACCGTCTCACAGCGGTGCCAGATGGGATGCGATCAATACTTTTTATTGTAGCCGGGCTTCAGTCCACTGAGTACATCAGTTCCTTCTCTTGCCACTGCATAACGTTACACTGCGTACGCTGTTGTATGTTTCTTACTGATTTCATGCATGACTGACAAGGAGCGTGGAGAGACTCTATTCAGTCCATTGCAGCCATTTGTTGGATTTTTCTAAATACTCTGATCAGGTAATTTAACTCCTTGTGTGCAATCCCTTGCATGTAGACATTCAACTGTCAGTGGGCACAAAGCTCACTGATTGCCTGCATTCTGTATACAATCATGGCATTGCCATGATTACCAGCAGTGTGCCGGTATTGACCTGGTACCATTTTCTCCTGCACTACATGTACTAGGTCTCCAGGCGTTTAAGCCGAGAGAGCAGTTTGACGTGTTCAACCCCTGGCAGCCAGAAGTGTACAGCTGGGATCCCAAGCAGTCGAGTAAACCTACGCCATTATTACGCCCGGTAAGCAAGAGAGTTTTCCGTACTGTACTGCTGATGTGAATATGTTAATTCCCGTAGCTATGCAGAAGACGTTACTTCAGTAACGTCTGGCGCTAGCCAGGGTCCAGACAGCTTGAATTCAATTGTTCTGCATTCTGGTACATGACTTAGGGCTAGTCAATATAACAGTTCATTTAACGCAGCAGTCAGTAGTCTACTAGTATATTTGACGGTCTATTGCACATGTACGTCCACATGATGTCGTATCAAAGAATTTTTTTAGCCTAAAGCATCAAAGTCAGAGTACTCCAGCCGTGAGAAACGTAGCGAGCTTTACACTCTAATGTATCAGTGACTAATACATGTCATGAGCTTTACACTCTAATGTATCAGTGACTAATACATGTCATGAGCTTTACACTCTAATGTATCAGTGACTAATACATGTCATGAGCTTTACACTCTAATGTAGTGGTGTGCACGGGTAGTCGGGTACCCGTGCTACCCGTGAGGACCTCGGGTAGACGGGTACCGAATCGTACCCGAAAACCCGAAGTCGCAGATGACATCATGTAGAAAGAGAGAGAGAGAGAGAGAGAGGTCTACAGTGCACGTGTACAAATAACTCACGCATGTCTACCCAGTGTGAAAGGGAAGGGGCCGGTGTGCATTGTGGTCGTACCATGGAAACATTACCCGATCGGGTACCCGTGCTACCCGTGGAAAACTACCCGGACCCGATACCCGAAGAAAATGCTACCCGACTCAGCCCTACTCTAATGTATCAGTGACTAATACATGTCGTGCCTTCGGAATGCGCACCAATGTCTTCCTCCTGCTGTGCACATTGGCAATGATCTCCTCCAACACTCTGTGCTGACCAGCTGTAATGTTCGAATTTCCCACTATCTCCGTATGACATACCCTTGCGATGGGCTCACAGGAAACTGGCACCTCGTTCTATGCGGGCCGCACGGCCGATGGGTCTCCGTCAGATCTGCCCAACGTGCTGACCATGACAGACCAAGAGGTAAAGCGAAGCGGTGGATTTCAGCGTATTCTCCCCTCACAGCACAGCTGGAAGCTTTACGGGTAAGATCTACCGTGAGCGAAGCACTACTAACAGGCCAGCTGGGTTGGTGCAACGTGTGCACTCTTGGGAAGGAACAATGCACTATAGAGGTATACACGTGAAGCGCAGCACATGTGAAGTACAGTGAAACCTGGGAAATGCACTCCGGCCCAGGGCCGGCAATGCCCTTGCTTCAACAGTGTATTCACGTTTAGAGGTTGAAAATGCACCGGCTTGTTTGGGCTGGGAATTCTGGGTCCTTAAACTGGGCGTCCTGTAGGACAAGTTCCCGGTACCGTGCAGCAATCAAGGCCGCACAACTGTGCTACCTACCGGTAGTGACTATGTGCGGAATCAGGGCCGGGATCAGGGCCGGGAATTGTTGCTGATGAAAGACTGTTCTACTAGTAATACAGTCTAGTAACGTTATTTGCTTCATCACTACCCGCTCACCATTCCCCATCACCTCCGTTCCACTCCATGCCTTTAATACCGGGCTCTTGCCCACCTGTGCCTTTGCTCTTCTTGTAGTGAGTTGCTATCCGCGTGGCACTGTTCCTGATGGTGCCATCCAGTAAATCAAACTGTCCCTTCCTCGTCAGGCATTTACATGTACAAGGCGTACTCTACTGATAGATGACCCCACACATGCTATCCTGGTCTGCTGCTGTTGCTTGCATACAAACTAGGCCCCTGCTGGATCAGACAACGGATTGGAGTTATCGACTGCACAAACACTGCTATCCTTACAGGTGAGATGCGACCGACTGCTCGGTATAATATGTGTGTGTGCGGGGGAGGGGCTGCCAGGATAATATCCGTGTCTGATAATCAATACGGCTACACCGTGAGATGACAGCAGATTGGTGCAAGGGGGGGGGGGGGCTGCCGGGATGTGCATATCTGTGTCTGATCTGAATTTGATGGGGTATGCAGGGCCGGCGCCACTGGTACGGCCGGTACGGCCATGGCCGTACCAACTTCCCAAAAAGTCGGTCCACGTGGAACGTCCAAAACCGGGGAGAAAAAGTTTCGATGTATGATTTTGTACAGGGAGTCGCCCAGAGGGCAGGATTTGCCGTCTAAATTCCAAATATGTTCTGGGGGAGGACCCCCAGACCCCCTTAAAGAGACCCCCTTAAAGATGGCTCTTCGGCCACACCGCTCCGCGGAAGCTGCCTCCGGCCCTGGTATGTCCATCATTGTTAGCAGTAATTTGTCTGGCTACTTTGTGTACATCTGTTTATCACAGCATGGAAGATGCTGATCGATGTGAGCCGGGTCAATCAGATGATGAGGGATGTCTTAGAGTTCTGCAACACTTGCAGTACGTACCCGTGTCATGTGCATGTCTTACTATGGATGTGTCTCCAACGACTCTCCATGGACGTGTGTCTACTGATGTATGCCTGTGGATGAATGTCTGTGCGGATGTATGTTCATGGTCTGGCCAGTGTGCACCTCTACATCACCCACCGAGGCCCTAAGCCCTATACAGCTGCACTGATAAATGCAGTCCTTAGGTGTTTTGCACCTGCAAGCCAGCACTGAGCAATGTTGTGAGATAGCTGTCGTGACTTTTCAGTCCACGTATGTCCGTGTACAGATCCATCAGCAAACAGTGTGAGAATGCGTCACGGGAGGAGAGGAAGAGAGTGAGTCGCTGACCGTTTTGATGTAAAATAGATACAAATACAGGTACTGCCTTGAGCGTCCCCCCCCCCCCCCCACACACACACACTGCCAATTCTCTTTCATTCCCCCTACACCATTTCCACCTCAAGTTGTAACTATGCTTGTTGTGTTTGTAGCTCATAGCATCCTGTTCTTCTCTAATCGTGACATTGCCTAACAACTTGACGATTGGGAAATCCTCCTCCTTCTCCTCCTTCTCCTCAGTCTGATCCTCAATATATCCCTCCTCATCTCTGCATCGTCGTCGTCCTCCGACTCCTCGTCTACTGAATGTTAGTTGGTTTTCCGGCCGATCGTTTTTCTTTCTTCTGCTACATGTAGATCTGGTCAGAGTCTAGCTACTACTCCATTCTGCAGAGGTTGCCACGCTACATGGACACCACACCATGTCATGTAAGTGACACCAATCATACTCTGGGCACAGCATGTAGCATGGGTCGTGGCGTAAGCTCATCGTCACGCAACCATCTATCAGACAATGCTAAAACATGTGTTCATTGGGTAACCCGACCGACCGTCTGAAATCTAGGCCGACTTGAATTGTGTCGGTCACCTGTGCATTACGTCTTATTCTAACATAATTCAGTATGGATCGATGCATGGGTGCATTGTAAAACTGTTTCTTTACAGCCTATGATAGTATCTGTGTAACTGATGTACTGTCGTCCTCCGCAGAGCACCACTCCTCAGCATCCACTCAACACTGGCTTCGTTCTGTTCAAGCAGCAGTTTTCCCATGCGGGACCATTGCTGCTGACAACAAGCAGCGTACCCAGCGTGGCTAGCCTAGTTCGCTACATGCGTCAGACTGTCATCCATGTGCACGGGGATGTGTGCTTGCGCCATCGGCCTAGCGACAATGCAGGTAAAGTGGCAATGATGTCTGAAATATGGGAATGGTAAAGGTGGCCCATGGTTAAGTTCTCACCAGCATAGGTGTTACGAGTCCTTTGTATCAATGCGCTTGACGTGGTGAGAGTGGTGCTCATCTCCTCTTCCTTGTTGTGAAACATTCCTACCCGTGCAACTCTTTCCAACTGTAGAGCCTGCCGCTCTGAACCCTCGCTGATCCAATGGCTCAATGGTAGTTAAGCTGTTCAGGAGAAGCGTCCTCCTGTCTTTGCATGAGCAGCGATAGTACGTACAGCCTTACAGCCTATCTCATGAGTCATGTCCCTCTCATGTGCCCCTCCTGCCCCTCCTGTAGCAGTAGCAATGCTAATTATCATGTCAGCAGGGTAACCACATGCCTTTTTTCAATGTCTTTTACACCCGGTGCAGGACACGGGAATGAACACCGCATAGAGCGTGCACGTGGATACGTGAAGTGTCCCAGAATACCACCTCGAGAACGTCAGATGCTGACGACGGGAGGCGCCGGCAGCAGCAAGGCACACTTCAATTCAGCTGCTCAGCTCCCCGCTAGGGGTGGAAGAGGTGATTTGCTTTCAGCGCAGTGCTTGGCCATGCATGGATATGACAATACAGCATTGCTGGCTGTGTTGAATGCCGGATGCTTGCCTAGTCAAACTGGGGTGAGTGGTTGTACCAGTGTGCCTTCTAGATAAAACAAATATGGCCATGATACATGATGGACATTAATGGGGTAAAATGGCTCTAAATGCGATCAATGCATTCATCAGATTCTGTTCAGGTAGGTCCTTTGTTAATGAGATCATTAACCCCTAGAATAGCTCTAATGGGCCCCAATTCTCTCTGTTTCTGTCTGTCTGTCTATCTGTCTGTCTGTCTGTCTGTCTGTATGTATGTATGTATGTCTCTCCTCTCTCTGTCTCTCCGTCTCTCTCCGACTCTCTCTCCCGGCTTCTTGATGCATGAAGTAGGTACTAACGTCGAGACCATTGGTCGGCAGAGCCTGCAGTACCCCATTGCCGCCATTGCCTTGCATTGCAGCCCCACTTAGCCAATGCCTTATTAGGCTGCTGTCTTTGTCACTTCCTCTTCTCTTTTTTTTACGAATTGGCTGCGGGATTTTCAAATTGTTCTTTGCACTGGTTCAGGATTTAGGACTGGTTTCTTCATCAATTCAAAACCAGGAAGGCAAATCAAGTGGCAGTAGTAATGATGCAACCGAGCTACCAGCACTCGACATTCGACGTCCACACTTACAGTCACAAGCTAGCTTGAAAGACAGTTGGTATCGAGATGTGCGTGATCTGGTCCTGGGACATGGAGAGGTCAGCCTGCTGGGGTAAGGACGAGGCTGGCAAGGGCTTGCGTGTATGTGTGCCGTCCATAGTTGTTATGTGTGTGTGGGCATGAGCACATACGCCAGGCGAGACTGCAACTCTGCAAGTTAGTTTGACAAGCTGTGTAGTTTATATCACGCATAACTATGTCTTGCCGTGATGCAGTTCGAGACTGCAGTCGCAGAGCATGACCCGTAGAAACTAATGAAAATGGCGAAAAAAATTCCGTTCTCCCACTCTCATGTGACTGGGCTATATATAGTACACACAGTCATTATCATACCGATTTGATTTGGGGTATTGTCTAATCCAAAAACACCTGTTCACCTGTTCAGTCTGGCTCTGGCTTGTGTGCTTGTGTACAATGCAGTGAGCTTCAAGGTCGGCGGGTACTATCAACATTCTTGAAGCGCGTACACCAGCGAATACAGGAGACTCCGCATAGTCGGTAAGAGTTGTTCAGGTGCCGGACGTACATAATACTACCATCTATTTCTTAGACACAGCTGCCGGAATAGTGCTCAACGCGATGGGCACAGAGGCTCTCACGCACATAGAAAAGTGCTCAATGCGATGGGCAAAACAGAGCTCTCATACAGTCGCGCTCAATGCGCTGGCCGGCACAGAGCTTTCAGCATAATTCATGCAAGACAAGACCAATCAGGAATGATCAGCTTGCTACTGTGCCCATGACGATCTTCGGGTACAGATGGCTGCCAGGGGACTGGCATAACTGTTAGGCTTGACACTCAGAGTAGCAACGTAATCCTGAGTGAGTGTGTGGCTTGCACGTATTCAATTCTAACTGTTCCTTTCTTTGTGGACCAAATCATCAAAGTCCCCATGATGGAGGGTGGGAAAGTGTAACTGAACTATTTTTGGATCTACCGTGGTGACGGTCTGGCAGGATCTTTGCTGCACATGTACTGGACCTTGGTTGGATTTCAGAGTAAAAAAAAAGCGACCACGCCAGGATTCGAACCTGGAATCTCCTGATTCGTAGTCAGGCGCCTTATCCGTTGGGCCACGCGGCCAGTCACAAGCTTTGATGCATAGCATGCTGTGTTGTTCACTGTAAATGAGCTTTTTCAAACCCGATGATTTGGGCTGACTAGCGGTCTTTCATAGGGCAGAACAACAAGTACAGCAGGTGGGCAAATGCTTGCTTGATCACAACGTGAAAAGGCACCTATTGAATTGTATTGCATTGTCTATTAAAATTCAGTTTACGGATTCTCCAGAGGTATTGCTCGCGGTCCGACAGCAAGTATATGTAATTGCTGGGCACCATCCATTTTTACACGTACTTGAACAAGTAGGAACATGGGTACTGTGGGTGACCAGTAGTGGTGGGCTGGTAGCTAGTCACGGTAGTCGTTAGTGTCGTGTTTTGTAGTAGATCTGCAGGTTTTCTTTTCAATTCTTACCTGGGTTTGGGGGAACAGTGGAACTCCACTCGCCACATATTCTGCTTTGTCTTGGCTTGCCTATCCCAGTCATGCGCCCATTGCTCCCTGGGACTGAATACAAGTATGATCCAGCCAAGTTTCAGAAAATCACCAGGATGTTGTAGTGCGATTTTGACCTCAGATACCATGCATTCCTTTGGGATGCTTTTTGCGTTGGAGCATTTTCTCGTTGAATCGTGGTTGAGGTTTTACCTGACTGGCCGGGTAGGCTGATCAGTGTGAGCTGGTATTACTTTGCTGTTTGCCTGCAGGCGCAACCGGCCACGGCTCGCACAAACAGTGGTAAGTCTGTACCATGTGCCGATGGCCTGTCTTGGAGAGACAGTGCTTACCTGACGCACGACTGATTTTCATCCATCGGTCTTCCCTGCTTCTCCTTTCTCCTACATGTATCTGCTTCACTGCACTGACGCTGCTCCAGTCAGCTTGTACTGCTTGGCTCAACTGTACATTCACACTTGCACAGTGAACATGATCAAGGTGAAAACTTTGCTTGCACGCATTGCCACGACCACCATTAAGTTACTACAAGTAGCACCAGGGTTCAGCCTGTCCGTCATCTACTAGTATGCGTGGCTGTGTTGTATTTCTGCTCGCCTGTTGTACGGTGCAGGAGAGTTTGCATCTCTTTCTCAAGCAAGCTTCACTTCACTTTGAGCCGCCAACGGGCGTGCGCTATCCCAGCATGGACTTGTCACTGCAAATGCGGTAAGTCACGGAGGGGTCTCACTACTATGTTTCTGTGAGCGAAACACACTTGCCCTTGCAGGAAGAGAACACATGTACAGTGGACTCGTAAAACACTGCGTGGACACAACCCACCATCAGCTGGCAAATGAAATGTCAATAGACAATACTGTGTACACTGTACACTGTACAGGAACTATCAGCTATACAGTACTTGAAGCACCCAAGACAAGTAGCCTGGCCTGGCAAAGAACGTAACACATGGCCTGCAATCGACCGAGTGACTGGAGTGATTACCGCTGTTCGACTTGCCCATGGCTGCTGCTCCAGATGTTCTGTCACTCTCGTTCTGGGAGGACAATATCATAGTCGAACACCCCCCCCCCCCCCCCCCAAATCACTGCCAGTGGCATCCACCTGTCCAGTGGCACAAACGATTCCCATGGAGATGTGTGCGCGTGACGAGCAGTATAGGAAGTATTGGCATATGACCCATGATATCTAATTGGCAAATGAACGATACAACAGTGCCGCTAAACGAAATCCGATTGTGTAAGTCAAGTTTGTGCCATGCCGCACCAGTTCATCATCCCAGTGTTCGCAGCGGTCCAGGGCTGCACAGCGCCCGGTGTGGCATGGACTGGCTTGATCCTGTTTCACCATCAGTTGAGCAGCATTGTGCAGTGTACAGTGTACGGTGTGGCATGGACTGGCTTGATCCTGTTTCACCATCAGTTGAGCAGCATTGTGCAGTGTACAGTGTACGGTGTGGCATGGACTGGCTTGATCCTGTTTCACCATCAGTTGAGCAGCATTGTGCAGTGTACAGTGTACGGTGTGGCATGGACTGGCTTGATCCTGTTTCACCATCAGTTGAGCAGCATTGTACAGTGTACAGTGTACAATGGTGTACAGTGTACAGTGTACAATGGTGTACAGGGTACGGGAATGACTGTTCACGTTACCACTCACCTGGGACAACACTTGGAAGCAATACGAACTCAGACCTTTGATTACTTGATTTGTTTGATCTGGGTGCAGGCTCAAGTGCAGCACTGGACAGCTGCTCCTTCTCATCAAGCGCTTTGACAGGGTACGGTTGCCAGGATCCCGATTGTTTGAGGTGCTGCTAGAATAGCTCAATGCAAGTTTGTTTCCAGAGGCACACTTGTGCAGATACAAGCAGTGAGCCGTGATGGCTACCGGAGCAGCCGTGGAGCGCATAATTGCACATTTATGCGTTGTGCATTGTGTATGTATCATGGTAATCAGGTTACTAGCGGTGAATGAATGTTTTGACAAAGTGACAGACTTGTTTTGGAGGAAGAAAACTCCACGAGTGGCAGTCACTGCAGCTGAACCGCAGCAATATGCGTTTCAAATGGGAACAAGTTGGATCCATGATCACACTGATCCATGGAAAACCAGAGGTGGGGATTTCACCTGCCATTACTATGCTGGGTCTGTTGCGTTGTTGCTAACTTGACAGGAGATAGAAAGGCTTTCCGTACCAGACGAGCTGGAGGACCGTGAACGACTGGCCGGTCAGGACATGGACCACAAGTTTGCTGTTGGCTTTGAGGAATTCTTGAACAGGGCGACGTAAGCAGCCAGTCACGCCATGCATGATTGCAAGAGTGCATGTTGGAACTCAACAGCCATAACCATGCCTATTACAGACAGTGTATTGCATGTGGAGGGCATCAAAATAGGGACAATATCGATTGTCCCTTTCCCAGCATCAGAAAAGTGTACCCCACTCTATCACTCAGCGTGAATGCGTGCCACACAGCCAGGTCAGCACGGTTCAATGTTGCGCATCAGACAGTCAACATCCAGTGGACTCTTAAAATGCCACAAAGTGACAACTTTACATCGTACATGTACCAACCTACATGTACGTCACCCCAATTTCTAGAGCACATGGGTTGAAGTCACCCGCAACTCATCTCTACCTACATCTCTACAAATCGGCTGTGTTTGCTTGCGTTTCAGTTATCTACAAATCGGCTGTGTTTGCTTGCGTTTCAATTATCAAGATCTGAACACTCCCATCAGAAGCTGAATACCACCCTTACTGCCCATACATGTATGACCACTTGCCGTCTTGCACTCAGACTGCCGTTCCCATCACTTGCCGTCCTGCACTCAGACTGCCGTTCCCGTCACTTGCCGTCTTGCACTCAGACTGCCGTTCCCATGCCAAATGGCACACCGCCCTCACGGCTCGGGTTGAAAACACTGGAAAACGAACTTGACAAGAACTTTCACCAAAAAGGATACGAGAGAACAATGTGGTGTCCTTGTGCTTTGTGGACGTCCTTGAAGCGATGGTTTTGGACTGCAATTCAACTGTTCAAAAATCATGGCACCACGAATGCTGAGCGCTACAACGTAGTGGAAAACGCTGCTCCATGGCAACAAGGATGTGTCACGTATGCACCACGGAGCCGCATAGGATCTCAGCTCTTAGGTCACGCCATTAAGACGTTCATTTTGTCACTTTTTGATCTACAGATTTCAGTAGAAACTATTTCTTTTGGTACACACTCACTCACTCACTCTCTGTCTCTCTGTCTGTCTGTCTGTCTCTGTCTGTCTCTCTCTCACTCCCTCTCTCTCTCTCTCACACACGCACACACACACACACACACACACACACACGCACGCACACACACACACACACTCTCTCTCTCTCTCTCTCTCTCTCTCTCTCTCTCCTGCATGCCACGTTGCCATGCACTTTGTAATCTCAGGGAGGTTGATCTGCGGAGGGTACTGATGATGTTCATGGTGGACAACCCAGATGGCTTTCACTCTTTCCTCGCGCCATTGGACTTAGTGTACAGCATGAAGCCAACAGCTGCATCTCATCAACCAGACAGGGTGCCGATGTGGAAACCATCGCAACTTCGTAGAGCACTGAGCCCAATACACTGGCCGGCAGCACACCACTGCATAGACTTCGGTGGCGCTACGGAACACAAGAAGCGTCCTAAGAGGCTGCGGCGTGGACAGCATGGTAAATTGGTAATAATTATGATGCTGTAGTAGTCCACTACACATGAAAATTGAAAAGCATGTCCACACGCTTGCGGGTTAGGGTGGTATTCCCTCACTTTTAAAAATCAAGCAGGTCAGGTTATCTATCAGTGCATCATGGCTGGTAACAGTTCTACATTGCAACAGAGACTTTCGACCAGGGAGCAGTAAAATACGACGGTATGTTATAATTTTACTTGAAGTACTACAATACTCCCTGCTTTCGACTGATTACTATCCTAGTATTAGTGCTCACTGTCTGTCTGTCTGTCTCTGCCTGCCTGTCTGTCTCTTTCTGTGTGTGTGTGTGTGTGTGTGTGTGTGTGTGTGTGTGTGTGTGTGTGTGTGTGTGTGTGTGCGTGCGTGTGTGTGCGTGTGTGCGTGCGTGCGTGTCTCTGTATCTCTTGACTGGACAGTACGTTTCAATCTTGATAGTAAACCACCGACAGTTGAAGCTCCCAGACTGCACCGACCGAATTTGCCCTAAACGTCACCTCCACCATCAGCCCAAGATGTTGACTTGCCGTCGCAGCTGACTACAGAAAGAAGACACATGTAAGCTATCAGGACCGCACACACTGCGCTCGTGGATCTTGGCCGCGAGACAACTGCTCATGGAACAACGTTGACGCACGGAATCATTGGAAGGTGGCACATAAAGCTAAAGATGCAGAGCGCTGCCAAACCCAACCATAACCGAAAGCGGGGCAAAGATGAACCGGACAATGATAGGCCCATGCATGTCACGTTCTTTTCCCGCGGGACGTCTATTCAAAGCTCAAACTGATAGCTACACATGACACGCTGATGAAGAACCACTTCAGTACATATATGACAGTTACGCACATGTTTGCTCTTGAGCAACAATTCTAAGGTTTGCATCTGCCAGTGCTGTCACATTACATCATATCATTAGGTCGTTGAACGTCTCAGTAGCCTGTCAGTTTTGCGCCCGGTTATCACACTTTCTGACTGCTTATTATCGTGTTACAGTCGTGGATAGTTGCTTCATAACTCGTTTCCATGTAATTTCTTCTATTTTAATTATTTTGAAGTGTTGTTTGTATGGAAGGTCACGTGTGATCTAGCCGGAATCAGATTAATTTTTAGAATCATTTTTGATAAATTGGAAAAAGATGAGAAAGCTACACAAACACAAAAGTAATTTCCTATAATGAAGGTGACGAACCCCTTACAAAGTGTATTTCTACAACTCTCCATGGAAAGGACTTATTCTGTGCGAGCAACCAAAAAAGCTCTGTATGACGTCCTGACTATTAGTATTACAAGGTGTGGTAGGCAGTAGAAGCAGCACACAAGGGCAACGGTTGGCAAGCATCCTGAATCAATGATTTGCTCAAGTATTCCAGATATAGCGGCGGTGGACAGCAATGGCAAGGTTGAATGTGCTGCACGACACACACACACACGCAAGCGTGTGCATGCATGGGCTGGTGTCGTTCAAAGCAGAACAACTGTGCGGAAGTGGCGCACACATGGATGGCGAGCGCTCGTGTGGACCTCGGGCATTAGCTTCGATTGTGACGATTCCCATAACCACGGCGGTGGTCTACACAGCAGCAGAGATTGAACAGCAGCAACAGTAAACCTTATTGGAAAGGTTCAGTCATACGGTCAGGAAAACTCACACAAAGCGAGCGCTTGACTGCCGTAACATACGGTGGCATACAAGTACCTGTTTCGTTTGGAGTTTTCACAACTGTCATACTTTGAAGTACTAGGGAGGTTTAGTTCCCACGTAACGGAAACGCGTACGTGGGTGATACACGTAAAGTGGATGAAGGGCACCCACGTTGCAATGTTGTGTTTAGTCACACGGAACAAACAAAAGCATGAAGCGAAAGGCCCAAACCTGGTCAAAGACGAAGCTACCCGGGCCTAAGAAGCTCATCGAATATTTTGATTTCGTGCTTCGGAAACTTCTTCAGCTGAGCACCCTCACAGCTCGCACAATGTGCTCCATTCTGATTTGCCAGAACGTGGGTGAGCCTCCATACACGGTATGTCGTGAATCAGAAAACGTCTGTACGTGGGTCACTGAGTATCACGTGGTACACACACGTAAAGTACCACCCAGGGATTACGTGGGTCACTGAGTATCACGTGGTACACACACGTAAAGTACCCACGGATTACGTGGGTCACTGAGTATCACGTGGTACACACACGTAAAGTACCACCCAGGGATTACGTGGGACTAAACCTCCCTACTGTAAACACAACTACTTTTAGGCCTCGAAGTGTCAAGCCAAAACTAGTTGAAAATAAATATGCCGCGAAAATTTGTTGATTTAGGGGCCATCCGTAATTATCGATCTTTTTCACGAAACGAAAAAGTTTCGTTTATGGGTGGGTGGGTAGCGACCGGTTTCGTTTTGAAAAAACATCGAAAGCGGAAAATCAACGATCACTGCATGCATTGATGCGTGCATACATTGTGTACATCGAAGTAGATCGACAGTATTACTATTAGTATTAGACTCTACATCGCGCGGCCAAGCAAGTGCTGCATGGATGCACTGATACCACTCTGTACTCCGTGCAGTGAGTTCCTTTCGTCCTCGAATGACTTCTCCGACGAGGACCTAGCAGTCATCATGGTCATTCACTCTGGGACGACGACAGATAGATAAATACTTCGTTCCAGCCGCCGATGCAAGAGAATTTCAAATTACGGAGCGGGGCGCCCGCCAAGTAAATTCTCACGCAAATATGGGGAGCGCCAGCCGCTGAAGACGATGTCGTCGTAATGTACCTGGAAGAATCTGATCGTGCTTATGGTGGGAAGCCATGGAGAGTGATCCCCGTGTCGACAGTCTTCCAGAGACGGAAATTTAGGCCATCGACTTTCTACGTACCTGATTGACGGCAGCGCAGCGCGACTTGCGTGCGACCTTACGGAGCTTTCCGGCAGCGATTCTGGGCCGATGCTGCTCTCATTTGCGAGCAAGGCACGACCACTGAAGTCTGTGATAGCTATGGCGTTTGTTTCCGCTCCGAAGTCGACTTGTTTTGGCAGCATCATGTCAATGTGGGAACTCTGACGATTTGCAAGTGTACAATTCCCGTGTTTAGACGTAGAGGTGCCAATTATTTAGCAGCGTATGTGTGTGGTAGGTGAAAATAAATGTTTCCATGGTCAAGAAGTAGTACTTCCAAGAAAGCATAACTTACTTGCACAATCACACGAAATGTGGCCTCGCTGTGTTGTAACAGCCAATCAAGATCATTTTCTGCACAAAGTCTCAAGTCAATTAATTTTTTCGTTTCAGGGGGGGGGGGGGGGGTGGGTGGGGGTGGGTCATAACTAAACTTTTTCGTTTCGTGAAAAAGATCGATAATTACGGATGGCCCCTTACAGCACGTTCATTTCACACAAATAATGAAAATCAGGAGGTCCCCTCTTCTTTGAAGAATGCTTTTTTTTAATTTCACAGTTCGCATCGGACTCAGCTAGAGGCAGAGTTTTCCGCATCCGTAGGAACGCCACCACCCTGCAAGAATCAAGGCGCAGATGCAGCTCCAAAAGCAATGGGAGGTGAGTAGATCAGCACTGCTTACCAGTATTTTTTTAAAGAAAAGAAAAAAAGCGTCTGTATCTACTATCTACAGTTGCGCCCACTGAAATCCGACCCAAAGTGCAAAGCTGATGCCCTGGACCAGTTCCGATTACATCATTGTATGCGTACATGTGTACGTCCCTGCATTCATTCTACTTCCAGGGCGTCAAGGGCCGTGGAAGCTGAGGGCGCCAGCTTTGCACGTTGAGTCGGATTTCAGTGAGCGCAACTGTAGCCCCACCCGGTTGTGTTACTCACCGTCTTTCCAGTCGTCTTTGGCACGCTGCCGACGAAGCTTCTCCTCGTCATCGTGATCGTCACCGCTGTCATGCTCCGGTGCCTCCGCTGGGTCCTCTTCCAGGCCACGTTTGATACGATCCGCCTGGATACGCTCCACCTCTTTCTTATCACTGTAACATACATGCACATACATACACATGCACGCACGCACGCACATGCACACACACACACACACACACACACACACACACACACACACACACACACACACACACACACACACACCCCACACATGCACGCACATGGGGACATGCACGCACACACACGCACACTCACACACATATACACAGAGCAGAGCAATAAATGTTAGGCCAGTGGCTCCATTGCTACAGAAACTCAGCAACAAGTGCATGCACAATTTACAGGACAGGACCGGAAGTTACCTCTTTTCTGACTACTTCACAACACCCAACAGTCACCGGTACTTAGTAGAGTTAGTTAGCACTGACTACTTCGCAAAAAAAGGAAATCATTCACTTTTCCTCCACCTCAAAATACACACACACACACACACACACACACACACACACACACACACACACACACACACACACACACACACCTTAGAATATGAAAGGGCATAACATATTTTCTGGAGTCTAAATGTAAGTCAAAGACTTAGACCCCCGCCCTTCTGGTCAAAAATTCGTATTTTTGTTGACATTTGGTGTATAAGCCACAGTGCACGTGCATAGTACTACTAGTGCAGAGGGATGTCGCACGCGTCGTGATAAGTGGTATTGTGCCGTTAACACACCGGAAATATGGTAATTCCTTACTCATATTCTCTGACGATAGGCTCACACTCCTTCTGATAGAACTCCTCCATGGTCATAGTGGGGAGACTGGGGTAACCGGCTCCAAAAACACCAGCCTGAAGAGAACAATACCATGCACACATGCAGGCACACACACACGCACGCACACACACACACATACACGCGCGCGCGCGCGCGCACACACATACATACACACGCCCAGAAAAAATGAAAAATCTTCTACTTGCATATGCCTACACAAAGTGAACAGGGAGAGGATGGGAGCGCCACTCAGTCCTGCTCTCCGATGAGTTGAGATGACCCCTGCTGCCTTTTACCGCTGTAAATAATACATGCAACTAGTATGCAGCACTGCCATCCGTGAACACAGCGCGTTGCATTGTGTGTACTGTGCAGTGCTGTAACGATGGCAAACGGTAAACAGTGCGTGCTGCCGCACCGCAGGAACACGTACCACATGTACTACCAACACACTTAGCGTGTCCTTGCAAACGAATCAACACAGACAGCACGTGTAGGCCAGTTGCAAGAGTAGGAGCTGAAGCAGCTATCAATTACAATGCACAAACCTTGATCTTGTCTCGCGTGATGACGACCGGCTTGAATGGCTGCAAAAGAAGATGAAAAAGGTATATAAAGGCATGGAAACAGCATGCAACACAATCATAATATTAATACCTCGCACTGCACCCACGCAACACATATTAGATCTCGCACTGTACCCACGCAACACATATTAGATCTCAAACTGTACCCACGCAACACATATTAGATCTCAAACTGTACCCACGCAACACATATTAGATCTCGCACTGTACCCACGCAACACATGTTAGATCTCGAACTGTACCCACGCAACACATTTTAGATCTTGCACTGTACCCACGCAACACATATAAGATCTCAAACTGTACCCACGCAACACATGTTAGATCTCAAACTGCACCCACGCAACACATATTAGATCTCGAACTGTACCCACGCAACACATGTTAGATCTCGCACTGTACCCACGCAACACATATTAGATCTCAAACTGTACCCACGCAACACATATTAGATCTCGAACTGTACCCACGCAACACATGTTAGATCTCGAACTGTACCCACGCAACACATGTTAGATCTCGAACTGCACGGTCACTACCCACCCCGGGCAGTGGCGCGGATGGGAAGGACACCGGCAAGGAAGAATAATAATGTGGAGGTGGTGGCAGGACTATAATTATCAGCAATCGCCTAAAAATGGGCCAAAATACAGCTAGCTGCACATAGTAAAACCAAACTGCAGTCTCTCGGGTATTCAGAATAGAATTCGAATTAGGGCCATGAGAAGAGGTCACATGACCCCATCCATATACACACACAAATCCATGCACATAGTGTAGAGCTACCGCTCACAAGAACTAATGCAGTGACGTGTGAGCTGCAAACAGAAGTTCTAGGGTGCAGATGGGAAGAAATTCAAGAAAACAATGCTTGGTCTCGACAGCTGTTTGTGTGTAATACCGGTACTACAATTTTATATACATGTAATTATCTCATTCACCGCACAATGGGACCAGCCAATATAAGGAAGGGGATGTTAGCCAGCTATGGAAACAAAAAAAGGTGTAACAATACCAAGTTGATGCAGTTGACACTTTACATACCCGGCGTTCAGCTGGTGGTGCAGATTTTGCAGCAGCAGCTGCTGCTGCTGCACCATTGCCACCCTGCTGTTGCATCATCTTTTCACGATGAGCCAGAATTTCAAGTTCCTCTGTAGTACACAGCACAGGATATGCGAAGACATAAGCAGAGAGTGAGTCAAAACAAGTGAGTGAGGGAGAGTGAGAGTGAGAAAGAGAGAGAGAGAGAGAGAGAGAGAGAGAGAGAGAGAGAGAGAGAGAGAGAGAGAGAGAGAGAGAGAGAGAGAGAGAGAGAGAGAGAGAGAGAGAAAGAGAGAGTCAGAGTCAGAGTGAGCGAGTGAGAGAAACAAAGAGTCAAAGTCTCTCTATCACTTATGATTACAGCCTCTGTGTAAGTGCAAATTGATCTAATGCCATCAGCACATCCACATACCGTAAAGTCGTGGATAAAAGCCGGGTTTGCATACAAGCACATCGCGGATAGAAGCCTGAAAATCAAACGGGTCAAATGCATATAAGCCTGTCGCGCGTAGAAGCCTGGCTTCTATGCAAGCGCGGACCGGGTAGGTCAAGAGTGCATGCGCTATATACAGTGCATAGTAAAACTGCCGCCATACTGGTAGTCAGTTGTAGATCTACGCGTGTCGCGCGTATAAGCCTGGCTTCTATGCAAGCCCGGATCGGCCGATGTGCATACAAGCCTGGCAAAAATATCAGTGGTGCATATAAGCATGGTTTGCATACAAGCCTGGTTTGCATTGAAGCCTGATGCAGAAAGCGGCTTATGTGCTTATAAGCCCGGCTTTTATCCGCGACGTTACGGTAATTCTGTTTTCGGACAGAGCATTAGCCCACAGCTAACTTGCATACTTGGTCAGACTTACGATCAACTGTCCGAAGGTCAACATTGACTCTGTTTATCCAGTAGCGCATGAGGGTTTTGCTGTAGTCACGCTGAACCCAACAACCACGCGCACACATAACAGCTGAACAACATCAACACCGGAACTGTTCATCAGTAGCTCCTACTTGTACCAGCAACAGCAAAGCTGTATTTATCATAGAGGAGGCTCATCCCAACACACAGTGACACAGTGGCACACGACTAACATATTTTAAAAGAATACACTCCCATCCCCCTTACAGCTGAACTTACTGCCCATCCTGATCATCAAAAGGTACTGTGCACTCTAGTACAACAGCAATTTCTTGGCCAATTGTTTATGTAACACTAGTTTGAAGTAGTGAAGTTCCTAGAAAGGTTTATACTTAAACTTCATACTGTACAAGCCGAACATTTCTAGCCATGGAATTATTTCAAACTCCAAAAGAAAGGCAGTACATCCGGTTGAAACGCTTGTCCACAGTTCATGACACACATTCAAAGGCTAGACGAATCAGCCCTACTCAAGCATATTAAAATTAGCCCTACATGTAATTATGGAACGAAAACGACGAAAACGAACTCCTAGTGTGGGGTTTTCTCCTTATAATACAAAGTACTTCAGTACATAATAATGATGTTCAGGAGAAGCGGAGTGCAAGCATGGGAGTAGCAAGCATGGGAGTAGCAAGCAAGCTGGACCCTAGTTAGTACAAGTTAGTAGTTACCTCTAGCTCATCATCCACAGAGTCACCGTCCTCACTGATGCGCTTGGCGAGTTCCTGGACGCGCTCCTGCAGTAGCTTCTTTTGCCGATGCTGCTCGAGGACTGCACGTCGCTGTGCGGCCATTGCCTCCATGCGCGCTGCTGCCGTAGATGAGTTTGAAGACGGCTGGCCAGACGATGCAACAGCTGACAGCTCCATGCTACCATCCCTGTCCAGGCTCTGAAATCATGCGAAGCGAAAGTGCATGCACAACTGAGATCAGGAATCAGTGCTGACCAAAAATGGAGGGGGGGGGGGTGAGTGGCAGATGTACATGCAGAGTCAAGAACAAATACGGTATTTTCTACCAGGGCATAAGCCATATTTCATTTCTAGCAAGTAGGCCTGAACTGAACCCCGAGCTCAAACCTAAACATGTACACAAATTACAAACACAAACTGGAATGTGACATTTGGCAAGCACAGAGGGTGGGGGTGACCAGCATACACCCGTGCAGGTAATACCCCAGACAACAGTCACAATACAGCAGCAGAAGGATAACAAGGAGTACATTGTACACGGAGAGCGTGGAAGCCAATACAGTGTTGGAAAGGGGTCGCTGTGTGAAAGGAAAGCACAAGCTCTGAAGCGGTGAATTAGTGAAGGCACGTGTAGGTCATGTAAGAAAACAATTCTGGAACATACAATGTGTCCTGTTTATCTTAAAAATATCCACATATTCAGTCACTGCCAACCACACGTAGACATACTTCAGTTGTGATACCGTAATCCTTGCATCGTGTGAGAAAGTCCTGTGCATATACCTGAACACACACAGACGTACACACGCACACACACACATGCACACACACCATGCAAACACACACACACACACACACACACACACACACACACACACACACACACACAAATACACACACACACACACACACAAATACACAGTGCACGTAAAGTACAAGTAAAAAGACAAACATGATCGTAGACAGAGTGGTAAGAGGAGGGACTGGGTGGCTTGTGCAAGTACAGCGACACTGTGCCTAATCACTGCTGACCACATAGATACATGATGCAATACAATGATTGTATTACGTCATGTATCTATGAGTAGCCTGCATCCTCTGCTCGTGCGCATGAATGTGCACGCGTGAATGTGCAAGCGTGTGTGTGTGTGTGTGTGTGTGTGTGTGTGTGTGTGTGTGTGTGCACGTGCATTCACGCGTGTGCCTATTACTCTGCTTACTTTGGCAGTTCTGACGTTCTCCAAGCGCTTGTCGATTCCAGAAACCTTTAACGTAGCATCCATCAGATACGCTGGACACATCAGATACCTTCAAGTTCAAGCAAACACAAAAGCAACAGGACCAGCAATAGCAGCGAACAAAACAGTATTATATACAAAGTGCAATTCTTACAAACAAAACAGCACATGAACCTATCGGGCGCATAACGATGAGGTACATACAAACTGTGTGCCATAGCGTACAGACTGTGCACAAACTATGTACAAATTATGTACAAGCTGGCACACTGTGCTCCCTCTGAGGCAGGAAGGCTATGATATATCGGTGGTCCAGTTCTGCAACCAGTTGGCGATTCGGCATGGCCAGGAGCCGAATGCCCTCCTATCGCATTGCGATGTCTGTGGAGTTGATTTCTCCTTGCAACATGGCCCCGACTGCATGAAGGGTGGGCTGATCAAGCACGGGCACAGCGATGTCTGCGACTTCGATGCCCGGCTGGCAGATGTTGCCTGGGGCGGTGTGGCTGTCGAGCCAGTGATGGTGCCAGTGCAGGGTGGAAACAACCGTCCCACACTGCAGGCAGATTGGCTGGTGTGTGGAGTCTGGCAGGCAGAACAGGTGGCATATTTCGACAACCACACCATAGATGCTGTCGCACCCAGCTACGTCTGCTCCACTCTATCATGGAACGCCGTGTCCAACAGTGCTGCCTCTTCTAATAAGAGAAAGTACAGAGCGGCCGCAGAGGAGCTGAGAGCCTGCTTGAGTCATAATTATGTTGGTCACTGAATGGTCAGCCATGGGTACCACCAGGTATACTGTACTAACACCGTACATGTACAGTGCTGGCCACCGAAAAATCCAACCTCATGAATAAAGTAGCGCCGTACTCGAGTGCACAGACCAGTGTGTGTAGTGCTAGGGCTGCGTAGCGCCCGGCGCTATTTTATTCATGAGGTTGGATTTCTTTGGCCAGTACTGTACATGAATGGACTCGGATGGAGAGCCAAAGATTATTTATAAGAAAGAAAAAGGACCAAGGAACTACAAGCTACGCTATAATGTCCACTAACACCACGAGTTACTAAACAATCAGCTCATGCGATAACATTGCACGACACTGACCGACGATACGGACGTTCCACAACTAACTGGTTAACAGCTCTAGAACATCTTGGATACGCACTCCAACAGCCTTCCAACTTGGAAGGTTCTAAGTTATAGAAATAACATAAGTTAGCCAGTTAGTTGTATGGAACGTCAGTATCGCCGGTCAGTGTCGTGCAATGTTGTCGCATGAGCTGATTGTTTAGTAACTCGTGGTGTTAGTGGACATTATAGCGTAGCTTGTAGTTCCTTGGTCCTTTTTCTTTCTTATAAAGTACTGTACATGCATGTACTAAAGCCACACAAGCACTCACACAAGCACTCACACAATGGCGGGCGACCTTGTTCTGTTGTTACACTCCAGTAAGGCCAATCATCAGAAGACAACATAGTGAATGCTGATTAGGGTGCTTAGAAATACAAGGGAGAGGTTTGCTAGAAACTGTTATGGTGATAGTCATAATCACGCCAATCCCCCCTTCCACCCCACCCTAATCAGCATCCAATATTGTCTGATGATTGGCCCTATTGCCATGAAATTCCCAACGGAACAAAGTTTCCAGCCAATTAGAACTTGTGTGGCAGGTTTCTCTCCGTAGGTTGAGCAACTTTGCAAGACAACAGCGACTCTGCTTTATACATACTTAAGACGTAGTTTTCTACCGATTGCGGCCGAGAAGACGACACCAATGACACATTCTCTGGTGGGCACTAATACCGGCGAGGTCAGGATGTATACCAAGGCTGAAGCTGAACTAATGAACTTGTTTTCGTTTCTACCAAATAATCAACCATCACACATGGCCTTACTTTAGTCAGTGTGTGTAGTGGTTCAAAGTTATCAGTGTTGGATAAGTTGTTTTTTTTTACTCTGCCTTTTCGCACTTACTTCATGCTTGGTGTGGACACGTCTTCCAATTGTTCGTTCCTGCTGAATAATCCCAACGAGTTGACCAAACGCGTTGCTCGCTCAAAACCATCAATGATGTTCTGGACATTTTGCTGAGAGCAGATGCACACTAAAATAAGGCTGACTGTTCTCAATCAAAATAATAATTTGCAGCAATTTCGAGCTCACCTGGTATTTTTCTTCGGCTGAGGAACCCTGGTACTCCTCGAGCTCGGTGTGAAGCCTGCATGCAGTATTGAATACTACTGGCAGGGAAATGGAATCGTCGATTTTCTCCGCCATACCTCCTCTAATCGAAGAGCACTTGCACGGACGTTTTTACTTTCAGGTCTTGTAATTTTGTATTGTGTTCTGTTTTCGATGCTTCATTTCAAAGATTTGGGTGGGGAACTGGGATGCCGCGGGAGTGGAGAATTGATGACGTCACCATCTGCGACGTCATTTCCTTGGGGTGAAAAGAGAGAGAAAAAGAGACGAACTGCTTTTTATGTTGAGTTTGCTTCAGGAAAATGTTCCACTGGCACTGTTGCACTACACATACGTACACTCACATGAGTCCCAATCACTCTCCACTTTCAGTGTTGAAGAAGAATATTCTTTGTCTGTTACGAGGTCATGCAAAGATTGGATCATTTCTTCTGACGGTGTATGGATCCTGTCACGACGGACGCCTTCTGATTGCATCTCCTTCGTTGTGCGATCGAGCTGTTAGCAGTGCAGTGGCTGGCGAGTGGCTTGCTGAGAGCAGCAATTGCAGGAATGTTTCAACAGGAACGGTCTATAGCCTGATCGAGTCACCTTGCTGCATTTGCCAAGTTGGCGCAGAGCTGTAGCATGGGCTATTTGATGTCAAGGTTGCTCGGCCTCTTTGGCACCACGGAACGCAAAGTGATCATTGTTGGCTTGGACAATGCTGGCAAAACAACCATTCTGTATCAGTTTGTCATGAACGAGGTTGTGCACACATCACCTACGATTGGAAGTAATGTCGAGGAGATCAAGTGGAAAAACATGCATTTTGTGATGTGGGACATAGGTGGGCAGGAGTCACTGCGCTCCACATGGGCAACGTATTACGCCAACACAGAGTGTTTAATATTGGTCGTGGACAGTACGGATCGCGAGCGTCTGTCTGTGTGTAAAGATGAGCTGTTCTCCATGCTACATCAGGAGGATCTGTCCAAAGCACTGCTGCTGGTCTTTGCCAACAAGCAGGACGTGAAAGGCTCCATGTCCGCTGCAGAGATTTCGCAGCAGCTCAACTTGACCTCGATCAAGGACCACAGTTGGCACATACAGGCGTGCTGTGCACTTAGCGGTGAGGGACTTTATCAGGGACTGGAATGGGTTATGCAGCAGCTCAAGAATAGGTGACGAACGCGGCCCATTTAGTGCTGTCACCTTACTATCGATCTTTTGACCTTGATCTTGTTGATATCCGTTACCTTTTTGTGAGCTGCTAGGCACCCTGGCTCAGTGCCTGCTTGCGTATACGTACCTTCTGTTTAGAAAAAGAATCTTCTTTGTATTAGTGCTGCATAAAACTTTCTTTGATAAAATTAATAGTTCTCTGCGTTCTTGATGTGTACAAAGTTTTTATTAATCTGTACAGATCTTATCGAATGTCTTTGTCTTTTTTTGCTCCTTGCAACCTCACTGCCGGAGCATCATGTGCAAGGTATGCTTCGTTGTTTCTATGATTTTGAACATAATGTACATGAGGTGTGAATTTGATGCGCATGCGATCGCTTCTGTTTTTTTTTAGTTCTAGGTTGATCTTTTTTCTTTGTCTACTTTTACAGCCAGAATATAGGCTGCTGCGCGTGCCGTTCTGCATACCGCTGCCATGATACCGGGCTGTGTCATGGATGGCCCTGCTGTGTATTTTCAGATTAGTTGCTTGAATCGAATCCCATTGACTCTCCCTTTCCTTTATGCAGGCTATTTGCTGGGCAAAGTAGCGGGCCGGATCTTCTGCGTTTTGCATTGTTTGTGGAAACTGACATCTCACTCTTTTGCTACTGCTGTATATGAACATGTTCTTGGTGTGTTTTCTATTTACTGTGTGTTTACTGAACTGCAGTTAATGTCACTCTGAGTCTTTCTGTGTGTGTGTGTGTGTGTGTTGCCATGTGGGCTCTTCTGTTCTTCCGTGTGGAATTGCTATCAGTCTTACTGGGTTTTCCCCTGTGTAACCGTTATCAATTGCTACCAAGAGTACATAAACCAGAGTATGCAGCTCCGGGAAAATCGTCCACAAAGTTTTTTTTTTTTTTTTTTGTTGCATCTTGCACTGGTTCACATGTTCATGTTACCGTATCACCAAGGTATGTTCTGTGTGCAGTCGCAGTGCTGCTTGTCGTACCAAAGGTGAAAAGTGCACACGATCTTCCCGGTATCACCTTTTATAGTGGTAATTGTGGTGATTTTGCACTGAAAACTACGCGTAACGGTATGACAAGTTCTCCATGATTATGCTGACCTAAACAGAGAATAGGCCTGTGTTCCCCTTCTATTGCTACGGTCATTTATGGATGTTGGCCTGGGTTGGGGGGTGGTAAGGGCCGATTTCCACTACGATACCGTGAGTGCCATGCCGTGAGTACCCATGGTGATTTGCTCACGCGGGGAGCAGTTTTTGGCGGGAGTGCGTTCCGTGACTGGTGCCGCGCCTTGCAAGCTTGGCCATTCGTGTGCCGAGGGTGGAAACGGAATGCCGTGGTATTCCGAGGGGCCGAATGCGTTGAGTACCGTTGACCCCCCCCCCCCCCCACGCCATGTCGCTTCCCAGCTGGGTTTTCGGCAGGGGCGGGAATTAGATCAAGGCTGTCAAGTGCAGTACGATGTACAACAACGTGGAGGATCAGACTCGATGTGCTGAATTGTGCACATTTTCAACCTGGATTGGCACATATTGATGCACATCAGTGCATGCGTCTGTTCAACATCGTATTTCGTTGTATATGCCGAAGTCGCTTCACAAGTAGAAAATCGACAGGGGGCGGATCAACAGTACTTTACGGTGGTAGGTATTTTACTACTCCCTGACAGGAAGTCAAACTATAATTACTGTATACGTACATGTAGTTCCTTGGTCTTTCTCTTTTGTATATTAAACTCGGATGGAGAGCCAAGAATTCAAATTCAAAAAGAGGACCAAAAGTTTACAAGTTATCAAGTACGAGTGTTGGACAAAACGGATAACTTGTAAACTTTTGGTCCTCTTTTTGAAGTATAATAATTATTATACCGTAAGTTTTTCTTTCTTTTGTATTTGTGGTACGAAGTTTTTTTCTAATTTCTTGGCTTTTCAATTGGTTGATTTTTGAGCTTTCTCCAGCCATCTCCCCGGCCCCCGCTATTTTCCCTCCAGACCGGAGTCAGAAATTGATAAAAATGGTGATCCGGCCTGCCGACGGAAATCACAGAATGCACAGAAAGACTGTGCGCACTGCGCAGGTGTAAATCAATCTCAGCTTCAAGCACATACCATGGGTACACGTGACCCAACCAGATCGTCGGCACGGCACTCACGGTACCGTAGTGGAAATCGGCCCTAATATGGCCTAAGCGCTGCATCCCGGTATTCAAACTCTGCACTACAATATTCAATAGTCAAGTGCTTCAGCCACGGCCTGTGTTTGCATGAGGGGATGCCGTCGTACCATACAAATTACAAAAAAGCTGCAAGAGAGCTTGATACAACAAATGCTGGCAAACCCGAAAGCCTTGCGCAGCTGCATGCCCTCACACGTAGCGTGCGCGTGTATTGGTTATAGTCCATCGCTATGTTTCATGAAAGCGACGGAACTGAAGCCACTACAAGAGTAACAAGGACAGGCGGAATGTCCAAACAGCACGACATGAACATCACCTGCGGTTCGGTACTCTTGGTTTGGTAGTCGGTATATTCGCAAACAAGGTATACATCAGGGGGGGTTGGTAGTTATTCAAAATAAGTAGATAAGAAACAATAGGCCCAGTGTTAAAAAAATACTGCACAAGTAAAAATCGACACAATACCGTGGAAAGAGGTTATCAGATAATATAGGAAGAGCAGCAAAAATTGGTTGATAAAAGGGTTAAAATCTGAAGAGTGTTAAAAAAATATCATAAACGAATGCACTGCTTTCTCAATCCAAAGACAAAGACAAAGTCATGGTCCATAATCATTGGGGATAGTTTTTTTTACAAGGACAGAGAACAGCAGACATGAAAAAATAACAGGGGAAAGGGACGCTATATACAGCGAGTAGGAACGTGAGAAACAACGTATACCAGGACCTAAACAAAAAAAAGAGATGCATGCGGACACGCATGTCCTGCCGGAGAATACCAGGGGAGGAGGAGGAGGAGGAGGAGGAAAGGGAAAACAAATGTACAATCAAAATATTTACATCAGCTAATGTACAGAACGGAGTCGATGCGAACAGGACACGCGCATGAGAAAGGTTGCAGCCAGCCACCTTCAAAACAAGGCAAGCAACAACAGCAACTTAGCGGCTCAGCAACAACCAGATGACTTTCCCCCACTCGAGTCCAATGCTACGGTGTTCCCATTCGGATCTGGGCAGCGGAGGTCAGATGGCAACAGACAGCATGATGAGTGAGCGCTAAGTTTGGCATAAGGCGTTTGTACTCTCGTATTTGAAGTGTCAATAATGCCATGGCTCATGGTGGGTATGAGCAATCAGATTTTGCCTAGCCGGGCCTAGGTATGGTAATCAGTGCATTGGTGTACTTGCTCCGATACTGGCTCAGGGGCCTTTGATAGTGCCATCAAAGTATGACATGTGTGCTTTGATTTTCCAATCAAGCCTGGCCAGCACACAAGCACGAGACCAAGTGTTGGTGCATGGCGGCAGAAATGCAAGCAAAGCGTTCCACGCTTTTCCAGCACTACTCTTGCTATACTGTATATACATGTACACACAGGAAAGCATGGGCTTGCACTGAAACCAGGGGTTGAAATGAACTTGGTTACACCCAACCAGGGGTTGAAATGAACTTGGTTACACCCAACCAAACCGTACTGCATGTACTTACTAAATGTGGCCTGCCCTCTTGCGGATACGCATGCAGAAGCCACCTCTTGAAAGAGCTCCTCTGCACACAAACACAGTTGAAAGCAGCAAGAAAATGAATACTGGCACAAACACAAACATGTACATCCACACACCTATAGATACCTGCCTTTCTCAGCAATGTCCACCAGATTCGGAAGAAACCAATGACAAATATAATGGAATGTGGGAGAAGGGGGATTGAGAGTACGAGAGAGAGAGAAAGAGAAGAGCAATGTTGCTCGATCATTGAGACTGTAATAACGCTAGAACAAGCCCAGCACACCCAAAGCACCTAAAACAAATAGTCTCAAAACAAGACCCGAATGTTAGGCCTCTACAGCGTAACTCACCCACATTATGGCCAGTCTTGGCGGAGGTCTCAAATAACCGAGCCCCAGACTCTGCAAACACAAACGAAGCGTATCGGAATGAGCAAAGAAAACAGAAAAACTCACAATCATTAGGGTGGAGTTGGGAGTTGGGTTAACCAACCAAGACAAAAGCTTGCCTGCTCTGGTTGAAATGCTCAGCATACTCATATAATTCAATATGGAGGCTATTTGAGCCGTCAGATGCGAAAACCGACCTTATGGGAAAAAAATTCATATTAACCCTTTATTACCGGATTACTTGCACAGCATGCACCAGAATTACGAATTTCAGCACAATTTCCAACTTCACCAGGTCATAACTTTGGTCTCCTTCACTTGATTTTCACAATCTAGGGCTCGTTGGAAAGCTCTTGGCGAGAGCAACGCCAGGGTACCAAGCTCCATTATCCAGTCGCCACAAATCAGGCGCGGTAACACAGCAAAATCGTCTCCAAGCCTGATATGCAAGCAAATTCGTCCCATCAACGCCATTCCACTCTCCTTCATCGTAGAACGCTCAAATTTGTTTGAGGCGATTCAAACTTCAGCCGACTACGTCATTATTATGTGCTTAGTCGCTCAAAGAGCACACGAAAAGGGATTTTCCCCAATAATGGCGAAGTGATCGATCAATTTTTTTAATTTGCCGAGGTGAAAATACGGCGCGCGATATCTCTGGCGTCCGACATCGTAACTCTTCGGCGATTGTTGCATTGGATAGCTTGGAGTTTCCGCTACCAAATAGACCTTTCGATTGCTGAATTTGCACAAGAAATGATGGAGTTACGAAGATATTACTGGCCTGCAGACTTTCGATCATATATGATCGAAAGTCTGCAGGCCGGTAATAAAGGGTTAATTTGTGTTAGTGGTACTATCTGAAAGCCAGGAGCATCAGGAGTCGTATGCAAAAAACTAGAGTTGATTTGGACCAAGGGAAGTAAAGTTATAGCCTCTTCAATAGGAGACCGTTACAAATTGCATCTCAATTTTGAGTGCAATACCAACAATTGTTTCACCTACTTTGGATAATATTTCCTGTTTCCTTTGACCGATTTCCACAAACTTGGGCTTTCTGGAGAGCTCTGGCGACGAGCAACCCGTTGGGCCCAAATCCGATAGCAAATAAAGCACAGCACCAGCGCAACAAGCTGCAGACATCGCTTCAGCGCTGGACTTGCTCCGTCACACCAAAATCGCTCGCCATTTCCATCTCCATTACCCCAGGACACCCAATTTTTTCCTGAAGATGCACTGAGAGCTTCCAAGACGTCTGAGCCTGTTGCCGAGATCGTAGGTCGCTTCAAAAGGGGGAAACCCCTGGTCTGGATCGTTTGATTTGTACGTAGAAATGCAAAGTGCCGTGACGTATCTTGCAGGCTTCGTAGCTGGGGAACGCAGTATCGTGCCGCGATCGCGCTTGCTGCATTGGATTCCTTGGAGTTTTCTCTTCGATTTACATACTTGGATTGTCCCGAAAGACCGATATTTGACTGAAATACGAAGGTTTGTAGCTTGGTTGTCCAGGCCCACCAGTGCGTAAACTCGCCAACTTTCCAGTGCATTTTTCTGCACTGTGCAGTGTTTCCTATAAGGTCGGTTTTCGCATCTGACGGCTCATTTACTCTAAATAAGATAGAAAGAAGCAAAAGATATTGCAACAGTACAGAAGAACATGCATAGAGAATACTTTGAAGTAGTAGACGCACCATCAGCGAAGTCCTGTAGGTCGGCACCGTCTACTTTGCGAGCCTTCTTGTCCTGTATGACGACATCCTGCTTTGTGCCTGCTATGAATAACTTGCACTCCTGAAGCAAATAAGTACAGTGTACAATGCATGCACAGTGCGTGACACACACACACACACACACACACACACACACACACACACACACACACACACACGCCCGCAGAGCCAGAAGCATACAAGAACCACGAGAGACTGAGTGGCATCCAGTACACGGTGCCAATGACTTGAGCAGGGCAATGGGAACATTAGCAGTACACAAATCTGTTTACCCAAATATGTATATCATGTCCTGTACTGCTGCTAGGAAACATTAGTCAACGCTGCTCAGGCCCAGTTTAAGTACGGACAACCCCACTGACATGGATAGCCAGGTTTAAATGTACCTACTGAGTACTGTACCTCTTCGTTGGTCTTCAGCTCGTTGACCCAGAAGCGTGCACGCTTGAAGCTAGTCTCATCTGTCAGATCTATAGCAGAAGCAGATGTCACAAGCAAACGAGTGCACGACATGTACTATTCAAACTATATTGGTTTTCCACTTTTGTTTGCACCTTGTATTATGCTAGTGCAAGTCAGCGGGGATGCACAGACACGTTTTTTTTTACGAGAAATCACGAACCTCGAGAACAGAATACTGCATGATAGAGGTGGTTGCAGACGCAACTGTGTTGGTGAAACTGGAGCATCTCCGCCGACCTGAGGTCTCGGCTTCAGCGACACTTCAGTGTATGCGTACCAGGCTGCATGTAGCTATCACATCAACACTATGCGAAGGACAGCAGGGGCACTAGCAACCACAGGATATATGCGAAGGACAGCAGGGGCACTAGCAACCACAGGATATATGCGAGGCCAGAGGCGCACACTAGTACAGGCAACATGCACCACAGAATACCCCTAGACGTAAAACTGCACAGAACACCGCATACCAACGGCAAATCCACGATTGCTGGTGAGCCAGTTCTATCACAGCAGTGCAGGTACATGTCCACACCGACACAATCTAGCAAGTAGTAGCCATGCCTCACCGATGCATAATACAGCTGCCTTGGCACCGCGGTAATAGATGCGACTCATGGCTTCATAGCGCTCCGACCCAGCCGTGTCCTAAGACAAGACAGCAAGCCTTTAAGTCAGGAAATAAGCTTGTCGAGGGGCAGCAGCAGATTGAAAATGATGGGCTTTGATGCAAGCGACTATCAGCACATGCATATGCGTCTCTACCGTGAATGCAGGTGTAAAGATCTGTTATCATCACAACATACTTCAACCAATAGATAAGCGTAATTGTAGGACTAGGGTACCTCAACTCAAGCACTCAAAATACGGTCTCTTTTCTTTGCTGCATACGTCATTTAAACTGTTCACCAAATTGCTGGGCATGGCCCGTCATCAGGGTGAAAACAGAAGATGGGCCATGCCCAGCCATGCGGGCCATGCCCAGCAATTTGGTGAACATTTCAACTTTCAAGTGACGTATGCAGCAAAGAGACCGCTTTTGAGTGTTTGAGTTGAGGTACTCTATAAATGTGTAAATGGCTGCAGTGGAGTCTGCGAGTGCTTGGAAAAGTACTACATGTACAGGGTTCTAGCCAAAGGGGTAGGGGGGGGGGGGGGGGGGGGGGCGCAGCGGCCCCCTACTCTGTTTGCGCGCCCCCCTGTGAAAAATTGCCGCCCCCCTACTCATTTTCCGATTTTCGTGTTTTTCATGCATAGATGGTTCATAAAGGCACATTTGTCTGGGGTGAAGTCAGGGATTCGCCCCATGTACGTTGCATTTGGCGTGGCAAGACAATATTGGACAGTGGAAAAATGGGATATAGGGTAACTGTTTCCCATGCCCACCCCCCTACTATTTTGACCTGGCTAGATACCTGATGTAGTACATTCCACTCTTTCTAGTCTTTACAACTACATGACTGATTGTATACTGTACTGTCCAGTGTTCAGCAACATTCAAACAAGCATGGCTCGAAAGGAAGCCCATTTTCGGTACAATCCTGACCTTAAAGTTGGGCATCCAGCACATGCCAGTACCGGCAAAACTATATTTTAAAAGCATGGTTTTTGTGTTGCCACTTCACACATGTTCAAATCACTGGTCACTGGTACCCCCCCCCCCCCCCCCCCCCACAGAGTGTGCAACGCCGATCCAGCTCTGCATAGGGTCTTGGTCGAGCGGAATCGGATCTTCTGATGTCATGCGTACACTCCACACCAGCGCAAGGCCGGTCTCGAGGCAGGGCACCGTTGTTTTTGATCCGAGAGTACCCACGACTCCCCGGGTTCCCCTCAGATGTGTACGGTATAATGACGCAAAGATCCGATTACGCTCGACCAAGACCCTATGCAGAGCTGGATCAGGCGTTGCACACTCTGGGGGGTTATGTACTCTTGATGGTAGACGTATGATTGGAACAGAGGTCAAGCCCTTAAATAGGCTCAACAGGTCAGGTATACACCTTATAAAGAACATCGTGGTGTGCAGTAAAGAGATCTGAGCGCATAGGTACTAGGTGGGCGTTAGATAAGGCGGGAGGGTACTCGTGTACGGTTGCATGTTGGGTATCCAACCCCCTGAGGCCGAGGACTGACTGGACTTGAGATAAGTTTGGCTATCGCCATAGTCTTGCCCTTCCTGATGTACTTTGCCACTGCCCAGGATGGAACACCATCAGCAACGTACTACAGCGGAGCCTTGAGAAGTACACTACACCGTAGTAAGTAGCGCACGAAATCTGCACTGTAACATACGCGCAGTTGCATTGGTATTCGGGAAACATGCGAATAGCGACGCACAGTTCGACATTTTCAGTGGACAGCGTCCAGCTCTTCTTGAGCCAGTGGCTCGCTTGATCGACACGTTCGGATGAGCAAAGTTCACACAGATGTGTGACTGTACCCTGTAATCATGCATACTAGCAAGAGTACTTAACCCCCCGAGTGTGCAACGCCTGATCTAGCTCTGCATACGGTCTTGGTCGAGCGTGGTCGGATCTTTGCGTCATAATACCGTACACATCTGAGGGGAACCCGGGGAGTAGCGGGTACTCTTGGATAAAAAAAAGTACCCTGCCTCGCGCTGGTGTGGAGTGTACGCATGACATCAGAAGATCCGCTTACGCTCGACCAAGACCCTATGCAGAGCTGGATCAGGCGTTGCACACTCTGGGGGGTATGTACTCTTGATACTACGGTACAACACCTTGCACTTGTAGCAAATCGATAGAACGGACTCAAGTAACTTTGTATGTGGTACTCCAGGATGCTGCATCGACTACTGCTCGACCAACATACCAACACTGTGCAGTCCCACCACCGAGTACACGTGGCACGGTGCAGCATTATACAGTAGAGTCTCGTGTCCAAGAACGTCGTTTCCAAGGAGTTAGCCAGGGGCGTTCTTATTTTTCAGCAATCTGGCTACGTTCTCCTAGCACGTTCCCAGAAACAATTCGTACTGGATCATATGTACGCATTGTTACATACATTATTACATACATGTGCATGCTATGGTATCACAAAGTCAGGCTAGATGTTCTTTGGCATGTGACTCTACTGCAGCCATTCAGTACATCCTGTAGTCTAGATGACTGGACTTGGCATTGGGTAGCAGGCGCGTGCCCCGTATGGTTCCTGGGTGCCTGGAACCCCCCCCCTTTTTTCGCTCAAAATGCAGGATTTTGCTTCATTTTTTGACCCCCCCCCCCCTTGAAGGGCACCGGCGCACGCGCCTGGGTAGTATCGCTGTGTACGTGTGTGCATGGTGTGCGTGTACAAATGGCATGCAATCCATACGTGAACGTTCAACTTCTCCACTCCCCCACCTGTCAAAATAATTGATTACTTTATGGAAGACATGATGTTACATTATAATCATGACATGTAGTTGCCCAAAGATTGAGGGTTTCTTAGGGGTTTGGCTGCTAGTGAATACTGTACCGACGCTCCACACATGTAAGTGTACGTTGTACGCGTTAGATGACAAAATGCAATCACGTCATCCATAACAAATCACATTTCAAGAAGCATCATACCCAAATGCCAAGCGTGATAGTTTCACCATTGACAGTCACCTTCTTGGCACCGAACGCAGCACCGATCGTCTGCAAGGAAAGGCAGGGAATCATCAATACTCAGCTAGCGCTACGTTCATAAGAAAGCTCAACCGGCCACCTTCACTCTGATTGAGCAGGAAACAGGACTTACATTTTGGTACGGCGCACCGCCAGCGAAGCGCTCGTGAAGGAATCGCTCCACAAGACTGGTTTTTCCACCAAACTCCTTCCCTAGGAGAACTACTTTCATATCCACTTTCGCCGCCATCGCGATCGGGGTGGAAGCAACTGGCCCACGGAATGACAAATAAATTAAAAATTGAAATCAACCCAGTCAATTTCAAGTCAGTTTTCTCAGCATGATGGAGCAGCCAGATTTCCAATATCCGCCTTCCCACGCCAGAGTAAAAGTAAGTTACCCTGTCGGCCAAAAGCTAGATACGTGCGTGGTGCACACCTACAGAAGAGCTAAGCAGGGACCAGCTTCCAGATAAGGCAAAGTTTCAATTTTGTTGCTTCTGTTTTATTGAAACTTTGAACACCATCAATTATTTTTCTCTTCACGGACTTCAGTTTTCAGACTTCACGTTCACGTAACGTTGTTCAGTTCGTAGATGCACGTTACTTCCGACGTGACGCGCAATTTCACGTCAAATTTGGCGTAAAACTATTTCGACGTGAAGCAGCAGGGGGGGGGGGGGGCGAATGCACCAACCTATTGGGAGCCGCCCCGCGCCCGGCCGTGGCCGCACAGCCTTGCACACATGGCGAACGCTACAACTAATTACTTTACAGGAACACAGGGATTGTAATTACACCAGGGCCAAGTCCATAGGCGCCACCAAGAGTATATAACCCCCCAGAGTGTGCAACTCCACTTGCACTATGGGTGCTGTCCCGACGCGACAGAATTTCAAGTTGACGTCATTTTGATGATGCAATGCGCGCTGTACACGGATTAATATCAGACGAATCCGGAACCTGTGGTTGACCGAAGCCGATCGATCCTGTACAAATTATTGCAAAGAAAAACGTGTGATGCGTTGACACCCGTACACATGTTGTAAATCATTGGTGCAAGGAGCATTGCGTCATAAATAATGACGTCAACTTGAAATTCTGTCGGGACAGCAGGGTATGTAGGAGTTGCACACTCTGGGGGGTTATGCACTCTTGGCGCCACACAACCAGCGTCCCAGTCCTTGTTCAGCTCTTTTTGACTCTGAGCAGAAATCTCAAGCCAAATGGTCCCAGGGTACACTGAAAGAATTGCAAAAAAGTGCCTACAACAAGTACAAGTCATGGCAACATAATATTATGCATCCAAAACGTAAGTATACTCTCCGCAGGAGTAAAGCGGGATTCACAGAAGCTTTTTTTTGCGATGCGACGCGATCTGCGACGGACGCGTGCGATGCGAACTCGCGAAATATCATTCACAGAAGAAGTCAGGGATGCGACAACGCCTTGCTGATTTGGCGCGAAGTTCAATGCAGGTGGGTATGTCACCATGGTATTCGCGCGGTTTGGTACAACTTGTACAAATCTATAGGCAACTCTTGAACCTTTGTACAACTTTGCTGTAGAAAAGGCCAACATCGTACGCCAAATCGCTTGTCGCATCGCAAAAGTGGAGCCAAGCTCAACTTCCGCGATGGCCCTGTTGCGGCAGTTGCGTGGGGGTCCGCGATGGTTGCGATTTGGGGATTTCCCGGTTTCGCGGCTGTCGCATCGCGTGTCGCATCGCAAAAAAAGCTTCTGTGAAGTAGACAATCATAGAGGTCTGGCAGGACTTTACGGCTGAATCAAGGCCGAGTGCGTACGGCCAAGGCGCGTAGCGCCTTGGCCTGCGCCCGGGGCCGTACGCACTCAGCCTTGATTAAGGCGAAAAGTCCTGCCAGACCTCTATGGCTGTGTTTACATGAAGCGTTTCAACCCGGGTCAGATTTCAACCCGCCATGTGCACAAAGTGAATGGCGCGTTTACATGACGCATTGCGCTTGACCCGGGTTGAAATTTCGCCCCGGGTTGATTTCAACCCTCCCCCCAAGGGGAGGGTTGAAATCAACCCGGGGTCAAGAAAATCGTACAAACGTACTTCTGTGCGTATCTCGCGCCAGGTTTGAACAGCACTGCAGATGCAAATTTCGCGCGAACGGATTCACGTGACCATACAGGACTGTAGAAGTGGACTTTTGGCGGCATATCAGTATTTGACCCGGGTCAACTGTCTTCATGTAAACGCTCACCTCTTTTGTTTGTCGCACAGACTTTCAACCCGGGCTGAACTCGACCCGGGTTGAAATTTCTCATGTAAACACAGCCTATGATGGTGTTTCAGGTTTTGTCTTTCGCCTTTCTGGTATAAAAGCAAGACACGTATAGGGGTGGTGATCGGGGACGTGGTGGATTCAGCTTGCGAGTTTCAGCTCCGTCCGCTTCTCATGGATGGGATGATCCTTGGTCCATGATCTTTCGCTTCCTCAAAATTATCAGAAAAGTTTGGCAACTCGTCAACAGCTTGTGAGTTTCAGCTCCTTCAGCTTGTGAGTTTCAGCTCCGTCCGCTTCTCATAGATGGGATGATACTTGGTCCATGATCTTTCGCTTCCTCAAAATTATCAGAAAAGTTCGGAAACTTGTCAACTACTTTTTTTTAGTACATGTAGAACAGAAAGTGGAAAACTGATCGCGATGTTAGCCACTTATTTCAGCTTGCTTCTTAGCAGATAGATAGGTGCATGCTCTTTCGCTTATTCACAACTATCGTAAAATTTCATCTCCACTCACGACAACAAGAACTTGAGTTTAAAACTGACCACAATGTATAGACACTTTTCACGTTGCCGTTTTCGGACAGGCTGTTTCCAGGTACCAGAGCATGTTCACAGTCGAATGTGAGATGCAAACTGAGCTGACAACAAAAAACTGCCACAGACCCCTGCAGAGCTAGGCTGACAGAGTACGGGGTGCCATTGACGACGGGCTTTATTGCTACCGTATTTTTCCGTATCCATTGACCACGGGCTTTATCGGCTCATCAAGGCCACCGCGGGAACGTCGCTCATTGGCTACAACCATAGAAACGGTACGGTAAAAACCTGAATCCCGCTTAACTCGCGCCATGCATGCATGGCGCCATCAGGGCGCCATTACGTTTACGTGTTATCAGCTGTTGCCATGGCCACAGCATGAAGCGTACTATGCACATGCGCCCAACGGAATCCAACATGGCGTACGCGTGCACATCCACATAAACTGACTCGTCGGCTCTACACAACACAGATCTGTGTGAGGAGAACCAAGAGTAAATTTTATTTACTCTTGGGAGAACTGGTGGTGGTCTCGAGAATGACGTTAACGATTCTGCGACTCGGCCTTTCACGGCCAGCGCCCATTATAGCTGTTCGCAAGTTTTGGAAGAGTGCAAATAAAGTCGCACTGGTCGTACTGGAGAGAGAGAGAGAGAGGAGCCTGCTGGAGAGAGAGAGAGAGAGAGGGAGGAGCCTGCTGGAGAGAGAGCCCTCATGGAGAGCATTATCTCAGAGAAGGACGTTCGACTGGAAGAGAAGGTCAGAATCGAAGAGCTGACATGCGATGTCGCTCGTACTGTTGCTAAGTACTGCACCGTTGTGTATAAGCGCGTGGTGTTAGACCAGGGTCTACGGGTCGGGTACCCGAATCTGCCGACGCTCACGAAGAGGTACCAGAACTTTTTGAAGGAATACGTTCTTTCGGATGTGCGTCTCTCAGCAGGAGCTCTCGACATAATTTAGCCTGTGCTGGAGACACAGGGAATCGACCAGCGCGACGTGGAAAGGGAACTGCAATGTTTTCTGCACAATGCGAGCAAGGAGTTGCATTATCTCGGAATTAGCCGACCAAAAGGCTTGTATTGCGGCGGGCAGCCGGTGACACTGGCCGCAGTGGCCACATTGGTTGGCCTAATGCAGCGCCAGAACTGGCTGCTGGACAACGTTGACATTGTGGGGTCGAGTGGCGAAACCGTTCTCTTCGCAGCTGGCGGTGTTTTGAGGACTGTGTAACTGGTTGCCGGCTTGGGATGTGCCGGTGTTTTTCCTTGGTTGTGTGTACTTTCTTTCTTTTTGCATCTATTCAAACTACAGTACACAATCCACACTATATGCAGTATACACACAACAGCTGTGGCAACAAGCCTAATCACTAATGGATGGCAAACATCTTCTTCTATGTATGCTTTGCCACTGGTGTTGGTTCAGAATAATAATGATAATGAATGATGTGCCCGTGCCCGGCCAGTGCCACGTGTGGAACTCTTTCATGTTGTGTGTGCGTGTGTGTTGCTTGCTGTTGTTGCACTCAGCAGAAAAAAATGGCGGCGGGTGGTTGGCGTTAGAGTTTGGGGATGGGAAGGATAGATAGCAGGGAGTCGTCAAATACCGGGAGTGGAAACGCCGTTAATCTTGATTATCCATGCTCGCCTCGCGCAAATTTTTTGCAGCGCCTTGAGTACCTCAGCGTCGTCAAATGCAATTTAGAGTAGCCTTGAGTATTTTTTGGGAGAAAGTGTCCATCAGAACGTGTATACAGAGATATTTACAGTGGTCTGCTCGTTTACTAGTAAGAGGACACCTAATTTATCGGTAGGCGTTATCGCAGTGTTGCGATGTATGACTGGAGGCCCGATTCACGCGCGGATAGTGACGTGACTTTTTAAGTAATTTATCGAGGAAAATAGCTCCGCCTCAGTAATCAAAGCCACCAAGAGTGCATGCGTGTGTAACAAACCAAAACAAAGCTATTCAGTGATAGAAGTATTCACTCGATAAAGCTTGGTTTTACTCACCTCTCGCCCAAGTTCCTAAAACATCAGCCGTAAAATGGCTACCGACATCTCCCTGTCCGGTATGACCATGCACTGCCAACGAATCCACGACGAAGAGTGATAATACTACAAAAGGGAAGCGGAAATCTGACGAGAAGGTTTACCGTTTATGTATGGAGACGTCAAAACTGCTCCGCTTGCAGGAAGAAGCAAAATATATTTTGACATTTTGAAAATCCCGCGGAATTGGGATTGTGGCACAAAAAAGATTATTTGAAAAAACCGGCGTGCTCTGATCCAGCAGCGCGAGGCGAGCATGGATCACGCTCGTCGCTCGCGCATTTACTAGTACTAGTAGGGGTGCGTTTGGTTGGCACCAGGGAGTAGTACAATACCGGTATTGTACTACTCCCTGGTTGGCACGATCTGTAGTACAGGTCTGCTCTCGATATAACAACTCTCACTTGTACATAAACCTCGTTAGTACATAAAAAAGTCAAATCCCGCGCCGAAACAGCATCACTCCCATACAAATGTTGTTCTACACAACATAATTCTACATAACATAAACCTCGACATAACACACGCGCTACAGCGGTCCCCGACGTGCGCACTCTCGATACAACATAAATTCACGTGCACGGTATGATCAAGTGGTAGCTGTAGCTAGGCAGTTTAGGCCGGTTTAGTCCTACATAACGTAAACCTCGGCATAACGCACCCTACGGCGCAGTCCCCGACGTGTACACTCTCGATACAACGTAGATTCACGTGCGCGGCACAATCAAGCTGTAGCCGTAGCTAGCCAGTTTAGTCCTACATGTATGTGCATTATATTCTGCGGCATTGATGGTATCTGATGTCGATGGTGGTACAGTGTGTATATGTTTGCACGGTTGAACCCGCCTTGTAATACCCTTCATTTTGAGGTGCATCTTGTATTTTACACACGGTTTTCTACATAACATAACTCTCGATATAACATAATGTTTGCATGGTCCCAGAGATTACGTTATATGGAGAGTAGACCTGTATAGAGAAGGTTTTTTGTAGAACAGGATCGAACAGCTGGTGCACATGGAGCAGCCTCATGCCAACCAAACGGTACTCCAGAAACAGAGCACATTTTCGTGGAAAAATGTGTGAAACTTGAAAATGTGTATGGGTCACCATGGCATGGTCACTTTGTACGGTACAACGAGTCCAACCCAAAAGCGTATGCACGTGATCATTTGGGACTAAAATCGAGGTTCTCGCCAGGTTTCACTGTGAAAAAGTGAAACTGCTCGGTCTGCTCCGGCCTCGAGGCCGGAGCAAGCAGAACATGTTCTGGCCGACCCAGAACAGGTGCAGTCCCAACCAAACGCGCTGTTCTGGTGAATCCTGTTCTAGTTCGTACCAACCAAACGCGCCCTTGATCTCGTTTCCACTCCCGGTATTTAGGGACCTTTCGCATTTGCTACGAAACGAATGCGAAACGAAAGTTTGATTCGGCTCGTAATCGTTTCGTTGAAAACAGATTTCAGGTTTCGCAAGTCGTCATGCAAATGTGCATGGCAACAACGAATACGGCCGCCGGTAGCTTGGCGTACGGGTTTTTACACGCACACGTGCATGGATCATGGAATCAAGGGAAAAATGTGTACCTTGCAAAACATGTGTACCTATCCAAATAAATGTGTACCTGACGGATTCGGAGCATGCCACGAATGAAGAGGCTTCCATTCGTGAAAACGAGTTCTCCGCAGGGACTCTGACGAATCCTCAAACCCAGGTGACGAATGAGCATTCGTTTCGCATCCGTACGCGGGGTGCGAAAGGTCCCTTTTGACGACTCCCGGGGGATCGATCCCTGATAGATAGCAGTTATGATAGCATGGATAGGGGGGGGGGGGGGGGGGATGACTTGCGCACTGAGGCCTGCGGTGGTTCCTTGCGCACGCCCCTTGTTGCTACTTTTCTAAGGTTTGCCGCTTTTCGAGATATCACTGATGCAAATGGATTGGGAAATTGTGTTGTCCAGGGACTTGCCGAACAGAATAAATCTCAACTTTTTGTTTGAAAAAATAAACAAAGGAATGGTTAAAAAAGGAACAAATACAAAATCAAGTAAAAATATCATAGAATGATGATAGGTTATGATAGCTATGTTGCAACAAGTGCTGGCAGATGATAGACCTTGATGGTGGAGTCCCAACTACAGTCCGCTACTAGGCCAGGCTCATGCAGTGAGCAGTCCAGGCCGTAAACAAATTCTGTATGATGGTGCAGCTGCTGCAAGCACGACGAGTGGCCTATGCCCAGGGCACCACCGGACGCTGCAGTAGACGCGGCGCTGCTGGACCAGGCACGTACCGTGCAGTCGTACGACGCCGTCGCGTACCGATCGCCAGCGTGCGGCGAGCAGCACACACGCCGCACGGCCATCGCGTGCCCCTGCAGCACGAACACTGGCTGAGCCGGGTGCCGCGTGTCCCAGCCGCGCACAGAGCCGTCCACCGAGGCGGTCGCCAGCAAGTGAGGCGCATACTTATTCCAGTCAAAGCTCAGCGCCTCGGCCTGGTGGCATGGGAAGACGTTCTGTACGCCCGTTGCCGCTGACCGTACGTCACAGAGAGCTGCAGTCCCATCAGCTGCATCCACACACACACACACACACACACACACACACACACACACACACACACACACACACACACACACACACACACACACACACACACCATGTATACACCATGTACACACACCATGTACACACACCATGTACACACACACACACCATGTACACACACCATGTACACACACACACACACACACACACACACCATGTACACACACACACACACACACACACACACACCCCACACACACACACACAAATTCCACTAAACTACTCTACTTAGAATGTAAGTGTGTGGAGGAGAACCCTGACTAGACCTTCTCTAATTCCAGGACCTCCAACGCAGGGCAATGGCATGGATTCACTGCTCTACGCAAACACCGCTTCTTTCCTTGGAGCTCAACGGACCTTGCCAGCACGTGATCTACAGTTAATTAGTTACAGTTAATCTCGCTCAGACGGATACAATGGCTTACCTGCAACAGACGCAAAGAGACCAGGAGCATGCGGGCACCACTTGGCGCAGTAGATCGGTCCTGCGTGGCTTCGGAAGGTGCGCAGTGAGCCCTTGGCTGCCTCAACGTCCCACAGCTTGACAGAGCTGTCCCAGGAGGCGGAGAGAAGCTGCTGAGGGCCGCCGCGCGGGCAAGCCCAGCAGACATCGCTGACTTCCAGGCTATGCTCCTTCAACGTAAGGTGTGGAACCATGGCGACGTCGGGATTGGCAGCACCAACGGCCGTGTCCCATAGCTGTAAGAGAGCATAGAGCAGCATCACACAACCGACAAGAAAAGAACACAAGGAAAAACACTTGGATGTAGGAAAGCACAGTCTCGACGTTAGGAGCAATAGGTATGTACATAATCATCATGTATGATGCGATCAATACTCACAAAACAAATCAGAACGTTCTTGCCAGACAAAGGAACGAGTGCAGACTAAACAGACCGGGAAGCATGCTCTAAGTAGCCTATGGCATGAAACTCACACACAGTACAGATCAACAGAGCAATGGAGAGCTTGGAGAATCAACACTACCCTGTAGGAAGGAATGAGTGAGCCAACTGAAAGTGTACTTCGGCACACAGAAGTATACTTTCGTCCAGCAGAAATCATGGGGTGGGGGTAGTGGTGATGGTGTAATCAAATCATGTACCCAACCAATAAAAAACTGTACGGGGCCGTCTGGTACTATCGATAAGTTTCACGGAACGATGTTTCAGCTACTAGTATCAATGTTTTTCAAAATGAAACTCTCCTCGACCCACCTACCCATGAACGAAACTGTGTTCATTTCGTGGAATAGATCGATAATAATGCACGGCCTCAAACTGAGAAGAGTGAACCCCGTGTTTGCCAGACCCTGTACCAAGCAAAGCCCTGTGCGGAATCCTGTCACATCAGGACAGTTTCCGCTGCGCCAAGGGCGTCCGGTTAGGGCAGGCTTTACTGTATTTTCAGACTTTCGTCACAACACTTAGCAGTGTATCTTTCACACCTACTAGAGACTCGCCTCCCTTTCTAGCCTATCCCCATACCAAGTAAATAGGAAGCATCACACTGGAGCCGAGGGCGACAATGGACACACCGAAGCCATTTCAGACATTCCTCGCGCTCATCTTGCGCAAGTAGAGGATGTGCACCTCTCCGAAATGGACGTCCTACGGGTACATGCCGTACTTTGTGGTGCAACACTGCCCAAACAAGGTTATTTACTCCAAGTTTCAATTTCCGATCAACAAAACACCCGCACAGTGTTCCAGTTCTACACCCGAATTTCATTTTTTCTAGATTATCCCTCAAGGGCAAAGTATGTGTTGCGAAGTGTGAAGATAGACACAGACACCAACAAAACACCTTGAGTACTGGCCATGGTGTGAAAGTTCTCAACTGTGGTAGAAGAACAGTAGCCAGAGCAGGCAACACCAACAACTAAAGTATGATTTCAGCCCATCCTGGCCCAGATGTGTGCTTACACGTGTAGTGTAAAGATTCGGAGTAGCACATTGCGAAGTGCTTTGCTGTATTCTAAAGTGTACTGTCAGCTTTAGTGATGACACAGGTCCACCAGGTACCCAGCACTCTGCAATTAGTTGACACATTCCGCTAAGCAGTCTGACAGAAGGATAAGTAATATCAAGGGAACAAGGACCATGGCATGCTGTCCATGCAGGCAACAGTCAGTACACATTCTTTGTCTGTGTGTATGTGTGTGAGCAAAAGGTCAAACGCACACAACATAAACTGACAAAGGAAACACCCGGTGTGAGGATGGGGCGCAACATCCCCTGTCATGACCATGAACAATCAAGCACACTTATGTGGGCATGGGCCTCGCCTACGTGGGCATGCCTAGCCCACTCAATTACTTAAGGGTTCGTGTCAGTAAGACCAAGACCAAGACTAAGAGTCATGCATGCAGAGCTGCCAGTCGCAATAATATAATGACCTGTGAGTCTCATGATAGAAGAAGTACAAATAAAATGGGGTAACTGCTAAGTGCTGGTCAAGAAGATTATGCTTATTTTCCACTGCACCACTGCCAACGTATATTATGTCATTGATCGTCATCCCTTTTCCGATGGAGGGTCCCTATGAATTCCCTGTATTCATGTGAACATGCTAAACGTAATAAATGGTGCCAATGACCACAGCTGGTACATGTACAGAGGTTATGCGATTACATCATCATCTGAGATGCTTTGGCAAAGTCGAGCACTCAAGGCACAGCACTGGATGCTTAGCGCCCACTAGAAAATCCACTGACTTCCCCCGCTGTGTACAGCAGGGAGCCGTAAAATACCTACCATAATTTATTTTATGACTCCATGCTGTATACTGAGCACTTTGTAGCGCCCATTAGAAAATCCGCTGGCTCACCCCATGACATCATTCGCATAAACTATAGTGGTGTGGTGCACCAGGTACACGTGGCACTAAGTCATCATGGTCATTATAGCTGTACTGTGTACTACTGGCGCACACATGCACATGACCATCCTTATAAAAGTTCTTCAAAAATCCAGGGCTATAAAAATATGTATAGGATATACCCTGAGCTGGTGTATACGGAAAATATACACCAAAAACAAACCGAGGCCGAAGGCCGAGGTTTGTTTGATGGCGTATACTTTCCATATACACTCCAGTGAAGGGTATATCCGACTTATACTTACCTCAGTCTGAATCCTAAAAAGGAGTAGATATTAACAGTATTTATTTCTCTACAGAGTACAGTGGTGTTACTGGTGTACATGTATTAACAGTATTTATTCCCGTAGCTATGCAGAAGACGTTACTTCAGTAACGTCTGGCGCTAGCCAGGGTCCACACAGCTTTAATTTGGTGTTTGTTTGTTTGTGTCACGCCTGGCGCTATCCCGTATCTGTCCCGTACCGTACCGTACCGTACCGTACCAGCCAAGACAGCTGGCCACAATATATTTTGGTTTGTTTGTGCCATCGGCATGCCTGACGCTATCCCGTACCTGTCCCGTACCATCAAGAATACGGTACAATCAAGAGAATGAGTATATATGCGGAGTGTATCGGGGGAATGCATTCAGTGCAGTAACATTTTGTGTGGATTTGTGTGCGAGGCCGAGATCCCACTAGCAGGCTGGCTGGGCCGCCTGTCGACCATCCCGGGAATCGCATGTAGGCCGATAGCATAATAATTATAACGTATATAGATGTATAGCAGGGAGTCGTATTATGTAAACGACTCAGTGCTGTCTAGGGAGATTTTCTTGAAAGAAATACGAAGTAGGGAGATGAAGAAATGCAATTAGAATGGACGTTAGTTGCCGAATATGTGACATGATGCGTCAGCTAAAACAACCTTTGGAAGAGAGATCCCGTCGTCTCCAAAATAATCCTGAACGGGCGAGTCAGCGCCAGTCACAGGAAACGTCGGAAGAGAGATCCCGTCGACTCCAGAACGTCCGTGATCGGCAGAGTCAGCGCCGGTAACAGGAAACGTCGGAAGAGAGATCCCGTCGACTCCAGAACATTCGTGATCGGCAGAGTCAGCCCCGGTCACAGGAAACGGCAGGACAGACATCGCGTCGACTCCAGAACGCCCGTGATCGGCAGAGTCAGCGCCGGTCACTAGGGGTGTGCGGATAATGCTCGAAAAGGTGGCAGATTCTGCTCGAAAAGCAGTGAAATTGGCAGAACCATACAAACCTATGGCGGGCAATTCCTCGAATTCTGCTCCATTTCTTTATCCACATACCAAACATGCAGGAAACTTACCAAAAAAGTACCGAATTTGCCAATTTTTCTGCCGGCATTATCCGCATATGCCTACCGTTCACAGGAAACGTAACAAAAAAATTAAAAATTAAAAATATACAAAAAATATTAACGCCGTAGCAACAGACGTTACTTCAGTATCGTTTGGCGCTAGCCAGGGTTCACACGGCTTTGGCACATCACATGCATGATGAGCAAGCAGGGCCGGCGGAACCGGTCAGGCTGGTCCGGCCATGGCCGGACCACTTTCCCAGCTGGATGGTCCATGTGATTCGTGCAAAACCGGTGTACAAAAATCCAGAGGTACATGGCTCGACTGTACTGCCGACGTGTGATGTGCTTCGAAGTAGCTCAGGACTCCATGACCGGCACTGTATGGCTTTAATGATATGGTTAAAAAAAAGTTGTGTTTGTGTTCTTTTACTATAATTTTCTGCATATTCTGGAGCCTTAAGAGGTGCCCAAATTCGCTCTATTTCACGTCAATTTTAAATTTTTCTCCCGGGGGAGGTCCCCCGGACCCCCCCCCCCTCAAAGGTAGGCCGGACCACTCCAAAACTCCTTCCTCCGGCCCTGGCAAGCAAAAAAGCATAGGGTAGGGCCCTGAGCTTCCAAGCTCTCTCGTTTGTCTGCAGTGGTGAATATTACCAGAGTTTATTTTTTCTAGAAAAATACAGTGAATATACACTGGCCGAGGCTCTGTGTGATGAATGGGGGTATATATTAAGGTAGGTATAATGATTTATACAGTACCTGAATAGAACCGTCTCCGGAGCCACAGACTAACAGCCTTTCATTATTCTCACTCCAGGCTATGCTGAAGAGAGTGTCGCACCATTCTCCTCGATTGAACAGTTTCAACCCTTCATCGGTCAGCTGAAGCACGAACAGGCTACCTTGACCGCTGATTCCATAGTGCTGGCCTCCGACACAAGCCAATAAGTCGCGAGCGAACGGAGAAAATTTCACATCGTACCCATGACACAGGGGTGTGATGAAGGAGCGCATTACTACTACATGGACGCCACAGTTATCAATCTCCTTCCACACAAAATCTCTACGCCATGATGGTGAACATGCTTCTTCTGATCATTGGGGATCAGAAGTTCAGACCCTAAAGCTCGACAACTATTGCAATAAGGCGCTGGCCGAAATCACAAATCATTGTTTGGTCCAGCTTTTGACTTCTAGCTCTCGGAGAAGGAGTCGAGCTAGCTAGCTCCAGACCAAACTCCAAAGCAAATATGTCGCTGTTGATTGACATGATGATCCTGATTGATCAAAATAGAGTTGAGGTCTTTCAAGCTGTTCTCATTGTTTGTCTGCAGGAACACGGAGCCCGCGCCCCGCGGCGCGGCCAACTAAAAAACTGAACTGGTTCGCGAAGTCGTAGTTTTTGGTAGGCTTTTCAAATGTGTTGTTATTGGCAACGCATGGAACGCCTAAGGAATGCGTACACATAGTACGGTATGTTTGAATGCACCATCGGCATCGAGCCACCAGCAAATGAGTAGGGGACGGGACGACCATGCTGTGCATGCAGTGTGGCATGTACATGTAGATCGGTTGTACTGAGTACATCAGCATGTGGCTGTTTCAGTATGGCTACCTTGCAAGCTTGGAAAAGACACACAGAGGATTGTAGGCAAAGCCAAAGCTGTTCTAAAAAAGCTGAAAGACGCCCATGCATACCAGCCTGTGGTCGCACTAGTGCTGTACTTACTGTAAGGCAGAAACGTTGAGAAGAAGAGTAGAGCTGTTCGTTGCTGGATACTGGGAAACTTGTGTAGTGCGAAATGCAGATTGAAAGTGATGTTTGTTCGAAAAACCTCGTGAGGTGCATAATTTGATGTGTTTGCAGCTCAGCCAAGCTCGGGCTCTGGCTCGTGAGCATTTGGAAGTCGTAGTTTGTGTCCGGGACCTGATAGCTCTTAGCGTTTGCTGAGTGTGGAGGTGCACATCCTCTCTCGCAAGAATTATGTCTTCCCCATCACCAGACGACGCTCAAGAGAAAGGAAATACTGAGGATAATTCAGCGAGTATGGACGTCTCCAGGAATCAGCGAGAAAACAGAATGGTCACGAGAGACAACTCTCGTTCGAACTGCGTTATTTCCATTCTGCCAGCTGACGACGACATTCCAAACACTCGAACAAGGGGACATGACGACAGGCCTGTACGGCGTCGCTTAGAAAATTTGAACCTCGGAAATAATTTGGGATCGTCTCACCGGCCGCGTGCTCGTTCCATGGTGGGACGGCTGCCGTCCGACTCGACGAGGTCGGAAACCGAAACGGCCAATGTTCGACGGTCCAAGACGATTGAGCTGGCCAACGAATGGGCATCTGACAGTGAACTAGACTCGATGGACTCAGACTCGTTGTCTTCGGGAACGCGTCTGACGCCGAGTCCACTATTGCCTATGGACGACTTGGATCGCGAGCGTAGTATTTCTCTGTCCGAACCGTTGACGGATGCCGGTCGGGAGCCTGCCGTCCATTACGCGATCGAGAATACTGACGGGCCAGTGGACAGCACTGCGTCTTCTTCTGATACAGTGGTCGCCACTGCCAGAAGAAGTTCTGATGCTGGTAGCGATGGTGCTGCTATTCCAAGTAGTGCTTGTTCGCCCATGGCACTGCATGCTGGCTCCAACTCTCATCTCGTGCTGTCCCCTGTTACTGCTCAGCAACGAAGCACGAACACACAGTTTCTGCATGTACCTGTGTCCACTGTGGGTGACTCCAGCGACTCTGAAGCAAGGGCTGTCAGTGACGACGCGTCCGACCGATCTGCGAAAGGATCGGCGTCCGACCTCTCGCCGAGTACCAGTCGCAAAGACCAGGGTGCTCAGCGGATACCGAAGATGGGAAAACGGGTAAGCATGGCCCCAGTAGACGCTGTATGGGCGCAGCGCTTCCAAACGCCATGCAGTGCGCACGTTCATATACATGTAGCTAGAAACTTGTAATGGCAAATGTGTGTGCGCGCGTGTGTGTGCGCGCGCGCGCGTGTGTGTGTGTGCGCGCATGTGTGTGCGTGTCTGCGTGTGCGTGTCTGCGTACTCGCTCCTGTGCGCGCGTGTACCAAGTTCATAGCGATGCTCTGCTTTACGTGAACCATAAAGAAATCACGTAGCGAACGTTGTCTGGGCTAGAGTCTACGGCTTCCCATGTTTTGGCTCCAGATCTCTATGCGGAGATAAGGTTCTCTACGTTGCAGCACACACAGAAAAATTGCGTACAGATCTTGTGCATATCATTCAAATTAACAAGAAAGCTGTCAAATTTGAAACGGGAAATTCCCAGTACACATTCCACATGGCTTCTTTGCATGAACGTAGAGCAGAACAGGCTTCTTACATGCTGCGGGAACGCGAAGAGTGTTCCCCGCGGATTCTCCGCATCGTATTCCCGTAACGTAGAGCAGAACACCGCTAGTGTTAGGTTGAACCGTTCTGGTCTCATTAAACCCGGTCCCAGTTTTTGCGGTAGAATTACTCTACCTTGTTTATCCATGCAATCTGGAGCCAGCTAGCTCCCCTAATTTCCAAAATGTGCATAGCTCCAAATCGCATGCACCTTGTTGGTGGATCGCCGATGATATGGCGCATGACATTGTCATCATAGTAGCAAGATGTCATGAGAAGGTAGAATTATACTTGCGAATGTTCATCAAACTCTTTGACCGGTGCACGGCTGGCAGTAGGCGCGACATGTCTGCAGCTGTTGGAGTGTAGGTAGCTGTGATACGAGAGTACACAGAAACTCCCTCTGTGAATGTGCATGTTGTGACTGATCCTTTGGTTGCGTCCCTTCGGATGTTGGGCGTATTTGCGCTTGGGTGGCATGTAATGTCACAATTTGAAAAGTGAACCACATGTGCAGGGTGTAGATGCTAACTTCATGTGCAGGGTGTAGATGCTAACTTTAATACCAGATAGCTGTTCTTCTTTTTATTATTGCTGCAGAAATGGAGTGTGATCCGCAAGGCTGTTATGACCTGGTCACCGTTTGTCCAGATTTATCGCCGCAAGTACCCCTGGGTACAATTAGCAGGCCACCAAGGCAAGTCCCAGCATTTGCACGTGTATTTGTGTGTGTATGTGTGTGCGTGCGTGCCTGTGCGCGTGCGTGTTATGTGCGTGTGAGGTGAGTGAGTGAGTGAGTGTACTAAGTGCAGGGTGTACAATACTCCGTTTATAAACACTAAGCCATTGCTGCCTGCACCGTGCCCCATGTAGGGAATTTCAGAGCCGGTGATAACGGGACGATATTGAAGAAAGCATGTGATCGTGAGCGAAACGCCCTGTCAAGCCTGATGAAGGATGTTCTCAAGCCGTTCGTTCCGACGTACACTCGTCAGATCGAGCAGGAAGGAGAAGGTAGGGTTGTTGTACCCAAGGCGATGCTGATATCCGTGTGTATGCGTCTAGGTTTTATGGTGTGGGGGTAATTTCTGTTGCGCATTGCAGCTTGTCATATAACAGGAGAAAAACGCACGCAAATTTCCCGTTGTCATTTCAGTGATGCGGTGATTTGGCACTGAACCTACGGTATGACAGGTTATCTATTATTCGTAATGTGAACAAAAAGCTTGACCGGGGGAGCTGTCTTATGAAGCAGAGATGCAGAGTTGGACACACCAATTTATGTACTCTTGGTACGCGGTATGTACTACGAGTCTGTTGCTGCGTGAATCGGCAGGTTTTCACTAAAATTGCACGAGAACTTACAGAGCAGCAGCAGGAGAAAAAGTTGAAAGAATCGTTTCGAACAGTTTCCTCGGAGACAAGAATGCAACGATACTGAGAAGAAGGACACTTTTTAGGCTCTTGAACATCTCAAAAGTTTTCACTATAATGTAGCATACTTTCATGCCTTATCATCAGGTGAAATACAGGCAAAACCCGATGAGCATGGACACCTCTCACCTCGCTGCTGTACTTCCATCCATCGTCCATGCTCATTTGATTTGCCTGTATTTCACCTGATGATAAGGCATGAAAGCATACTAGTGAAAGCTTTCGAGATGTTCAAGAGCCTGAAGTGTGTCCTTCTTCTCCGTATAATTTGTTTTGAAAGCGACAAAAACACAAACTCACGGAAAAGGTCGGCACTCGGCGCATGTTTTGCGCATACTTTGTATGACATGCGTCATGTTTTCCGGAAAAAAAAGGTGATGTCAGCCAAACATTCTGCCCTGGACCAGACCTGCTTCGCAGTTGCACACTTTTGTTCGTGTTCTCTCAGTCTTCCTCTGACCTATCCTCTATTCGACAAGTCTTTGGCTTGTTTGCAAGTACTGTACTGAGGTCTTGTACAGTACATGCAGTGTATTGAAATACCTGGTGTTATGTTCTGCTTGTCAAATACAGAGTATTTGGAAATGCAAGACCTGCTAGCAGAGTTTGAGCATCCCGCCGTAATGGACATCAAAATGGGTGTCAGGTAGGTTGTCATGGGGGAGAGGTGTCATTTCCGAGGTTGATGCCTGTGTTAGGCCAATGAGACCCCCTCACCCCTGCTGCTAAGCCTAAAATAAAATATAGAGTTGTTTGCAAGATTGGGTTTCTTGTTGAAAGAAAAGTCCATTGGCAGGTTTTGTCACTTGTATGTACTTCAGTATGTATGTGTGTGTGTGTGTGTGTGTGTGTGTGTGTGTGTGTGTGTGTGTGTGTGCGTGTGTGTGTGTGTGTGCGTGCGTGCGTGTGTGCGCGTGTGAGTGTGCGTGCATAGTTTCAGTCAGACTCCTGGAGAACCATGAGCATTCTGCCCACGAGCAGGTCATCTGCTGTGTGTGGTTTCCAATATTTTTGGCCTTATGGTGCACAGTTCTGTGACCTGTTGTTGTTGTTGGAGATCTGTCATTGTGTGCAGTCACACTTGCATCCTATGCTGCTCGGTGCAGCTGACATGTTCATTCTCATTTCTGGTCTTGCATTTTGGCTCTCTTGGCTGGTGTTGTGCAGGACGTACTTGGAGGAAGAGCTGACCAAGGCACGGACAAAACCCTCCTACAGATCGGTAAGGAGCAGAAGCAGCAGTTGTGCTACTGCTACATTATTAGTCCAGTGTATTTTTGTTGCAGAATAATGCAGCATTGAACCTTAAGAAGTATCACAGTTTCGCTTGAATTCATCGGTTGCCAGCATTTGTCGATGCCATGAAGTGAGGGTTTATCGTTATTATTTTGATCCCACTGTATAGGTTGAGGTGAGTGAAAATAATACCCCTTCTGAGCCAGTGTTTTCCGTAACTGGACGATCTGTGTGTCTCTGTATTCAGGATTTATACCAGAAGATGATAGCAGTCAACCCTAATGAACCGACGGAGGAGGAGCACGAAAGACAGGCCATCGACAAGCCGAGATACATGCAGTTCAGAGAGCGGTGCAGTTCGTCATGGTCTCTTGGCTTTCGCATTGAGGGAATCAAGGTGAGTGTTGGGTGGAATCTCCTGCTAATGATGCCGTATGGGTTTATGGGTTGAGTTAGGCTGGGCGTACTGTAATTTCTCAAATTTTCGGTGTAATTTTATTTTCGGTACTTTCGGTGCATCTGCTTCATTCCTAAAAGTTCAATAAACCGAACAAACACTGCCACACATAATCCAATAGGAAACTGCTTCTCTGTACCTAAAATTTCTGTTCACCTAACCTGGCCTTTTACCCTCATGCCGAAGATATTGAGCACCTAAAATTTCTGAAATTAGAGTAATTCTTGCATCATATGCAGTGTTCACCTCTTGGGCATTATGTTGAGTTTGGCAGTGTGCTTTGTTCAGATGTCGCAATTCAATTGATGTAGTTGTGGTATCCTTTGTCATCATTGGATGGTGGCTGGTAGGTTTCTTGCCTCTGCTGTACTGTACCGGGTAAATAGCCACGCTGTGTGTTTGTGCTCATCCGTACAGCTTCCCAATGAGGACCCGCGATCCGACTTCAAGACAATGCAGCACGAACCAGAAGTGGCCAGGGAACTGCGGGTCTTTCTACAGGGCAACAGAGAGCTTTGGGTGAGTGTGCTGCACCAATGTCGACTACGGCCTGATGTGTGCCACCAGTAGGGCATGTTCCTTGCGGAGGGTGGAGTGGAAACAATATTGATTCGCACACGGAACATGGCATGTACTGGTCTATGTTGGTCGTATCATCTTGCCATGCGTTATAGTCCTGAATTGCCCACCCTATTACTCACACCCACCCCACCTTAGTTGTTTTCTTGGTGCCTAGTCCAAGCAATGCAGGTGAGCTTGTCTGTTTGCAGGGTGGACTGCTTGAAAAACTGGTTGTGAAATTGAGAAAAATAATGTTCTTCTTGCAAGAGTGGTAAATTCGAACCATGTCGAATCGCAACGTTGTCAGTCCTGTTGCTTGTGTTCCGCGTGCCTTGCAGAAAAACTTTCTGACGCGCCTGAAAGACATCCGGGAGCACTGTCGGAGATCCGACTTCTTCTACTCGCACGAGGTAAGTGATCATCCTCATCAGACACTGGTCGGGGGGGGGGGAGGGGGGGGGGGGGAGACAGAGACACAGAGAGAGAGAGAGAGAGAGAGAGGTTTGCTGTGACAATGCACATGCACCCTTGGCGCTATGTGTAGTATACTTGTCACGGTATCATGTGTGGGTGGGGGCACTGCAGAGTGCAGTAGCAAAGCAACAGCATAGTGCTGCAGTAAATACTGTAATGCAGCTATGGACTGTGTATGGACTATCCCCGGTACACGTACAGTCAATAGTGTTTGACTCTGGATATCCTTTTTAAAGGAGCTTTCTATGGGGTCCGTTGACGCCGTAAACTCACATCAAGTGGCGTAGTGCTCCCGTTTCACGTTCCCAGTCCGTTTTAGTGACCAGTGCAGTGGCTTTACCAGTGTTCCATTGACCCTGTGATGTTGATGTTGTTCCCATCGGCTACATAGCTGCGCCAAAAAGAAAAAAACCCTGTGCTGGTGGAGGAGTATCATGACTAGTCACTCAGTATTCCGTTTGACAGCTGGGCAATGCATTGTAGTGGCTTCAGCTACAGCTTTCATAGTGCTGTTTTGTTTGGTTGCTGGCGTTTTCACACAGGCTATACGCTGGCATTTTGTACACAAACCGTTGCTTCTCTAATATTGCTGATGATTGCACTGTGCGTCCCTGCGCTGCGTGTCCATGCGTTTGTTCCTTCCCTAGATCATTGGCAGCTCATTGCTGTTTGTGGCGCAGCACAGTACCAATACGTGCGGAGTGTGGATCATTGACTTTGGCAAAACGAGTGAGCTACCCGGCGACCAACGGCTCAACCATGAGATACCCTGGGTAGAGGGCAACCGCGAGGACGGCTACCTCTGGGGGCTCAACAACCTGATCGACATCTGGTCACGTCTCAAGCCCGACGACGATGACACAGCCGCCAGTACACATAGTGCAGCAGAAGCTGCAGCGGTGGCCTCTTCTGGCACCGCGACGTCGGCTTGTGGCGGCGACACTGGGCAATACAGTCAAAGCGGAGCAAGGTAGCTCCTGTGAATAACACCTTTCACTGTCTGTCTTGAAAATAGCGGCATCGAAAGCTGCAAGTCTCCCAGTGCTTGCCTTGTCGCCCCATCGTTGAATTTGTCATCACCACCTCCTGTACTAGAGAAGCGGTGTAGCCAGTTACCTACCCGATTGATTAAACAGCTCTGAGAATGTCAACAATGTGACGCATCCGCCACCAGCAGCACCTCCGGAATTAACTGCAACACCGCTGGGTAAGCAAGAGAGAGCGTGTGTGGCATCGGACACACGGCCTCAGCTATGCGGTATGCCTAAGAACTATCTTGACTTCCAGCTACTGCATGTCCTACATGACTGTACTACCGCTACTGGTAATGGTTGGTCAACATGGGCATTCCAGTCAGAGGGACTGGTGTGGCTGATTGGGCGTACGCTGGTGCTGCCGACTCGGTCCCTGTGAAGATTGAGCGAGAAAGCGGTCAGTCGCCGTCTATGTGTGTTCTGTCAACATGCCATGGTTAGCTTGCCCAGGACGACAAGCTCACCAGCCCCACCAAACCTGTGGTGTGTAGTGTGTACGTTGCGTGATCCAACAGCCCTGGCGTGTACGCTGCTTGACCCAACAGCCCTGGCGTGTACGTTGCGTGATCCAACACCCCTGGCGTGTACGTTGCGTGACCCAACAGCCCTGGCGTGTACGCTGCTTGACCCAACAGCCCTGGCGTGTACGTTGCGTGATCCAACACCCCTGGCGTGTACGCTGCTTGACCCAACAGCCCTGGCGTGTACATCGCTTGACCCAACCACCCTGGTGTGTACATCGCTTGACCCAACACCCCTGGCGTGTACATTGCTTGACCCAACAGCCCTGGCGTGTACATCGCTTGACCCAACAGCCCTGGCGTGTACATTGCTTGACCCAACAGCCCTGGCGTGTACATCGCATTGCTTGACAGCCCGCAAGAGACCCTGATCACACCGTGTCGCAAAAGCAGCGTCCAGAATGGATTGCCATATCAACTCTCCGAATGGTCGGGCGTTTTGAGCGTCAAACCCTGCAGCGCCACTGGCGAATCGGATACATTGACGTTAGCGCTGCATTTCTATCGCCATGCGACCAGGGCCTGAAGCTGACATATCAGAGATATTTCTACTACTACTACTACTACTGCACACATGATGACAAGGAGTGAATTTGTGCCATACAGGTCCATTGATGAAATCGGGCGGATTTCAGAACCTCTTTTTAATTTTTTTTAAATAATCCTAGAGGACTTACTTCTATTTCCAAACGGTTTCTTACCGCAACAGGCGGCGGTCTTGAGTTACAAATTTTGATTTGCCAATTTGGATGGCGGGTGGTGCGCCTTTACCACGTGCGTGAACCCGCACTGTAGCAGCGTTTCTCCTCATTTGCTTGTTGGTAGCAGTACGGGTGCACGACGTCCCCGGCATCAAACGACTCCATTTCTCTTGGATTTGCTTTTGCATGCCTATGGATATAGCTTATCACAGCACGAACTTCACAGTTAAGATATTCGTCAGTCACATCATAATTATACCCATGTTGGGTTTCAATCAAGCAATACCATTTTCAGATTATTCGCAAAATCCGGAGACACATCACATCATGAAATGCATTTCAGACAGCAGGTACTGCATGTACCTGCATGTGTACAATAGTATACGATTCGAAAGCAGTCATTACTCTTTTGCGTGTTGCTTGAATGTCACCATTGCATCGGTGGAGGCATGATTATGATTGGTTACATTGCGACCAGGCCATGTATTCTGACGATTTCTGAGAGACTGAACATAGAGATAAAGCAGAATGATGGCATGCCAGTAGGTGAGTTTATAGGCTCACGAAATGAAAGTGATCCGGACCAGTTTTAACCAGTGCCAACCAGTGTTTCTCCTCAACAATCATCATGACAGCAGCAATTGCAGTTTTTTTGCTGGTTTGCTTCAAATATTTGCTGCGTTTGTAGTAGCTGCATTCCCCGGCCGGCTGAGTGTGGAGCAACAGCATGTAGTAGAGTAGAGTAGCGACGTTCAGCAGCTGCGCGACCATAGCAATGTCCGGTGGTAACTTCCTTCCTGGTGTACACAGACACACAAAGACACACAGTTGCAACAAACATACCAGACAGACCAGACATACCCGCACCGGTACATGGTCTATAACGGTGGAAAACCACTAGGATCCGCAAGCTAGCCCTAGCCACTCAACGGCTCAATGCTGGTGTGCTGCATTGTGCCAGGGTCTAGCTTACGTACTGCCGGAGTATGTCCAACAGCACACACGCTGCAGCACTACATGTGCCATGTGCCATGTAGGGCTAATACTGACAATAGGGAGTTTTAGCAACTCGTAAACGAGAACGAAAACGAAACGAGTGAGACCCATTCGATATGCATGATGCACGTCACTAATTTCCATAGTCGATATGCGCTAGCACTTTTTGTGCACTGCAACTGTGCGCTAAAATGCATACCAACAGGAGTTCGGATCCTGTCCAGGACTACAGCGTGTTGTAGAGGAAATCGAAGCAGTTTGGCGCAATCGTCGCGGCTGAGCTTGTCTAACCCAAGCCGAGGAAACTTCACAAATCATGCCGCTCACCACGATCAATTCATCCAGTGCAAAGTAAAGCAGGACTATTTCGTCCTCATCGATGGTCTTCTCGCCGTACGCCAGAAGATGGACACGAGCATCGAAATCATCCACTAGCAAAAGAAAGCAACAGCAAGGAACTTCAAGTTGAAGCTTCCCTCTTCTCAAATCATGCCCGGCTTTTTGAATAATAGAGAGGTTCCGCATAACGTAATTACGTTAGTAAAAAACGTAGTCGATCTACGGAAAGTCTTAGGTAAACTGCATGCGCATCTGGGTTCCGCCATACGGAGTTTTCAAATCACGTAGCTGCCCTTGGCAACTCCGAACGCGGCAGTGTACGACCAGACCGACCTGGGGAGAGAGTCATAAATTTGTACCCCAATCCACTTACGGACCAGCTACGTTATCAGAGCCCTATCTACGTACTCTCCGTAGACAACTTTCCGTAGGTGAAGTGCAAACTCGCGAATTCACGGGTTTTTCCCGCCCACTAACGTAAAGTTGCTCAACTTTACGTAGTGCGGAACCTCTCTAATATCTCCACCCCGCGCGCGCGCTGCGCTGGTCGATGAAATAAATCAAAAGAAAGGACTCGTATGCCATAACGAATCAACTGCCCTTGATTCGTACAGAACGAGCTCCGATTGCGGAGCGAAACGAGACTCGAACCCAGGCATCCAAGTCGACCACGGACAGGGAGCCCTACACATACATTGCGTATATGTGTAGGCTCCCTGACCACGGACTCGTAAATCTACTCGTTTACAAGTTACTAAAACTCTCTAATGTTTCAGTGACGTGTGCATACCTGCTGACGATAATACAACGTATAACATGTACACGCCTGCACTAGTGCCAGCCAGCGTTTGCCAACTGGGTAGGTATCTCGTCCAGTTACACAAAATAATTAATTGCTGGCACTATTCACACTTCCTTTTTAAATATACTGGTGAACTGTTTTTGTCGCACGGAGACATGATTGATCACAAGGAGATGAGCTTCGGCGCTCTGGCTGATGAGCCTCAATACTCTGGCTGATGAGCCTCAATAGTAGTATTAATATCAGCAAACCGGTTGCCGTGTGCAGATACAGTAAAACCTGTACTTACCGGACCCTGAATCAAGCGGAATCCTGCCCGGACCGGACAAATTTTCATGCACGGACGGGGTGCCGTAGAAATCTCTCTGCAACATACGGAAAACTGTCGAACGTGGAAAGCGGAACGGATTTCATGCACCAAGTCCACTTTCTTGCTCCCTATCCTCGCTCACCAACCTACTATCTATCGTGCGTACGAGTAATTTTGAGCAAGCTACCAGTGGTTCACACTCAGTCACAGGGCATACCGAGGTGCACACTCACCATTAGTTGGCTCATTGGTGGGATAAGCGGACACAGCGCAATGTGTAGCAATATCCTGTGGAGTGGGAGCATGTGGTGTCCGAGTAGGGACTAGTCCAATGCATCACATGACCGTGAAAGCATCCTCCTGTTCATGCCGCAGCCATTCCAAAGAGCTCCAATCAGCCCCAGTCAGCCGGTCGCTGAGAATAGCAGTGCCTGGTCACAGCTGTCATGCACATACACACCACACACACACACACACACACGTATGAACGAACGCACACACACGTACGAACGCACACACACACGTACAATGTAAAAGTGTAAACACATGGAAAAGCGAAAGCAGGCATTTTTCCTAGCTTTCACAAAGCTACAAAGCTAAGGTACTCTTGTCCTGCAAGAGGTGATCAATACGAGAAGATAAGCTTATAAGTTCTAGGGCTGAAACGATCATTCAATAACTCCTAACGATCAACCAATATCATAAACGATCGATATACAGTCAGACCTCGCTTATCCGGTCCTCGTTTATCCGGATCCCTCGCCATCCGGAAGAAAATCGCTGGTTACCGATGTGCAGCATATGTTATGCATACAACATAACCGGACCTCGCGATCCGCATACCGGTGCATGATTTTGTGTACAAACTGGTTGAAATGTGTACAAAAAGCTTCGTCGTATCCGGTTGCATGTGCCTTGCAGAAGCTAGAATCAGGGAGTTGTACAGGCAAATGAGGTCCTTGACCTGCTGGGTGCATGTGAACAGCACTCAGTTGCATGCACTTGTCATTTTCTCGCTTGTTTTAGATACTGTGCACGCTAGTTGTACTGCATAGGACCCGTCTACATGTATGTACGATGTCATTGCTTTTGATATGCCACATGCATATACAGTATGTGTGTTCAGTTATCCGGTTCCCTCGCCTATCCGGATATTTTTGTGGAAAACAGATGTGTGCGGTTAAGCGAGGTCTGACTGTATTGGTTTTATCAATTCTTGTCGGCTCTACCCGTGTACTTCGAACACCAGTTTATGAAGAAATTCCAAGATACATTTGCTACGTTAGAAATTTGTGGCTCTGCACTGTTGACATCTGGCTGGCTTGTCAACATGAACTAGAAAATTTCATGTTTCTAGAGCGAAGAATCTTGTCATCATCCTCTGGAAACTGCTCTTATCTCCGACCTCTCCACAACAAATGAACCGAAAAGACAAAGTCTCCTCTCCCGATCCCTTTCAAAGCCACAAATCAATATTACTGTGCTTGAAAGTACATGATTGTACTCGTATTCGCTATCGGATGGAGTGCAAGGGCTAGAATGCGGTCACTAATATGCAGGCATAAAAAACCGTTAGCACTCGTTATGAACACTAATGATTATCGATTGCACTCTTAACGATCGATATGCGAGTTATCGGTATACTCTAATTTCAGAAATATTTGGTGCTCAATATTTTCGGTATGAGGGCAACAGGCCAGGTTAGGTGAACAGACATTTTCGGTACAGAGAAGCAGTTCCCTATTGGATTATGTGTGTTAGTGTTTGTTCGGTGTATTGAAAATTTAGGTATGAAACAGACGCACCGAAAGTACCGTAAATAAAAGTACACCGAAAATTTGTGAAATTACAGTAATTGTTTCAGCCCTACTTAGGGGTCGTCGCAAAAGTTTTTTTGTCGTCCCTGAAACGAACATGATTCATTTGGGGGGGGGGGGGGGGGGAGGGGGTGCGAGCCAAAATCGCAAGTCGACCGACACTGTACATACGACATGTACATGCATGCGATTTTCGTCATCCAGCATAGCAAGCTGTGTTCGTTTTAGAGGGAGGGGAGGGGTCCAAGTACGAAATGAACGATGTTCGTTTCAGGGACGACAGAAAACTTTTGCGATGACCCCTTATAACATAAGTTGACAATGGCAAGAACTTGCCATGAAACTCCGAGTAACAACCGAAAAACCAAGGTTCCCACCATTGTCAACTTGCATTCTAGTTATCAGGTTCGGGAGGACATGGGCCCCTTCCTGCTGCACTGTGTGAAAGCACAGGAAAGCAACCCCTTTTAAAGTTTTCTACAAGCAGTATGCCCATCAACGTGTGCATGAGCGTGGCAATGCTTGCAAAAGCAGCGATCCAGAGTCCATGACCAACAGTACGCAACTGTGATTATGCGTCAATGTGTGGCGCCATGCTACCTTCAGTGCATCACTTGCCTGCACACATACACTCAAATCTACAATCTCTAGGACCAGCCCAGCCACACTCCCACAGGGAACGCATGGTGTTCGATTTCCACAGTGCACAGATAAAGCTGGATGACAATGCAGGCAGCATACCGCGCAGCTGGTCCATAGAGAAGAGATCCTACAATGTAGTTGCATACTCTTGGTTAAGGACTCTTGCAGTGATCAAGTACTTAGGCTGTAGGCGTACCAGATATGAGATATTTATTGACACTAAAAATTTGGGGCGACACGATCATACCAATTTCTCAGTAATTACTCATTAGGAAACACACCGAGCACGCGAGCACGTGTTTTATTCGTTACGAGCTTATCGGAATAAGACTATTGTTAACAGTACACGTGCATGATGACGAGTGTAAAAAATAAAAATGCATGTCACGCATGCCCATGAGAGATGCACTAAGTGACAGAGACAGCCGCCAGACTATACATCAACCACCAGAACACTCATCATGTACTTCAAGTGACTGCGGGCAGCGCATGCCATCCGTGCGCCGTACCTGTCACCAACACTTAGTGTCACAGTTTAAGCACATAATCACCACAGGCTCACACAGTACACATAGTGCACGTGGCAACAACAGCAGAAGAACAGCCCATAGCAGTACACTGCCTAGAAGGAAGTGCTAGACTATTCACAGTATTCAGCTATGCACCGTCACCTTTCTTCTAACACACAAACAAAAGCAATGCGCTCACAACTCCCATGAAAGCATCAGCACAGGCCACTAGCACACAAAGCCGATTGATACACCGCCACACTGAACATGCATGGTGACCCATACCTGAAGAGCTGTGCGGCAACCGTTCAAGGGACTCTTCTGCAGCCGGCCACCTAGGGGATTTGTGGGACAGCAGCCCAGGTTTCTACAGCAAGCTCAGCAGCTAAATCCGCCGCCGCTTCTTACTCTGCTGCAAGTCGGCACGAAAAAGTCAAGTCAAAAAAGACAAATCAAGTTAGTGTACGACTCGTACGGCTTCATGTAAAACAGGGTGGTGAAAAAACACGTCATGTGTGTACATGTGTTAGTGTATGTGGTCACATAAAAACAGGGGAGGAAAGAACACAATGTCATGTACAGTAGAACTCCCCTTATCCGGGTTGCAGGTTGGGACCGGGCACTGCCCAGAAATAGGAATTGGCCGTAACTCAGAACATACACATACCTATTTGCATGCAAGTAAACACTTTTTTACGCCAATCAAAAGGTTTTGGGAGCGTTTTTTCGTTGAAAAGCCGGTTATTGTGACTCTAGAGAGGTCACGAAGAGATGCAAGGTAGACGGGGTGCCCGGACCTGGGCAGTTCGGATTAGGGGAGTTCTGCTGAAGAACGTGAAGTATAAAACTCGTTGGATAAAACATACCATGGGAACTGCAGTAATGACTTAGACGACCCTGCACTATGCTACATTAGTCCTGTGGCCTTGAATATACAATACTTAGACGACCCTGCACTATGCTACATTAGTCCTGTGGCCTTGAATGTACAATACTTAGACGAGCCTGCACTATGCTACATTAGTCCTGTGGCCTTGAATGTACACTAACTCAGTTACAAAGGGAAGCTGTTACGGCCCTGTAATAGAGGTACGTTATAATGAAGCTCACAATAGGTTTGAGATTTCAATTTTTACCAAGTCGACTCAGTACAATCTCAGGGTCACCATTTCCACTGTCAAACTACGCGAGCATGACTAGAAGAAAAAACCCCAAAGCCAGCCACCACGGATGCCCAGATTGGCTGGATCTCTGAACGATACGCCATTACTAGTTGGCCATTCTCATCGCATGACAGCCAGCAGGTTAGAACTCTGAGTTACAGCACTTGTCAAGCATGGCTGTACCTGCCGGTGTGAAGTGGCGCAAACATCCATTCATGACGCGTGAACAGATACACACATGCATCCTCCATGCCGAGGGAAAGGTACATAACGAGAGAGCTTGGAAGCTCAGGGCCCTACGCTATGCTATATAAGTATGCATGTACACATGTACCCCCCCCCCCCCCTCATTGCTGGCAGCATAAGTTACTTCAGAGAGCTACATACATGTACACTATAGGCAGTTTGCAAAGTAAGTACTTCAAGTAGGAGTTGTTCAGCGCTTACCATGCCCATTTGCTTGGCCAGGTCCGTGGCTGTGGAGCTTGGGCCGACGGCCTGCACAGCATAGTAACACGAGTGTGCATTGTGCACACATTGTAGAATGTAAATAGGCGTCGTGGAGATAACAATCTTAAATATAGCGATAAACAATGGACAAATTGCGCATTTTTGTATTGCCCATCACTACATTGTATAATGATCTCTGCCACAGCACTAGTAGAACCACTGAACAGCCGTGTGCGAGGCCAGGTTCTCCACCACTATACGCATGTAGTGCACATTGTTATTACACGTATCATAGAAATGCAGTTTCCGTTAGGAGAGTATTACAGACCAAGTATGTCAGGATTGTGCTATGCTAACAAGTAGCAAAGACAGTTTACAAAAATTCACGGTTCGCGTGGAGACTCGGTTAGAGACCAAGTTGTCCGCATCTGTGGGAACGTCACCACCCTCAAGGATTACGGCACAGACACAGCTCGTAATGCAGTGTGAGGCGAGTAGATCAGATGCAAGCGTGAGTGTGACTTTTTGAACCTTTGCTTGAGAGTATGCTAGAAGTACAAATTTAAACAAGTGCAACTTCCCGTCATGCCCCTACGGTGTTCAAACTGCACAACAGCGCCAAGGGCATGCAACATCTGCGCTCACCTTAGCCATTCTGGAGCGGATGGCCTGCACAGACGTGTCCACAGATTCGCCGTTGTCCTGACAAGCACACAACACATCACACAACCACGGATTAGGCTGCCAGTGCGTCTGACAACTACAGACTGCAGGTTACAGAGCACAATGTGCAGGGGCATAACAACCAGACAACAATGCACACAGCAATGCACATGGATGGAATACTACTGGACCACTGTCGGCATCACTAGTACAATAATGCTCGCTGCAGCTCAAACACATCCATAGTTCCATACACATGCATGCATGCCTGTATGTACACACGCACACACACACACACACACCTCGCCCACACACACACACCGGTTGTCTCTGCATTATCAGAAGCAGAGCTTCAGTATCTGCAAGAGTGGATTACAATCAGGACACCAGGGAACCAGACACGGAAGCAAATATGGAACTACGTGCTCCACATGCTGCACAGGAGGGTGTCCCAATTACAAAATTCAGCAGAACTTTGATTTTGAAAACAGTTGAGACTGAAGCATAATGTTCCAAGTGTGCCGAGGGTTGACGTGACTGTCCTTGAGAGACTAACACTTTGGGAGATTCTACAGCACACAGTTTTTACATGAAATTCACAACAAGTCACAATGTATGTGCATACCTTGCCTCTGCTGTTTGTCCGATTAGCAGATGCAGTGCTGCTGCTGCTGGTAGCTGGCATGGTTTTACTATGCGAATCACGAGTCAGTGACGTGGGTAGCCGGGGTCCCTGGACAGCACCCAGGTTCTGTGCTGCTGTTTCAAGCGAGTACGCTTCCACTGCTGGAGGATGCAGCGGACGTGGATTGGCCCAATTCGGGTCCATGGATGGATATTGAAGAGCTTGCGGATGAGAAGGCGGCGGCACATGAGAATGCCGATGGGGCTGATATCCCGGGCTATGAGGTGGCAGAGGTGGAGGACAGGCCGCATGGTTAGGAATGTGAGGTGCACGACTGACGGCAAGATGACAGAACGGTGCTGCTGCATACGGCATGGAGCCCACTCCGTGTGCACTCGAGCTCCAGCCTCCGGGAGTTACGTGTGGAGGGGGAAAGGTAGTGGATGACGCCGGCGGTGGCGGTGGTGGTGGCGGCTGCATTGGTAGTCTGCTCCATGCTTGTGGAGGCAGTTGCTGCTGTTGTGTTTGTGGTGGTGGCCTTGTACTGCTTGTTGACAAAACTGTGGCCATGGCAACATGGCCAGCTTCACGACTAGTGCCTGCAAGAACAACACGTTGGCAATATTGCCAAAGAGAAGGAGCAGTCAGGGAAGCTGTTATGTAAAGAACCAGGTTATGATAGCTCAAGCTGAATTGTTCCTTTGCATCCACTTGTTAGAAACCCATGCATTCGTGCCTAAGGAACAAGTCCTGAACATCTACAATACATATTCAATTCACCTTGGCCAGACAGGTACATTAATTATTACCTTCAGCTACACCTAAATTAGGCCACAAAGATAGTGACACAAATAACTAACACCGCTCACCCCCTCCACGCACACACAGACATACACGTACACGCACACACATGTACATACACACATACATACACAAAAAACCTTCAGTTGGCGACGAATGTTACTCACACGCAGTACTGGCTACTGTTGGCGCTGCTGGTGGCGACACGGATTGTCCCGTCTTCGCTTTGTCTGCTGAGCTTGTTGGCTTGCCACCACTAGCTTCCCCACGTTCTCGTTCCAAGGCTGTATCAACACAGCATTATCAAATACTTCCTCCGCGTCATCGAAATTGTCGCAGTTTGACTAGTGACTTGTCACTTGTTACTGCAAACTCCACAAGCTAAGCCATTCAAAACTTATTACACAGTATGATAGTCTGAAGACTAGAGTAACGTTCCAGGACAGTTGGACTGAGAGTTTTCATGCAGAGATGAAGTCCTCGTCGTCGCTGATGTCAATGGACGCAAAAATTTCGTTCCGAAATATTTCAAGGAAGGTTGAAAGTTGGTCGCGCCTCATCTCAAACGCTTTGACTTTCTCCACAGGACAAGAGCTGCTATGCTTGTCGTCTGCTAGCTCTGGATGATTTCTACTTCACCACCAACGAAGCCTAGTAAGAATACACGATCGTTGCGAGGTCGGTTGATTACCGTCGGCGAAATCACCTCGATCTTGAAATGAACTTTTTTAGCCGTGGCAGGCCCATTTATTTTAGCTGTGTGGCCACAGCTCCTGCAGGTAAGTGTACTATCACTCACGTCCAGCGCGCCCTCTTTTTCAGCATCACTGCCCGGCCCTGATTCAGTGGTATACCATGGTACGGCACCTGCGCGTGCATCACTAGCACTACGTGTAGAGTCTACACGGCTCTTGCCGGTACGATCATGTACTGAGTGTCTCGGCCAGAGCGACAAATTTTATCGCTGTTGCAGGGGTTTAGTTTGCTGACCCCTCGATGTTTCTCCAAGCGCTGCCACTTACTCCACGAAGTCATACTCACCCCAACTAAGGTAAAACAGTGATGAGGCTTGAGTGAATGGCCATAAGCACGAGAAATGTGCCGGCTGCAACGCCTGACTGATCTCATCGAGTCGAAATTACCGTCGCAGCGACATCAGCGAAGAAATTGCGTCTAGTTCAAAAATTCCAGCTTCCAATAACAGAAAATAGAACTTTGCCGTCACCCTATACTGATGACCATCGTCTATGTCCAATTCCTTGCCTCTGGTACGAGTGCTGGTAAGTAAATACCCCGTTTTATATCAAAAGTCAAACTGCGACAATTTCGATGACGCGGAGGAAGTACAAAAACTGCATTGTACATGTACTAGGGAAACAAAATATAGAAGACTCCCATATACCACGATGACGTCACATCACCACAACATCCACACCACAATTCTAAAATAGTACAGTAATCTGCAATCAGCCACAATTCACAGCAACCATATACTAGTAAGCACTAACAAGGAAAATAGAACCATGTACTTGGAAGTATCCCCGTACAACTTTCCCTGTAACAGTCTTCCACATTCTTCCGCAGATACGGCTAAACGCGGTGGACAGGGGTCGGCAGCCGCCTGCTCGTTAGAACTATTAGTTACAAGACAGAAGAGGCAGCACTTGCATACGTACCAGCGAGACGGCTAATAACATCCTGTCTGCGTTGTTGAAGCTTGGCCCGTGTGTCATCGACTGTCTCCTGTTCCGGGGCGTAGGTAACATGTAGCTGACTGCCAAAGAAGGAACGATTGTCCAGTTTGCGCTTTGCGATCCTGCAGCCGTCAAGACCAAGCATGATAACAATGGCATGAACACGTACTTCATCAATACAGAGAGGCTATGATACACTTGACGTGGACGTGAACGAGAGTGGCTGCATACTCAGATCGACCAGTCACATATTTTCTGTTATTGATGCAAAAAGCCTTTGATTTGAGTTCAGCGTAATGTTGAAGTTGCTGTGGCTCTACGTTATGGAAACGGGACGCGAAGATTCCCTTGATTACTCTTTGCATTCCTATTCTGCTCTACGCTCGTGCAAAGAAATCACATGGAATGTGTACTGGGAATTTCCCGTTCCAGCAGCAGAATCGTACACATTTTCTTGACGTGTGCCGCAACGTAGAGAATCTCATCTAAGCGTAGAAATTTGGACCCAAAAGACGCGAAGCAGTAGACTCTAACCCAGTAGGTTTGACGTAAAGAGACCGTCTCACAACTACAATAGACTGTACATGTATTGATGTGACTCACCTGCCTGCAGAAATGTTCCGGAAAACAACAAGGAATGCTTCCGTGAATTCCTCGCGCGGATAGTCCTCCAGGCGCTTGCAACTGTATCATCCGGGAAAACGGGAAACGAGAACAAAGAAAGCAGCCAGGAGCCACTCAGCACCAATATTCTGTTGGGTCCAAAGAGCCTGTGACCAATACATTACACGTCCTGCATGTGTGCCTTGCACCTCCTGGATGGGCCACTGTGTGCCTTGCACCTCCTGGATGGGCCACTGTGTGCCTTGCACCTCCAGGATGGGCCACTGTGTGCCTTGTACCTCCTGGATGGGCCACTGTGTGCCTTGCACCTCCTGGATGAGCCACTGTGTGCCTTGTACCTCCTGGATGGACCACTGTGTGCCTTGCACCTCCTGGATGGGCCACGGTGTGCCTTGCACCTCCTGGATGGGCCACTGTGTGCCTTGCACCTCCTGGATGGGCCACTATGTGCCTTGCACCTCCTGGATGGGCCACTGTGTGCCTTGCACCTCCTGGATGGACCACTGTGTGCCTTGCACCTCCTGGATGGACCACTGTGTGCCTTGCACCTCCTGGATGGGCCACTGTGTGCCTTGTACCTCCTGGATGGGCCACTGTGTGCCTTGTACCTCCTGGATGGGCCACTGTGTGCCTTGTACCTCCTGGATGGGCCACTGTGTGCCTTGTACCTCCTGGATGGGCCACTGTGTGCCTTGTACCTCCTGGATGGGCCACTGTGTGCCTTGTACCTCCTGGATGGGCCACTGTGTGCCTTGTACCTCCTGGATGGACCACTGTGTGCCTTGCACCTCCTGGATGGACCACTGTGTGCCTTGCACCTCCTGGATGGGCCACTGTGTGCCTTGTACCTCCTGGATGGGCCACTGTGTGCCTTGTACCTCCTGGATGGGCCACTGTGTGCCTTGTACCTCCTGGATGGGCCACTGTGTGCCTTGTACCTCCTGGATGGGCCACTGTGTGCCTTGTACCTCCTGGATGAGCCACTGTGTGCCTTGTACCTCCTGGATGGGCCACTGTGTGCCTTGTACCTCCTGGATGGGCCACTGTGTGCCTTGTACCTCCTGGATGGGCCACTGTGTGCCTTGTACCTCCTGGATGGGCCACTGTGTGCCTTGTACCTCCTGGATGGGCCACTGTGTGCCTTGTACCTCCTGGATGGGCCACTGTGTGCCTTGTACCTCCTGGATGGGCCACTGTGTGCCTTGTACCTCCTGGATGGGCCACTGTGTGCCTTGTACCTCCTGGATGGGCCACTGTGTGCCTTGTACCTCCTGGATGGGCCACTGTGTGCCTTGTACCTCCTGGATGGGCCACTGTGTGCCTTGTACCTCCTGGATGAGCCACTGTGTGCCTTGTACCTCCTGGATGGGCCACTGTGTGCCTTGTACCTCCTGGATGGGCCACTGTGTGCCTTGTACCTCCTGGATGGGCCACTGTGTGCCTTGTACCTCCTGGATGGGCCACTGTGTGCCTTGTACCTCCTGGATGGGCCACTGTGTGCCTTGTACCTCCTGGATGGGCCACTGTGTGCCTTGTACCTCCTGGATGGGCCACTGTGTGCCTTGCACCTCCTGGATGGGCCACTGTGTGCCTTGCACCTCCTGGATGGGCCACTGTGTGCCTTGCACCTCCTGGATGGGCCACTGTGTGCCTTGCACCTCCTGGATGGGCCACTGTGTGCCTTGCACCTCCTGGATGGGCCACTGTGTGCCTTGCACCTCCTGGATGGGCCACTGTGTGCCTTGTACCTCCTGGATGGGCCACTGTGTGCCTTGTACCTCCTGGATGGGCCACTGTGTGCCTTGTACCTCCTGGATGGGCCACTGTGTGCCTTGCACCTCCTGGATGGGCCACTGTGTGCCTTGCACCTCCTGGATGGGCCACTGTGTGCCTTGCACCTCCTGGATGGGCCACTGTGTGCCTTGCACCTCCTGGATGGGCCACTGTGTGCCTTGCACCTCCTGGATGGGCCACCGTGTGCCTTGTACCTCCTGGATGGGCCACTGTGTGCCTTGCACCTCCTGGATGGGCCACTGTGTGCCACTTACTAGTACTAGTTACTACTAGTTACCACTACAGTGAAACAGTTCAGTAAAACGTAGTAGTACCTCCAGCGGGCAACACACAAATCAGTACTGTATAGCCAAGGGTACTGTATGTCCAAAGTCCAATTACTGGGAAAGGACTCGCGGAGTCCTCAAAAAGTACTTCATATCCGACACACAGGAAAAGGTATGTTATAACCAGTACACATTGTCATATACTCGTACTACATGCTGCACTGCTTCACTGTACATGTACACACGGACAACTCGAACAACTCGACTACAGTAAAACCTATCAAGGCGACCACCTGGCCTTGAGCACTACTGGATTCAGGACCAAAGGATGTCATTTCCACTGAATTTTCCAGTCAAACGCCCATGGATAAGGGGGCCACCTGCGCACAGGGACACCATGTGTAACTGTAAGGTCACCCTGAACAGTCTCCTTAGACAGGTTTCACTATATGCTATGTTACCTGATTCCGGAATACTAGTACTGCTGTGTATGCATTCACAGTGACTGCAGGGCGGGGGGGGGGGGGGGGGGGGGTCTGCATCTACTAGTACCCTACTCCAGTGCAGCAGCATGCCATGCAAACTGGTTACCCGACGAGCAAGTGTAGGGTGTGCATATGTAGCTAACGGTCTTGACCAACATACTCCGTGTAGTGTACAGCAAGTGACTGTGTGCATAGTGTGTGTGGGGGGGGGGGAGAAAGAGGGAGGGAGGGAGAGAGGGAGAGGGAGAGAGAGAGAGAGAGAGAGAGAGAGAGAGAGAGAGAGAGAGAGAGAGAGAGAGAGAGAGAGAGAGAGAGAGAGAGAGAGAGAGAGAGAGAGAGAGAGAGAGAGAGAGAGAGAGAGAGAGAGAGAGAGAGAGAGAGAGAGAGAGAGAGAGAGAGAGAGAGAGAGAGAGAGAGAGAGAGCATGCGTGCGTGTGGAATGAATGCCATTCTCTCTATCTACACTATGCTGTACCTGAGTGAGCTGAACTGGGTGCAAAGCTGTGTAAGCTCAGTGTCAACATTAATCGCCGGCACGTTGAGAATGAGCAGGTAGCGCGACTCTTGGTTTACCGTGTATGCCTGCAAAATAAATCAAGCAGCCGCACAAAGGGTAAAAACCACTAAAACCAGGTGGCATTCCATCGCCCAAGAGCGCTCAAGACCCACACAGGGCGGAGCTTTCCTCACGTACGGTGATGGGTAGGGAGCATCTTGATTTCTACGCTGTTAGGGGCGAAACTGCCATTTAGCGTGCATGGCCTATAACATTACACGGGTATTGACTATTGTTGTGTAGGACATGGTTGCTACCGTATATAAATGAATTAAAATGATTAATTTTGGTGGTGGTGGTGGTGGGGGTTGCAATAAACGGCAATGGCCGGCCGTCCCTCAATAGTACACTGAACCATTTACACCTTGATTTTATACGCACGAGAATCTGCACGAAAACACTCAGAATTGTCGGTAACAGCTAAACGATTTCCATGGAATTTCCAGTGCAGCTTGGCTGAATATATTTAAAAAAATGTGAACTGAACTTCGAAACATACGTAGTAAAGAATGTCTAACTAAAGCAGTAGCTCGGACGAGCTCCTATATCCTACCAAAAACTGAAGCACAATGACTTGCTGGATAGACATTTCATTCTAGTACACTACGGACTCTAACGAAAGCAGTCAGATACCAGTACGCAATACAATACTTGGGATAAACCGATTAGGAAAATAGTAGAACATGTGGAGTTGTGTCTCACCTTCACCGCGCGTTCCCATCTCGCTTCTCTGTAATTTGGTCGAGAGGCAGACACCTCAGATTTCTGGTGGTGTGGCCGTTTACGCATGTCGTTATAATACAAGACAGCAGCAGCACAACCAGTTTACCAAGTGCATGTACAAAGTACAATCTGAAATAATTGGTGCCAAACAAATCTCGAGCAAAATCATTGTGCAAACGCCACGTGATTTTTGGGGATTTTTGAAAAATGCCAGAAAATGCCAGAAAAATCTCGATCTCGCAGTACGAGTTGATTTGTAAAAATGTTACATGGCATTATTTATTATTTTACAAATCGAGTAAAATATCACTGTTGAGGACGATTGCATTCTTCCCATGAAGTGTTTAGCGGAATTGTTTTCTTCCACGGCCTTGTGAGATGTCAATCATGGATCGAAATTCGTGAATTTGTGGTCAATGAGGTAAAATATCCCTCAATGGATGCTTGAAGGACGTCCAAGAGCCAGCGAGAATATTCTACGGCAGGTGGAAACCCTAGGCTGGTCACCGATGCCAGCATTGAGTCTGTCACACCGTCAAAGTAGCAGGGCTGAAGAAGAGATTAGCCAAAAAGGTGAAGGTCAGAAACTGCAATTTTGACAAAAGGTGTCTTTCACTCACCTATCATGAAAGGTGATTCAAATCCAAGTCCGAAGCTGCTGATGCTTATGGCATACAGGTTAATAATTAGCTGTTCAGTAGAGCTGCGTATGAAACTCAGCTTGCTACCTCAGAAGTGCTGGTAGAGATTCACGATGGCAAAGTGCAAATTCAGGAAATGCGGCATGAATGTATGTTGGGTGTTGACGGCAGAGCACCAATTGAGGTTGGTCTGCAGTCTTTTTCCAACACAGAAGTATTATGAATCAGGTGAAGAAGTCACTGCACTTGTCTTGGAGAGTATGGAAGCCCCAACATTGTCAGTATGTGCCGGTTAAATGCACTGTGGCCCAGATGCACAAAGGCACCCTGTCGTGGGACGGCCGGCGCGCATCATGGTTGGTATTTTGCTTAGTGTGGTTATTTCACGTAAGAGGATGCACTGCCAGTTGAAATAAATGGAGCAGCAAGATAAGGTCTGCGTTCTCATGCTCTACAATGCCGGCAGGCGGTCAAAGATACCCTACCGTTTGGAACCGCAATTGACGACGTACAGAAACCAATACGTAGGGCAACCTGCAGAACCAGTCTGCTTTCTCTGCATGTGACTTGCTTCAGATGTATCTTGATTTCCCATTGCAAGCTTATTGACACATTAAGGTCATAGTTGTTGATGTTAGACCCTATTTTACTGACTTGTAAAATTGTGTACACACTTTTTCTGGGTGAAAAAATGCATGCAAATCAACCCCACACTGTGTCTCTCATGTTTGTGGTGTTCGATCAAGAAATCCATACGTGGATAGAGGACATACATAGTGACAGAATGAGACCATGCACACTTCAAAACTCGCTAGGGCAACGGAATGATAGCCTTTTTTACTTTCATGTAAAATTATTACAAATCACCTCGTACTGGCGCATGGCCGGCTGGTCTGTTTCGGCATGTCAGATGTAGGCTACTGAGTATTATATTATTAGAGTTTACATGCAGTTGTTCAACTACAATGTACATGATTGTACTTCTACTTTCTTGCATGTATTGTATGTACCAGCAAACCCTGAGTACTTACATTGCATAACCCCATAAAAATCACTTACTGTACAAAAGTAGTCTGTATCTTTGACTTGAAACCAAAACCGGGCCTTCAGGCAGAATTTCCCGGCAAACTCCGACTTGAAGGAAACATACCCTGATGGCATTGCAGCCACTTCGACCAAGCCGAGCCTATTTAATTACAAGCAATTTCCCTGGGCTACCGGTAACCCGGAGGTGGAAAATAATGCCGAGCTTCCGAGAACTGATGTAGCTTGCAGAAACGGTTGGGCTTTTCAAACCGTAGGCTGCTTTGTCACTTGTCACGAAAGATACCCCCCCCCCCCTCCGGATCTCTCTCTCTCTCTTTCCTCCATTAAATACACTGCTGTCCGACACATGCAACCTCGGCCATCACCACGGCTTCAAATCAACACAATACTTCCCTGGTTCCCGGACTACATGTATATGATTGGCTAATGCAGTCCGAGAATCTGACGGTGCTGGCCCGTGGGCCCGGCAGATAAGGCTTTGAAGATGACACAGTGGACAGTGGCATACGACTAGTCCCTCGCTACCAGATCACATCACGGCTCCGATAATATTACGTGCACACGTATTATGATTACACCATGCCAACGTGGAATAAAGAATAAACTGAGAACAGTCACCGGGTGTATTCTAACTTTTTAAAAGTAAACCGAAGTCACCATGGTCACGGTCTCAGTGTAATAAAGCCTTTCTCATTATAGAAGCCTGTTTTGAATAGAAGCCTGATTTTTCAAGATACACCGTCGGCACGGCATAAGCCTGGTTTTATTGTTGCCACACATAGAAACACCCGGCAGGTTTGAATAGAAGCCTGATGTGAATAGAGGCCTGACATGAATAGAAGCCTGGCCCTGATATCGGCTTCTACAGGAATACGCCCAGCTTTACTCGACATTACGGTGTGCAGCAACTGGCACTGGTTATGGGAGAGACAAGCAGCAGTGCTGACCAATTACAAATTTACAATATCAGTGGTGGTATAGGGACAGTATGACAGAGGCATGTATGACTCCGGGAAGCTCAGAGTCCGCAATCGGAATACTATAATCCAACTACACCCTGTATTAGGCTATAAGCAGTGACTGGGAACTCTTGTCAACAGACATGATCCATGCGTGCAGTATGTTGCTGGGCCATGGGGGTGGGTTTTTTGGAACACTTGGGAAAAATATTCATTGTGTTTATTTTGCCCGTAAAAGAGGTTATAGCGCTATACTACAAAAAAGAAGAAGAAGAAAGTATGTTTTTGGCTGCACAGTACTCATCAGAAGAATACTACAGTCCATTTCAAAACTATAGTAGTATAGACGCGTACGAGTACCTAGGCAAAAACCGTTATGCCAGCATCTATACCACATAAAATCTGTGATCACTTTGTGCATAATTTTTTCTAAATTGGGCGTCTGTTATCCAATCGTTTAGAAACTATATGAGAGTAATTGTGGAGCGGACCGGAGCAATATTCCGAAAACTATTCTCAAAAAGTTCCAGCCAAATTTGAAATATTTCACAAACACTATAGCTTTGAAATGGACTGTAGTATAAAATATTCGTTCGTTCGTCAAAGCAATATTCGAGAGAACATTTGTTCGAAGAAAACACCATTCGTTGCATCACTAGTATCTACATGTGTGCATGCCTGTCATGCGCATGCGGCATTGTGAGAGTTACTTACCACGTACATGTATATGCTGTAACACCATTCATGGCATTGTTTCCCAGCGGCTCTACACTCCTGATGATAGGCATAGACTGGAAATGTTGGATGAATGAAAAGAACTGAGTTTCGGTGAGCACCACCGCAATTATTTGAGTCGTAGCCACTAGCACTACACCTTTTTAGTATTTGAGGTTACACTTAAAGGGCAAAATCAAAAGTTCACCAGTTGTAGTCTTCGGGGTGCTGAGTCGAATGGTCGTGGTCCGAGGAAGCTGAGACGCTCCCTTCCTACTTTAATCCCAATCGAACTCGCGCACTTCCACCGAAACTGGGTGACTGCGCCCTACTAGATGGGGATTTGTATGCAAAATGTCACTAAAAGCGCCATTTCGTTCTTATAAAAGCACGGATGACCGCGATTGGCCCATATGTTGTAGTCTTTTGGACGCTGAGTCGACTGGTTTTGGTCCGAAAAGGCTGCGATGCAGCGTTCCTCCTTTATTCCCAATCGAACATGGTTGAATAAGCGGTCACGTGATCCTGCGTACACCAGTCACCTGGTCACCGTGCCTGCAGGGTACAACTTACTAGCCTGTTTGACCTTTTTTGGGTGCACTCCTGTCACTCGAGTTGAACTCGAGTTGAACCTTGGTGTGAAAGTTGTCGCCTGCTGGCGTGGTGACCAGGTGATTTGGGCATCCAGGAGCACGTGACCGCTTCTTCAACCATGTTTGATTGGGAATAAAGGAGGAACGCTGCATCGCAGCCTTTTCGGACCAAAACCAGTCGACTCAGCGTCCAAAAGACTACAACATATGGGCCAATCGCGGTCATCCGTGCTTTTATAAGAACGGAATGGCGCTTTTAGTGACATTTTGCATACAAATCCCCATCTAGTAGGGCGCAGTCACCCAGTTTCGGTGGAAGTGCGCGAGTTCGATTGGGATTCAAGTAGGAAGGGAGCGTCTCAGCTTTCTCGGACCAAGACCATTCGACTCAGCACCCCGAAGACTACAACTGGTGAAATTTTGATTTTGCCGTAACTTCCCCTTTAATTCAATTTTAATTCTGATACGCTCTTGATATCAATAGCATGCTCAGTTAAGAGGCTGATTATAGCTGAACATGATAGAAATTCATGAAGGCATAATTGCGGTACTACCGTAAAGTACCGTTGATCCCCCCCCCCCCCCACGCCAATGTCGCTTCCCAGCTGGGTTTTCGGCAGGGGGCAGGAATTAGATCAAGGCTGTCAAGTGCAGTACGATGTACAACAACGTAGAAGTTCAGACTCGATGTGCTGAATTGTGCACATTTGTGGGATAATGAGGTAACAAACCGGGAGTTTTAGACGGTTTCGCGACCTCAGACCACTAAATTCGAGAGGAGAAAAAGCATTGTTATTCTGGAAGGAGTTCTTGAGTAACTGACAGGGAAAAACTAGGACCGAGAGAGAAAACCCTAAAAGAGGAGAGAAGAAAATGGCAACCGTAAAAGGGATGATGCGCTACGGTACAACGTTACCGTAAAATGCGTAGTAGTACCAGCGGTTGACACTTTGGGCAACTCGTTAGTACGGCGTGCAATGCAAATAAGGCAACGATAAAATATAATGAGAAAAGCAGTGGAAAACAATAAATTTGATTGCCGGGGTCCTGTGACTGAGTGGAGACGCCACACATTTTCATCCTGGATTGGCAAATATTGTGTACAGCAGTGCATGCGTCGGTTCAACATCGTATTTTCGTTGTATACGCCGAAGTCGCTTCAAAGGTAGAAAATCGACAGGGGGCGGGAATTAGAGAGGGGGCGGATCAACGGTACTTTACGGTATGTCTTCATGAATGTCTGATGTACCGAGACCATTGCAATTCTGGCGATATTTGAAAGCCCAATGTGCAAAACAGTAACTCTGGGCTGGCACATGAAATCTGACCTCATGACTGACTATAAAGCAGAGCAGAGGTCACAGCACAGGACAGTGTTTATAGTGCTACCAAGAGTATATTATATCTTGGTGCTACATGTAGAGCCGCACACCTTCAGTGCTGTTCATACAATCACTACACGTGTACATTACATGAGGTCGGATTTCATCTGCCATCACTGCATGCACTCTGCATAATGTTTAGCCAAATTTGGGATAAAAACCCAAAAGACTACAGGCAAGGAGTTGAGTGGTCTTGATCTGAGCAGGCTAACATTATGGCGCATCATCCACCTTAATAATTCCCAATGCATCGATCATTCGGGGCATAGGTGATATCAAGAGGGCATAATCCCCATGGGTTATGTACGAGCGTACTCTTGATGATATCACAGAATTCCAGATGATGACACCGAAGTGGGCCACTGGCATCCTTCAAATTCATTTTGAGTGCATACACTGCACATACCCAGCTTCTTTGGAGCAAAGGAGCGAAGTCTCAGCGCCCCAAAGGACAACTGGTTCAGAAACTTCCATCCATGCAATACTTCCCATTTCCGTTCGCCTAATTTGGACACTTTCACAGCACCCGTTGAAGCGGTGGCCGCAATGATGTCACAGGCTCAATCGGTGTAAATATGGAGCACACACACACAATAGTGAAAGCTCATGAATGTTGCGCCAGGGCCGCCTCGGACCAAGACCATACTTCAGTAATTTTGATTCAGTGTCCAGAAGACGACAGGATCTGAATGTTGAGTTTACGCCAAAGTTCCCGTCCACCCAGTGCTTTCACACAGCAACAGCGTTGACCCATCAAAGACACAGTCTAGCATCACAGTACAAGGAGGGCTTTGTCAGGGTTGTTCTTCTATATCATAAAATATAACTACAGTATGTCCTAGCATAAGTCGACTTCTGTCCAGTAGTTCGGCCATAACAAGTTTATTGTACTAACAAAAGCAACATCTTTCTTAGGAAAAGCTTGATCTATCTTCTCTCTAACCATGTGTAAATTTGTAGAAATTTCGTTTTGAGGCCAGCACCTCCTGTCTTTCTGCTGGAAAATAACATTGGTGCGCCGTTTAATAAACATATAGACTATATCCAGAATGTGTCATTTCAGCTGGAGGAGGATGGGAGGAACACTGGGACCGGGAATGGATTGCCCAAAAGCAATGGGGCAAAGGTAATTCGCTAAGGGGAAGATGACGATTGCAAACACTGGTGGAAACGAGGATAGCAAAGAAGGCAGCGGCATGATTTAAAATAAGACAAAAAGGAAGCGCGTACGAAATCATAGGGAAATATCCCATTGCTGCGATGCATGGTTCACATACCTCCCACTCTGGAGTCTGGGGCCGGGTGCTTCGGTGAAGTAGTCTGTAGCTCAGGCTGAAAGCACCGCGTCAACAACACCACACAGATCAAACACCGGGTCTTCTTGGAAATCACGAACGCCGGAGTTACACCATGTGCGTGTGTGTGTGTGTGTGTTCTGTCCGCCGTCCAGCCAGGAATGCGAACCAGACAGAGGTGTTGATACCAGCGGAGGGAACAACTGCTCTACTGACCGTGAGCCTTGGCCGAGTAGAGAAGAGAGCCAGAACCAGCAGTGAATCCGTATGCCAGGATAGAGAACGCCACAGACAGCTTCTTCATCATTGACTACAGCAACAAGAGAAGAACCAGCCAGGCAGCCAGGTAAACAAATCAATGCACAAAATACAACAGTGACACTCAATCCTGGATAAAACATGAAAAATAAAAATAAATTATTGTCTTCTCCTTGCATACACTATGATACTGAGGACGTCACAATGATCAATTTCATTGGCATACCGTATAAGCCCGTAACAAGACTCTGGGCGGGAATGTTAGTGAAGGTCCAGAACGTGGGTGTCAATTTGGGCCCGGACGCTAATATGCGCCCGGGCGTTATTTCGGACAAGTGAAATCAGACTTATTTTCACATCATGCCGTACTGCCGCATGTACGTATACGGATAGCAGAATGTACGGTACACTATGTTATAGTACAGTACCGTACATGCACGTGGAACTGTGCATGCACTGCACTGTGTACTGGGCCTGTGATTTCATCCATGGGCGTTTACGCGGAGGTGGGCTAGAAAATGGGACAAGAGTCTTGACACCCGGCACCTGGGCGTGTACACGGGCAGCGGGCGTTATACATGTACTGGGTGGGCGTTAATATGGGCTTTTACGGCATTGCGGGTTGACCGTGCCTTCCCTGTATCAAGAGTAATCCTGTCAAGTCAGGAAAGTGTGCACGGCAACCATGGAATGTACAGCTATGGCAAGTCTTACTCTACTACAGTCAACTTGGCTAAGAACGACTGCGCATATAACCACAATACGCGGAATAACGACAGAATTTCCGTGCCCAGAGCAAAGTCCCATCTAACCGTATTACGTATAATGAGACTTCAGGTGTAAGACACTTCGCGAATAAGGACACTTTTCCGATGCCCCACCGAGTGGCGTTACACGCAACGTTGACTGTATTCTCTCTTTTGTTGAAATTCCACTCTGTATTTCTCTTCTTTGTTCAACTGACTAGCTAGTGAGTCATAGTGCCTTGATTGCCGTTCTTCGTGGATTTTATCAGGCACATTGTTTCGTACTCAGTTCATTTCGTTTGCCCCCACGCAAGAGGCGTGAGTAGCAGAAGCAGCAGCGGCAAACTGTACACTTACATTCTCCATGGCGGTCATCGTCTCGTCCTTAGCACTCATATCACCTGCAGTCACAAAGCAGTCACAGAGCAGCAGCCGCAGTCACAGCCATTTTTCAAGAGAAAAATCACAGAGAAGATAGGGAAATGCGGACAGATGCAGAGCGGCAAGAGCAACAGAAAGTGAGAGAGGTAGCGGGAGCTGGGGAGAGGGAGATGGAGCGAGAAAAAGAAAGAGAGACTATGACGTCTGGTAAGAATATGACGATGATCTTGATTTTTGACATTCTTCTCATGCGGTTTGGCAGGACTTGCTGCACCGGTCCGACGACTCGGAAAGTACAGCGGATGATTTGTCCAGTAGTCAATATCTACTTTGCAATACAATACTAGTATATTCCTTATAGCGCAAACGTCAATCTCAGGCCAATCTAATGGAGAGAAATCCCCAACTTTGAACAAAGCTTGACCAACACCAGGCACAATATAACCCGCACACACCATGGACACGAACGGTACGCTTGAATGCAGCGATGATGCAGTATGCATGTCATACTGTGCGCAAACGGATGCATTCATTGGCCATCAGGTTCAGTGCGTCAGAGCACAAAACCCAATGCAACATACCTTGACTCTTCTTCCTGAACTCCATGTACCCCCAGAAGAGAATCATGCAGCCAACCCCTGCACCCAGAACGCCATAGGCCGCGCTGGAATTGAATGCTGCGAAGCGCGTTGCCTCATCGATTCCCAGAAACAGAGCAGTCCCTGAAAAAATGTTTAAAAAATAGCAACAGAGAAACACCATTGCAAGGAATCTACTGCTTCTAGCACGGCTATATACCTGGATCGTGTTGTTACCATGGTGTTCGCGCGCGCGCGCGCGCGTGTGTAGTGTGCGTGTGTAGTGTATGCGTGTGTGTGTGTGTGTGTGTGTGTGTGTGTGTGTGTGTGTGTGTGTGTGCGTGTTTGTATGAGTGTATTGCATTTGAATTTATGGATCCTCCATATGCCTAAGCAAAAATTGAGAGAGTCTTCGACTCTCCTTGCGTGTGCATACAGTCCACTCCTTATAATTATAACGAACACCATTGTGCAAGAGAATTAGTTCCTTGTAGCCGAAGTTCTATACAGTATAACAGAAACGCACTCACACCATACATGTACATGTAAGGAGCATGTCATGATTGTCATGTGGCCCATGCCGGTATGAGTACACTTTGGTACAGTCAAATCTGTCGTAAGCGACCGCCCCTTGGTGCAAGAAAAAAGCGGTCTCTTACGGCAGATGGTCTCTTACGGCAGATGGTCTCTTACGGCAGATGTATGGTAAATCCGGCATACCGGGCATGCGTATATGCTTCCATGTACTCAAATCGATGAGAATAATGTGATTTTTAATATCATTTTATTGGATATTCAATAGAATATAGGGGTGCACAAACCCAAGAATAGTGCACATACCAGGGCTAATCTTTTACATGTTCAGCCAGCTGTCAAGGCTTCCCTGTTCAAGTTCGGACTTCAGTAGATGGACACTGCCTGGACTTGAGAGCTACAGCGCAGCCTCAGTACAGGCCAGGGCCAGTCGATCGCACTTGCAAGACAGCGCATTTTCACACCTTGCAGTTGACAGCGCACTGGCAAGTACAGTTTCGCACCTGACTGAACCTGGGTCGCGGTCGCTTACAGCAGATTTGAATGCAGCCACCGTGCATGAAATCGCGGTCGCTGGTCGCGCACAGCAGATGGTCGCTCTGGACAGGTCAGTTTGTATGTGAAACCGTCGGTGCACGGAAAATCGGTCGCCTACAGCAGAGGTCGCTAACGGCAGATTTGACTGTATCATGCGGCCCCACAAGAAACTTAATTGGTTCGCTACAAATGAAAACAGTTCACTACAAAGGGTCACTATTGTTACTTTTGTATGGGTTCAAGCAGGGACATGGACAATGGTTCGCTATACACCACGAAATTTGCTATGTGCGAATTCGTTCTAAGCGGAGTCGACTGTATTTCAGAATGTACTACAGTGTGTGTGTGTGTGTGTGTGTGTGTGTGTGTGTGTGTGTGTGTGTGTGTGTGTGTGTGTGTGTGTATGTGTATGTATGTGTATGTGTGTGGGTGTGTGCGCGCGCATGCGCGTGCTGGTTTTATTCATTTTCATTTCCACGCTGAGCTACTGAAGCACGGTTTTCGGCTGTTCGGCCATGTCTGCAAAAACTCTTCAGTGCCAATCGGCCAAATTAACTGTGTGGTGCCCAGCCCAAAGACAGGTGACTTGAGCAAGTGTGATACCTGGAGAGGCAATGCCTTGATCAAGCCAGTCTTTTTTAATGCTTTCTTGTCTTTGTAGAAGAGCAAAATTAGCAATGTAGGGACAAACATCAGTAGTATGTGACCTGCATTCATGCATCGGTGGTTAGTGTGCAAAGGAAATAACAACATACAATAAGCAAAAACCATTTACTCAGTATCCAGGGGCGTCGGAAGGCAATTTAGTGTGGTACGGTCAGCCATCTGAAGTACAATTTACTCGTGGGTGAGGGGTGGCTGAGCCGAACATTTCGGAAATTTAGAGCCCAAATCAGTGGATTTTATTGATTCACGGGGTACTTGGGACAGATAGTGGTACGGTCAATACCGTAGTGACCGTACCGTGTGCGACGCCCCCTGGTATAATTCGATCAGTATCACTGTCACTCAGTATCATTGCCACTCGGTAACATTCGATCAGTATCATTCGATTAGTATCGTGCCTCCATACTTACAGGCAAGGAACTGCACGAGAACAGCATTGCCACGATGGAACATGGTAAACATCGCACGCCTGCACAAAGACACACACACACACACACACACACACACACACACACACACACACGGCAATGTAATAAGATCACGTGTGTATCAAGTTTACGTCCTGCGCCAGTTCACATCACAGTGCTACCGGGTCTAGGACTGCACAGCGGCCGACGTGGCATTCACTGGCTTGATCAGATTTCACTGAGCACCGCTGCACTGTAGTCTGTAGTTAGTACAATCATGTATTAAACCTGGCTACAGTGAAACCTGTCGAAGACGACCGCTCAAGGGACCTGTAAAACGTGGTCTCTGTTACCAGGTGGTCTCCTTAGCCAGGGTCATTTGACTGGAAATAGCATCCCTTGGTCCTGGTTTCAGTGGTCTTCTAGGACAGGTGGTCACCTTATCCAGGTGGTCACCTTGACAGGTTTTACTGTACCTGGGTACATACTGGTATATAAGTTCAAAGATCATACTGAAGTAGGAGAACCCGTTGCCCTTTTAGCAGGTACTGTGTGAGTTCCACTAGCTCCTGCGTTTGCTTGGCATTAGGTGCAGTCTGTTTGCATGCCCGAGTGTGTTGATTCATGGCGGGGTGAGTGGGTGGTTGACTGTTGGGTGGTCGGCTGTTGGGTGATTCTATAGCTACGCTATCTTTCCATGTATCCGATACAATCACCACAACTGATTAGGCATTTTCCTTTTGATATTGCGTTCTGATACATGCAATGTCACTTTAGCCAATAATTATATTCTTACACCCAGTCATTCTATAGCCAATACAGACTGAGTACACTATAGGTATCAGGGGGTTCTGGGACAGTTGCACCGTCACAGGATGAAATTCATGAAACCATGCAAATTATTGCCAATTTTTCTGAATCAAGTGACAAGTACTTTTGACCTGTACCGCATGACCTTTGACCTCTTCCGGTACTTTTTTCTTTTTCTTCTGTGATGATGAGCGGATTCGAACCTGTGACTTATGGTTTTAAATACTGGAAGAGTTGTTCTTCTTCCTTCTCTCCTCTGTACCAGAGAAATAGAAGACAGGTGTGTGCTGGCAGGGTCGTTAAACTTTGTGCCCGCTCAGTGGGAAATTTTTGCAAATCGTTACACTTTCAACTCTTGCAGTAGTTCAAAAGTTGCGGAAGACATGTTATTATAACGAGTCGCAAATTTAACGATCGTCCAGAATCCATACGTTAACGATCTTGCCGTCTTCAGGCATATCCACACATAACACACATGCCACACATGAGGCATTACAGCCTCAACAGATCTTATAAGTAGTCTGCATGAAAACAACTTGCAGCTCTTCTTTTCTGAAGACTTGTGGATCCCCGGTGCCGCGAACTTATGATGAAATTGGTGTGACTATGACGTCAATCTTTCAGAAAGTTTTTGATATATCTTGCACGTTGCTCTCATTACTGTTTGTGATTTTGCTGCCTATGTTTGCGAAAGATCTCTACTGTTCGTCCTCATAACCTTTGAACCTTTGACTTATGTATCCTACTTGTATAGGAATCCTGGTGTTCTCGAATTTCTTCATTTCCACTATGGAACGCTCGGAGTCACTGGAACCCTCTCCCAAAAGGTCAAAGCTCAGTTTTGATCAGGGTACACTACTGGACAGCTTGGTAGTTTCGTTTATCGACCTCAGAGCAACCTCATCAATGTTCTTTCCTTTCTCTCCGACATCACTGTGAATTTGAGAGATTTGGAAGGGATCATGGTCGATGCATCCCCTCTGAGAGCAGCACAGAGAGTATGGTGTTGCTCAAGTAGGCATGCTCTGTACCAGTCTTCAGACCGAGAATTGGTAGAGGGCGCTACCTATAGTGAACATTGAACAAGGACCTGAATCGACGAATGACTATGACTACGACATGATGCCTCACACAGCGTTGCTGTACGTGAATGAAGGTGAACAGATGTTCGACATCAGACTACTGTTAGGTTCACAATTCCATGTATGCACGCACTCACACACCAATGACCTCTCCCCCATAATTGTATGCATGTACACACGCACTCTTACACACAACACTGCATGCACCCATTCCCATTCCCGCTTCTCGAATACGCTACGACTTCTTGCTCTCGCACTCTCCCCTCACTTTCCCGCATTCCCGTATAATTTGTTTGGCTTGGGTAGCTGCATTCGCGCTCTCGTACATTCATTGCCATAGCTACCCAGGCCCTTCATAACCTCGTGTCTTCAACTTTCTCATTCTCAATCTCATCATCTCGAGTCCCTCGTGCGACCTAAGAACCTTGACTTCTGCCGTGCCTGTGTGCGTGGCGCGAGTCAAAACACTACAGAGAAATGAAGATCAGCTTCAAGAAGAAGACCATCATACACTACTTCCAATCGACAGTATGGACTTGGCAGCATTAACCAACCTGATGTTTTTAAACAGGTTGGTTGAAAGGACTGTACTTTCTGCTTCAGAAAGGTCATTCTCTGTTTTTGGAACACCAAAAAGATACTGCACCATGATAACATGTTGCAATGTCTTTGAGTTGTGGCCCGGGGAAACCCTGGTGATCAAGAGGGCAAGGCACTCGCAGTCGCAAGGCCTGGTGGAGCAGGCGAATGCCACGGTGAAGAGGCTCATTGGTGCTTGTTGTGATGACAGGCATAGGCATGCACAGCGTTCAGGTTGGTAACTGCAAGATCAGCCTTGAATGATGATGATTCCTCTGCCAATAAGCCAGCCCCATAGGCTCAGGACAATCAGACACGAGACATTGGCAATAGTAGTGGTGATACTGAACATGTTGACGGAGAACACATCGTCCTTGCCACATCCGAAAAGCATTCAGAAGTGAGGAAGGATAAGCTCGCGGCAATCAGACAAGAGACATTGGCAGTAGTAATGGTGATACTGAACATATGGATGGAGAACACATTGTCCTTGCCATGTCTGCCAAGCATTCAGAAGTGAGGAAAGATAGGCTCGCGGCAATCAGGCAAGAGACATTGGCAGTAGTAGTGGTGACACTGAACATATGGACGGAGAACACATCGTCCTTGCCATGTCCGACAAGCATTCAGAAGTGAGGAAGGAGGCAAATATCCTATAGTCACATCTCAAGAAAGGGACCGTCCAAGCTTATCAATTGTTTTTTTAAGCGATTTTTTTCTGTTTTGAGGTAGATGGGTTTGAGGAGTTTTACCTGGAACATATTATTATTGAATGCACACGAAATTGCCCAAGTATACTACTATACTGGGTGCCAAACATTGAAAAAAAATATTATTTTTGTTTTATATTCATGTAGCATTTTCCATGCTCCTGCATTATGTACAATACAACGGAAATCCTGGCAATTGCACACTGTACATAGTAACAACTTACTTCTCGCCATCTGGAGGAGGCCGCAGGGCAGCACCGATCAGCTGAAAACACACACACACACGCAGACAGACAGACACACACCAACACACATGCACACACTCTGTACCTGTGACAATGCACTAAAGTAGGCCCTCTGTTTACACCTGTAGGCCCTCTGTTTACACCAAGTCCCTTGCCGTCATACTTGCCCGTTAATCTTTCCTGCCCCCAGGAGGAAAGCACACCCAATGCTCTGACTACCACGGTCAAGTGACACCGAGAGCAACTCACATGGGAAGGCTGCAATACAACGTGAATGACTTCTAATTTTAAACCATCCCCAACCACCGTGCAATGATCACCCTAACTGCCCAGTCATGCATTATAACACACACACACACACACACCCGCCCACACACAATAAGTTATTTTCCTCTCAGTCTTACCTGAAGGCCGGTCAGGACTAGGACGGTCAGGCCAACAGCGGAATGGGCACTAGGCTGTTACAAGCGTAGTGCAAGAAAAAACAAACGGCAGAAGAGATGACAGCAATGATGATGGGCAGTAAAAGTAGGGATGAAAGGAATGTTTGAGTGCAAGTTAAAGAACACCGTGTCCATTAGCTGCATTTCGTGGGTGTGAACTCCGTGTACGTCAATATAAAGCTCCAGATTGGCCCTAAATGAGCAGTGCAGTAGCGAACACTTCGTCACTTGATCCCGTACACACTTGCACCAGCACACACGGCTGGCTGACACCTTGTAAAAACATTGAAAATCACACCCGCAAGGCTCACTGCATCATGAAAATTACGTCACCTAATACTTGGAATTCTGCCGGGACAGCACTGCATGTGTGGGAGTTGCGTACCCTTCGGGGTTATGTCCTCTTCAGGGCCTGCTCTAGACATTCAACACAGCCCGGTCAGAGTGTACCTGGCGCATGCAGGTCAGCCGGGTCAGATCATCCGGCAGAAAAACAACCAAAAAGCCTGCTCAAAACTTGCAACTGTGTCAAAAGCTATAGCCAAAGTTACGCTTTTGACTGCCTGCCCCATCGACTTTCAATGTCCTGACTTCCTGCTCGCCGCTGGCCAGCTCGCGCTCGAACCAGTTGACCCAGGCCGAGTTTCTGTCGCTTGTAGACTGTAGTGTGTACGGTTGCGCTAGATTTGCAACAGATGGTGTCCCCGAGTCGTAAAATACCGGTATTTTAGGAATCCATTGTCAGTTTGAGACATTTTTCAGCCGGGTCAGACTGGACCCGGTGTTATCTGTTCAGCCAGGTCGTGCAGTTCCCCAGCCGGGCGCGTGACCCGGCTCTCCAGCAGGCCCTGCTCTTGATTTAGGGCCATATCCTCAAAGTTGATTTGCTCGCGGTCACGTGTCAGTGTTGCAACTTGGACACTTGAGGTGGGGAACCCCGAGTATCAAGTCATGCTCCTGTAGTGTGATTTCGCAATCTACCGTTGTGTGTGTCGTCTGGTTGGCAGTAAACGTCACTCACCTTCCAGGTTCCAGCATGAACACCAATGACAATGGCACCAGAGAGAGAACACAAGACAGAGATCAGCATGGTGATCCAGTGGACTTTGAACCAGGCACCACCGCCTCCGGCGGCACAGCGCATGAAGCGAGCGTTGAACATGCCGATCCCGGACAATGCTACCCAGGCGTAAATCATCACGCCGCCTGCGTGTGGCACACCGGATAGCAAAGACACACACAAGACACATGCAAAGACACACAAACACACACACACACACACACACACACACCAACACCCCAAAACACACACACAAACATGAGTGCACAGAACAATTTCTTAGCTGCTGCCACGAGTAAAAGAAAAGCAACGGAGGGCGTGTTTTAAATTTAGGCAAACCAGGCACGTAGATAACACCACAAACACACACACGCGCGCACGCACACCTGACAACGCAAGTTACAAAGGCCAATGAAAACTGCCGTGAGATTGTTTACTACACTCTTTCTGGCAAAAGCATTTTTGTTGTTCTGTCTCATTAGGAACTGCTGATTTGACTGCTCCAGTGAATCTGATCTGAATCTAGGTTGAACGATCGGACGAACCCTCCGCCAAACTGAATTTTCCGCATCCGTAAGAACGCCACCACCCTCAAGGATCAAGGCACAGGTGCAGATAATGAAGTGGTGGATGGGAGTAGATTACCCCCACCAAAAAGCTGTGAAAGACCAAAAATCTCATCCGTTGCATCATGTCACCCTCACGCCAGATCAAAAGTTCCCAACTGACTTTGGGTCGCAGCATGGTAAGACCCTTCCCCCATGCAAGAAGAACTTGGACCAGGTACCCTCTGTTACTCAGTCATGGCACGTGACTGGCCACCACTGTTAAATAAATTGACGTAACTTTTACAACGGATCAGTCGGGGAAGTGAACTGTCTGAAAAGAGAACAAAATGCCAGACCCACCCGGACTCGAACACGGGACCTTGCTTGTCATGCGCAATGTCTCTGTAACCAACTGAGCTATGTGACCAGGCCAAAACTAGAAGGCGCTGACAAGTTTTTCACTCCAAAGGCAGCCCACAACTTTCGGCCTGGTCCCATAGCTGAGGTGGTCAGAGCATTGCTCAGGAGAAGCAAGGTCCCGGGTTTGAGTCCTGGTGGGTCTGGCATTTTTTTCTCTCTTTTCAGGCAGTTCATTTCCCCGACTGATACTTTGAATTGGAAGTTCTCCCAATCCGTTAAAAATACTGGTAGTAACTTTTACAAATCACCAATCTCGGTGGATAATGCAGCACCTAAATTATGTAGGTCAAAGCTAAAGCACGTTTTGTATGCACTGTACTGTACTTGCAAGGCGGTAGTTTTACGTTCTACCTAAATTTCACTGTAAGAAGAAAGAGGACCAAAGAGCTACAAGTTACGCTATGATATCCACTAACACCACCATTTGCTTTACAATCAGCTCATGCGATAGCATTGCACAATATTATAGCGTATCTAATAGCTCTTTGGTCCTCTTTCTTCTTATAAATCTATCCTTGGCTCTCCACTCGAGTCTAAATTTTAGGGGTGAAAGTTGGCACTGAGATCCCGAGTTCGAGTACTCTGATTTTCTCCGATCGAATATTCGAGTATTTTTCATCTCCTAAAAATTGCACACCAAGGGCTTTAAAATAACATTATACAACCCTGATTGAACCGAGTAGCAGTCATTTTTCTCGGGTATATTGGTTGGTGGGTCATTTGGGCTCTCTCTACTCGTGAACAAATGTTCACCACACAGCCTGCACATCACCATCTGCCGACTGCTGCCCTGAAACTGCAGATTTCTGTAGTAAATGCATGTACCATGTATGAACGAGCACTCTGATTTATTCCGAGAACGATTATTTTTGAAAAAACCGAGCGAGTACTCGAGTACTCGGTATAAATGTTTCACCTCTACTAAATTTCATTGTGTAATATTATTGTACAGTAACAGTATACCTTCTGGTGTAAACGCACACGACTGTTATTATTGGCACACATGTGTAGCACACCTACCATGGCCAATGATGAGACCAATGGACGCCGTCTTAGAACCAATGTTCTCCAGGGAAGAGGCGGAAATGGGCTGTTGGGAGAGAGTAGGCAACACAGCGTGCTGCGTTGCTAGTCCAGCGTTCGAAGCAGCTAAACACGCGGCAAGAACAAACAAACAAAAACACCCACAAACAGAGAATCGATGGTTGCACGAAGCACCATACAGATTCAGTTGGACACGATGCACCTTGTCTAGGTTGAAACGTTTCCTTAAAAAATACTGGGGCTATGTAGTAATGCATGTACAGTAAAACCTGCCCTAACCGGACGCCCTTGGTGCAGCTGAAACTGTCCTGAAATGACAGGATTCCACTTGATCCAGGGATGCACGTTCGATCCACAGCACTTTGGTGCATGGAAATTCGTCCAGTCAATACAGGATTCCACTTGGTACAGGGTCCAGCAAACACAGGTTTCACTGACTACAAGTTTGGGGACAATTATACACGTTTCAACAAATCAGAAATAAACTGCCATGGTGGCTAGACACACAAACACCCAACCACACCCTAGACCTAAAGACATCCATTGCCGAGGCGGTGACAACGATCGTGCAGCAGACGCAATAGCAACTTGTACTGGGTGTAGCAAGACGAATTGCATCACCCACCACCTATTTTTTGGTCTTTAGATTTGTTTTCATCTGTTCATGCACACATGCACCCCCCCCCCCCCACACACACACACACGAGCATGGCTAGAGAACTGAGAGAGGAAACAGGGCATAATACACGTTTGGGCACTTGGCACACAAAATACTCCAGCATGCACTGGCTGCTGATATCATCCACCCATGAGAATGGAAGAAAAGTCAGGAACAGAAAGAGAAGAAAGAAATGAATAGAACCCATAACTGTTTGATAGGAAACGACTGCACATCCCGTTGCAACATATGGGACACACACACACACACACTCACCATTTGACGCCCATCGCCAGAGGCGATAATAGTGATGCTACAGCAGAAGCCATCGCAACTTGTGCTGGGATCGCACCATTCAACAGCTTCCAAGGCTAGTTTTTTTTCTGGCCAGTGAATCCCTACACATGCACACACGTACGCACACACAGCATCGTTCCAGGCTGCACGTGAGCAATGCTGTAGCCTACCTGTCCCACTGGGGTGGCTGGTAAAGAAGAGCGTGTACGCCTGGCTGAGATCAAAGTCTTGGCTACCGCTTCCATTTATAGTGCGATGGAACCTGCAGAGAGTCACGCGCAAGGTCAAACGCCAGAAAATTGCAGCAAAGCTAAACCAACGACTACTACTTACCAAACTCAACCACATCACTACCGGTACCAGGGGCGTCGGACGGTATATTTTTTAGTGTGGTACGGTCAGCCATCTGAAGTACAATTTACTCGTGGGGGAGGGATGGCTGAGCCGAAAATCTTGGAAATTTAGAGCCCAAATCAGTGGATTTTATTGATTCACAGGGTACTTGGGGCAAATAGTGGTACGGCCAATACCGTAGTGACCGTACCATGTGCGACGCCCCTGGGTACTGTATTCTGACATAATTATGTTATACCTAAAATTTCAATAGGTGCACAAATACTGACATGCACATCATCCAATACAGTAGAGTCGTACGCCCAAGAACGCGGTTTCAGAGGGCCAGCCTAGCAAAGTTCTTATTTTTCAGCGCCCCAGGCTACGTTCTTATTTCGCGTTCTTACGCGTCCAACATGACCCGTGACGCTCATGTACAATGCACTTTGCGCTACATGTACCGGTTGTACACTTTACATGCACGTGTAGTATGTAGCGCTGCACTGGGTGATATTTTCGCGAGGACCCGATAATATTTTGTGGTTGCGGACTTGTTTTTCGTGTACTCGGACAAGATCATGAAGGTGCAATCCGCTTGCAAAACAAACCGGTGCTCAGATATCACGTCTCTTTCTGTCTCTCCTTTTCAGAAGATTGCATTGTAGTTATTAGCTCTTAAATCCACGCTGGGGCGTTCTTAGATTTCCAGCCTGGACGTTCTTGGGCGCCACGTTCTTGGGCGTACGATTCTACTGTAGGGAACTGCTTCTCTGTACCTTTCTATTCACCTAACATGCTCTTTTGGCCCTCATACCTAAATTTTTGAGCACCTGAAATTTCTGAAATTTGGGTATTCAGTAGTGTGAGGGAATGGACAGGGAGAAAGTTGCATGAAAAACTAGACTGTCAACACCAGGACTTGAACCAGGGACCAATAAGCCAGGGTGTAGCAGTCAACCAAGCCGAGGCTGTTCAACATTTTCTTCAAACTTCGAAACTCACACTTCATCTGGAACTACAGAGCGTGATGGGACGTAGCCCCCCGCTTCACCCACACAATACCAATCATGATACCAACCCCATGGACAGCACTAGCCTCTACCCATCCCTTGTGTGTATGTGTGTGTGTGCGCACGCGCGTGCGCGCGCATGTGATTTTTGAACTGACCGGCAAGAGATAACGCCATCGACCAGAGTTGCTTCCTCGTTTTTGAGGCCCTGCAGACGTACCCAATGACACAATCCAAAAAGAAAACAATGAGCGGACACGCTACTGGCGTTGTAAAGCACCATTGTATTCATTGGCCCTGGCATTGTACTCCCTTGACACATTTGACATGCACAACTTTTTTTATTAAACAGGAAAAAACTTGTTTCTGCGTTGGCACAAAATGTGCATAGTCATGCAAATTGCTTGCATACGGTGACACTCCTGTCTATGCCATGAACACGGCCAGTGGCCACACATCTGCAGCAGAACGTGGAGACGCACCTCGTTGAGGGCGGCATTGAACAGGTTGGCATAGCCGCTGTTGAAGAGGTTCTTGGCGTAGACACGGCCGACAGCGTCATGCTGACAGGCAAACACATCATCATCACCCTGCATGCAACAAAGAACCACAGCAGCGCACGAACACAAAATAGTGATAACGAGGCTCAAGTGAACAAAACATCAAGGCTCGCGTCAGAGTCAACCAGACTGAGTTTTCCGCAGCCGTAGGAGAGCAGCCAGCCTCAAGGATCAAGGCACAGATGCTGCTCCTAAAGCGATGGGATGTACTTGTACAAGTAAAAAAAAGAGATCAGACCTACCACAAATGAGGTTAAAATAAGATGAAACAAAATCCTAGTGTGAGTGCTTGCTACTGCATTTGGGCCCAATTTCCCAAAAAAAATCACGGGGGGGGGGGGGGGAGAGAGCCCCGGACGCCTCCCCGCCTCTTCATGGCTGCACCAATTTGGAATACCAATACTCAAACTAGTGCCGGTATTATACATTTCGCATGTCGGCATATCGTAAGAATTTTTTTAAATAACAAGCATCCCCCCACCTCACAACAGAGCAACCGAGTTTTGGATTAAGCTGGGAGTGCCGATTCGAGCAACTGGTATGATGGCTCTGCTTGGAGCCGCTAGCTGGCTCGCAGCTGAGCCAGCAAATGACTCCGCTTGGAGCCGCCGAATGACTCCGCATGGAGCCGGCAAACAACTCCGCATGGAGCCGGCAAACAACTCCGCATGGAGCCGGCGAATGACTCCGCATGGAGCCGGCGAATGACTTCGCATGGAGCTACCGAATGACTCCGCATGGAGCCGCCAAATGACTCCGCATGGAGCCGCCGAATGACTCCGTATGGATCCGCCAAAGACTCCGCATGGAGCCGCCAATGACTCTGAGTAGAGCCGCCAAATGCTAAGTATATAGAGAGAATATATTCTCATGGATTATACAGATACCGTCATGTGTGCACCAGAAACATGAGTTGAGCTAATGGGTGGGAAGGAAATTGTTTTGGGAACACATGTTCCGCAGGTTGCACGCTCGAAAGTCCAAACAACAATGACATGCAAGAGACATTGTACAGGATTTTGAAGGGTGCGTGCCCACGTGACTCGTGCATGCGCGCAGGTCGGGCCAGCTCGCTGGGCTGGCTGCTAACTCGCGTTAGCATGCCAACGCTCATTATGCATGTGACATTACCAGTGTCATTCACACTCTAGTGAGATAACGCCCCTCCTTTGCATTGGCTTCTGCCATTGGACGGTGAAATAAAATTAAAATTAAAATTAAAAAGACTGATTCTCTGGAATATTCCATGTATATGAATGGGGGGGGGAGGCTCAGGATACAAACAGGTTCGCATACAAGTATTTCTAGATTTTTAACACGCCGGTTGCCCCCCCCCCCCCCCCCAACACACGCACACACCGTGGCACAACACACCTCACGCATGAACCTGCCTACTTTCAACTCACCATCTTTGTGTCTTTGCTGAAGCCGACTGCCACATACCCACCCGCCTTGGCGGACAGCTCAATCTCGACAATACTGCCGTTAATCACTCTGCTGGTGAAGATATAGTTACAATCACTGGCGGACGTGCAGCCCTCTGGAGTACGGCGGCAACCCTTGGTCTTTCCACAACTGCTGAGATCAATCTTCGAAACAGCACAAGCAACAGCAACAGCAAGTTTGGTGATGCTCAATTGCTTATAATATTGGCGCAGCGCATAAGATGTTAGAAAGTGCTAGCTAGAGCAATGCTGCATTGTAGTGAACATGTCCCAGACTTGCCATTATACTGTTGAATGAAAGCACTGGAAGGGAGCAACATGGTACTCGTACCATGGGGAAGGGTGGACTGCCGCTGTGCACAGTACTGGAGAGTGGCTACACGCGATGATGCGTGTTTCGCCCACAATATGTACAGATACGAGCTCTGCTGCACACCGACCGTCACAACAGAGCAGCGGCATCTTTGGTGGCAGAACCCGGAACCTGGGAATGCATGCATATAGGCGTGCCCCCGACGTCACCACTCACTCTTGCAGCAGTAGTGTCCGTACCTACATGTACATCAAGAGAACATGGAGCCCAGGGTGTGCAGCTTGTGACTATTTCTGCATGGGTGTCTGTCATGGCAAAATTCCACGACTACATCCTAGTTGGTGCAGATAGGCGGCGGGACGTGGCGTAGTGCGTACAACTGAGTGGCAGTTGTGCAGAACGAGACCTGCTTGAATCCTGCGTGTACGCACTACATCAGTAAAACGGCGTAATCCTGGAATTTCGCCGTGACAGCAACCCACCCGAGCTGCACACTCCGTGGGTTTCATGTACTCTTGGTTACATGTGTACACATGCGCTGCGTGAGCGACACGTGAACTCCAACCCACGGTCTAACCAGGAAAGTTCTTTACGATGTGTTTACACATATTCTGGATTTGGATCAGCCTACCTGGAGTGCATTCGTTGGCTGTGTGCTAACAGCTGGTCCACCGGTGGGGGCAGGAGTTGAACCGGCACGCTACAAACAACAAGAACAAGAACAAGAGCACCATCACCACCACCACCACCAACAACACACACAGATGGCACAGCATGACAGGGAAATACCCAAAATACACATACCGTATGTCCGCACCTTTAAAGCCAGGGCGGTATATTCGATTATAAAGCCAGTCTCAGTTATAAAGCCATAAGCTTCATAAATGAAATGACATTTGAAGTATGTTCTGTAAAAATGGAGGAATAAGTACTGTGCTTGCAAACTTACAGACCAGCAGGAAGGGTGAACAATTGGATTTAGATTAAAATTTCTGTGTGGACTTTGACTTTTATGGCATGGCGTAGTGGGTGAGTCATTTTGCATCTAAAATATCTAGGAAAGCAGCGGTGTTTCGAATATAAGGCCATGGCTTTAAAGGCGCTGACATACGGTAACAAGAATGGTAGACCGGGGTGCTCAAAGCCCTACCACTTTGACAGCTAATTTATGCCGTGCTAAAGCTCAAACTAGCGATAACCAATCACTAACCGGAAACCTGCTTGTGGATGAAAGCTATATCATTGTCAAAGCTTGTTTCGAGGCCAGTGTTATGTTTCCACGAACTTGGATAGAATGACCCAGCACACATAAGGAAGTGCCTTATGTACAGATGACATGTTAGCGCTACCGACTACATACTAGCGCTAGCTAACTGAGTGTGCCAATGGTACTAATAATGTAATACAATTGATCCATGTACAGTTGAACATCGATTATCCGACCACCTCTGGGCAGACGACTGTCAGGCGGTGTTCAGATAAGGCAAATGTTCCGGATAAGAAAAAACTGTCACTCACACACTTTCAGTGGTTATTACTAGCCGCACGACCTTTTTACTTTTTACTTTTCAAAATTTTCGTATTTTTTGAATGGCTCACTACATGCACAGTGCGTACTCTACGGCACGTGCGCCCAAAAAAACTGTTACGGATAATCGAATGGTCGGATAGTCGATGTGCGGATAATCGATGTTCAACTGTACTCTGAAGTACATACAATATCACACCAGCCAGGCTCGATTAAACCAAGCCACCTTTCGATCCTATCTGTTTCTCTAAAGAGTGCTGATTCATTATGTCAAATTTTGGTGTCGCAGAGGGTGCTCTGATTGCTAGGACGTGACTCGACGGATCCACCAAAATGATACATTTGGCATATGCCTCCACCAATTTACTTTGCACAAAAGCGTCGCATGGTGGCAGAGCGCAGGCTGTTTTTACACGGGTCCGTGAAGAAGCAGCTGCGGTGCGAAACTATTTTCAGGTTCCAAAGAAAAGCAGCATCTTTTACTGTAAGACATGTATATATAACGAGGAAACAAATCTAACGTTTTAACGGATGACATTTCTTCGTTATAATAAGATCCGTTGAGGCCGTACTGCTTCATATATGCTGTGTGTGGATATGGCAGAATACTGCAAGATCGTTAAACATATCTTCTCGTTAACCTATGAATTTCGGACGATCGTTAAATTTGCGACTCGTTATAATAACATGTCTTACAGTACATACAATCAACATGGCTATGGAAAATTCGGACAAGACGAACTCACAGGTACATGCAAAACAATCCAGAAATCCAGAGTCCCAATTGGCCAAAGTGTGGCTAACATGAGAAGACTTTAGGATCGGCAGTCACATCTGACATGGGCACAGCATGTTTGAACATAGTCCAGCTCTACTTAGCAGTTTAGGCATGTTTTGCAAGATCCAGGTTATGTGTACTTGTAGTCTATACGTACTCCACCCTCAAAGCATTGCTGCAGATACACCTTCAATGTACACGAAACGCTTTGCAATACTCTCAAACATAACATGTCAACACCTAAATGGAAAGTTTTGTGAATGCTCTCCAATCGGTAAAAAATCGTAAATGAAGTCTCATATCTGTATCTGCACAAATTTCACATAGAGACAAGCGTAAACGCAATCAAGGATACGTGTTGCATGCATACGTCATGGAGCGGCGGATACATGCACTAATTGGTCGGCTGCCAACTTGCCATGGCAGTGGATGTGTGTGTGTGTGTGTGTGTGTGTGTGTGTGTGTGTGTGTGTGTGTGTGTGTGTGTGTGTGTGTGTGTGTGTGAAAACAGAGCTCATGGACAGGCTCTGTGTAGGCGCAGATGACCGCAATGCCGACAGTCTGTAGGGGTGCGGGTGGGGTGGTGTCGTCACAAACAGATACATCTGGCTGATCGCCTCCGTGTGCACGCTCAGTCTCAGCAGTCATGCACTGCGTATTTCCTTGCGTGTGGGGTCCAGTCGGCTTTGCAACATAGAGTGCAACTACAGCATACACTCTCAAGTGACTCCACTTCTCACACTCAAGGTGGCATTCAAGGAAACAGTTCGATTTACTTCAGCATAGCCCGTGATTGTTCAAATGCTATCTTTTCGTTTGATTCAGCAAAAGGAATGTGATAATATTTACATGCCCCACATAAATTTTCCTGATTTTCAGATAAGAGGAACCTCATGCAAGACAAGCGTCTTCTCCAGTCCTGACTGGACATTAGCTAGCTACATTGTACATTGTACATAACAACTCTGTCAACATCCTTACCACTATGTCACTTGATTCAATATGGAACCAATGCATTTTCGATGCGACAACGGCACAGCTGTTGTCATCAGACAAAAAACGGGTAAAAGAACCAAAAAAGAAAACATTTGCATCAGTATTTAAACAATCGACGAGGAGACAATAGTCGTAAAATGGCAATAAATAAGATAAATTGTGCACTCATAACAACAGCAAAAATGAAGAAAGTCAAGTTCCATAACGTTTTCTTGTGACTGTCATCAGTGGAACGCCGTCACATAAAAATGTAATAACTAAAACACACACTTATATACATGTAGCTAATATGGTTTCAGGTAGAAATACAGCAGCTAACAAGTACAAAAAGCGAAGTCTGCACCTTTGCAATGTGTGAATATAGTGTATACATGTGAGAAAGGTAGTGGCAGATGAATGTGATACATATTAGCTACATGTATATAAGTGTGTGTTTTAGTTATTACATTTTTATGTGACGGCGTTCCACTGATGACAGTCACAAGAAAACGTTATGGAACTTGACTTTCTTCATTTTTGCTGTTGTTATGAGTGCACAATTTATCTTATTTATTGCCATTTGCATCAGTGACGAAGATTAAAGGGGAAGTAAAGCCTAAAATCAAATGTTCACCAGTTGTAGTCTTCGGGGTGCTGGGTCGAATGGTCTTGGTCCGAGGAAGCTGAGGTGCTCCGTTCCTCCTTTATTCCCAATCGAACTCGCGCACTTCCACCGAAACTGGGTGACTGTGCCCTACTAGATGGGGATTTGTATGGAAAAAATGTCACTAAAAACGGCATTTCGTTCTTATAAAAGAACGGATGAATGTGAACGGCCTATATGTTGCAGTCTTTTGGACGATGAGTCAACTGGTTTTGGTCCGAGAAGGCTGCGATGCAGCGTATATGTGTGTGTGTGTGTGTGTGTGTGTATAAGCAAGCGCGCGCGCGCGCGCGTGTGTGTGTGTGTGTGTGTGTGTGTGTGTGTGTGTGTGTGTGTGTGTGTGTGTGTGTGTGTGTGTGTGTGTAGGGTCCATCAGCAGACCGCTGTTGTTGATGTTGAGTATGCGGACGATGCAAACTTTGTAGTTGGTTCGCGGGAGCATGCTGTGTTGGCCTTGACGGCGTTCCAGGATGTTTCTGCTGAATTTGGCCTCACTGTGAGTATACCCAAGACCAAGTTTATGGTGGCTGGTGTTGGTGTTACTTCAGTTGACACTGCTGGCATTCCGCTTCATGGACAGGTGGTGGAAAATGTTTCCTCCTTCGTTTATCTGGGTTCTGTCATCACTCCGGATGCGCGTTCTGCAGGAGACGTTTCGAGGCGTTTGTCACTCGCCTCGCGTGCCTTTGGATCGCTCCAGGATGTGTTTGCTAATCGTGATCTTTCACTCCATGTGAAGCGCCGATTGTATAACGCCTGTGTGATGACAGTGCTACTGTATGCTTCGGAGTGCTGGTGCCCTTTGCAGGGTGACCTCCGGCGCCTCGATAGTTTCCACCACCAATGCATCCGTAGCATCTTGTGTGTTTCGCGAACACAACAGTGGGAGGAACGCATCACCAATGAGCAGCTCCGAGAGATGTGGGGTGATCCATCGCTATTGTCCTCCCGGCTTCGGAAGCGGAGGCTTGAATGGCTTGGCCATGTGGCCCGCATGTCGGATGTTCGTGTGCCCAAGCAGCTGTTGTTTGGCTTCCTACCGTCGCCTCGGCCTGCGTGTGGTCCCCGTCGTCGCTGGAGGGATGTGATTTCGGCTGATCTTCGGCACATCGGCATTGAACATCTAGCTTGGTATGGGATTGCTCAGGATCGATCTGCCTGGCGGGTGTCTGCCGTTGGGCCGAGCCTCGGCGGTCCTTCCCATGACCAATCTCAACGGGTGGACTGTCTTATCTGCCACCGCTCGTTTCGTCGGCCAGGTGACAAAGCAAGACACAAGTGTAGCGCAGAACGAAGTCTCCCCATCCAGGAACAGTGTGGTGCTGTACAGTGTGGTACATGCAGGAGGTGGTTTCATTCTCGTGGTGGCTTGCGTGTACATCATTGTTTGCCCCTGGAACCATCGGAAGCGTCCGCGCCGGCATCACCTATTCCGCTCAACGTCCCAGCTTCTCTCTTGTGTGTGACATGAAATCGGCAATTCAAGCCAGTGCCTGGTTTCAGACGTCACAAGTGCGACCGTGGCCATCGGGCAACCAAGTCTGATAGAGCGTCGTATGGTGTTCGCTGTTCTCGCTGCAACCGTCAGTTCCGTCGACAGAGTGACCTGAGTCGTCATCTCCGTTTCTGCTCCTGACAATGACTCTGGCTCCTTTCGGAGTGGTGTGGCCCTTGTGGCAACCAAGCTACAGTAGTAGTAGTAGTAGTAGTAGTAGTAGTAGTAGTAGTAGTAGTAGTGTGTGTGTGTGTGTGTGTGTGTGGGTGTGTGTGTGTGTGTGTGTGTGTGTGTGTGATTCACTGGCCAGAAAAAGCCACTTCAATCAGCTGTGTGGTGGATACCAGGCTAAAAATCAGTGGCGGTCAATTCATCAGCCTTGCAAGCTGTTGAATGGTGAAATCCCAGCACAAGTTGCTATGTCTAACATAGCTGTTCGCTATCATCGCTTCCGCGCTGGGCAGGCCTGAGGTGTGTGTGTGTGTGTGTGTGTGTGTGTGTGTGTGTGTGTATGTCTGATGTGTGAGCGCACGCGCATGTGAGGAGGGAAGGGGTGGTGGCAAGATGATGATGAAGCAGCCACACAAAGATAACGACCATCACCTACATTTGGATGTCACAGCAGCAGCAGCAGCAGCAGCAGCAGTTTTCCACCAATTCTTTCAAACCAAACTTACTGTGCATGGACCCTGTCGGGAGTAGTTGCACTCGGTGTCCACGTAAAAGTAAGACTAGTTTTGTCATTGGAATTTCTGTGGGAAATGCCCGTCTACAGTAGCAACATGAACACGACAAAAAGTCGACCAGAGAACAGGTCACAATCAAGGCTGCATCGACATAATTATTGCCTTCATTGCTGTTTTATCTTTAACTAAGGGTAAGCAATGGACGTGGGTATGAACTAACTTATGATGGCCAAGTTCACTGCAGGTCGAATAAGTGCGGGATTCTAGCCAGTTGCCTCATATGTGAGAAGCGTACTTTAAGTTAAAAATTGAAAATGGTCATTAAAGTTTTTTTAAATCAGGGCGTTTTCTTCGAGTATCATGTTTGGGCAATTTTAGATGGGTGGAATGGGTACCCTTTTGGTCAATACTACTCTGGAAACACGGTATTTCATTGTAGCCATTACGGCGCAAACGAAAAGGACTGTACTTTCCGGAGTTTAAGCCGCACTTTGAACACGCGTGATTCACACCCAAAAAAAGTCGGTGTGGCTTACACTATGATGGTCAACTGAAGCGTGAGCGCAGTACCGTGCTGTAGGTCACATAACTGGCAAAAATGCAACTCCGCACTGCGACGACGCAACTTGGCGCATGCGCACGGACACTGCACATTGGATCAGTGAAAGAGCATTTTTGATAACTGTTACCCGTCACTTTCTCTCTTGCTCAAGGTTGTTCCCTTTTTCATCTGACTTTCAAAGCTGAATCATGGCACCGTCGAAACGTAGCAGCTACGAGATGCGAAAAGTAAAACCGAAGCCGTCAGTTTGCGCAAGAAAAGAGGGATGCGGCTTATACACCGCTTATACAGGGTAGATGTCTGTGTTCAGTGGCAAAAATCTAGGTGCGGCTTATACTCCGGGAAATACGGTACCTTGGATAGTATAATATTCCATTCATAAAAAGATGAGCTCCGGTGAGCACCCGTATTTGGTGAATGTGGTGATTTTATCGTGCAGGGTGCAGTGCCGCGAAATTTGGAATTTGAAAAAGGATCCAGAAAAGGTACCTAAAATGTGGTTCAAACCGTACAATGTACTGTTGCAAGTGGAGTCAAACGGCCTGGATTTACCGTATTTTCCGGGGTGGTAGCCGCACTTTTGAAACGCCTAAGAAAACTCAAAAATCGCTCCTGCGGCTTAGGCTCCGAATATTTGGCCATGAATCAACCAATGATACCGGCATGCCATGAATAAAATGCATGTATGGTGTCATTCGACTACATGTACGTTTGATGTACTTTTCCTGCACAGAAATCTATCATTGCAGCTGTATGATGCTTCTATGTTGTCAGTTCAGAGTCAGGGACAAACAAAGAAACTTTTGTGGAACTTCAGTTTTGCTTCTCAACTTGCTAACCATTGATAAACGTCTTGTATGTACTAGTACCAAGAGTAGATAAACAGGAGTGTGCAACTCCGGATCTCTCCTGCACAATCTGCAGATACCCCCGCCCCCGCCGGAATTTTTGTTGACGTCACCTTTTTTCAGAAGAACGCGCATTTTGCCGCAGAGCAGTGTGAGAGCACGTGCTGGGCACCGACCTTGGAGTGTAAAGCCGGCCAAGACCACGAGGGAAAACTTTCCGAAAGACTCGCAGCGCGTGCGTCGTCGAAAAAATTACGTCAACAAAAAATTCCGCCGTGGGCCTACCCATCCGCGAGTTGCACACTCTTGTTTATCTACTCTTGCTAGTACCCATTAAATTTGGATGGCCAAAAATTCAAAATCTGACTTGCGGCTTATACTCCAAATGTCAAAAAAGATACGAAGTTTGGGCGATTCACATTCGCGAATGTGCGATGGTCGCGAAAATAGCGACATATAATCTCTAGCGAAAGTTTCTCACTTTACAGGAATTGAAATTCAGTCCGGACAGCCCTGGATGCGGAAAATGTACACTCGGGGAGGGGGCGGGGAGTAATATTGATAGCACTTAACACAAGCCAGTGTAACAGGTCTAGGGGGGGGGGGGGGGGGTAAAGTCAGCTCACGTACGTTCGGCACACCTCCGCATGTTAACACCTGGCTGATATCAGCTTCTGCCACATTTACGGAGGCTATGCTTCGTTCTTGTTCATCGTGCATCTGGCAGAGAAAGCCTTTGAACGGCATCTGACCCCAGCTCAGTGTAACTGTATAGCATAAAGGAAAAAGAGGCAAAGAACAATCACATTGCAACCAGCAGATAAAGGTCGAGAGGATCCGGAAACAAGACCTTAGAACTGAATTTCTTGCTACTACAGTCCATTTCAAAACTATAGACGCGTACCTAGGCAAAAACCGTTATGCCAGCATCTATACCACATAAAATCTGTGATCACTTTGTGCATAAATTTTTCCAAATTGGGCGTCTGTTATCCAATCCTTTAGAAACTATATGAGAGTAATTGTGGAGCGATCCTGAGCAATATTCCGAAAACTATTCTCAAAAAGTTCCAGCCAAATTTGAAATATTTCAAAAACCCTACGCGTCTATAGTTTTGAAATGCACTGTAATGTAGTACCTATCTACAGGTCTTTGTTTGAAGAAAAGAACTTGCTTCACACTTTTCACAAGCAATATTTTCGAAAAATTTCAACGCGTCCTTTAGATACCTTCACATCAGGTGGAGTAGAGGAACAGAAGAAACCGAACAGGCACAAAGAATCATATACAGCAGTGGAGTGATAAAAACAGCGCAAAGAAGAGTAGCCAGAAACAACATGAAAAATGCACCACCTCACAAACATAGGCTCACACACATAGCCACACATAGCCACACATAGCCACACACACACACGCACACACACACACATACACACACACACATACACACACACACACACACACACACACACACACACACACACACACACACACACACACACACACCTACACCTACAGAATACTTGAAATACTGCCATTAACACATGCAGTAAACCACGCTTATCAATTATTCAGTGATCGACTAACTGGAAGATCTTCGCAGAATTTTTTTGGCTGTATAACCTTAGCCTTGCCAGTTGAGCATTTGCATTCCTCGGCAAGGTGTGAACAGTGTTCCTTGATCATCGATCCTTGAAATGCGTGCGCGCGCGCGTGTGTGTGTGTGTGCAACATTGTACACTGCATTCATCGGCAACTTAAATGGTGTCATTAAGAGTACTACAGTAAAACCTGATTTAAGCGACCATCCCACGGTGCAAGGAAAAGCGGTCGTTAAGTCTTTAGAACCAGGTCCCACACTGCCTGTGTAGAACTGTCTGTGCATGGAAAATGTAGGTTTGCAGCGTACGGCAAACCGTAGTTATCGCGGACAACCGAGCAGCAGGCAAAAGCCACGCGCGTGGCTAGGCGCGCAACAATGGGGGTGTCTGGCATGCAATGGCGGGCAACCGTACTAGGGAAAGCCCAGGTTGCACCATGAGCACTAGTACGCCCACAGGCGAGACCACCCCATATTTGCATAAAGGTTGTAGTGCTAGTATTGATGCAAGGATTACTGCAGACAGGGCTCATGCATGCTGCCTAGTCTCTATATTAGGAAGCAGGTCCTTTCGTGGCACGAAAGGGCTCCAGCTGCAGCGCGCGTACTAAGTCTCAGCCAAGCGGCAAGGCATAATACTAACCGAGCATGCAAAATAAAACTGCAACAAGGCGGTACGGGGAAAGGACTAGTACAGTGCCAGGCAGAGACAGGAGGCGGTATGGCGGAGAAATGCATATCACGTATGGAAAAGGCGAAGTCCCCGGCGGCCATCGGACCCACGATAACAGACACCACCATGCTTATATGGAAATAAGGCGCGAGAGCTCACCAGGTAAGGTGGGCCGCGGGCAGGAAGACAGAAAATAGAGGACCCAGCATGGGCCGTATAAGCGCGTGGCAAGCGCAAATGGTGTAAGACGTGCTCACGAAGGCCACCACGCGAGAGTGCGGCAGCATGGGCTAGTGCTGTGTACGAGAGTACGATGCCGGGGCAACGCAGGGCGGACCAAGCTGTGGTGGTGCTACACAGCCTACAGGCACGAAGCACCTCAGCAGTTGGAGGTGGCGATCGCAGTGTCATCATCAGTTCTGGCAGCTAGCAGTAGCAGATGGGCTTGATTTTTTCAATACTATCAACGAGGAGCAGCAGGCAACCCTCGTTTCAGAATGGTGATTGCATAATCACATGGCAAAACAACAAAAATGCAACCCCATTCTACAGTGCTATGATGTGTGTGTCTCGGGGGGAGGGGCGATAAACGGTCGTTAAGAGCAGGTGGTCGCTAAAACGAGAGGTCGCTTACACCAGGTTTTACTGTAGTACATAAACCAGAGTATGCAACTGTGCACATCAGATCTGAAACAGGGCAGTTCATGCGCTACGTCACCCTCATGAGGTCACCCAAGCCGCGACTTGCTTACAGCTCACAGTTTGTGTTTCACAGCCCGGAAATCAGCCAAGTTTGCATGGTTTTAGACGTCCTGTTTCAGGGTTTGGGGTTTTCTGGGTGACTGGGAACACGAGGACTACGCTGTCAAGTAAATTCACCACGATGTCCGTATAAGAAAATGCCCGAAATCTGTACAAACTCAGTGATCTACACCACCGCGACTGGTTACGGAACTTTTCACCGTACACGTGACTTACCATGCCGTCAGAAATGACGTACTGCACGGATTACGCTGCCACAGGAACCACCCTGAGTTGCACACTCTGGTTTATGTACTCTTGGTGTCATCCTATTGACTAACATCATTGTTCTGACTCTACAATAATTAGGGCTGAAACAATTATACCAAATACTCGAGTACTCGCTCGGTTTTTTCAAAAATAATCGTACTCGGAATAAATCAGAGTACTCGTTCATACATGGTACATGCATTTACCACAGATATCTGCAGTTTCAGAGCAGCAGTAGGCAGATATTGATGTGCAGACTGTGTGGTGAACATTTGTTCACGAGTAGAGAGAGCCCAAATGACCCACCAACCAATATACCAGAGAAAAATGACTGCTACTCGCTTCGATCAGGGTTGGATCATGTGATTTTAAGGCCCTCGGTGTGCAATTTTTAGGTGATGAAGAATACTCGAATACTCGAATATTCGATCGGAGAAAATCAGAGTATTCGAACTCGGGATCTTAGTGCCAACTTTCATCTCTAACAATAATAGTCTACACTAGACTCTACAATAGTGCATATCATAAACATACACTAGTGTATGCATGAACCTGCACAAGAATTCTGTATGGACCTCTATCACTCCAAAAGACATTAAAAGGTACAAACTCCCCGGAATTTCAAATAATACAAGTAGGCATGGATAAGGAGTACCCATGAATTATATAGTGCCGATTGTTCATCAGCAAAACTTAGCAAGCGATCATGACAATACTGGATCAGCAATTCAACATCATACCGGTGTCTGAAAAATCTTCTCTACCCAACCCAGTCCCAAGCAGAAAAGAACTTGCCAATGTCTACCAGATAACAAAGGTTGAAACGCTCACCTCCATAGGTTTCCCCGTTGACATAAGTGGCTTGAGAGTTATTGAACTCCAAAACAATGCCTGCAGGCATAGTGGAATTGGAACCATGATTCGCGAAGCTTGGAGTTGGGCCACTGCAAGCCGATGCAACGTTTCCACTTGAGTATGCCACCGCCGACGATACAAGACAGCATAGCATGGCAGTGCTGCCAAGGAAAAGCTAGCAAGATGCAAACACAAACAAAGATGACACCAAGCTGCTGGCAAGGGAGCTGCGCAGAACACGTGACGGTGGACAAGCATACACTGGTGAATGCATGTACACGTGTTCACTCGGATGTTGTTATTGAACCACCCGGCGGATGACGCACCTAGCTCAGGGGCGTACATAGGGCGGTTCCCGGGATGCCCGGGAACCAGTAAAATAATTTCGATGTGGGTAGATCTACGGAGAATGTTTTGATCAAGGCCCAGCGTGCATGCATGCCTAGGCGGCGTATACGCGTAGTCGCCTGCAGTCTGCCTGACCGTCCGAGGACGGTGACAAGGCAAGGTGTAAAAGTGCTGCTGAGGCATTTTTGTGACACAGCGTAGATCTACTGAACTTACTGGGTGCAACGAATTCTCTACATAGATCTACGAGTTACAGCGATTCCTCGATCTCAGAGTCATTTCCTTTGCAGTTTGTTTCGACAAAGTTGGTTACGTTTTTGACAACGCTTTCGCTTTGTGGAAAAGAAAAATGAAGAGTCGACATCCAGAGGGCCAGCGCTCTATTCAGAGCTATTTTGAGCAGGAGGCAAAGCGTGTAGCCAGTGACGAAGGTCAAGCGATAGATGAGATTGTGGACGCACCTGACTTCCAAGTGGAGTCTGCAACGAGCAGCACAGAGGACGGAATCGTCGGCGAAGCTGTAGAGCGGCCGTTGTTGGAAGCTGCTGGATCATCCAAGACTTACTTCAGTGACATTGGAGTGTGTTGGAAAGGATATTCTGAAAGTGTACCTCCACGGTGGAATCCCTGATTCCTCCGAAATTTGCCATACATGGAAAAGATTTCCGTCATTGACAATCATTGTGCGCCACTAGCTGCACTGAAGGCGAAGGATTTCGTTTCCTGTGCGTGTCCAGACGGGTGGCAAACAGCGCCGCTTTCATTTATCCTGGTTGGAGGAGTTTCCCTGGGTAGTCTTTTGACCGGCGTTCCATGGTGGCTTCTGCTTGCCCTGTGTAATGTTTGCTCCAGGTGATTCGAAGTTTGGGCAGCTTTACCGCAGTCCTCCCGAGAATATAACCCGACTCAACACTGAGCGTGTGGATGTGCTTCAGCGACTCGTTTCACGGCATAACATGAAATCGTCCTGCTGAACAAAACATCCATAAAAAATGGCTTGGCAAAGTTCAGTCTTTTTGAATCAAATATGCGTAGCAGTGACATTATCCAGCAGTTTATGCAGAAACTCCATCGGATACGTATAAGAGCACTAGCCGTGTGGAATTATGTTGGTTGATCAGTTTGCATGGGAACCACTCCTAGAGGCGAGCGGTGTACGCCCCTGTAGCTGATATCCCCAGACTCTGGGTGGATTAGGAACTGATCACACTTATGGGTTCACAACGTGAAAAGTGGGCAAGGAGGCGAGGACAAGGTGCCAAAAAGAGTGATAGTATCAAGAGTACGTAACCAAAAAGTCATGTACTCTTGATTATGATACAGTAGTATCAAGGTATCCGTCTCGTGATCCAACTGAATTTATCCTGCCCATGGTGAAGGTAATACTTGATACTAGTGTGGATTGTTTAAAAATCAGAGATGATCTGATATAGGCTTCACTAGCACCATTACTAGCACCATTGTTCCTCTGTCTGTACGGTGTCAGTTTAAACTCTACATCTTACTGTATCGGGCACTGCATCAACTCGCTCCTGTTTTTCTTGCTGAATACTTTTACACCCGCTCTGATTCAACACACACTAATTCTTCCACTCGTTCTCAGACTACCTCATCTCTTACTCTACCCAAAGTCAAAATTCGTCATGGTCTATTTTCAGTTGGTTTCCTCAGCCCTGACCGCTGGAACGCGCTCCCTGCTGAGGCCCGTTTATGTTCTTCGTTGCACTTATTCCGTAAATCAGTACTTGCTTTCCTAGGGTACCCTGTAAAAAGGCCTTAGGCCTGCGGGGAGAGAGCAAAATTGTGCCAGAAGTAGCCCATTGGTCAACAGACATGCATACTATGAACACACACACACACACACACACACACACACACACACACACACACACACACACACACACACACACACACACACACACATATACACATATACACACACGAACACACACACACATACATACAAACACATATACATACATACACACACACACACACACACACACATCTCACAAGCAATGATGCATTGTGGTGTGAAGCGGGAATTGTATGTGAAGCGGAGAGCGGATACGCTGTATAACAGTGTACCTGTATCCGTTATCTCAAGCAAACGAGATTTCGGGTTGGTATTACACTGTCATAATCACAATCTCAAAGCCCCGATATGCAATCACTCTCACATTGGACACGCACGTTCACACATGTCCGTGCATGCGGGCGAATTCATATTTTCATAAATACGCGCGTAGAAAGCTAGGGTTGCGGGGTGGGGTGGGAGTGGGAGGATGGCTAGGCACAGCCACCTCAAGGTTACCAAAATCCCCATGTCGAGAGGCCTGTGGACATGCCATGTCCAGCAAGACAACCCAGGAGGTTCTTTTGCTCAGTGATGTGAGCAGCAAGAGCAGAAGATGTACACCACTGTGGATAGACCTTTCATGGTCGAAAAACAAGATGTTAGCATGAAGGCTTTTCTTTTCTCAGGCTATTGTGGAAGCAGCCTGTTATCTCACTTTAGCATGATAGACCGTGCAAAAGATGATTGTGTGAGTGCACATATGGTCCCTACAGTTCGTCGAAAGACGCTCTTGCTACTGTAGTCCATCAGCCAGTGGTGCCAAAGTGAGTCCCCTGTTGCACTTACAAATCGAACACCTGGAACTGACATCAATCGACAGCAAAAGCATCACTGAATCCAACCTGCCTACTTTCCCTGGCGAAACTCTTGCACTCCTTTTACAGTGCGCCTTGGAAGTTCGACAAATTTCTTCTTCTTCATCAGCCATTACGAGGTTTTCCATCCGTTTTATCAGGACATCCAATTCGTCTTCAGTGAAAAACGTGGAGTTTTGTCAACGTTTGGTGTGGTTTTCCGTGGCGATCGATCTAAAATCGCGAAATAAATCGCCGTCGATTTGAGCAGAGGTGAGTTGGCTTGGAGCACGTACAGATTCAAAAAATATGTGTACATGCGCACCGGGAAGAAGATGAAGATGCTCACCATTTTCAAAATTAATAACTAATTCAAAAAACTACATGACTATTGTCAAGAGTGGTCTCTTGCTATTGTACTGCTGTAGTTACTTGTTTGCAACTACAATGATATCAAGTAGATAAACAAGCGAGGTACAGAGGGATTGATGGCTGATCAAAGCCCAAGGGACCAGCCCAAGGGCTTTGATCAGTCATCAAGCCCGACTGTACCTCGCTTGAATATGCTTCAGACGATCCCCAACAATTTTTTGGATTTTGAATTCAATCGCTTTATTCTTTGGGTGATCTCGAGTGTGGTAGATAGTAGTACAACTGTAACTGTACTACTACCTGGTTGCAACATGTTCAAAGCAGCCTTGCCTTTATTTCAACTGCTTGCTGTCAGCATCCAGAGCCATGGCGTTTGCTAGTTGGTCGTAATGGAGAAGAGAACTGCAGGGCATTCACTCGATGTACAACATCCATCGCCGCAGATTCCTTACTTTTAGCTCTCCACGTTCCTTATTTTTCCAGGGATCAGGACCTTCCCGGGGTGATTCCATTCAGGGTAGAAGCGTAGATCACTTTTGCCAAACAGTAAAAACTACGCTTCAAACCTGCTTGACATGACTCGGGGTGCACACTTCGGAAACCCGAAGGTGGATGATGTTCAATACTAGCTCATTGTAATCTTCCTGAAGGTATGTATTCGGATGCTCAATTTAAATAGAACAGTGAAAGAGATGTGTAATGGAACAACACTCTACAAGTAGGCGAACAACAATTTTATTGTAATTTGAATCCAGGCACACGTGTAATACGGAAACTGCAATGGTTTACACTGCAAATCTTCTCGATTTGCAAGATTTTTCCCGTAATTCACAAAAATCTGAAACTGAGTGTGAGTTCATTCCTGAAACGCGCATGGCACTGATTGGAGATTGGGTTTAGGTCACAACAATGGCTGTCGATGAAATGCCAAAAATGGTCACTTTGTCGGCTTCCCCCTGCAGAGCGTGCAAGTCGTTTACTCTTTTTATTTGCGGATTCGGTGTACAGGGTACCTAAACTCCCCATTGAGGCCAAAATCAAGTATTCGATTTCTAAGTGCAACAGGGTGCTTGAATTTGACGACTTCTGAGTTCTTGGCTGATGGACTACTGTCATCAATTCCTTGACGCTGGTTCCGAAAATGGCGAGATGTACAATGTAGCTGGTGTATACACGTACATGTGCTTGTAACCGTAATTCGGCAGAGACTTGCGGTAACCGTTGAATTGCACACAAGAGAACACAAGAGGAGGAAGGGAGCGGCCCCGACCTCCGACTTGTATTTGGTGACGTTTTCATTACTACACCACTGTGTACAGAAACATGTCCCTCTCTTCTTTCCACAAAAGTTCTCACCTGCATAGAAAGCTTCATTTTGATGATGCCTCGACGAAAATCTACTCCCATCCGAATATCCGGGTGTTGATATCAGCAGCAGCACCAAACACCAACAACAAAATATAATTGTCAGAAACAACAAACCCTTCCTGAATTCATGAAGTGGGCCATGGGAAGCTAGCTTACGATATTTCGAAGTGTCAGGAAACAAACTGCCTGGCACCTGACCCGCGCCGCGACCTTACCGAGAAAGACGACCACGACTCGACTAGACTCGCGACTGCACGGCACGAGGTCAACAGTGCACCATGTACTAGTACTGCAGGCCGCCAGACTGCGCCAGTGCCTAGTGTCGTAGTGATCATGGTGATGGTCAAACTCAAAGATCAGAAGAACATCCAGAGTGTAGATCTACGCGTAGTCTACATACTACAACATAGTCATAGATGATGATCGTGCGCCCATAGATCTCCTACATAATATGCGCATACCGTGTCTCGTAGATCTACTTGCCATGCTATCAATAATGCCATGCCCCTCTTGTAGCTTTATCTCCCTCTGTTCTGAAGGGGTTGCGGTCGACCATGACCATGACTGTCGGCTACCGGTCGGGTACACCTCTGGATGTATTGCGTTTCTTGTGCAAGTACAAAAAGTAGTTGTGGCCTTCCCCTCGATAAAATAGCCTACAGCACAACTGCAGTGTGCGACCCATCAGCATTGGAGAAGTCCTACGCCGCATCATTGGAAAGGTAATTCTATCTGTCATCGGTAATGATGTTCAAAAGGCGGCTGGCTGTCTCCAGCTAGCTGTGTGTTGGACGGGAGAGTGGGATTGAAGCTGCGATGGATGCCTACTGATGCATGCTATAATGTGACAGGTTTTCACCAACAGCAGTGAGTGTGTGAGTGCCACGGTGTCCTTCGCACTAGTGCAACAATTGCCTTTATGGCCATATGGGTGTCTCCGCAATGTTCCACACCTGTGCCCAGTGCTAGCCCCGATCGCTACCATCACCCGGCCAGTCTGTTTGCCGGCGGGGAATCCATTCTCTCCAGCGAAGACACCACTCAGTCAGGGTGACCCAATCGCAATCCCCCCCCCCCCCCTCTCTTTTGCGGCACGCTAAGTTATACTCCCTCGAATCTCGTCTCAACTTGAGGCTTTTTATTTTTGTTTTCCGCTGTATTCATCAGCTTACAAGTCCTCTTCTTTCCTCAATGTTCACCCTCCAGTCGGCTGCTACTTGCACCGAGAGGCGCACTAGAGGGCAATCATTCTCTTCACTTTCTTTGCCCGCTGCTACCACTAGATATGGCATGTTCTCCATTTCTTTCCTTGGCGCTGATAGGTGGAATTCTCTGCCTGTCTCGTGTCGTCAGGTTGAGCATCTATCCGTTTTTGTTTCGCTCTGTAAAGAGCACTTAGGGTTCCCTGTAACAAGACGGCAACGTCTGTAGGGCCTTCCCTATCAAAATAATAAATTCTACTACTACTACTACTACTACTCTCTCTCTACTACTGCTCCATGCGCCACGCTTCCTCTAACACAAGTCTAATACATGCGGTTTCTCGTGACGATGGTGCACAAGCGTCGTAAGTTAGTTGTTGTTTGTTTATTTAGAGTCGAAGAATGCTGATGCCTCTGCGGCTAGTGGGAAGACGACGGGAGTTCGCAAATGGTAGAACAGTGGGACTGTCTGGTCGAGAAGGGCCTTCATTCGGCTATTTTCCCAACCCAGCCAAGTCCATATCCTTCTCCGATCAAGCCCAAGGGGGATGGTGTCACATGTCTGTACTGGCATTAGCCATCGCGCGGCATCGGTTCCACAGAGTAGATCTACTACATCAGAGGGCATGCATTACTATTACTTAGTGTCTAAACCGAACACGGATTCTTCGAACGAATAATCTATCGAATAGTGTTTAAACCGAACACGGATTCTTCGAACGAATAATCTATCGAATAATTTCGCCCTCCATCGAACGAATAATCTATATTCTATCATACGCATGATGGCATTTTTCAACACTTTTTCAGCACTTTTTAAGTAGTTTTTTAAAAATGTTTTTGCTGATTATCGGATTTTGTTATGTGGAGGTGCAAAACCGGTTAACCTGTACCGCCAAGAGTACATAACCCCCCAGAGTGTGCAATGCCTGATCTAGCTCTGCATAGGGTCTTGACTCTTGGTCGAAAGTGGTCAAAGACCGAAAATCACATTCACTGCATCCATGTTTCCCTCGTATGGAAAGAACAGAAGTAACACAAGATACCGATAGGAGATTAAAACTTGGAGGAGAAGAGATTGAGAAGAAATTCTGCGAGCAGATCTACGCAGTGCAAATATCAGTAGGGTCAGCACTGAGCATACCGTATTTTTCGGAGTATAGTGCGCACCTTTGTATCACGCGCAGGTGAGAAGGCATCTCTGCCTGTTCATTTGGTGAAGTAAAATAAACAACAACAACAACAACGCGCACCCCCAATCTTCATTGGGGGTGCGCACTTCAATCTTCATTGAAGTACATGTACATGCATTTCATATTCGGAGCATAGTGCGCACCTGCGATTTAGGGCCTAAAATAGCACAGTCATCTAAAGTGCGCACTATACTCCGGAAAATACGGTACACTGTAGATCTTTTTTTTTTTTTTTTTTTTTTTCGATTTCTGATAATTCCTACGACTATTCGATTATTCGTTCACCCCACGAATATTCTAAATTATTCGATTATTCGATTATTCGTTTCAACACTACACGGTGACGGTATTACTACTATGAATTGATCAAGAGTCTGATGGGCCATGGCATGGGGGCTTTCAGACTCAGTGCTCTTGCTATGATCATGTAGACGTAGTATGTCTCGGCCAGGGAGTCATACATGTACTCCCTTGGCCCTGGTCTCGGCATACATCGAGCAAGATGTCCGCGCTACGCTAGTCCTGGTGTGACCAGTCGTGGAGACGTCCTGTGCCTGTGCCCGTGGTACTGGATGCATGGTAGGCACCGGCGGATTATCATGATTATGCCGGCATAATTTGGAGGTTGAAAATGTGGACTACCGATAAAAAGTGACCGATTGGGAAAGTCGCCAAGGTGATTAGATCACGTGACGTTACTGGCACGTTACCGGTGGGAAAGTTTTACTGCCGCGGCCGGCTGCTGCGGCAGTAAACTTTTACCGGCAGTAAAAAAGTGCTCAGGCTGCATGCGCGCTGCGAAAAAAAGGGAAAATCCCTTGTCAGTGCCGCGGTGAGAGCTGAAAACTTCACGGTTAACGTTAGTTTGTTATCGGTAGTGTGAATGTCCTTCACGGTTTATCGGCGGTTTGACGGGGTTCACGGTAGTCTGAACGCGCCCTTATGAGGCATCCTTTCGGAGGTAGGAGCATAAAACTACAATCAGTCATGTACATGGTTGTACCACAATTCCAGTATTGTAAGCTATGCAACTGATCAGTGCTGGTGGTCCGCATGGCATTGGTAAAGGGTTCAGAGTAGCCCTTTTCCAAAGATGCTGGCCACTTTTGTCGCAACTTTCCTCGTACGGAGGATTAGCAAGACGAAATTCGCGTTCGCGTTCGCAAACATTTTTCAGTTCGCGAACTGGATTGCGAACTCTCGCATTTTTCGTTCGGAAAAGTAGTCGGAACACGAATCGTGGATTCGTGTCAGGGCAGTCATAAATTTACCACGCTGTACTGCCTACGTCGTGTCAACATCATGCATGTGCGAATTCTGTTTGCTAATCCTTCTCATAACGCGAATTCCGTCACTGAGTTCGACTTTCTTTGGAGAGCGAGCGCGAACGCGAATTTCGTCTTGCTAATCCTCCGTAGTTTTGCAAGAAATCGCAACTTTCTTCATTTTCAAAAACTACGTACTTCGCAACTTACTACAAAAAATTACTTTTCCGAAAAGGTGTGCAGAGAAGCGCGCGCTGGATCGAGACCATCGACTGTGCAAGCTATGGTTATTGTTCTAATAATTAAAAAAATGAGGTATAGGTGATGTTCGGTCATGGTGGAAGGAGAGGTGGAGCTACGGGAGAGATGAGCTGATTTTTCGCAGGGTGAGGGTGACATATCGGTTGGACGAGTGTGACGATTACGAAGGCAGTTGAACATGATAATTTTCAAAGGTAACTCAAACTAATTTAGCAATAAAAATCTTTTTACAAAAGAAATCAACTAATGAATAGAAGGAGTCATGTTTTCTCTTTCCATGTTGATCTCTAGCATGCATGGTCATCTTGGTATGGGGATATTCATGTATTTTGTTGTACTAATGGCCACTTGCAAGTACGAAAAGGCACAATTTTCTGAACTTTGAGGCTCCATAAGTACAACAAAGTGAGTATGTATCCCTGCGTGCCAAAGCATAATAATTATGAGGATTTCGCGAGCATAATGCGAGAATCCATGAAAGCATAATTCCATGATTTCGCGGGCATAATCCGCCGGAGCCTAGCCCGTGGTGACCAGGTGACCAGCTGGTCATGTCTTGGCTCTACCCTGGCTTGGCCTACTTAAAGGGGAAGTTAAGGCAAAAATTAAAATTTCACCAGTTGTAGTCTTCGGGGTGCTGAGTCGAATGGTCTTGGTCCGAGAAAGCTGAGACGCTTCCTTCCTACTTGAATCCCAATCGAACTCGCGCCCTTCCACCGAAACTGGGTGACTGCGCCCTACTAGATGGGGATTTGTATGCAAAATGTCACTAAAAGCGCCATTTCGTTCTTATAAAAGTGCGGATGACCGCGATTGGCCCATATGTTGTAGTCTTTTGGACGCTGAGTCGACTGGTTTTGGTCCGAAAAGGCTGCGATGCAGCGTTCCTCCTTTATTCCCAATCGAACATGGTTGAACAAGCGGTCACGTGCTCCTGGGTGCACACCGGTGCCCAAATCACCTGGTCACCACGCCAGCAGGCGACAACTTTCACACCAAGGTTCAACTCGAGTTCAACTCGAGTGACAGGACTGCACCCAAAAAAGGTCAAACAGGCTAGTAAGTTGTACCCTGCAGGCACGGTGACCAGGTGACTGGTGTACGCAGGAGCACGTGACTGCTTGTTCAACCAAGTTCGATTGGGAATAAAGGAGGAACGCTGCATCGCAGACTTTTCGGACCAAAACCAGTCGACTCAGCGTCCAAAAGACTACAACATATGGGCCAATCGTGGTTATCCATGCTTTTATAAGAACGAAATGGCGCTTTTAGTGACATTTTACATACAAATCCCCATCTAGTAGGGCGCAGTCACCCAGTTTCGGTGGAAGTGCGCGAGTTCGATTGGGATTCAAGTAGGAAGGGAGCGTCTCAGCTTTCTCGGACCAAGACCATTCGACTCAGCACCCCGATGACTACAACTGGTGAAATTTTAATTTGTGCCTTTAACGAGAGAGCTTGGAAGCTCAGGGCCCTACGCTATGCTTTTTGCCTTGATGACCTAGACAAAAAGAAGCATAGGGATGTTATAAATTCTTAAAAAATGTTATAAATTCTTAAAAACATTCCTTTTTTAAAAGACATAACCTGGGATTCGAACCCGCACTATCGCGCGCCCTGCATGCACCCCCGATACACTTCGCATACATAGTAATTCTTCCAAGTTTCTTCACGTTATGATCTTGCTTTTGAAAGCCTTATTTGAATATGCATTGTGGCCAGCCGTCTTTGATGGTACGGTATGGTACGGGATAGGTACGGGACAGGTACGATCGAGGGTAATACGACACCGTCTACCGCCTTGATGACGGCAAAAAAAGCATAGGGATGTTATAAATTTTCAAATTCTCCTATTTTTTTTTTCAGGCATATCCTGGGATTCAAACCTGCACTATCGCCCTACATGCATTCCCCCATACACTTCGCATTCATACCCATTCTTCCAAGTTGCTTCACGTTATGATCTTGCGTTTGAAAGCCCTATTTGAATATTGCGGCCAGCTGTATGGCCAGCTGTGTTTGATGGTACGGTACGGTTCGGGACAGATACGGGATAGCGCCAGGCGTGACACAAACGCACAAACAAACAAACACACAAATACCAAACGAGAGAGCTTGGAAGCTCAGGGCCCTACGCTATGCTTTTTTGCCTTGATGACCTAGACAAAAAAAAGCAAAGGGATGTTATAAATTCTTTAAAAAATTCCTTTTTTTAAAGACATAACCTGGGATTCGAACCCGCACTATCGCGCCCTGCATGCATCCTCCGATACACTTCGCATGCATACTAATTCTTCCAAGTTGCTTCACATGATCTTGCATTTGAAAGCCCTATTTGAATATGCATTGTGGCCAGCCGTCTTTGATGGTACGGTACGGTAGGGATAGGTACGGGACAGGTACGATCGAGGGTAATACGACACCGTCTCCCGTACCGTACCATCAAACACAGCTGGCCACATACAGCTGGCCGCAATATTCAAATAGGGCTTTCAAACGCAAGATCATAACGTGAAGAACTTGGAAGAATGGGTATGAATGCGAAGTGTATGGGGGAATGCATGTAGGGCGATAGTGCGGGTTCGAATCCCAGGATATGCCTTAAAAAAATAGGAGAATTGAAAAATTTATAACATCCCTATGATTTTTTTCCCGTCAGATACGGGATAGCGCCAGGCGTGACACAAACAAACAAAAAAACACACAAACAAACACACAAATACCAAATTATAGCTGCGTGGACCCTGGCTAGCGCCAGACGTTACTGAAGTAACGTCTTCTGCATAGCTACGGGAATAACTTCCCCTGTAGACTAGTGCAGTTCGATGGATACTAACTTCCACAGTTCCAGCCTTCACTTCAGTGCGCATTGCCGACTCCCTGGCCTGGTGCTAAAGACTCTTATAAGACTCTTATAAGACTCTTCCCTGGCCCTGCTGTTGAGTCTATCCGAGCGCAAAAGCGAATAGCTGTCGCATCAGCTCGGAATCCGAATGCACTCCGAGCTGATGCCACCAATCTCAGCTGCTCTGCAGATCTGGAGTCTTGACGCAGACCAACAACGTGTCATCCAACTAACTTTGAACCTGTGAACTGAGAAGAGTGCATCGAGCTGGCTGACGTGCAGGCCTTTGCAGGCTTTGGCGCGTAATGGTTTCTCGCTCAGTCGAAAGGTGTAGTATTTCGTGACGGGTACCTCCTTGGCTCGACTGCCATCGTCCGTTTGGTGCCACGTTCACCACCTGTCATGCCCCTCAGGTAGGTTCCTTCTATCCGCCATAATGAGGTGCGCGACATCATCGCAAGTCTGCTCAAGAAGGCGGCATGCACAATGTGGCAAGTGGAGCCTCACCGTATACAAGGCTCCAGCCGGTGAGACAGGACAGCAGTTTCACCGCTTTGCTCTGCGAATGTTCACTTGAAGAACACGCCCACCTGGATGTAGCTGCCAGTGGCAAGAGGAGTCACCGCAGGTATGGAGAAGAAGGAGTACAATCAACTTCGCTTATAACGACACTCGGCGGGGCATCAGCAAAGTGTCGTTATTCACAAAGCGTCGTTATACCCGAAGTCTCATTATGTATTTACAGTTGGATGGAACTCTGCTCTGGGCATGGAAATTCTGTCGTTATTCGCGAATTGTCGTTATATTCGCAGTCGTTATTAGCGAAGTTGACTGTATACTGGATTAACAGCAACAACATAATTACGGGTCACATTCAAACAACGCTACTATAACCACCTGTGACCAATCATCATTCCACCAGTACTGATCATCATTCCACCAATACTGATCATCATTCCACCAATACTGTGCAATACTGCACAGTACTGTGCAATACTGCACAGTACTGCACAGTATTGCACAGTACTGTGCAGTACTGCACAGTATTGCACAGTACTGATCCAGATTTACTCATTGCTGTTTTCTGATAATCGCTTAGTGCGTGAAACTCGGAGTTAAAACACTTTCTCTGTTTGAACCAGCTCTGCCTCTCGGTATCGAGCACTCTCTTGGAAAGCCTGGAACCTCTCTGTTTTTCCATGTTACAACGTTTTCCTTGGCTCGCCATCTGAGTTCTTTTAGAAGAGGAAGCTTTGCAAAAACGAACCGTACAAAACCGAACGTCCTTTTCACATCTATTATTGGCTCGACATCCGAATTTCAAATTGCACACCTGATGAACCGCCACGACCCATACGGCAATATGTAGGTGTACGTTGCGTCATTCTGCAGTAGAAAAATAGAACCAAACACCCCCCCCCCCCTCCCACACACACACACCATTTGACCATTTGACGCCCATCGCTAGAGGCGATGATAGCGATGCTATAGCAGCAGCCATAGCAACTTGTGCTGGGATTGCACCATTCAAAAGCATGCAACTGTTACTTGGCTGAAGAATTGACCGCCACTATTCAGCCTGGTCTACACCACACAGCTATGAAATGACTTTTTCTGGCCAGGAAATCCCTACATTTTGGTCTTTTTCATTTTTTCCCCGCACACACATCACACCACATACTCCGGCATGCACTGGCTCTTGGTAACCACCTAGGAGACTCATGTGAAAGAAAAGTCAGGAGGAGTCTGAGCACACACACACACACACACACGAGCGCGCGCGCGCGCGTGCACGTATACTAATTATTATGATGCACACAAACATGGAGTCAAGGCGGAGTGGCTACTACGGTTGGAATTGATCAAGCAATGGCCAGGCCAGTTCAGGATGATAAGCAACATGACTCTCATATTCCATTTTATGTTCCACTACGCTTGATGTGATGTTATAGTTACGGTTGCCAGCTGGAAAGACACGACAACACGTGAGCACTGGCTATCCAATATAGAGTTCTGTAACAGAAATCTGAATTGGACTCTCAGGTACGAGAAAGCCAGCCAAGTAGACGTTGACGATGTGCATTTCTGGCTGGTGAGGTGTGAACCTTGCAATGTACACGCCCTGTTCTTGCTCCTGAAACCAGACACACATGCACATACATATGTACATACAAACACACACACACACACACACACACACACAAGCCAAGAATGTGTCATAAACATGACCAAACGATCATACAGGCTAACGTTAACAGAGCAACATTGCCGAAGTAACTTAGCTTTTAAAGAATCTCACGGCAAGATGAAAAAGAATGATCGGAAGAGTTAGAATCGAAGGAGAACTAGAAAAGTTCACCATAATTCAGATTGTTACAGTAGTTAGATTTGATTTCAGATGGTGAGCTAATTTTCAATGAAAATTGCATTCATGGATAATTTGTCATAACTCCTAACATTTTCGTTCTTCCCCTTATCCATGTTGTTAGTACAGAACTTGCCTTTTATCAGGGGAAAAGGGCACGGTATCAGCAAGAGAAAATTTGTACAAGGGCATCACGTGTTACAAGGAGAGGGGCTTCAACTGGCTACCAATGAGGGTAGCTGAAAAGGGTCAACTTGCGAACGCCATTATAGGGGATTGACACGACGCGCAAACTCACGTGTGTGGTACTCTTTTTACTGACGCGCAAACTCACGTGTGTGCTACTCTTTTTACTGACGCGCAAACTCATGTGTGTGCTACTCTTTTTACTGACGCGCAAACTCACGTGTGTGCTACTCTTTTTACTCGTGTGACCCTAGCTCGTGCAAAATCTTGACAGACAGCAATGGTGAGTCAGCAACGTGTCAGCCAGTTTTGTTTTCTCGCTTTTCAGGCAGTTCACTTCCCACACACACAGTTTAAATAACTACTAGTCTACTAGGGAAGTGAACTACCTGAAAAGCGAGAAAACAAGTCAACCCCACCTGGACTCGAACCTGGGACTTTTCTTGTCATGAGCAATGTTCTCCAACCATCTGAATTGTGGGACCATGCTGAACCAAAAAGATGATGACAACTTTTTTCACTCCAAAGGCAGCTCACAACATGTGCCACGCCCACTGATGACACTTGGGTCTTTTCCCCTCAGGCCCCAGAGGACCAACCATGGTCAGTTTCAGGGGCGTATTACCAGGGGACCAACCACGGTCAGTTTCGGGGACGTACTACCAGAGACGAAAGAAATCACGTCCACTCCACCTTCACCAGTGGCGCTTACGCATGCTAAACCCATGCCACCACGCCGGGCATTATCCATCACAGAGTCGGCCTTGCCCTGCAACATAATATCACGGCCATGGAATCAGGACCGGCATGCAGCATCGAGAACGAGCCACTGTGACCAATTGGCAAACTGCTTACCTCCAGTAAGATTTCATCTTGAATGGGCTCGACCAGTTCAGCACTCAGCTGTGCGGTATCACCGGCCTGGCTGGCATCCACTGTGAAGCTGACCTCTTCGTCCATGACGTTGACAACCTTCAGCATCCTCCCCCGGATGCTGACCTGCGATGGGTCAATGGCTATTATAGTGAAGGGACTGTCGGGGATCCGCTGACCGGCCAAGCCAACGGCCACTCTGTACGTGCCGAGAGAACTAAGCTGATACGAGACATCGAACGTGCCGCGCCGATATGTCTGAGACACGACCGCCTCGAGCTGCTCATGAGTTCTGGCATTGTGGATGACTGCGGTTAGAGCGCCCATTCCCGCACGCTTGCAGTCCACTGTGAAGCTAAGTGGCTTGCCAACCCGCACTGTCGGGCCTAGACCGCTGCCCTCCATCGTGCACAAGGCCGGGTCGCAAATGCTGAACACCATCGGGCTGCCAGAGACCGGGCAGCCGAAAAGGTCTGCGCGCAGCTTGCCTCTGCCTGGTTGGGTGGGGGTAAATGTCAAGCGGAACTGCCCTGGTCTGGAGGTGATGGTCTCCACGTCAACATCGCAGTACTTTAAGTTGTGGTTGCGTTCAGTCACATATGACTCCAACTTTGGTTCGCAGCCATCGTAACACCGAGAAGCATTTAGCACGATGGAAGTCGGTATATCCACAATGACGTGGTCCAATTGATCGGGTTCAAACTCAGCGACGGAAGGATCTACGCAGGCAAATGTCAACGGCATATTCGGAAAAACCACGCCAAAGAACTCGAGCTCAATCCTGTGCACCCCGACTTCCGTTGGTGTGAACTTCATTTGATTGATACCCAGCAAGTTGGCCGAAACAAAACCATCCACCAAGTTTCCAGACGGCGTCTCCATCTTGCCAGTGGCGATGGAGGTGATAGGCGCAGCTGTTCGGAGATCAATGGGTATATTGATGACTTCATTGATAAAGACTATGTGAAACTCCTCATCGTTCTCTTTGAGATATGGATCTCTTAGCTTCACCTTGGTTAGATCGTACACAGGCAGGCATATTGGAGAGCACGGCAGCTCGCATCCGGCAAACTTCAGCGTCAGTCGACGTTCCCCTACAGCAGTAGCAACGAAGGATAGTTTGTGCAGGCCAGGTGCTGGTTGGTCATGCTGTACATGCAGTTGAGTATCATCGAGGGACCAGGTCAGCTGACCAGGTCCAGCAGCTTGGCTGTTCACATTCACTATGAGCCTACTGCCGACAAGGACACCCTCCAGGCAACTGCCACTTACTTCGACCAGTGACAGGTCGATGCACTTGAGCGAGAACGGCGCTCGCGGAACGAGGCCTCCGCAGTGCGTAGCGTTCACCTCATAGACACCGACCTCCTGGGGCTGGAACCGCACCCTGCATACCATCTCCCCAGTCCTTTCCTGTTGCGACTCGGCAGGTAAGTGGAGATCATTATCGTGTGGGTCTCTGACGATGATGGCAGTGCTGCCTGGACCAGCAGCTACTGGAACCAACACGGTGTACTCGACCAACTTGCCCACGTGAGCCACGCTATCGTTGCTAACTGATGGCCCGACTATGATGCACTTTGACGCATTGCCGATGCTGACCTGGAAAGGACTCTGGCGTATGTGTTGCCCGGCATAGAGGATGTGTACTGTGTGCTGACCCACCATACTGGGCAGGTATCCCGCATTCAGCACGACAAGGTCCTGCTTAGCGGCACGTGAGCTGGCCGGAGTAATCTGCAGATTGTACGGACCGTGGCTGGGCGTTTCGACTCGCACTGTGAGGCGTGTCGTGTCGCTCACGTTACGGATGGTGAACTCCGCCGGTAAGCCGGTCTGCACCCCTTGTGGTTGCAGACCGGCACCTTCGGCGTGTATGATGTTCCTCGGTGTGCGTGGCTCGACGTGCAGTTTGAACGGTGCAGCACACACGGGTGAAGAGTCATAGGTGACGTGCAGTAAGTGGTCAGACACAACATTTGGCACGAACTGAAATGACCGCCTGCCACCATCCCTGGATATAGAAGCAGAGGACAAGAGAAAGAGGCCGATTGTTTGCAGCCACACAAAGTATCCACTCTGTGAATGAAAAGCATGCAGACAGGGACAAAGGCCAGCCATGCACTTGGCATCTAACACCACCCGAGTGGAGTTTTGTGACGTCGCAGTACATCTACCTGTAATACATGTAGGTCATTTTCAGATTCTCTCCCTACACTCTCCCTACACTCTTCCGGCCTTGGCATGCATTTTACTACATGTACTTGTAATGCTGTGCAGCATACAAAGATCATCAAAAATCAGCAATGATGTTACACTTTTAAAGCGGGATTCACAGAAGCATTTGTGCGATGCACGATGCGACACGGTCTGCAGTGGTGGTGTGCGATGCGAACTCACGAAATACCATACACAGAAGAAGTCAGCAATGCGACGTCACCTTGCTGATTTGGCGCAAAATTCAGTGCAAGTGAGTACGATACCATCATCGGGTATTCGTGTGACTTGGTACGACTTGTAGAAATCTAGCAATTCTCAGGGAACCTTTGTACAACTTTACGAACTTAGAAGTTGAGACTTCGGCGGTATTAGTCATGAAGTTGGTTGCTCTTTCATCTCGCTCATAAGAAAGTGCATGTTATTATGCGTGCGCCGAATATTACCTGTGCAAAGTGAGTTTTAAGAACATGTTCTAAGCATCATATGCTTCATACGCTTTGACCTCAAACTTGGTGTGGTTCCATGAGTTGCTAGGCTTCTGTTAGAATAGAATTGGTGCAGCACACGTGAAAAGGGTACTTAAAACGTTACCTGCACTTCACTGAAACAGATAAAAGCCGCATTTGAAGTTTGAAGTCGCCAACATTTGTGCCTAAAGACCGCGCGTAAAAACCACATAGCGACTAGGCAAACAGAAGTACAATGCACTGTGCCAGCGACACGCGCTCCTGGGCTAGAGAGACAGGGGCGTCCTTACTGTGTCTGCTCCAGCTCTGGCAGTATCTCTCTGGTCCGGTGGTCTTGTTCGCTGGGCTGAACTTCAAACCGCAGCTTGCCATCGCCAGCCTCCTTGCACATGGCTTGCAAAGTGACCGCCTCGCCCAACGTCAAGGCACGCGGGAAGTCTTCGGAGAGTACTGTCACCCGCTCCGAGTCCTTTGGCCACTTGACGTCGGTGTAGAAAGGTGAGCCGGGTACATGTCGCCCGGCAAACTTGATCGAGACTTTGTGTCTTCCGCCTAGTAACGGTTCATAGGAACAGTGGCTAACACCTGGCATGCTGTCATCGCATTGCACGCTGCACTGGACTGGACCCCCGTCGGTAGTGTGCGATACCATCACCTCCAGGCTGCCGCAGCCGCACTGGCTCACGTCCACATCAAAGACGGTGCGCAGTCGAGCCAGCAAACCCGTGGCGGGGTGCACGCCGGGGCCCGTGACAGTGCACTTTGTCGCGTCCCTGAACTCACCGACCTGCACCAGGACGGGGCTGCATGAGACGTCCTCACCGTCACACAGCACTCTCACTGTATAGTCACCGGCCACTGTCGGGAAGTAGACACACTCCAGCCGCTGACCTTGAACAAGAGTGGTGCGCAGCTGGGTCTTCGCAGGCCCGCTGACTAGGGCGACAACCGGAGCATCGCCAGCCTCTGCAAACTCCACCGTGAACGGACAGGCGTGTCCGACCACATTGCCTTCCTGCAGGCCTGCACCGTGTACACGCACTTTCCTAGGATCAATGATTTGAACGTCGAATGAATTCCCCGGCACAACATTGTGTGAGTAGTCAAAGTCAAGCCTGTAACTTCCGATCAGGTCTAGCGAGTATGTAATTTCGTGTTGTGCTGCCGACAGTACATGCTCACCTAGAAGGGCTAGCGGAGCATCATCCATTAGTTTCGATTGCGCTATCAAGCGTAGGCGTCCAGGACCTGCCTTGGTTGTGTCCACGCTGACTTCAAAAGGCTTGTCTACCCACAGGCGATGAAATTTCGTCGCCGCATCTGGAAGGGAGACTTTGACCAGTTTACGGTCAATAACATTGACTGGGAATGGACTTCCCTTGACGTGCTGTCCGGCAAACTCAATGGTGACAGTGTATAGTCCAGGCAGTCTGGGCGTGTAGTACATAGTGGCCAGGTCTTCCGTTTCGTCGAAAGAACCTACCAGGTTCAACTCGACATCAGAGGGGCTCTTCACTGAGACGTCGAGGTTGCCGGTCCCAGCCCTGCCGGTGTCCACGGTGATCGTTGCCTGCTCGTTCACGTGGCCCCTGAAGGGCTGGAGTCCGTCGCCACCTGCCACACAGCTGCCAGCGTCCGTCAGGTACAGGGCGTACAGTGTGAGCGGACTGGAGGGCAGCACGTAGCCTCCCAGGGCAACGCTAACCGTGTGCGGGCCTCTGTGCTCAGGGCGGAACCTGCAATTGTGCACACCATTCTGCATGCCCTTGATGTGACTGCCGTCCGTGTCTATCTCAACGTCAACAGGCTTGCCACCAGGCCCGTTAACGAGCACTTGCAGTGGCTGCTTGGTGAAGTTGTGGTCGGTGACGCGGAAGATTGCCGGCTTTCCAACCACGTGATATGTGTTCTCCACGACTGGCCCCTCAACAAAGACCTTGGCAAAGTCCAGTTCATGCATGCTGGATATGATGGTAAAGGGACTACCCGGTATATCAACACCATTCCACTTCAGCGACAAGACATATTCGCCGTAGTCCGCAGCCACAAATCCACCCTCATAGATATGCTCATCAGTGCAGGTGAGCTCTATTTCACAGTGCTCGCTTCCGCAGTAGACATTGGCCGAAAGCTGGCCACTTCCAGCATTTTTAGCATCCACCGAGAACGTGGCCGTTCCGTTGCGAGCTAGAATGCAGCGCTTGCGGCCAGTGATGTTTCCTGTCACAATGAGTTTCGTCGCATCACACACTGGCGCGGTGTTCTGCTTTTCGACACCCTTCTTACTCGGACCGTGGCGATTGCCTCCAGACGCCCTGGCCTGTTTCAGACCTGCAGCTCTCTGGTGCAGGTGTGTGGTCCTTTTGCTGTGAGCTGCCAGCGACCGGTATCTACCACCCGTTGTATGTGATTGCTGTGAACTGAGATGCCTCCTGGACATGATCCTCGCCAATGCCGCCTCCGCCTTGCGCTTATCGGCAGCTGTTTCTTTGCCCGCTTCGACGCGTGCTCTCCTTCTCCGCTCCGCAGACGAAGTACGCGCAACAGCTTTCTCCATGACCTCACAGATCCTGATGAACAAGGGGCAGTCTTCCTTGCCTGGGCGTAAAAGCATCTTCTTGAGCGCGTCAGGGAGGTAGGTAGATTGTGTGTTCTTTGGGTACATAAGCGGAGCCGAGACCCTCAGCTTCGCCAGCGGAAAATAGGAGATGTAGGTCATCAGGCTGAGCTGATCGCAATTGTCACTCACCATGTGATGAGGTTGAAGTATCTGTAGAACCCAAACAGCCAGAACACAAGCAGAGAGAGAGAGAGAGAGAGAGAGAGAGAGAGAGAGAGAGAGAGAGAGAGAGAGAGAGAGAGAGAGAGAGAGAGAGAGAGAGAAAGAAAGAGAGAGAGAGAGAGAGAGAGAGAGAGAGAGAGAGAGAGAGAGAGAGAGAGAGAGAGAGAGAGAGAGAGAGAGAGAGAGAGAGAGAGAGAGAAAGAAAGAGAGAGAGAGAAATGACCGTGCCATATATTGTAACATCTTCACCCCACATATTCTAATATAGCCCATCCTGCACCCCTGCCATATCTTTCTACACGGCCGGGAAAAGCACTCAAAGCAGCGGAGAAAACATAACATGGAGAACATTGCTCCAGAACGGGGTGGGTCCCAGCATTGCACAACGCTCAAGCAGAAGTAATTAAGATATATTGCCATTATTGGTACATACGGAAGCGGGGCAGCCAATCACTGGATGTTCCTGTGTTGCCGCCACACCAGTGACTTCACTACAGTACACTGGTGACCTCACTACAGTACACTACAGTACACTGGTGACCTCACTACAGTACACTGGTGCGACAGTTTGACCTTGCTGAGTGGGTGTGTGACTTGCACAGACTAGGGAACACGTAAAGGAAGGTACCCGCAGATAGGCAGACAAAAGGTCACTGGTGTCCAATATCATCAATGTGTTATATTGTTTGCTTGTAGCATGAACGGGCAAAGCATGGAATGAAATCTGAGAACATAGCGGACCCCTGGTCAAAAGCTATCGATTCGCAATTACATAGACTGGCAAGAGCCTAGATTGATACTTGATAGCGTAGCTGCACGAGTTCCCACTGAGCATAACCGCGGCGAGTGGCATGAGTGCAGAGAACAGGTAAAAGTGTGGGAAGAAGAGACCTCTACAGAGTACTGACCCTTGGCACGCTCAGCCATCGCCCGGCAACCTTCATTGCATCAATTGCATTCCGCACAGAGTAGCTCGGGTCTCTTACTACCCAGAAGGGCATGAGAAACGGGGAAATGGCATCCACAAGCGCTGCCAGGGCCAAGCCATCGCGCCAGTCTGTCGTAAAGTTACTGACTTTTCTCTTGCCCTGCAGGTGAATACGCAATCACACCAACACGAGTGGCTCATAAAGACTTGAACAAGGGCTGTTGAGATACTTATGCGGCCTCTTCTGCCCACTGACTACAGGCAAAACACACAAGCCGTTAAGCCTACTATGGTGCTCCACTGCTCAAAGAGTACGAGAACTCGGCCGGCTGTAACACTGACCATTCATGGTGTACATTAGGACAAAGCACACAGTCGGTGCAAGCCGGGCCTGTGCATAATACACCACAGGCCCTGCTGAAATTAATTAAACTGCCCGTGTAGCTATGGCAGAAGGGTGTAGGCCACAACGGGACTAAACTGTGCACGCGACTGGCCACCGGTACGCTGCATGCACACTGCGACTGCGCGTATTGATGATGCCGATCAGCGCTACTTACCTCCAGCTTTCTCTGCACCCAAGCCAGGAGCAACAGGCGAGGTGTTGGCTTGCGCTTGAACTTGACACCAGGCTTCAGTGGCACGGCTGCACTGATCTGAAAGAACACTATCAGGGACCAGATGAGGCGCACGTACTTTCTCACACTGGCGTCTTTAACGACCAAGAACTCATCTGAAGGTGGAGCAAGTGGCAAACGCAAGAGAACATAGAAGAAATCGTGACAATTAAAGCAATTTTTGCACTGTAGCACAGGTTTGTCTCTTTTTGATTAGTTTTCCACTGCACCTTCCAGATGCACGCGAGGCACATTCATCCCCACGACGACCATGGGCCCAGAAAGAGCGAGATCACTCAATATCACCTTGCGAGCAGCACATCGCCTTTTGCTAATCTTAGCGGATGATGCTCATCATGCATCCTATTTTAGTTTTGTAGTCTAAGGACCAAAATAATACACAGGCAAAGCGCTGTGCTGCGCGGAGTCCGCAACTATTACTTCCATGACTTCACCAAAGCATCTCAACTGATCATGTAATCTCAGAGCCCATTGGTGCTGGGGCAGCGCAGCTCCCCCCCCCCCCCCGTGATATTCACGAAGCCGGATTTCACTTTCCACCACCACAGAATGATGTGTATGCACGCTAACCACTGTACATTTGTAGTGGAGACGGTAGTAACTTACTGAAGTGAAAGCTGTATGACTGTATGACTGTACGAACATACACGAAGAGCACAAGCAAAAATAGCTGGTCCGCGCTTGCTTACCGATGTGGCTGACGACAATGCCCAGTTTCCTCATGTGGAAACGGGCATACTCCATATTTTCTTGATAGTGCCCCGGCCCATTAGGATAAGGAAATGGCGCCTGGAGCTCCCTGCCCGATAACACCTCCAGCAGATTGATAAGAGGCACACCGGTCTTGAAGTCCGTGCCTAGGTTGACCATGGGTGTCTTCTTGGCCTGGCATAGATGATAATTGCACCAGGATCGCATTGTTAGCTCCTGGATTTCATCCGGGTCGCTGTGGGAGCTCATCGTTCCTTCTCTACTGGCGGTTTCTTCCTTGTGTCACGCCGAATCGCTTGCCTGCTTCCGCGTGACGAGGACACTCACAACGTGCTCCGTAGACATGGTAGACGCGCGGTCTGCGCAGCGACGTTTCAGGGAGGCGGCGGCGATGGCTAGGCTGCAGCTGTTGGTCACAACCAAGGGATCGTACAAACCCCTGGTCACCACTCCGTAGCGAGTTGGGAACAGGGAACAGGGAAAGGATTCTACGAACTCATCGTAAGCTGAGTCTGATGTCGACGTCGGCTAGATCTACTGGTCACCGAGTGGTCGTCGACGCGTCGCTGTCATGATCTGCGAGTCGCACCACTACTACTAGTGGCACTACCCCCCGCGCAGGCGCGTCGTTACGACCCGGCATTCTGACGGAGCACAGACAGTCGGACGGGAACTGATCGAAAGTCGGAAAGATCAAGGCTAGTGCACTGCGCTGCGTGCATGCGACCGGTTGTCAGTGCGACAGTTCCGTCATACTCAGTAACCATGATAACCGCCTGTGCTGCGCAACCAGTGCTTGCGGACGTCGCTTTTTATTTCCATGGCCATGGCCCATGAAGCCTTCAGATTCTGATCATGGACATGGGCCTTCAATCAGAGCTGCAGTTTTACTCCACAAATATTCATGATATAAATGCCAACCACTGACCTCTGTGCTTGGATTTGGAATGAATGGAGGAAGCGGAACTACTAGTACTTCAGAAATCTTTCCCCGTCATTTTTCTTGCTCTTTTGCTGTTTCTTACCGATCCCAGTCTACTTTACATGCTAGTACACTATTGTGTTTGTGAGAGAATTTCTTTCGCTCGACAGCGACTGTTAGCGTTGGCGGCAAGCATCGTTGTGTGGTGCTGTTGCACTGTTGGCACTGTTGCAGTGTTGGTCAGTGTCTTTCGGACTCAGTGTGCAGACTGTAATATTACTGTAGTGCAGAGGGCAGTAGGTTGACCAAGATCTACTGCATCAGAGCAGTGACTTCTATTCAGTTATTTCAAAGAGTTGGTGGACAAGCCGTTGATTATTCAGTTATTTCATTGAACTCAGGGCGGCAGGACAGGCCTGGTACGCTACATGTGGCGTAGTGCGCTGAGCGCTGATCAATCGTGGTTGCAGCTGACTATCTGCAGAATACCTGCAGAAGATTGCGAAAATGTCTCGAAGTAAGCCGGCGTCCACTTGGACTGCTTGTTAGATAAACGCATGATCATGTCACGTCCGTGTGTATGTGTCTGTGTGTGTGTGTCTGTGTGTGTGTGTGTACAAGTACAGTGCACATGCATGTGTGCGTGTACACACACATCTGTGTATGCGCGCACATGTATGCACATCTTTATGTGTGTATACATGCACACACACACGCACATGTGTGTATGTGTGTGTGTGTGTGTGTGTGTGTGTGTGTGTGTGTGTGTGTGTGTGTGTGTGCGCGCGCACATAGTAGAAATGGCAAAAGATGACTCTCGGTTTCACACACACACACACACCGCAGTCATGTGACTTGGGCCCTTGAACCTCTGTACGTGTTGTGTAGGGTCTGTAGCAAGGTGTAGTGAGCACCGTCTTGAGCCCCACAACTTGCTTCATGTGTGTGCATGTGGATTTGTGTAAGCGTGGGTCCATTCGACATGAAGAGTATGAAGAGCAGTGCTGCGATGTCAGTATCACATCGACATGGCAGCATTGCTCTACACAGACTACAGCCGTTGAGTGTAAGTTATCAAACGCCGTTGCGGCCAACGGTTACACATGCTGCACACAATTCCACACGTTCATGGGGCGAATTGCAGATAGCTGAAGTGCCCATACAGAAGAATGTGCTATGCGAACAAGCACTTATACTGTATGGTTGGGAATGATTCTGGTTTCACCAGTATCAAATCAATGTGCACATGTGTGCTCCTGTTATACTATGATATTGTCAACTCGTGTTGTGGCGATGTCGTTGTGGTGTGTGTATGCAGTAACAGAGGAGATGATACGGAAACGTTCGGAGCACAACAACCTGGAGATCTTCACCCTGGAAGAGGTGTCTTTACACCAGCAGGACATCACACAGTGAGTCACTGAGTGGTCTGAATCCGGCTTGTACCTTGTACCCTATATGCAATGTGAGAGAGGGAGGGAGAGTGTGTTTGTGTGTGTGTGCGTGTGCGTGCATGCGTGTGTGCGTGCGTGTGTGTTTGTGTGTGTGTGTGTGTGTGTGTGTGTGTGTGTGTGTGTGTGTGTGTGTGTGTGTGTGTGTGTGTGTGTGTGTGTGTGTGTGTGTGTGTAGGCCCAGTGTGCCAGCAAAAGCAAAATTTATCGTTTGAAAATACACGTACAGTAGCAAGTATCCCGTCCACTTTTGCTCCTCCTCGGGGGCGACTTCCACTGTACATGCACCGTGTAAAAACCATAGTGCAGCATGAGTAGATCCCAATGTGACATCAAAGCCAGTCTATAGGGCTTGAAAGTGATGACGTCAAAAACGGCCAGGGAGTAGTAAGTTGACATCAGATTTCTATTTTGGATCCACTAAGGTATGACTTTGCTATTGCCTCAGTATGTGGGTGCATAGCAACCCACTCATGTCGTATGCAGGGGTGACGTTTACTTCGCCACCAGTTGTAACCCCGTCCCCAGTAGCCAAATCAGTCAGTTTTACTGGCAACATCATCTTGCTGTGAGTAAGACCGCTTGAAATGTGCTTGGATCCATACAAAAACTGGATCCAAGTGGATCCAGTTTTTGAATTTTTGAAATTGTTGCTATGCTGTGACGTAGCACTTTCAAGCCCTATAGTGGTTGTGCGAAAGAAGTCATAGTGATGAGTCAGTGGAATTCCGGAACCACTTATGGCCGCCAAGTATACAGCGTGAGTTGCTAGTGCGTCACAAAGCAAGTGCATCGCTGTGCAGCGACTGCGAACGCATCTCAACTGATGGTATAACCGCAAAACCTCCATCCTCTAGCAGGTACCACTATGATCGTTGTCACGGTGATTTTTGAACCATGGATTGTGTTGAGTCACCTCCACCATTACACTGCACTCTTCAGCCAACTATTTGTAGACCCTCCTTCACACAACCATCACCACTGCGAGGACACTTCCGTAGACGATATTGATAAACTCCTTCAGACAGCTGTTTCGCTAATACATAGCTCATCAGTGAAGGTAGATTGTGTTGCAGTATGTTAAACCTGCTGGGCTCTGCATTAGGACTGGGACAGATAGGCAATGAGTTTACAAGACACCGTTGTTGAATTCCTGGGATATCTGTGCTCATCTGCTCGTCCGGTGTGTCTCTTGTGTGCGCACGGCAGCATTGAACTGTTGGACAAGATGTGCCGGGACCTGAAAATCCTGTACCTTCAAAGCAATCTAATCGGAAAGATTGGTAAGCAGCCCTCCGGAGTACAGACTTTGAACTCTGTCAATCATAGCCGACTACTGCACATGCACTACTGATAACCACAAATGGCACAAGGGAGCCCCATTTACAGGGTTTGTCGCAACTCCGAATTTCTTGCACAGTGCAATCATCAGCCACACACACACGCATACACAGTTGACCTTTGATGCCCATACCTATGCTACAGCAGAAGCCATAGCAACTTGAGCTGTGATTGCACCATTCTCAACAGCTTGCAAGGCTGAAGACTTGACCGCCCCTAATTTTAAGCCTGGTCTTCAGCGCACAGCTGTTTTGAAGTGGCTTTTTTCTGGCCAACACACACACACACACACGCACACACACACACACACACACACACACACACACACACACACACACACACACACAGCAAAAGTAGTTTGCTTTGCAGCCCTCCTGAACCTTGCCCCACTGTTGTGTATGCTCCTGTTAGAGAATGTACAACGACTAAAGAAACTCGAGTACCTCAACTTGGCCTTGAACAACGTCAAGCTGATAGAAAACTTGGCAGGTGAGGCGTGGCTGAATTGTGACAATCTCAATCAGCAATAATATCTCACACCCGTGACTGTGGATAATTTAGATGCAGTGGTGGTGGTGGTGGCTTTGCTAGCTGCAAATGCTGCTGCATGCCTGTTCACTATTGCATGGTGACTGTTATGAATGCCTGCCGCTTGAACTTCATCCACAGCAAAGAAGCAATGGCTCGTTGAAGACTGGTGACAAGGGGAGGGGATCATACTGGTATGTCTGTCAGTGAACCTCTCACACCAAACACTGCATCCTAGTAGCCAGTAGCCGCGGACCACTACACACCAAACACTGCATCCTAGTAGCCAGTAGCCGCGGACCACTACACACCAAACACTGCATCCAAGTAGCCAGTAGCACGGACCACTACCTGTCCAGTATCAGAGTAGATATTGTTATGCCTGAGTGAGCTTTAGATGAGAGACTCAACATTACCTAGCCCTTCAAGACTCTTGTGTGCAATGGTTCCTGTGCCTGTTCTTTGCTAGCATCAAATTCATGAATGTCTCCGTTACGTGTTCTGCAGTGTGCATTGCCTGGCCTAAGCACTAGCTTCTGGCTCGAATCCACCGCATACGGTAAAATGGGTGAATGTTACATTCTATGTTACTATGTACATGTAGCTGTTGGTGTGCTTGTGTTTGTGTGTGATCATCGCCTGTGAAGGATGTGAATCACTCAACAAGCTCGACTTGACTGTCAATTTCATCTCTGAGCTGACTTGTGTGGAAAGCCTCAAAGACAACTACAACTTGAGAGAACTGTAAGCAGTCTAACCACTACCATGACTGCACATAGGGGTGTGCTGGAAACGAGTGCATTATCCATTGGCTAATGGAAACGAGTGCATTCTGGATTTGCCGGTTAAAACGAGCGCATTCTGGATTTGCCGGTGGAAACGAGTGTATTCTGGATTTGCCGGTGGAAGCGAGTGTATTCTGGATTTGCCGGTGGAAACAAGCGTATTCTGGATTTACCGGTGGAAACGAGTGTATTCTGGATTGCCGGTTAAAACGAGCGCATTCTGGATTTGCCGGTGGAAACGAGTGTATTCTGGATTTGCCGGTGGAAACGAGCGTATTCTGGATTTGCCGGTGGAAACGAGTGTATTCTGGATTTGCCGGTGGAAACGAGTGTATTCTGGATTTTCCGGTGGAAACGAGTGTATTCTGGATTTGCCTAATAACCGCTATGGCTTGTACGCATTAAGCTTCTTAGGTGCAGATCGCTGGAATTCGCTCCCTGCTTCTGTTCCTATTTCCTCCACGCTATCAGACTTCCGCTCATCTTTACAAAAACATATAGGGTACCCCGTAAGAAGGCCTTAGGCCTGTGGGAATGCCCTATTAAAAATTTAATAAATAATAAAAAATAATAATAATTGCCGGTGGAAACGAGTGTATTCTGGATGCGTGCGTGTGTGTATTTTTTATGCGTAGGTTTCTGACAGGCAATCCATGCAGTCGGTTTGAAGGCTATCGCCAGTTTGTCATTGCTACATTGCCACAGTTAAAGGTAGGTGATGAAGGGGAGCACAACGGTAGTCCCTTCAAGGTTGGGGGGTACATGGTCGGGGGGGGGGGGTACTTGGTACATGGTCGGGGTGGGGGGTGCTCGCAACATGTACTTGATATAAGGCAATTGCCACTGCAAGCACAATAGGGTCTAGTGCAGTCACGCTTTGGCTCAGCAATGTGTGGGTTGTGCTGGCCTAGTCTTCCCAACGCCTGTGATGGCTGTTGTGAATAAGAGATCTAGTCTGGTACGTCACGTTGACGGCACATCTTCCTAGTCTCCGCTACCATTCTGTCTTCTTTTGCAGACATTAGATGGACAAGATGTGGAGATTTCCGAGAGAATCCAAGCGCAACAGGTACTTGTGAGTGTGTATTTCTGGGTGCATCAGTGCCTCCGAGGCTAACTTTGGACCGGCAAGCCATAGCCAATAACCCTGCTTTCAGCAACATATCAATGCCCAATTAAAGAGTGTACAGATGACAGACCTGCTGGTAGAAAAGCGCGAGACAAGACTCCATGGACTCGGTGGGAATTATTAGTATTACCTGACGCCACTCTGAAGGATGACGGTGGCGTTGTCGAACAACAGAGCGGCGAGCTTTACGGTGTTTCTGTGCGAGCTGCCTGAAAACCTCGCTCTGAAATCAAAGAAATATTGCGCACCAAGGACAAGAATGCCACGCAATGCGGGCCTGCATAAAACATGCCAGCCACGTTGTGTACCTTCTCTTCTTTCATTTATTTGATTAGTGACATTGTGACTGTTTGATTATCTTTTGCCATGCCTTACAAGAAGGGTCTTGGAGAGGAAAAAAAGTCGATAGAGTAGTGCGTATCGTGGCAAGACGGCCACACCTCTGAGTGTCCTATTGACAGTGCTGAGTGCTGACTGGTGAATGTTGTGCATGTCATTGTCCTGCAGGAGATGGCACTGGGATTGCGTGAGCGAATAGTGGAGCTGCAGACTGAGTGTGCTGAGCAGCAGGCTGAGGTACAGTACTTTGAACGGTGCATGTAAAACAGCACGGCTACCTGCTTTCTGCACACTGTCTACGTAGCGCAAGTGCACGCTCACTGTACAGATCATGTCAAAAAATACCCTATCGGGTACCCGTGCTACCCGGATAGAAATATAATACCCGAACTTGTTACCCGACCTTGTTACCCGACCAAACCCTACCCGTTGCAACCCTAGTCGTCAGGAGTATTGCACAGTTGGTGTGTATCTCGGCTCTATCAGCAGAATGCCAACAGACTGACTGATCCTTACTACTACCACTACTAAACTGTAGCTCTGTTGCATGAATTCCATTTTGCTGCCATTCTAGGACGAAGATGATGAAGATGACGAGGAGGATGAAGAGCTGCTACCTGGTGAAACGGAAGCGGACAAAGAAAAGCGGTATGCTGCACAGCCACTATCCAGTGTGACGAATTATCACACCGTGCATCGGCCCTGTCGCACTGCTTATTGGTCCCCTCCCCAGTCAGGTTGATCACTGGATATACAGTCCATTATGTGTGGCATGGGGGTTGCATGCATGTCTGCTGGTCCACTGATTCAGGTATTTACAACTTTGATCATGCACGTCATGCTGTGCATAAACGCTGTGCATAAATGCTGTGTGAGTCCTGAGTGCACTGTGCACTCGTGTCAGATCGGATTACATGATTGTATCACTATGGTACTACCTGCCATTGCCAGTGCAATGCTACTGTTCTCATTCTGCTGCCTATCCTGCTAGCAATACCAACATTGTTGTTGTTGTTGTTGTTACAAATCTTAATTCTCACGATAGCCAGTGGCCAATAAGAGATGTTGTTGTTGATGTTGATGTTGTTGTTGCTGCTGCTGCTGCTGCTTCTTCTGTTGTTGTTGTTGTTGTTGTTGTTGTTGTTGCTGTTGCTGTTGCTGTTGCTGCTGCTGCTGTTGTTGTTGCTGCTGCTGCTGCTGCCGCTGTCGTCGTGGTTGTTGTCGTCGTCACCGTTTTTGTTCTAGGTATTGGGAGAAGAAGACGGCTTACACGCCCAAGTCGCGTATTGCAACACAGGCTCACCTGCGGAAAACACACGCCGACAAAGACAACCCCGAAAAGTACGTACATGCAGCCGGGGACGTTTTCAACGGCTACAATACACACAATAGGCTGGTCGAGACCATAGCAATGTGCTACAATAGGCTGGTCGAGACCATAGCAATGTGCTACAATAGGCTGGTCGAGACCATAGCAATGTGCTACAATAGGCTGGTCGAGACCATAGCAATGTGCTACAATAGGCTGGTCGAGACCATAGCAATGTGCTACAATAGGCTGGTCGAGACCATAGCAATACAATAGGCTGGTCGAGACCATAGCAATGTGCTACAATAGGCTGGTCGAGACCATAGCAATGTGCTACAATAGGCTGGTCGAGACCATAGCAATGTGCTACAATAGGCTGGTCGAGACCATAGCAATGTGCTACAATAGGCTGGTCGAGACCATAGCAATGTGCTACAATAGGCTGGTCGAGACCATAGCAATACAATAGGCTGGTCGAGACCATAGCAATGTGCTACAATAGGCTGGTCGAGACCATAGCAATGTGCTACAATAGGCTGGTCGAGACCATAGCAATGTGCTACAATAGGCTGGTCGAGACCATAGCAATGTGCTACAATAGGCTGGTCGAGACCATAGCAATGTGCTACAATAGGCTGGTCGAGACCATAGCAATGTGAACACGACTTGCTCGGTAACGTTACATAGCTGTGTAAATGCTGGCACGGTGACTTGGGATCCAGCAGCAGCAGCAGCAGTGTACAGCGGCTCGCCGGTCACTCAGATGAATGTATCACTGCGCTGCGTTTCATGTTCTGCTGCCTTCTTGGTTTGCTAGGGACAAGAAGAGGAAAGTGACTACACGCGTGTTTGAGAGAGGCGGACGGATGCTGAACATAAACGATGGAAAGTACGTGCTGCTTGTACATGTTTGTACGTATATTTACAGTCACTGGTCGGGATGAGTCCCGATAAACACTGGCCACTGCTCTCGTGCCAACTACATTGGTAGACAAGCAGACTGTTTTGCAGAGCGTCCTGTATGATTTAGAGTTTGTGACCAAAGTCATGTTCACTTCATGCACCATCACAATCCAATTATTCATGACCTGTGTTGGGTCTGTGATTCTTATTAGTTTCCCGACTCTCACAAAGAGAAGTAAAGTTCGCCGCTACTGGCATGTGTGTGTGTGCAACACAATGCAATCTTCATACCTCTGCAGTTCGTTCCATGCTGGCCCACCGCGTATTGTGTATTGCCGGTATTTGTTGTTTTGTCCCCATGTGCAGGTATGACTTCTCAGTGGACGACTCGACGGAACCGGATAAAGTCATTCTTGACCTAGTGTTGCCAAGGTAGGACCCGCTCAGTGGCAAACCGTGAACACACGCACGCAAGCACGCACGGATGCACATACACATGCTAATGTAACTACACGTACTTCTCATCAGCTACACATGTTTTTGTCAGTTCACAATTCGGAAAGAACCTCGATCACTGGTCAATATGCTAAATGTACATACTCGTACTCGTAGTGCTGCTAGCACTCTTGTAATGCAGACTCTAAGTTAGCGGAGTAGTTGTTAGCGATCGAATCAGGGTGGAATCTAAATACTTGTAAGTAAGTGGTCACCATCAAACCAGTCTGACCTGGCCTATAGCCCCCGGGTATCATCCACGAGTGGTTGGCCGTTCCATGATCTAAGATGTATGCATGGCCATTGGCTGGGCTGTGTACTGAGTTAGGAATGGTGCTGCACACACTGCTGCATGACTGCTCTTTCACATGCGTAATTATGTCTGCTGTACTGCTGCTACACTGCTATGCAGGTTTATGGACTTGTCACTGATTGACTGTGACATCCAGCCAACATATGTACGCGTTACAGCCAAGGAGAAGGTGAGCAGAGATGGCGTTCCAAGTTCAAGTACAACTACAGTCTGTCCAAGCTTGTCACCATTCCAAAGCAGGACACCCACGGTATAATGTATACAAATGTTTTGGTCCCAAGCAGGACGGTTGGACAGTCTGGAACTAAACACTACACTTGGTACTGCACCGTAGACCTATAGCGCATGTAGCCATGCTACGTCCTCAAGTGTATGGAAACTAGCACAGTCGGCACATAAGCCTGGTTTTAGTGTTGGCATACATAGAAATACATGTACCTGTCTTGGATAGAAGCCTGTCTCATATAGAAGCCTGCAAAAATTCCCCGAAAAAGTGATTATTAGCCGCGGCTTTTATACACGACTTTACGATAAATAAACTGTACGCACCTGTGCTTTTTGAAGTGCCCAGCGTGTGTTACGTGATTGTACACGGACATGTTCACTATGTGGATGCAGAGGCTGCTAGAATGTGGTTGCACCCCTGCATTACTCGACTTCTTGCATTCTTGGTTTTGTTCCGTCTGCTATGTGTTGTGTCCAGGTCTTCCAGCTGGTCCTCCAGGAAGAAATCCAACCAGACAAGAGCGATGCCAAACGCTCCAAGGTCACGGGACACCTCGTCCTTACAATGCCCAAGGTGTGCGTGTGTGGGGGGTGTGTGTGTGTGTGTGTGTGTGTGTGTGTGTGTGTGTGTGTGTGTGTGTGTGTGAGCTGTTGAATGGTGTAATCCCAGCACAAGTTGCTATGTCTAACATAGCTGTTCGCTATCATCGCTCCCGCGATGGGCATGTCTAAGGTCTGAGGTGTGTGCGCGTGTGGGTGTGGATGTGTGGATGTGTGTGCCACACACAATGTGGTGTGTGTGTGTGTGTGTGTGTGTGTGTGTGTGTGTGTGTGAGAGAGAGAGAGAGAGAGAGAGAGAGAGAGAGAGAGAGAGGGAGAGAGAGAGAGAGAGAGAGAGAGAGAGAGAGAGAGAGAGAGAGAGAGAGAGGAAAAGAGAGAGGGAGAGAGAGAGGCAGAAGGAGATAACATTTAAATGTTAAAGTAACGCGTCGCGTGTTGACCTTATACAGTGCGGGCAAGGATGACCGGGCACGAACACTGAACACTGACAGGTTACTGAGACATTCAACGGCCTGACACCTTATTATCTTTTTACTGTTGCAGTAGAGGACAGTTACATGTACCTCATAACTCGTACCCATTACGTCATGGCGGGTTCTCGTATATTTCACATTTTATTATTGGCTCAGTAACCGAGTTCTTTCTTTCTCCATCTATTTCCCTACAGGTACGGCCGGTACTAAAAATGAGTTCACAACGGACAGCAGTAGCGGCGGCGGCAGCCAAGTCCAAACGACAGGCAGATAGCACAGGCCAGACACCACCTCAAATCCAACGCCTGGAAGTTGATACAAGTAAGCGCGTAGACATTGCCAACATTGTCAGCGAAAGGCAGCTCGCCAACAGTAACACATCCACAAAGTTGACGCAGCGGCCTGCAAGGAAACCCCTCCTACAGGACCTGACAACCAGAAGTGGAATCACAGAAATTGAGGATGACAACACTACAATGGCTGATCACCAAGACGTCAGCAGCAAAGGAGATGGCCGCGCCAGTGGAGGCAGTGACGATAGCGATTTTGAGGATGACCCCGATGTGCCACCATTGATGTAACACCAATGAATGCTTCTCCACAGGAACTGCATGCACATGTACATGTACAATACATGCATGTACTGTAAGGATCACCAACACGTTCAGCAGCTCCTGGCTCATAAGTACGGCAACAGTATGACATCACCCAATAGATACAATGGGAATATGACATCATCGTGATTACCCAGTGGATACAATGGGACCTTGAGAAGCCAGCGCTGCTCTGACACACAGTGCTGACACTTATTGACAATGAGAGTTTTTTTCAGACATCACATATTAAACAAAATATACAGAGGTTTGAGATGTGAAATATAGGCCGGCTGTCCCGCAGTAGGCACACACATGCACGCACGTAGCGCATTCGTAGAATTCGCAGTGTTGTAAAGCGTTTTCAAGACGAATACAAGTGTTTTAGTAAATCAGCAGGGGGCCGCAGCTTTAAATCCTGCAAATACTGCGTATTCGCGTGCCAATTGTCGAGCAGAAAAGACCCCGTAGCGAGGTAGTCGCACGGTTCCTGGACTGCCAACATCGTCGAGGCAACTCAGTGAACCCATCCCTAGCCAACCACGCCGAGAAAACCTCTTCGACAGGGGGGGGGGGGGGGGGGGGGGGTGGAAGGCATCTTCTTTTCTGAGCCGTTTCTGAGACTTGCCTCACGGACTACAGCAGCAGATGTGGCAGTTACCGTCCACGCCTGAACTGGCGCTTGCGCTGCCGGTAGTTCTGTCCCGCGTTGATGCGCTTTTCCTCCCAGTCCAACTGCTTCTGACTAACACCATCCTTGGCAATAAGCTGGCTGGCACTGCCATGCTTGGACGATTTCTTCTTCTTCAGCATGGCAGCAAACTGTAGCAAGAAATATAGGAGACGTTGACAATGAAGAGTAGTAAAGGACACGTTCGCAATGAAGAGAGATAAGGCAAGACTTGGCCTGGGGGTACGTATTCTAGTTGGCTAGGTCATATGGACTAGAGACCCTTTTCAATGCTAGAGTCCTTTGATCACACATACTGTTATGTCGACAATAATTTAATGATGGGAAGGTTGGCGGTATGAGACGGTAGCCAACCAGAAGATCTGGATCGTTTTCCTTTGTTTTCGTCTGTTTATCATCCTCAAGGAATCCATGTTGACATGCATACGACTAGTCACCACTATCATGCACATACCGGTATGGTGGAAATATTCACAGAGCAACATGCACATGCGCGCACACAGACGCACACACACACACACACACACACACACACACACGCGCACACGCGCACACACACACACGCACACACGCACACACACGCACACACACACACACACACACACACACACATGGAGACTCCCTCGATTTAGGCTAAGGCCTGTGGAGAATCCATAAATACAAAATACAAAATACAATACACACACGCACACACACACACACACACACACACACACACACACACACACACACACACACACACACAGGTATGTGCACACACACACACACACACACACACACACACACACACACACACACACACACACACACACACACACACGTACACCCACATGCACTGTCATTATTACTGGAGCGTACATACACACAGACACAGCATACATACCTCTTCAGCTCCCATGAACATCTTGGACATGTCATCACTACTGTATCAACAACAACCAAACAATACAATGGCACATCACATGACTAGGAACTGACATGAAGTGGCAAGAAGTACATGAGAAGACTTATTAGTCTAGCGCTGAAACGATCATCCATCTAGCCCAATCGATTACTCTTTATCATAACGATCGATTATTCGATTATAATCTCTAAGAGGCCGCACCTGGAATATGTAAGTGGAATGGCCAAAAGTGGAAATATGTACAACATTTTGCACAAAAATGCTATGATCGATCGACGATGACAGAGTAAACTATTTTACTTTTACTCCGCGTAAGTCCAACCAGTAAAATTCCTCGCGTGAAGTGTGAACTGTACGTGTGCTGTTATGTATGTAGACCGGACGCGACCTTGACCTTCGAGCTTCATGCTCCAGCTTCGTTGTACCAGGGAGTCGTATATACCTGGGTTTAAATTATAGTATAAAAACCTCCAGTCATTTGCGTGTTCTAAAAAGCAGGTAATATTTCTGGTTATCACTCATATAAAAAAACCTGGTGCTGTAAAAAATCACTTTTAGGAAAATGACTGGAGGTTTTTTATGCTATAATTTGAATAGAATATAATCTTCGCCCTCGTGTTCACGGGGAAAAAACCCTCGGCAAAAACCCTCGGCTCCGCCTCGGTTTTTTATTTCCTGTAAACACTCAGGACTCAGCTTATATTCTATACATATACGACTCTCTGGTTGTACTACACTAGGACTGTACTCGATGTTTGAGCTCGCGCTGCATGCACTGCGCGTACTACGTCCTGAGCGGCTGCGACGCACGCGCAGCGCGTGCAGTGTGTAGTACTATGCATGCACTGCGTGTACAAGACATTAAAAATCTAAAAAACGCAAAATAATCGTAATCGGTAATCTAAACGATTGCTCGATCGTTAGAGTTATCAAACGAGTACTGGATTATTGGGTATAATCTTTTCAGCCTTTCAGCCCTGGTTATTACATCATTGATCAAGACTAGTGCACCTACAGGAGGACTGACTCCACTCATACTCGAAAAGCAAAAGCAAATCACCTTAGACACCAAACGCAGCACACAGAGGCTTGACTGCCTGCCGCCCATGGCACACAAATCTTCACTTGCCAGTGCCTCTCTGCATCTGTCCCTCTTTCCACTCTCCTTTTCTTGTGTACTCAGATGAGTATTATACAATGTACCGGCAAGAGTACATAACCAAGAGCGTGCAACTCGACGATCCCCCAGCCCACGGCGGAATTTGTTTATGACATCAGTCTTGGGCGGCTGTTTGGCTCGCTGATGCCATCATGCGTAGCCAGAGATCAAAGTACAAAGAATTTGTACATCACAGCTACGGTAGTCGAAGGAGAACAACGGACGATAGATCGATGTGTCCTGAACCTGGTGAACGCTCACCGTATCTACAAAAAATGCGCGGGAAAGCATACGCACTTGATCATACTTCAGCCAAAGAATGACGCAATAAAAAAATTCCGCCGTGGGTGAACCCATCGCAGCTCGAGATAGGAGTTGCACACTCTTGGTTATGTACTCTTGAATGTATGTATATGGCCTAGCTGGCCCAAGCAGCTTGCTGTCTTACAGCATTGGGTACAATGTATACTGTAATTTCACAAATTTTCGGTGTACTTTTATTTTCGGCACTTTCAGTGCGTCTGTTTCATACCTAAAATTTCAATACACCGAACAAACAGTAATACACATAATCCAATAGGGAACTGCTTCTCTGTACCTAAAATTTCTGTTCACCTATCCTGGCCTTTTGCCCTCATACCGAAAATATTGAGCATCTAAATTTTCTGAAATGAGAGTACACGCACGGCTTACAACCACCCTACAGCAGGTCACGGTCACGAGATCATTCGACTTACAGTCCAGCAGCTGATGCACTTGATGCTGTACCATCCTCATCAGAGCTGAGGTTCTCGAAAAGAGCCTATGCAGAAGATGAGAGCGGACAACAATGTACACAATTACAAATTATTCCCGTAGCTATGCAGAAGACGTTACTTCAGTAACGTCTGGCGCTAGCCAGGGTCCACTCAGCTTTAATTTGGTACTTGTGTGTGTGTTTGTTTGTTTGTGTCACGCCTGGCGCTATCCGTATCTGACGGGCAAAAAGCATAGGATGTTATAAATTTTTCAATTCTCCTATTTTTTCAGGCATATCCTGGGATTCGAACCCGCACTATCGCCCTACATGCATTCCCCCATACACTTCGCATTCATACCCATTCTTCCAAGTTGCTTCACGTTATTATCTTGCGTTTGAAAGCCCTATTTGAATATTGCGGGCAGCTGTATGTGGCCAGCTGTGTTTGATGGTACGGTACGGTACGGGAGACGGTGTCATATTACCCTCGATCGTACCTGTCCCGTACCTATCCCCTACCGTACCGTGCCATCAAAGACGGCTGGCCACAATGCATGTTCAAATAGGGCTTTCAAATGCAAGATCACAATGTGAAACAACTTGGAAGAATTAGTATGTATGCGAAGTGTATCGGGGAATGCAAGCAGGGCGCGCGATAGTGCGTGTTCGAATCCCAGGTTATGTCTTTAAAAAAAGAGGATTTTTTTAAAGAATTTATAACATCCCTATGCTTTTTTTTGTCTAGGTCATCAAGGCAAAAAAGCATAGCGTAGGGCCCTGAGCTTCCAAGCTCTCTCGTTTACAATAGGCACAAGCACAGGCACAGGCACAATAGTCACACACTTATGAAAAGGTTGAAATGCAGTTTGGTGTGAAAGAATGCACACCACTGTTGTGAGCAAAGAGTACACAAGAAAACCTGGTCCAGTATAATTCCCCTGATCCCCAATTCCCCTAAGTCATAGGCTGGGGCCGAGCACTTTCCGTAACTAGAAATTGGCCGTAACTCAGAACAACACATACTTATTGCATGAAAGTAAACATTTTTTTATGCCAATCAATAAGTTTGGGGCCGTTTTTCGTTGAAAAGCCGATTTTTGTGACTCTAGATGGGTCAGAAAGTGCCAGGTTGACGGATATGCCCGGATAAGAATAAGGGGAATTTACTGTAGTCATGACCTGGGTATGACAATGAACAAGGAAGAAGCTGGCTTGTTACTGTAAATCCAGACATATTTGTACGCGAAAAGTTTCGGACTGTGAGTCAATTGCACAGCGTGCAGGGCCTTGAGCAAAGGAGCTTACCTTCTCGTAATCAGCGTCAGTAAACTTCTTCTTTTTCTTCTTCTTCTGCTGCTCTGGCGCCTTCCCAGACTTGCTTCCTGGAGACCAATGGTATCACAAGCACAGTCGTGCACATTCCATGTTCAACTCATTCATACACAATCTACGGTCAACTCATTCATACACAATCTATGCTCAACCCATTCATACACAATCTATGCTCAACTCTCTTTATTCAAAATCTATGCTCGACGTATTCACTGAAGGAGATGTAAGAATGCTGGGAGTGTATGTTGTGCACTAGATAGCAGTGATGCCAACAACACCAGTACAACAGTTTGCAAGTGTTCAATAACTACTAGTACTACATGCAGCGTGGAAGGCTTTTTGTACAAATGGTGTTCAAATTAGTGCAAACTAGCCAGTCCATCATGTGTACATTTACAGCCCTGCTTTCTTGGTGGATACCATCCGCCATCACGCTCACCTTTCTGTGCTTGGTCCGCATCATCTCCATCACTCATGTCCTCATCCGACATGTCGTCCAGGTCGCTGTAGTTGAACTCTGTATTGTAGCAATGGTATTCACAACAGGTGCATGAGAAAACACTAGGGAGACAACACAGGATGATGGACAACTTCACAACTGACAATGAAAGGGGAGAGATGGTCGATGAGATACATTGCCTGTACAGTAAAATGTACGCACATGTAGGTAGTGTGTGTGTGTGTGTGCGTGCACGCGCGCGTGTGTGTGTGTGTGTGTGGTATGTGTGTGTGTGTGTGTGTGTGTGCCCCCCCCCCCCCCCCCCTCCTCGTCACGGCCCGAAGAAGAGGTGGCGAGATGTGGTGTCGACTGATCTGGCGGACCTCGGCGTGACCACCTGGCTTGAGAGTTGCCAAGATCGTCCCGGTTGGAGACGAGTTGCGAGTAGCACTCCACCGCCACGGCCCGCTCCTGATCCTCTTCTATGTGTCTGTGGACGCCCGTTTCGTCGACCAGGAGACCTGAAACGACATGCCAAGTTCTGCGCTCGTGTTCTCACTTGAACTTTCCGACATTCGCTATCATTGCATACGCAATGGGCAAGATCAAGGTGTGTGTGTGTGTGTGTGTGTGTGTGTGTGTGTGTGTGTGTGTGTGTGTGTGTGTGTGTGTGTGTGTGTGTGTGGTGTGTGTGAGTGTGTGTGTGTGTGTGTGTGTGTGTGTGTGTGTGTGTGTGTGTGGTGTGTGTGTGAGTGTGTGTGTGTGTGTGTATGCTCCCCCTGATCCTGATTCTGCCTTCCACTGCGCATGCGTAAAGGTCTGCCGTCGTCCCGGGATCTCAAGCGCCACACTCCGTACTGCAAAAGTTAGCAGATAGTCTCTTCACTATCATTACCGTCGGTGTTACGGAGGTAGCCTCAATTGAAGTATTATTCGTTCTCGTTCTGCTTCTTTGAATGTTGCTGAACAGTTTTCCTCTCCATGCTCTGCTAAATCGTTGCCTGTACGCGCCACGTCTAGCGCCTTGTTTCTACGCTAGCACTTAGCACCTTATTCGTCATCACGCGCTCTTCTTATCTACATATATGTGCTAAGTGTTGGTGTAGAGGCAAGGTGTTAGATGTGGCCGCCGCTCTTGCTATATAGTTCATTGGAGCGAAGGCACAGTTGTTGTTTTTCCAGAGTTCTGCTTGTGATGGTATTCTTCTGAATGGTCATCGAAGTAAATCTGAGTATGGTTCAAGACAGTTAGTTGCCTTTCGAGAGTATCTCTGGGTTTATGAGCCACAGTCGGCAATGGGCATGTTCAAGGTTCAAGGTGTGTGTGTGTGTGTGTTTGTGCCTGTGCGTGCGTGTGTACATACAAACTGTACTTACCTTCACCAAGCTCTTCGTCAAAGTCACCTCCACCCATATCCTCATCATCAGCATTGCCGCCTTTGAAATGTCCCAGCAACGAGAGAGAGAGAGAGAGAGAGAGAGAGAGAGAGAGAGAGAGAGAGATAGAGAGAGATAGAGAGAGAGAGAGAGAGAGAGAGAGAGAGAGACACACACACACACACACACGTAACGTTAAAAGGTTTACTAAACCCGTTTATACTCTGGAAAGTGTATGATGCGGATCAGGAGTTGTTGGAGGACAGAATAATATTCTTTCAATCTAACGAAAAGCAATGTGCATTACACAAAGTTACAAGTTGATGATCCTTACAAGATATGCTCTCAAGTCAACGTTAGATAGCAACATTACAATGTAATGTGCATGTGTTGTAGTGATATTGCAATGTCATTTTTGCTGATCCTATGATTGGAACGCAATGTGTTCTCATATCATTTCCATTTCCCAACTAACACCAGTTCATTCGAAAGACATAACATACAGCACATACCCAGCAGCTCGTCAAAGTCGTCTCCACTATCGATATCCTCGTCATCATCACTGCCTTCGCCTGCGAGACAAGAGAGAGAGAGAGAGAGAGAGAGAGAGAGAGAGAGAGAGAGAGAGAGAGAGAGAGAGAGAGAGAGAGAGAGAGAGAGAGAGAGAGAGAGAGAGAGAGAGAGAGAGAGAGAGAGAGAGAGAGGGAGAGAGAGAGAGAGAGGGAGGGAGGGAGGGAGAGAGAGAGAGAGAGAGAGAGAGAGAGAGAGAGAGAGAGAGAGAGAGAGAGAGAGAGAGAGAGAGAGAAAGAGAGAGAGAGAGAGAGAGAGAGAGGGAGGGAGAAAGAGAGAGAGAAAGAGAGAGAGAGAGAGAGAGAGAGAGAGAGAGAGAGAGAGGGAGAGAGGGGAGGGAGAGAGGGGAGGGAGAGAGAAAGTGAAAGAAAGGCCACAAAACACTTAGGCCTGGCTTGTGTGGAGAGAATCCTGTCTACAGACGTGTGGTCGCATGCACACTCAGATGTTCACATGTCCAGACACATACTAGTACACTAGTACTAGTATATAAGCAAAGTAGTGAACTTCACTTGCACATATAACTACATGGTACCAGTCTGAATACAAATTCTCTGTGCAAAGCATCAGACACTGGCCATACCTTCGCCAAGGTCTTCGTCAGAATCATCGTCACTGGAATCCTCATCAGCAGCGCCGTGTCTGCCACCTCTGCCACTGACAGGAGCACCTTCATCATCGTCACTGTCTTGCCGTTCTTTCTTTCTCTTACCTCCCTTCTGGCTTTGCTCTCTCTTGTTGCTCTTGACAGTGGTCTTGATGTCACTGTACCACCACCACCACCACCATCATCACCACCACCATTACCACCACCATCACCACCACCACCAGCAAGCAAGCAAGCAAGACGGATAGAGCAAAAATGACACGTCATAATCATTGTGTTGTTATCAGTTGAGATATGCTGCACAAAAAGGGGTTTCTAATGACTCTGTGCTTCACCACCCAGCCGAGCATAGCCTTATCTCTAATGTGCTTCACCACCCACCCAGCCGAACATAGCCTAGCCTCTAATGTGCTTCACCACCCAGCCGAACATAGCCTAGTCTCTAATGTGCTTCACCACCCAGCCGAACATAGCCTAGCCTCTAATGTGCTTCACCACCCACCCAGCCGAACATAGCCTAGTCTCTAATGTGCTTCACCACCCACCCAGCCGAACATAGCATAGTCTCTAATGCGCTTCACCACCCACCCAGCCGAACATAGCCTAGTCTTTAATGTGCTTCACCACCCAGCCGAACATAGCCTAGTCTCTAATGTGCTTCAGCACCCAGCCTAGCCTAATCCAATCTCATGGAACACTGATGGCTTTCACCACCCAGCCTATCCACATTGAATAAAACAAAAAAGACCTGCATGTGTAGTGTCCACAAGCCAGTGTTGGGTTACTGCATTTGGGTTACTGTGGTTGGGGTACTCCTTCTGAAAACGACTAAACACACACTGCGGTATACTCCTAACATATGTTTAGCATTGTTAGGATTCTGTTTTCAGGAACTTGAAGGAGAGGAGTGTGGCGAGTGTGTGATATGAATAACTAGAAAGAAGATGCCAGTGCGTTGGTCAGGCAGATCAATCACCGGCCCGCAGCCTACCTTGCAAAGTCCATTGACTCTTCGTCCCCCTCGGGTCCTTCGTCTGCAACGTCTTCTGTGTCATTGCCAGGCTTGCTCTTCAGTTTGTGTGGATGTAATTGATTTAGCTGCCGGAAGTATCTGAAATAAACAAGAGAAAACGTTCAGCCAGAAAACACATGAGGGATCAGAGAGTTTCTTGTTCCAAGAGCATCTTCTTGAAGTGTAAAACTTCGGTGGGACATGTACAAAAAACTCAATCAATAGAAGGTTATTTTGTAAAAGAGAAAAAAGAGCAAAAAATGCCCCAGGGGAGGCTCGAACTCCCGACCTTCGCATAACTCAGCAAGTCTGCACTGCTTATAAGTACGACGCGCTAACCAACTACGCTACTGGGGCGGGCACATCTCCTTATGCAGTATTGGCCTTCATAGACGCTCCGTACAGAAAAGCTGATTGGCGGATGTGATAAAAAAAGGAACGGTAGCAGGCAGGGAGTAGTAAAATATTATGGTATTCTACTACTCCCTGGCAGCAGGCGGCGTAGAGTGTCCGATGACTTATACCGTTGTCAAACGTGACTTATTCCGCTGTGGAATATGGACACGGTACTGACAGATTCTGATGGTGTCAGAGTGAGTCTATTCCAGAGAGCATCTTCCCTCTCCTTCTAGCAAACAACACATAAGCAGCTTCCTCGAAATCTGGCTAAATGGATCAATGAAAGACTTTGCAAAGCAGATTTAGAAGTACTGGCCATTGTCAAAGAAGCCAGCTTCCCATGACGACTCTTGAAAATTTCCCAGGCAAATGTTTTGAGGAAATACTTCGAATTCTCACCGATGATAGAAGACTTCGTCTGGTCGAATCTTATCCTCATTCTTACTCCAGAATGAGGTATGATTCACTGCAAAGACACAGGGAGAAACACAGGGAGCATAGGGTACACACACACAATATATATGACATGGGATATGGACAAAGAAGGAATATGGCAAATTCACTTGGAAACCATAATTATATAAGGGTGGGCTCAAATCAATTGAAATTTCATAAGCCATCATCGCACCCGTAAAAATTACAAGTTCAGTTTTAGTGATTTTCGTGCCATTGTCGTCATACTATACCCCCCCCCCCCCTTCAAATATCACATGCAGAACACAGCAGACACTTTGCAGACATACCAGGCAGTTCAGTCATCAAGTGAGAAGTCTCCTTGCGCTGAACAACACACAGCAGAAGCATACATAGAAAATCACACACAAAGAAAGGAGTGGAGACTTCCTCTGACTCACAAGCTACACAGACACAGACACACATACACAGCAAGGTGTGGGCACGGAAGTCAGATACTATGGATAGAAAAGACGAATAAAAAAAGATCTGAGTTGCATCTCCTCCGGCAAGCAAAGTCAGATGATGTAAGAGACTGGCCACAAACAAACAGTGGTTATCAGGATCAGATCAGAACATTTCCTATAAAACAGAGCCACACCCTTCCTTGGAGCCTGTGGACTATGAGCACACTGTAGCCTATGCACCAAATTAAAAAGTGGTCTAAAACTAAAAGTTCCACTCTTGTTTTCTTTGCAATCGTGCCGCATTGCGAAGACGTTGATTTCTTCTCAATTATCCGCCAATTGGTTGTTGCGAGAAAACAGGTCTCCCCTGGGATATTGATTGTCATATTGACGAGGAGGCTGGCGTTGACTTGCTACCACTGTACATACAGTTCTGTCCGCAGATTGAGTATTCGCTCCTGCTCTTGCAGCAGTTGCCGAGCACTCTCGTGTGGGGTAGTGCCTTTGCTGTTTGCGTTATGCAGAGCTCACTGACTCGTCAGTTTGAGCACTCTGGCAAGGTACGTTCGGGCCTGGTTTAAATCTGGCTTCGGAAACTGTATTTTTCATTGCTATCAGGTTCGGCCTCATTTTCTCTGTGCTGCGCTGGTGAGTCCACAAAGGACGAAACAGTTCTGTCCGCAGATTGAGCATGTTGTGGGTACATGCATTTTATGATGGCATGACTCAGCACACTAACCTGCATCACGGAACCACCATGATCTGAGCAATGAGAAACACACCGATAAGCAGAAGACACAATACAAACATAAGGTACGTGCTTAAAACATGCAGTGACAGCAACGGGACATTGGCATGGCAATCATCCGAGCTCGAGATTCGAGGAGACTGCTGGAGGAATGTGCATGATTGTACATGTAATGGAACTATTATCCGAATGACTGTGCACATTCAATCTACAGTATATAAAAAAACTTAAAAAAGTTACTGTCAGGGAGGACCACCTGTGACCACTGGTCCCAGACAACCCCATGACTAGAACCAAGATCAAAGAGGTATGAACCTGGGACACGGGGACCAGCTGCACATGGTGACAGCACTGCATAATGGTATTAATGCACGATCTATGCTTTAACAATACACAAGACTGCCGAAATAACTACAACTACAATGTACCATGTACCACATTGCACTGCACAGAGCAACGAGTATACATCACACACACACACACACACACACACACACACACACACACACACACACACACACACACACACACACACACACACACACACACACACACACACACGCACACGCACACGCGCACACGCACACGCACACGCACACGCACACACACACACACACACACACACACACACACACTTTACCTCGGACTCGTTTCTTAGGGTTTCGGAACACAAACCGATCTAAGAATCTGCAATGAAACACAAATCAAATTGATAGAGCAAGTCAACTTTCATACCGCTAGACTCGCTAGAATCACCAGCACTGGATGGTGGGTAACAGTTACATGCAACAGCTATCTAGATACTTGTATTTGCCATTGAACAACTCCACTTAACAGGCAGACATGCAGTCAGGCAGACGGGCGGACGGAGAGACAGACAAACGGACGGGTGGGCAGAGGTGGACAGACGCACAGACACCCACTGATCCCTCGTACCTGACCAGAGTGAAGTCTTGCAGTGGGTCACCTTTGTACGTGATGGTCACACCGGCCACAACCTGCTCAGCAAATGTCCGTACAGATGGGTGATAGTGCACTGCAAACTGTGCGAGTGGGAAGTAAACAAAACCAAAACAAAAAACAGACACAACCAAACTTCTAGCATACAGTGAATGAATAGTCACAGCAGGAAAATAGACACGCATCGACATGCATGGGAATTCAATCCTTGATCTTGATTAGTGGTGGATCTAATCTACAGTCACGGATCTACAGTCCATTTCAAAACTATAAACGCGCAGTGTTTTCGAAATAATTCAAATTTGGCTGGAACTTTTTGAGAAAAGTTTTCGGAATATTGCTCAGGTCCGCTCCACAATTACTCTCATATAGTTTCTGAACGATTGGATAACAGACGTCCAATTTGGAAAAATTTATGCACAAAGTGATCACAGATTTTATATGGCATAGATGCTGGCATAACGGTTTTTGCCTAGGTACACGTCTATAGTTTTGAAATGGACTGTAGTCAGTCCATCTTGCGAATATGACAACCCTCGATTGCCGATTGCGCATGAGAAAAGTGTCGCCTGTACAGGGCTTCGAAGTGCTGACGGCACACATACTTGACAACGCATGCCAACGAAATTTCTGGGTACAAACAAACTTTAGCGTCCCTTGTTCTTCACTGTGTTTGATGTATTATGCAGGTTTCTGATGGTCGGAATCGATGGTTTGCTTGAAGAAACAGCTTTCCTAGGTAGGTACCCCTTGCTGATAGTTAAAGGTTTGCTAGGCTGATGGAGTAATGACGGGTCTTCCTGGTATTTTGAAGGTGAAACAAAGGGTCCGCGACGAGCTGGCGAAAATATTTCAGAGTTCGGATCAGACTTCAATTCTCGCTTGCTTCAGCATCTTTTCCGCCTCGTAAAGAGGGTGAATTCAGGCTTGAAATGTGCTTGGATCCATACAAAAACTGAATCCAAGTGGGCTTGAAAGTGCTACGTCACAGCATAGCAACAATTTCAAAAATTCAAAAAACTGGATCCAGTTTTTGTATGGATCCAAGCACATTTCAAGCGGTCTTACTCACAGCAAGGTGATGTAGCCAGTGAAACTGACTGATTTGGCTAATGGGGGCGGGGTGACAACTGGTGGCGAAATAAAAGTCACTCCTGCATGCGACATGAGTGGGTTGCTATGCACCCACATACTGAGGCAATAGCAAAGTCACACCTTAGTAGATCCAAAATAGAAATCTGATGTCAACTTACTACTCCCTGGGTGTTTTTGACGTCATCACTTTCAAGCCCTATGGTTGTTTGTACCAGTTGCTACGAAGTCGTCAAGGACCTGACGTCACACTTCGAAGCCCGCGCGAGTTGTCGTTATTCATGAATCATGAGGTTCAAAGTATGCAGTCAAATACTTGAAATAGTCACCTGCGCCTGGGACTACAAGAAGTTGGTCTAAAGATTGTGCCGTTATTCGTGATTGGTTGTTATACCCGAGGGCGTTATTCATGAGGTTGACTGTACTCACAAAAGACAGACTCAGGGCCTGCACCTTATGGTTTTGATCCACCGGGGGGAAAGTGGCGTTCATGTACGTAAGAGAAAGTCAAGATGACCGGAAAGCATTCTGCGACAATTCTCTTTTTATCCTTGTTGCCATTTACCTTAAACGGAGTTGCTTACTCGCACACCGTGCAAGACATGAATACGGCATGAATACGGCATACACTTACAACAACAGGACACAAAATGAAATAGCCCGCTACAATGTACACACACCTGTCGTATTTCCCAGCTGCAAGAGTGCTCTGCACCACAGTACAGCGGGTTACGATGCAACGCTACGTAGTGCTCTTGCTGGCCTCGATCGGCAAAGCCCTTTGACGGCTTGACGCTACCGGCCGCCTTTGCCAGCTTCTTCACAGCATCGTCAACATCCCCAAAGTCTTCCGTCGTTGCTTCCGCATCGGAATCCTTTGCTGCGTGCGCTGATTCATCCTGCTCGTCATCAGCATCCTCGGAGTTGTCATTCTCGTCGTCTTCGTCATCATCCAGTTGAACATCTTTGAAGTGCTCTTCCTCTTCTGTATCCTGTACAACAGTGTGAATGTGTGCATGTGTGTGTGTGTGTGTGTGTACATGTGTGTAAATGTGTATGTGTGCGTGCATGTGTGTGTGTACGTGATGAAAGAGACAAGGAAAGTGAGACAGGGTGTCGCAAAGTGATACAATGCATCATGTGCCTTGTACGTACTTGTACTAGGGTCCAACAATCAAACCGCCTGGCCCAAATGAAATTATGTTAGAAATTTCAAAATTTGGCTCCGCACAAAAGGTTCTGTCTGAAAACTTGCTCCAATACAGCATTCGGCCAGTCACTCTAAGCTCAACTGATGTGATCTAAGAAGGTTGAAATAGCTAGCTGTCTGGAGATAGAGTGCTCTCAACCAGTATGCAACAGAGCATGAACCCTGTAATGAACAAGGAGGAAAATCTCTGAAGAGAACATCCACCAGAAAGCCAAACAAACAACACTATCCAAAAAGAGAGGAGACTTACCTCAGGCTGGTCAATAATTGTCCTGATGGCTGGCTGGTCAGTACACAACTACATGAGCACAGAGGGAAATACAGCAGCAGCAGCAGAATTGTTGGATAGCGAGCATGTAGCGTACTAGTTACACCAGAGTAAGTATTGGTAGCAAAGGAGAACAGACTCAAATTAATACATGCACTTGCCACAGGTATTCACTTGTGATTCGGCATAGAGTACCGAGTACATGTATTGAGTACCTGTAGCGAGTACTTCCTATAAACAGGCAGGCATAACTAGTCATACAGAACACACATACATACACACACAGTCATGTACTGTACACTACAAGAACACACAGACACACACACCCACACACAGACAGACAGACAGACGGACATACAGACATACAGACACACACACACACACACACACACACACACACACACACACACACACACACACACACACACACACACACACATACCCACACACACACGCACGCACGCAAGCGCGCGCACACACACACACACACACACACCACACACACACACACACACACACACACACACACACACACACACACACACACACACACACACGAGTACACAGTGTAGTAGACGGACTTTCTACCGTACCATACCGTATGTACCGTATATCGATAGACTTACTATACCGTATATAGTACATTATTTTTACTTACTATACCGTATATAGTACATTATTTTGCTCAATCTGTACGTTATTTTGTGTATGTCGTGTGTACGTTATGTTGGTGCATGCGCGTGTTGCTGTAGTATGAAAAGCAGTCTTCGTCTTGAGTTCATCATGTCTTCGTCTTGAGTTCGTCATGTGTAGTTGTGTTTCGTCGTCGTGTCAATAAACAGTCTTCTAAATGTAGTTATCGTCGTCCCTTTGAATAAGTGTGGAGATGGCACGGGACTGGGAGCAGGTGGAGAAAGGCCAGTTACTACACACAGTATCGGAAAGCTAACCTGAGAGATCATGAAGAGAGCCCCGCAAACAAACGACGGCGGCATCATGTTGCACACTTGCAGTACTCGCTTGATGAAAGCCTTCAGACAGGGCAAACAAAATGGAAACAGCCAAGGCACACGTTGTCACACAGGGCTGAAGTAAGTATGGTGAACTTCTAGAACTACATGTAAGTCCTCGGTTCAAACATTCGCTAAACACAAGATACTAAGAAAGATTCCTACAAGATGCTACTACATGTATAGATAATGGAGAAAACGCAGACGCAGAGATGTACACACGTGAAATGGTTGCCATGAAAAATCTCACAGAAGATGAGCAAACGGCAAGTTGTTTCCCACTTACCTTGACTCGGGATATCCTCGGGTCAGCTTTGATCGCTTTGTACAGCAGATTCATGAACACACTCTACAAGCACAGCATAGCGCCAGTCACCCACATACGCACATGCACACACACACACACACACACACACACACACACACACACACACACACACACACACGGACATAATTATGCACACAGGCATGCACACACACACATGCCACAAAACGACCCCAGACGATCGGAATCCCAGTGCCAACATTCGGCACAGATTCAACTTGTAAACATGCATCCAGTTGCTGAAAATTTCAGTTTTGCCTCCAGGTGCAGCAGGCACATGCATACACACAGACCAGCAATTACGTGTCACATTGGACAACACCATATTGCTACTGTAACAGGAAGCAAATTGTAGCTGTCACTACATTCATTGAAGCTGATACAGAATGTACTAGTACTAGGATGTGCTGATAAAGTCACAGTGCACTAGCCAACCTGCTTGGACGAAGCCACCAAGCGGTGATCCATTAGCTTGGAGTACAGGGCGCAATAGAAGCGATCTGATAAGCTTTGTCTGCAAACACATACAAATACGCACGCACGCACACACACACGCACGCACGCACGCACGCATGCACACATACACACACACACACACACACACACACACACACACACACACACACATACGCACAAAAAGTATGTCTGATTAAAATGTGGACAAACACCAACGTATCAACTAACAATCGTAAAAGGACCGAACAGTCACTGAGTGTACATGAGTGAATTTACATCCCGCAGGTACATCATGATGATGATGATGACGATGATGATGATGATGCTCTATAGGCTACACTATGCATGTGACTTCAATACAAACAGCTGCACCATTATCCATAGCACAGTACCTGGATTGCATGATTTGAAACAGTAGCATCAAAGCCTGAAGGAAACAATCAACACAGAATGCCAGTGAATGGTTAAATAATAATGTCAGGTACAACATGTTGATGACACCAACTGCAAAAAATCCATGAGGTTTAGCAAGAAAGAAGGAGAAAAATGCATACAGACAGGACAAGACATAAGGTATGCAGACAGACAGACAGACAGACAGACAGACAGACAGTCAGGCAGACAGACAGACAGACAGACAGACAGACAGACAGACAGACAGACAGACAAACAGGCGGGATAGATCACCATACTGATAGTAATGTAGTATGGAACAATGTTGATAAAAAAAGAGGTAATCCAGCAATTAGTTGACAACCCACAGTAAATCCAGATACATGCAGCACAACGTCTGCAAGCACTCATCAACATTCTTTCTATTGGTAAAGCAAATATCTGCATGTGTGCACACATGTGCGCGAACACGAGTGTGTGTGTGTGTGTGTGTGTGTGTAAGTGTGCGAGCTGCGTGTAGGCATAGACTAGTGTGTGTTCTCGGTGCTGAAAGTACTCCATACCTGTACACTGGCGTTGAATGTTGACTTGTGGACAGTGGAGTACAGTGTGTTGACGTGCACATCCAGCTCCTCATCCTTTACTGCAGACCCAGGGACAGGAAACACAACGGGAACTTAAATTCTTTTTCCAATAACACACACGAAAACGAGGCGCTGGGAAGAAAATGTATTTATTTCAAACACAACGAAGCATTCATTTACTTCAAGGAAGAGAAGAAATTCATATACAACCTCCGGATGGCTAACTGTTTCGACTTTGTTCTCCCCTCACCAGACAGCAGGGTGGTGGGAAATGGAATTCTATAGATGGTACACTTTCCAGAACTTTCCCTAAATCTCTCCAGCATTCAGCAACTTTTTGTTATTGCACTGAAACTTAAAGAATATCATAATAGCCTCAATGTTTGAAGCCCTGGACTCCAGCAGAGCCAGAAGTATGGTGTGGAATCTATTGTGAAGATGATAATCTCAAGCAGCATCTCTGGAACTAGAAGAATATAAGGAGAACACAGGTTTCACTGACTCGGCATTCCAGCAGGAACACTCCCTGCACCAGTAGTACATGCACGCACTCATACGCACGCACACACGCACACACATGCACACACATGCATGCACACACATGCACACACACACATACACATACACACACACACACACACACACACATACGTACACACACACACACACACACACACACACACACATACGTACACACACACACACACACACACACACACACACACACACACACACACACACAGACCGTCATGACAATCCTACGCACGACCATATCGCACTTACACTCAGCAAACGGGAATGCTCGATTCACACCGACAAGCAGCGCACTAAGCATTTTACTGTCCAGCTCCGAATCCTTACCAGAAGAACATTTCTGAGCAACAAAGTGAGATACACAAAAGGCAGACGACAGGGGATTCATAGCAAAAATGACATAAATGCACTGAAATCATTGAAAGATGAGTAATGGCCGAGTAGACACAATACCTCACCATCCAGAAATATCGATGAGTTTGCACGACAGATTATTTTCATTACAGGTGGGAGGGCGTTGACACAGTTTCGTGTCAGAAACCACCCGACACATACCTGCCAGCACAGATGTATATGCATGTGGTCAAAACACGCACACAGGTACACGCAGTCTCCACTTCTTTCGTTTTCAAAAGGGCAAGAGAGGCCAAGGTGGGCTTTACACTGAAAGCAAATTCGTTCCATGAAAGATCAACAGTGAGTACATTATCTCTTATTGGCGATGGTGCCATCGTGAGAATAAAGAATTCAAAGATAACCCCATACCGAGTAAAAAGAGAAATACACGGAGATGAGCTTGTTTGCCAGGTCCTTGTCTTTCCGGCTTAGTATCTGCTGGTTGAGGAAGCACACTGCATAGTACCTGGACAGCGTGCAAGCACAAAACAAAAAGTCACATCATATGGTAAACAAACAAAAACTCCAAATGAACATCTGCCTGAAGAATTCATGTACCCACTTCTGAATTCTCGACCTAATACTACCCCTAGTTGATCATGAGTATCATGTTTCCGGAGTATAAGCCGCGCTCAGATTTTTTGTCATAAAATTCAGACATCTATCCCATTGACCACCGTTAATTTGACCATAATAGTATAAGCCGCACCGACTTTTTTTGGTTGAATTACTGTTGTTTAAAGTGCGGATTATACTCCAGAAAATAGGGTAAAATAACAATTATTATTATGAATTCGTAACCTTCGCGCTCTAGAAAGTTTAGACGTATGTGATTTTCGCGATGGGTGTGAAGCCGCAAAAGTAAGCCGACGTGAACGTAGAACCGTAGTAAAAATCAATCATGACTCCAGTCGCAAACATGTCCAGGTGCAAGTTGGTTGTGCTCGCAAATCGTGAACTAAAATCGGTGCAGATGTTTCCAAGTTTACAACATTTATTTTCTTTTTTTGCTCTTATCTTTCCCTGTGATCTGGCTTTCATGTACTTATCGAGGAAGAAGAAAGAACATTGGTCAGTTGAGATATTCATTGGTTTGAGGGAAAGATGCAAATGGGAAAAGTCTGACGGAAACCACACCAGCACAAGTAATGCTTGTGTTGCTTTCTGTGACTTCCGAAGCTGTTGATTCACAAAATTCAATAGTCCATAGCTGTGGATTGCTTTGGAGTTTTAGATTCAAATACAGTGGAGATTGGATATAATGACCTTGGATATAACGACAAATCGAGTTTAGAGACAAGATTCTGTTGCCCAAGTCGTTTAGCAAGTCCTTCCTGTACAATATAGATCGGGTATAACGACCTCGAAAATAACGACAGATCGAATTTACTGACACTTTTTTGGTGCCCGAAGACCTGAAAAAAGTGAAAATGCATCGAATATAACGACTTTCCTCTTGTATCAGGCAGACAGGCATGTCTGGAACATGGCATACTTGCCAAACCTACCGGAATTTCCGGGAAAATCAAGGAAAACTCGCTTTCGTCCCGGTATACCGGAAAAGTTATAACATCTACCGGATTTTCGAAAATGTCCGTCAACACCTTTTTAGTGGATTTTCGGTGTTTTGGACGCTCGCTCGCAGTGCTGGGCGCCCAAACGAAGGTCTAGCGAGCGAGAATTTTTGAGTTAGCGCATGAAAAAGTACTTTTTCGTCGTACATGCTGTACTATTTGCGAATATTTTGTAGTCATGGTGACGTCACTATGATGTCATATACAATATTTTGCATGTAAAAATTGAAGATCAAGGAAAAATGGGCAAAATCAAGGAAAACGTCATCCGTGTCAAGGAAACTGTTTGCCAGGGGTTGGCAAGTATGACATGGCTGTGCCACGTGCCCCGATCTCTGGGTCACTCAATGTGTGCTTTACATAATTGCACATACATAATTATTGTAGCCGCAGTGCAGTGGTAGATCTACGCGATGACTTTGCTTCGAACAATGCATGCAAAACGCATGCACATACATATCTGAAATCCATTACAGTATCATTATGGCATATGCATTATTATGCACAATCATATCTGCAATACATTTCTGTCATTTTGGATATTGCATACTAAATGTGAAGATCGGGTTTAGTGACAGATCGAATATAGCGACATTTTGCTTTCTCCCGAAGGAGTGTCGTTATATCCAATCTCCACTGTAATATTTTCATAGCTTATTTCTAGCATATGCCGAACGTTAGCTCACAAAAACGAGCGTAGGAACAAAGACGCCAAGGGCCCAAGGCCCCAAACATTTTTGGAACGCGATATGCAATGCTGTGGCCATGGCCCAACCGGGAGAAAACTGAGATCTACGATGCAAGATGCGATGACAATCGACATCGAACATGGTTGGACTTGAATTCAAAATTGTTTAGTTTAGGGTCAGGCGCTACAAGTACAAGGCATGAGGCTGGCGGAGTGTGGAGACCGTAGATATGATGTAGCCATCAGGAGATCGAGTCAACAAACAACTGCCACAGCCTGGAACTGGAGAGTACACTGAGCTCAGTACTGGGTGGCAGATTCGCGAAAAATGTCTCTTCTAGACTACTCGTACTCTGACAGAATCGTCCAAACGATTCGCACCATGCACCAAATCGACCTACCTACACAAGGGACGATGACAATGACATGAAAAAAAGGAAAAGAGCGATCACAATCCCATCGAGTCACAAGCAGCTCTTGCTTGCGCTTGCGTTCACGGACTCCGACTGATCGCGATCGCAAGGAAGAAAAAAACAAAAAATAAATGAGCCATTCGCAGTGAACAGGATTCGAACCTGTGCGGGCAGAGCCCAATTGATTTCGAGTCAATCGCCTTAACCACTCGGCCACCACTGCGGGTGCAAAGTTCAAACTGAGCTTGGATGTCTATAAACGGACGCACCAGTTCTCAAGGAATTTGACAAACTTTTAGACCAAGATAACTGTATACAGTCCATTCATAAAAAGAGCAAGAGCTGCTTGTGACTCGATGGGATTGTGCAGTGTGATCGCTCTTTTCCTTTTTTTCATGTCATTGTCATCGTCCCTTTGTTCAGAAGTGTAGGTAGGTCGATTTGGTGCATGGTGGCGAGCTCCCGTATTTGGCGATTTTTCGTGATTTCATCGTACACAGTGCAGTGCTGCGAACTTTGAAATTTGAAAAAGGGTCCAAAAAGGGTGCCTGAACTGGGGTTCGAACCGCAGAATGCACTGTTGCAGGCGGGGTCAAACGGCCTGGATTTTGATGGTTTTTCCCAATTCAATGCTTTTGGGGCAAAACCTGGCCGAAATCCTATTCTTGCTATGGCTTGCTTTTTGGACAAAAAAACTTCAGAAACATAATTGGAAGAGGATTCCATATCGGATTGCAGAAAAAAATTCTAAAAAACTCAACGTTTGACCCATCTATGGCCAAAAGCTAGAAGTTCATTTTTTTCTGAATGGACTGTAGAGTCGGACTTCAACTGTCAGGGGCCGTTTACATGAGAAAAAAATAAGCCCGGGCTTATTCAACCCTAGGCTTACGATAAGCCCGCCTTGATCAGTCACCCAGTCATTTTAGAGCGCGCGTTTACATGGTCAGGCGGGCTTATTCAGCTCGCCCCGAGCTGAACTAGCCCTACCCTTGACCCCCGAGCTTATCCAACCCCCAGGGCTTATTTTGTCATGTAAACGGTCAAGAAGGGCTTATAAGCGAGTTTTTCCGTATTTTTCGATTTTGCCTCGTGAACCTGAGAGAATGTGGCCGTGGACAGTGCGTCTCTTTTATTTATTTCTTGGTATGTTTTCTTCTGGTTTTTGTCCAGTGGAAGGTCCTAGCCCATCCTTCACCTGCTCGAAAAATAAGTGACAATTGGAAAGGCAGTAGAAACCTGAGCCGGCACTTCTTGATCCAAATTTCATCAAACACGAACATTTACCACTGCGTTCATGTGCGATTTGAAAAATATAATGCGCGCAGAACTCGCAGTCACTCACCTGAACTCAGCCCCGTACAACCGTCATGTAAACGGTTGAAAAATAAGCCCGAGGCGAATAAGCCCGGGCTTATTTTCCTCATGTAAACGGCCCCTCAGTCTGTCACGGTGTCAGCTAGTAATGAGTAGTATGTCAGAATTAGGACAGTTCACTGGCCTCTCAGTTTGGTCTTTACTGCCACTACCACTGGATGGGATGTCCCGTACATGCAAGCACACCAGCCATAACTTCGGCCACAGCCAGCTAAAACATGTCTGATAGAGTGAAAAATGTATTCCAGAAAAATGTCACTTTGATCACCAGCTGCTTGGATTAGACCGCCAAATAAGTGTGCAAAGTTCGACAAGATGCTCACGCCGGTTGATGAATGAAGCACAGCGCGAGCGACTTACGAGCTCGCCAGAAATAATTCTTCATTCCGTCATGTCTCAAAAAAATTACGAAACGCCAAACATGTTTTAGCTGACTACGGCCCATTTCATGTGTTTTGGGCTGCACCTTGCCAGTGACTCACTTGCCTGGATATCACCAAGCACTCAGGAGAAGCACTGACTCAGTGCATATGACCATGCAAAGTACAGAGTTACTATGTGAGAGTACTGGTGGTGGAAGTCAATATTTCTTCAGACTTTTCTCGTTTCATCTCTCTCAAACTATCGGAACATGCAACTACCAGCAGCATTGGTCATCATGGTTGGAACTTCCAAGTACACGGAAATAGAAGTCTCAAGGCTCAAGACAAGAGGAAAGTACCATAAAGTACCGTTGATCTGCCCCCTATTGAATTTCTGCATGTGAAGTGACTTCGGCATATGTGTCCAAATACGGTGTTGAACCGACGCTTGCACTGCTGTACACAATGCGTGTCAGTGCAGATATGTAAAACTAAAAAGCAAAAAAGAGTAAACTATCGTGTCCGTTCCCAAAGGGAACTTGCGACGGCCGCTAACACCCGGTAAACCCTAGATATGCATGCAGATATGCATGTGGATGAAAATGTGCACAATCCAGCACGGCGAGTCTGACTTTTGTGTAGTTGTACATACCAGTAACACTGCACATGAAAGCCTTGATTTAACCATCAACCTCTTGCCGAATATCCAGCTGGGAAGCGATACCGTATAATGTGTGTGTGTGTGTGTGTGTGTGTGTGTGTGTGTGTGTGTGTGTGTGTGCGTGCGGGGGGGATCAACGGTACTTTGCGGTAAATGCTAGGGCTGAAAGAAGCGGTTACAGTTTCCAGGTTATCAGCTAGCCAGTGATTGGTTACACGGCCGGTTGACCGTACCAACCGTTTCACCCCTAGGAATCACATGGCGTTCCCTCTAATCTTCCAGATTTCCTGCAACATAGCACTCCACTAGCTAAATAATTAGACCTCACTCAAACTATTAGGAAACCCAAATGTGAAATTGCTAACTCAAACTGTCAACATAACCACTGTCACAACACCACACCATAGCAAGTACTTGTACAACAGCGGGATCGCAGAAAATCACACTACGGTACGCCGTGTGGAGTCACAAGGGAACAAGCAGGGAAACTGCACATGGCAATATAGAAAGCTAGTCCAGAATTCTGCCGACCAGGCAACAGCTGCCGTGTTATTGCAGCGCACTGAATGCCTTGTAGCAAGAGCACCTAACCCCCAAGAGTGTGCAACTCCAGCTATGGGGTCTACGGCCGCAGAACTTCACACTACATGAGAAACCCATACACATTATTTGCACACTGTGCACGATAGATACAGGGTTGTGCCCTATCCTGGTCTGGGTTCAACTCTGTTGTGGTCAGTTCACACTGTTTCCCAGCATAACCATGTCACGCGATGTGAAGTTCTGCCGTTGCAGCTGGATAGAGGCGGTGCAGGCAGTTAGTTACACGCTCTTGGGGGTCATGTACTCTTGCTTGTAAGACTTAGTATAGGTTGCATTAACGATGTGGTGTTGATACGTCTCAGTGCAGTAACGTCTCAGTCACCACAGTCCAATGCTGAAGTGGGGTCGACACATTGCCACCGCCTGGCATATGCACATTCCTATCTAGAGTACATGCAACTTATCAGTAGTATCCAGCGACACACTCAACGAAGATGTGCCATCTCTAGACAACTATATGAACAGGACCTTATAAATTGCGTCTGCAGCCACCTCTATCATACAGTATTCTGTTCTCAAGGTTCGTGGTTTCTCGTAAAAAAAATGATGCAGCCTACCATGAGTTGACAAATGTCTTCACTGCATAGTGAGGGAGCATTGGTACATGGAAAGTTTTAAGAGTATGGACTACATCTGGCAGTAGTTCCCTTCAGGCAAACAGGCAAGAACTTTTGAAAGGCTGCTATGGTACACAACTAACAAGTAACATGGTAGTCTGAAAAGGACCAATGGCTTTTTCTAGTGACACTTCTAGACCTCTTAAGATGGAAGGCTCTTAGTTATGGAAGAGCCTTCCAACTTCCAAGTCGGATGGCCATTGGTTAGAGCATTCAAAATGTACTAGAGCGAAATTTCAGTATTGTGCCAACTGTCGCAGGGCCTGACTCAGCAGCATCTAGGTACTAAATACATTTGTGGACACTGGACACCTACGTACAGCCACTAACTAGTCAACCATAGATCCCTTTCCCCCAGCGTAAAATTCCTCGGCTCCCCATCTGAGTTCCCGACACTACACGAATTCGCTAGTATTTCAGCCAGGCCTTGCAATTCAACCAAGAAGACATAGTGAGAATTAAAAGTTGGAGGTTTTGCGGCTTACCTTGCGCGATCTGCTAGGTTTGGTCGATACATGAAGCGCTCAATTTCATTGACGATTACAAGACGCATATTGGGATGCCTGTTTACTGCAGACACAGAAAAAGAGACAGAGATTTGACTTGCTATCAGTAATAGATTGTAAGTTCGCAGTGTAGTCACTAGTTGCATCCTAAAAGGAAAAAAAGCTACTAACTTACATAGAAGAGAGCAGAACTACAGTGCTACTCAATGAAATCCAGTGAGTCACTCAAGTTCGCCATGGCCGTTGCCCAGCCCTGGACCTGCGAACACTGGGCTGCGAAATGGTGCAAGGCTCGAACATGACTCACATGACTGGATTTCATTGAGCAGCCCTGTAGTTACATGTACTTCAAGTACCGTAAAGTATGGCGAAAGCGTTCTACCCTTGGTTTTACAGCCAGGGAAACGAAAGTAGCATGGCAGAGTGCAACTGAGTTGTACGGTGTGTACAACTTAGGGTACTAGGGTCACGTTCTTGTGTGGAGCTTGCATCCGCTCTAAGATAAACTGCGCAACATGCAACATGTATAGAAGGACACACCTCCAAAACACGACCACAACAGAGTGGAGTGTTCTCTCACGATAGTTTACAGCATATCCAAACGTAAGAAGCAGATGATAAAGCAGAAAATAAAGAGATGGCAAGTGAACTCCCCCCCCCCCCCCCCCCACTGCTATCGCCCAACACCACACCAGAGTGATGTCAGAAGCAGAGCAGCCTGAATAGCAATTGTAACATACCAAGCAGCAGTAAATAGTGAGAAGCGGTTGATGCAAGCCGCCGCTCTGGATCACCCAGTTTGTTGCTTAGCAGTTTTAGTAGTGCCTGCAGAAACAAAGACAAGAGTATTACAGGTCCAGCTGCTACAGAAGGACGATATAGCTTTAATAGATCAGATCGGAGAGGTGTGTGCTTAGAAAGGGGACCACATCAGACAGCAAGTTGGGTTGGGAAAAAAGAGGTAGAAGAATGGAGAGAGAGAGAGAGAGAGAGAGAGAGAGAGAGATCAAGTGAAGATAACACTAACTTCCAATGACTGGAAATGACATTTCCATGACTAATCAAAGTGGTTCATGAAGTAAAGCACCGGCACCAAGCCAGCCAGGAGCAAACAAGTATCGGCACGAACCTGTTCTTGCTCGGGCCGCTCAGCCAACAACTGCTGGACGATAGCTGGAAGGAATCAAATGCAAACAAAGATGATAGGGTCACCATGCCAACACTGGATCACGTTCCACATAGCCAACAGCGACACTGAAAAACACTCCACATAGGCCCCAGCTAGCACTACTTGCTATTGTTTGCTATTGTTTATATAAAATATCATAATGTCACAAAAATCCGTAATAAGCTTCAAAGGCAAAAATGGGTGTCTTGATTATTAGCACTCAATAGTCTGTTTGACACAGCTCGAGGAGAAGCTTGGTAAACTTACCCAGGACTTTCTTGCGGATTTCAAACTGAGGATCCTTGAGAAGGCTCTGAATACAGGAGAAAGAAGAAGGAAAGAAAAGGATTCTTGATCGCAAATTGTTAACAGTGGATGCCACAACAAGGCTCAATTGTGGTCGGGGATGGGAAAGCAAACTTGTGGCGGGCCGGACTGCCACAACCAAGCAGCCATCGGCCGCGGCCATCCTTGCTGGATATTACACACAAGACCCTGGTGTGCTACAGCCATGCACATTCAGCACACACTTTATGTTCTCCTGGGTGACGGAGTGTGTACGACAACCTTCATTCTTTTATTCGAAGTACATAAGCGGTGAATACAGGCATGCCGCGGGCACTTCAAACAAACCGTGTACGATCCGTACTTTTCAAGGGCGCTGGACGCAAGGCACTCAACAGCAGGTGTACTAGTACATTGTGTGATGCCTACTTTTTTCTGGCACTAAAGGCAACTCTTGTTCCGAGTTTAAAATGTACATCGCTTTTGTGACATGCACTAGCACTGTACAAGGACTGGGCACCCAAGTCACAGTCAAAGGCAACTCTGACTCAACATACACATACAGTTTAAAAAAAACCATCTTACGTCTAGGGCATTCATCATGCTGCCGTAGGACTTTTTCACCTCGTCCTCAACGTGCCATAGCAGCAGCTGGCGATACATCTGCTTTTTGTCTGACCCGCTCAGCTGATCGAACGGTCTCTGGATGAAAACACAAAGAGGTGGGCAGAACTCCAGAATTCAAATTGTGAGCCAAAATACAACAAATATGATGCTAAAATAACATGCAAAATCCACAAGAAGCAGCAGCAGCAGTACCGCCACCACCACCACCACTACCAGCACATGCAATACTTTAGCAGGTGCACATGATTTCATAATTATATTTACAGACTATCAACAGCCATGAAAAAAAGAAAAAAAATCCACAGATCTGTGACATAATCAAAATAATACATGTACTGGGTATAGAAAAAAGACAGCTAAGAGCCAAGACGGAGAAGCTACTTCCATGGTAATCAATTACTAGGAGAACTCACTTCTCCAATAGAGCGCAACTTGCGGTTTTCCGGGAGAAGATTGACCATGAACAACTCCTTCAAAGTGTCTGAAGAAGCGTACATGAGTTCAAGGAAGTGCAAGGTCACAGGTAGCCAATGCACATGCACGCACTCACATGTGCACGCACATGCGCATGCACACACACATGCACATACACACACACACACACACACACACACACACACACACACACATGTCAAGGAAAAATTCACAAAACACCAATATCACAGGTTAAAAGACCATCAGGCAGAGATATTGAGTGAAAATTCACTGCCCCCCTGTGTGAATTTAGGAGTAAAATTATTATTATTATCTTCATAGTGCATAGACCGAAATAACTGAATGACCACTCCATCATAAGACATACTACAGCAGCCAAACACCTATACCGTATCTACTAAGACACACACAAACATGGCAATAGCAAGGCAAGATACGATGAAGAATGTCACCCTAAAAGCCTTTTCTCGCACGTACCAACAGCAATCAGAGCCTCGCGCTTCACTTTCTTGTTGGCCATCATCAACAGGTTGGATAGAGTTGAAAGCTGATGCACGGGAGATTCCTGCAGTGTTCATGTTACAAGACCGAGCATAAGCATACAACCGTTTTATGACCAATGCCAACAGATCTTCACAATCACAGTCTGGTAAGTATCCAGGTGATCAAACTCGAAAATATGTTGAAAATCTGCAATACTGTACCACATCTAGGACAACGTAGTGTAATTCAGATCTCATCTCATAATATAGCATTGGGTCAGACCTCGCCATTGGTCTACGACAAGCACCTACACATGCACGATCTCACATCAATGCACCCCCCCCCCCCCCTTCCCCAACACACACAGGACTATGCGAACGCACAAACACACACACACACACACACACACACACACACACACACACACACACACACACACACACACCTCAGACCTTAAACCTGCCCATCGCAGAAGCGATGATAGCGAACAGCTACACACACACACACACACACACACACACACACACACACACACACACACACACACACACACACACACACACACACACACACACACACACACACACACACACACACACACACACACACACACACACACACACACACACACACACACACACACACACACACACACACACACACACACACACACACACACACACACACACACACACACACACACACACACACACACACACACACACACACACACACACACACACACACACACACACACACACACACACACACACACACACACACACACACACACACACACACACACACACACACACACACACACACACACACACACACACACACACACACACACACACACACACACACACACACACACACACACACACACACACACACACACACACACACACACACACACACACACACACACACACACACACACACACACACACACACACACACACACACACACACACACACACACACACACACACACACACACACCTTTGACCTGACCTTTGACGCCCATAGCAACTTGTGCTGGGATTGCACCATTCAACAGCTTGCAAGGCTGAAGAATTGACCGTCACTATTCAGCCTGGTCTACACCATACACACACACACACACACACACACACACACACACACACACACACACACACACACACACACACACACACACATGGACGCGTACGCACCATTGGACCATTGGACGCCCATCGCCGGAGGCGATGATAGCGATGCTACAGCAGAAGCCATAGCAACTTGTGCTGGGATTGCACCATTCAACAGCTTGCAAGGCTGAAGAATTGACCGCCACTATTCAGCCTGGTCTACACCACACAGCTATGAAGTGGCTTTTTTCTGGCCAGTGAATCCCTACTTTTTGGTCTTTCTTAAATTTTTTTCCCGCACACACATGCCGCGTACGCACACACCCACACACACACGCGCGCACACACCCACACACACGCACGCATGCAAGCACACTCACCTGAATCTGCAGAGCTAGCGCGGCAACACGATCCGACAAGGTACCGGTCTTCATGACGGTTCTTATCCACTTTGCATCACCGCTGGTATCGGCCGACTTGGCTGCAATCAAACAAACAGCGATACACGTAGTCAGTCGTCACACACAAAAAGGCATGTCTACCATACAATGACGGCTCACCCTTTAAGACACTCAGATTTGTGTGAATGTGTGTGTGTAAAAGAAAAAAAGAAAAAAAATGGAAAAATGAAAAATAGGGATTCACTGGCCAGAAAAAGTCACTTCAAACAGCTGTGTGGTGGATACCAGGCTAAAAATAGTGGCGGTCAATTCATCAGCCTTGCAAGCTGTTGGATGGTGTAATCCCAGCACAAGTTGCTATGTCTAAAACATAGCTGTTCGCTATCATCGCTCCCGCGATGGGCATGTCTGAGGTCTGAGGTGTGTGCGTGTGTGTGTGCATGTGTGTGCGTGTGTGTGCGTGTGTGTACGTGCGCGCATGCGTGGAAACCCGGCATGCGCATACATGCACATCTCTAATGTATAACCCTCCTTGCTCATGATACGTAATGCACCTCGCTTGTATAGCACCTACACACCCTTTGTAGTCCCCTATGTTCTCTTGCTGTTGCTGTTGTGGTTGAATTCTTTATTCTCACGATGGCACCTTCGCCAATAAGATATGTTGTTGTTGTTGTTGTTGCTGTTGTTGCTTTTCTCTTCCATTCTATGTAGGCATGTGCACTTTCATAAAAAACAAAACAAAAAACCTACCTTTCATGTACTTTTCCACCTCCATCTCATAAATCTGCCTGGCAGCTCGCCGATAGACATCTACGAGGCGAGGATCGTTCTTTGTAGATGATATGCTGCCGCTAACCCCATTCTAAAGACATAGACAACAACAGCATTGTGTCATTAGCCACAAAGCGGACCAGGGAAGGTGCATGGACATAACGCACACACACAGAGTTGGGCACTGGATTATGGACAAGACTGAAGCACAGAAGACACATTCCCTGACTCGACAAAAGGAGTCAGCGTCTGCTCTGCGTGTGTAACATTACATACACATGCGTGCATGCGTGTCTGTCTGCAGTGAAGTGGATCCCTATTGTCATGTAACGAGGACATCTCGCTGGTGTTTGCACAGTGTATCGGCATCCACACTGCGATGTACACACACTATTCGATAATTGAACCACAGAAGTACCGGTACGCATTACCCTCCCCCGAAAAAAACTTGGAAGACTACGAAGACTCGTACACAAAGTATAAAATTTATTCCCGTAGCTATGCAGAAGACGTTACTTCAGTAACGTCTGGCGCTAGCCAGGGTCCACACAGCTTTAATTTGGTATTTGTGTGTTTGTTTGTTTGTGTGTTTGAGTCACGCCTGGCGCTATCCCGTATCTGTCCCGTACCGTACCATCAAACACAGCTGGCCACATACAGCTGGCCGCAATATTCAAATAGGGCTTTCAAACGCAAGCTTATAACGTGAAGCAACTTGGAAGAATGGGTATGAATGCGAAGTGTATGGGGGAATGCATGTAGGGCGATAGTGCGGGTTCGAATCCCAGGATATGCCTAAAAAAAATAGGAGAATTGAAAAATTTATAACATCCCTGTGCTTTTTTTGCCGTCATCAAGGCGGTAGACGGTGTCGTATTACCCTCGATCATACCTGTCCCGTACCGTACCGTACCATCAAAGACGGCTGGCCACAATGCATATTCAAATACATGTAGGGCTTTCAAATGCAAGATCATAACGTGAAGCAACTTGGAAGAATTAGTATGTATGCGAAGTGTATCGGGGGATACATGCAGGGCGATAGTGCGGGTTCGAATCCCAGGTTATGTCTAAAAATAAAAAGTAGAAATTTATAGGAATTTATAACATCCCTATGCTTTTTTTGTCTAGGTCATCAAGGCAAAAAAGCATAGCGTAGGGCCCTGAGCTTCCAAGCTCTCTCGTGTGAATCTGGGACTGACATCCCGACACACACACACACGCGCACACAGACACATCGAAGCAGTGCATGTTCACATGTAGCACAACTATCTATCTGTCTGCATACTCTGAATACTCCATGCTGCATTGCTATTTACTCGTGTATGTGATCAAGAGTAACGCTATATGTAAGTAAGCTGGCAGCGCAATACACACACACACACACACACACACACACACACACGCGCGCGCACGTACGCACACACACAGACACACACACACAGACAGACAGACAGACACACACACACACATACACACACACATGCACACACACACACACACACACACACACACACACACATACACACACACACACACACACACACACACACACACACACACACACACACACACACACACACACACACAAGTACTACATGTAGTGGCATGTGAAGAGTGTGAACAGACTGAGTGCATGATGCATGTCCTGCGACAGAGAACATCCACACAGCAGGCAAGAAGAGAAAGGTATTTGAAAGGTTGACTCTCTGACACAACGCAAGCTAATTACAAACGACAGTGATGATACACTGCAAGTGAAACAGCAGGGCAGGATAAGCTGCAGTTAGGCTGTTTGGCCAGAAGTACGAATTTGCCATGCTGCATTACTTGAAAGTTAGTTTTACGAGCCCAAAAAACCCTCGACGACGGCAGGCAGAGTTCATATTACAAGTATGTACATGAAGCATATCGACTATGCCAGACATGTCCGAACCGTGAACTCGCCCCAGTCAGATAATTCCATCCTCACACAGCATCCCCTTCTCGCCCCACCATAGACCTAGAATAACCTGCACTGTAATAATCCCAGCCAAACAGCTGTAAATGTCTTAGGGTAAGCAGCTAGTAGTAGGATGTACAGTTTAAGTGGATTTATTGTGATGATGTCACACAGTAAGATGTGATTGGCACAGGGACGATTGCTTGCGAAGTGGAAAATTAGCACTTAAAAGCAACAGCCCAATAACCTGGGTTTGATCGCACACCAGATAAACTGTCCCATTACAATCCTGATCACACTGCTGGCACACAAACACCTAAATGTGTACAAGTATGTGCACATAAGTTAAAACCCGGGCTGTGACTTGGGCCATTGTTGCGAGCGCATTCATGGAACTGATGCATATGGCAAGAAAGCACATTCACGAATCCTGACACCTGCCCGGCTAGCCTGGGGAGCTAGTAGGTGCATGAGGTGCATGAGGTGCATGCCCCTAAAGAATGCACACTGGTGAGTTGGGTACTGGGCAATCGGTCAAGAACTATCTTTCCATTTCTCAATAGGGTGGCACATTTGCAAACTATACGTGCTACAGGAACTCAGTCTCTAGACTGCTAAAATTTATTACTGTAGCTGTTTGAACTTTGCTACAGCACTAGCAAGCGATTACTTTTGGAACACTAATTGCATAGGTATTCAGAAGGGTACAGCGTCGGATGAGAATGTGATGTCCTGAACGTATACGAGAACAAAACAAGCTGCAAGAAGCCCGAGCAAAGGAAAGAGGTGATCGGATGGGCGCTGGGGTGCACAAAGGCGGATAGAAAACGTCCTTCAGTTCACAGTACCTACCAACCGCTGAAATGATATTCGCATGAGTATACACTATACATGTACAGTCAAAATGTCATCTCTTTCAGACGAACACCAAGGGACTGATGGTATAATTATGTTCGCAATAACGAGAGTACGTCTTATCCATATTTTACACACCGTGATTAATCCAATAGAGTTGTGAATACGTTGTATTTGCATGTATCATGTATGGCATCTTGAAGGCATATAAAAATGCAATTTTACGAACTTCCACCCTCCAGAAGCACAACAAAATGCCAAAGTACTGTATCCCAAAAAGTCACGTAGCACAGAACACTTCTTTTGCAGAAGTGTTTTCTAGAAAGTCACACATCCAAAGTAGTGAAAAGCACCGCTTGGGGGGGGGGGGTCTCCAATATGCCACAGCTTCTTTTGCAGCGGACAGTGCATAACCTCTGGAAAGGGATACCGTTGCATGCACTAATGTGGCTGCTGGGGGCACTTGCATAAATGCACACGGCATGCACGACTACATCAACAAAATAATATTGAATTCTTACTTCTCTTTATTGTAAACCATCAAGTAAAATATGCCATCCCGGCACAAAAATAGAAATATTTTAGCTATGTAGTAAAGCTCCAGCCAAATGCTGCATCACAAACGAGCTCTGAGACCAAGAACAATCTGTTGTTTTGTTGTTGTAATCCTGTCCAAGTCATCGCCTGGGTACCATACCAGTAGAGTACACCAGTGTCAGGAGAAGTGAACACCTAGGATCAATTTCCAGTGGCATCGTCGGTGGCTCAAGGCAGTCAAGATAACACTGGCCCTGGTGGCAAGAAGCGGTGAACATTGTTATCGAACAGGTCGGCGAATATGTCATCGGTTCCCAGGTCGGGCATGCTGAACAGTGACCCGCTGAAGAGATCTACTGAGCCACCGCCGCACATGCCATGCTCTAGAGATTCAGCAGCAGCAAGCAGCGACGTGTGAGAGCTAGAAGACAACAAATCAAGGTCTGACAGCGAGTCACTATTGCTGCTGCCACCGCCGCTGCTACCACTTCTACTGCAATTGCTACTTGTGCTAGCGTCGGGTGACGGTGATGATGACTGTGAAAAGGGAGATGAAGTCGAAAGAAGCGGTGACTGAGGTGTCAAGCTCTCTGCTGTGCACGGCACGGGACCACCATTTGCGCAGCCAGTCGGTTTGGATGCTGGCTGGATGAGCAGTTCTCCGACGTCCAGGCTGAGCTCAACTGTAGCATGAGAGCAAATACAAAACACACACACACAAGCATCGTTTGCTTGGCACACATGTAACAAGTCATGCAGCTACTAATGTACACAATAATACTCCTACATGCACTTCTAGCATCACGCCAGTTCTGATTATGACAAATCAGAGGGAAGGATTTCTGAGGTAGATTGGTTGACAACTGGCTGAGGCATGCTGAGGAAACTTGCTCCAATTAATTATCAACCAAAGTGGTCAACCTGTCAGAGCCCTTCAGACAATCTACGGAATGTCATGCGCCAAACATAATGGCCTGCTTGCAACCATTTCCTACTTGTCACAAAGAAGCTGAGGATCCCTGTCACCTGTTCCAGCAGGATGCACAGCTGGAAGGAAATTCTGTCACCTTCTTCCTAATCAAGTCCAAACTACTTTGCATGCAGTATCATGTATTATTTCATTGCACTGTTGTTTTTACAAGCTCATACCAATATCTTGATGGTGTGCACTTTAAGTACGTACTTGCTAGTGCCAGTATGCAACTAGATAAAGTACAGTGCTGCTCAACGAAACCCAGTCATGTCACTCAAGTTAGCGCCTTGCATCATTTCACAGCCCAGTGTTCGCAGGTCTAGGGCTGCGCAACGCCCGGCGCGTACTTGAGTGACGCTGCGACTGGATTTCATGAGCAGTACTGTGCAAGTGCCAATACATGATCGTAGTGGAATACTGGAGTGTTGACGTAGTGCACAGCACAGCACATCTGCTTCTATCTCTCTCTCTATTCTATTTTTTTTGCTATGCGTTCAAATCATCACAAGTACCAAATGATTATGTACATGGATAATGGATATTGGAAAGACTTGGATACCATGAACTACATGACTGCACTTACTCTGTCTATGATCATCCTCTGCTACAAGGGCGTCTGATTCTTCTTCACCTGCTTCTCCGTCGTTGCCCGTCAATCCTTGATAGCGTCTGCAAGTCGCTCTGTTGGCCACTTCCAAAGCGGGACTTTCCCGACCACACACCAACTCTGTCAGGTGCCCGATGTACAGTATGGCGGCTAACATTGTGCCGAAGCGGGTGGGAAGCTGTTCTTTGAGGTTGTGAGGAAGACTGCCCTCCAGCGACAAGAAGGCTCTCCGTAGCGAATCCGCACGGTCGCGCTCGCGGGCATTGGCCTGCCGACGCTCCTTGGTCAAGCGCCGGAACTTGGCACTGACGCGTTTCCGTTTCTTCTTCGCCTGCTGTCCAGGCAATCTTGGTTCGGCAATGGAGGACGCCATAGTATCGGAGAGTGAAAGACACAACTACCACAATCAGTCCAGAGTCAGGGGCAGTAACGGTCAGGACGCGGCACCACAACTTCGGACAGAGACAGCCTGCTTCGTGTGCTTGGTGGATCGTTTAGTGGATCGTTTAGTGTTTGCTCCTAGAGCAACACCTCCCAGGTAGAAATCGACGGCAGCAGGAGCAGAGGACACTGAGCCGACAATATGACTGTGCGGTTACTGAGGACGAAACGAATTCTAAACTACTCACACCAGCGGCATAGACTGCTGCACCTGGATCGACTCGACTCTCGTATGCAAAGCACGTGCCCGATCGTACCTGAGCGATCAAGAACTTGAAGAAGACTGAAACGATGAGTGTCGCTGCCACGGAAAAAGAACTAGTCCGCTTTGGCCAGCACCAGCGGCCACAGCGCCCTGACAGCAGGCTTCCTGAGCGAGTAGGCTGTTGAGAGATTACACGGCTCGCGGACACCAGGTGGATGCCGGGGGAAATCTACTTCCAATGCAGCAATGCACAATCAATCACCACACACACGGACCTTGATGCACACGGTGGCACACACACACACACACACACACACGTACACACTCACCAGAAGTAGAAAGGGAAAGTGGATCGAAGGAATAAAACGCTACAGCTTTTCGGCTATGAGTATAAAAAGTCTGGTGACCGAATACCCAAGCACGGCGTGGCCGACGGCGGACACTTGGACACCCGCCGTGTAGAGAGTCTACTATTAGTATTACTATGACTGCATGTAGTCTACTAACAGCCTGGTGCAGTGGCAGTAGTGACTACAAAAATACAGTCAGTGAATATGTGTACACTTGTGTCCTTCAGTCGACGACCGGCCTTGCAGGTCAGCGCATTGAGGTCAGATTCAGAATCAGCCCCGTGAAGCAGCAACAGCACCCAACCAAACACCGGACAACAGCTGGAGCGGGACAGGGTAGTACTAGGGTGGAGATGGCACGCACGCGCACCCAGCACTCTCGCCGCCGCCGGACAGTAGATCTACTCTGCCGCGTAGCTATGGATTACTACAAGTAGAGTAAGTAACGTAGTTAGACATAGAGAACGAGTCGACGTCGATGGTCAAGACAATAGGTCTACCTCGGTTTAGTTTCAGCGTTGCTAGCCTAGATTAGTAGAAGCTTTCTCCAACTTTCCGGCTTTAATAAAATAGCACGCACACCCGATGCTACCATATCCGGGATGAGTGTAAGAGAAGCGTGCGAAACCCAACGCCAAGGCAAAGGAATCTCTGGCCAAAAAGACACCAATCTCCTAGTACTAGTACTATACTGGGTTGGGTGGAGATGGCATTTGCACTGCAGCCCGGAAAAAAGGCTCTGCACTGCAGATGTTGCGTGCGTGTTCTATCGACCAAGCGGCGTTGTAGCCGGCCAGGTAGGTCTACTGGGTGAATCGGACTGTCCAGAGTCTTGGCGGCTTACACGCTGTCCCCAGAGGCAACCTCTGCACAGCGAATCTGCTACTGCTGTAGCCCATGTGGTAGCCAGTAGCAAGCCACTATAGCTGACCACTGCACTGGCACTGCCACGACCTATCGCAGAGTTCTACGTTCCCTCGGATCCGCCCATCACAGATTCACTTATCCAAAAAATAGGCGAACACCCAAGCTCGCCGACTCGACGTTTAGTTGGAGAGTCGATCGTGAAAATGTTACGACAGGTCATCAAGTAGTAACAGTTTACTACTATTAGTAAGTATGCAAATTTGTAAAAGCATTATGCCCCACATCTCCTGCATGATGACACTATCAGAACATCATTGCAGCAAATACGTTCAAAAGGGCATCACTTGACGCGCAGCACTCGGTGAAATGGATCTGCAGGCGGTGAAATGGATCTGCAGGCGACACGTCCTCAGAGTCACCACCACGACTGGCACTCAATGCGAGGAAGCGTCGTTTTCCCTGTCGCTGCTCCATCGTGCTTCTTCCAGAACTTCCTCCTTGCGCACGCAACGCGGCACATACTTGTTCGAGTTCCAACCAGTTACCACACAACACACCCGGAGCTACACTGACCAGGCTGTGTGGGTAAACATGGACAATACAATACAATACAATACAAAACGCTCGGAAAAGACAATGACCTCCAAGTGCCTCATGGCATCTCTTCCATGGCACTGGTACTTGTCTTTGGTAGGTCCCTTCAGTGGTCAGAACACACAAAACAAGGACGTTCGGTGACATACGGTAGAGCCTGTACTGTGCTATCAACAATATCATGAAACGTTTTAAAATCGTTATCCATCATGGAAGCTGGCTGGAGCTGGGTATGGTGTGCCGGTATGCAGCATGCGGACAACAGCTAATTTCATAAACTATGCAGAACTAGAGACCATCTGGAGTAGAAAGCACTTATTATTCAACTAATTCAAGTCACCAACTGATCAAGAACAATGCAGTAGATGATACAGGATCCATTCCTGGGGATCCATGCTTTGCATTTGCATGCCTTCATGTCTTCACACTCACGGCCTTAAAAACATGAAAGAAGCCATACCAGTGACACCCAGACCAGTGGCAGCCTAACCCTAATAACTAAGTATTAATTGCATCAATCCTTGAGGCTACTTCAAGTACATGTACATGTACATGTGCACACACACACACACACACACACACACACACACACACACACACACACACACACACACACACACACACACACACACACACACACACACCACCACCACCACCACACAGACACAGACACACCACACACACACACACACACACACACACACACACACACACACACACACACACACACACACACACACACACACACACACACACACACACACACACACACACACACACACACACACACACACACACACACACACACACACACACACACACACACACACACACACACACACACACACACACACACACACACACACACACACACACACACACACACACACACACACACACACACACACACACACACACACACACACACACACACACACACACACACACACACACACACACACACACACACACACACACACACACACACACACACACACACACACACACACACACACACACACACACACACACACACACACACACACACACACACACACACACACACACACACACACACACACACACACACACACACACACACACACACACACACACACACACACACACACACACACACACACACACACACACACACACACACACACACACACACACACACACACACACACACACACACACACACACACACACACACACACACACACACACACACACACACACACACACACACACACACACACACACACACACACACACACACACACACACACACACACACACACACACACACACACACACACACACACAAACACACAAACACACACCATGTAAGCACCCGGCATATAAAATCAGATGATAGTAGATTATGCATCGCGGCAGCAGGCCCTGGGGATGCCTGTCACAATCTGACAGGAACTGTGGCTCCCCATGATTGCTGTTGCTCCTCTCTATTCCTGCAAAGGAAAAAGCCCAGTGCCATTTGAAGACACTCGTTGCTTCTCAGATTCGGGGCACTGCCGCAGAGATTCCAAGTTGCGTTCCTCTTAGCATGTTCATGTGCCTGGGATACAATTCACTACCTGCTTGCTGTGTATACAGTCAGACCTCGCATAACCGCACACATCCGTTTTCTACAAAAATATCCGGATAGGCGAGGGAACCGGATAGTCGAACACACATACTGTATGTAAGCATGGCATATGCTGTACATTTGTAACCAACTATTTTCTTCCGGATGGCGAGGGATCCGGATAAACGAGGACCGGATAAGCGAGGTCTGACTGTACCACTATAGCCGTTATTCCCGTAGCTATGCAAAAGACGTTACTTCAGTGACGTCTGGCGCTAGCCAGGGTCCACCCCAGCTTTAATTCCGTGTTTGTTTGTTTATGCTGTCGGCATGCCTGGCGCTATCCCGTACCTGTCCCGTACCGTACCATCAAAGACAGCTAGCTGGCCACAATATTCAAATCGGGCTTTCAAATGCAATAATAAAGTGAAGCAACTTGGAAGGATGAGTATGTATGCGAAGTGTATTGGGGGAATGCATGCAGGGCGATAGTGCGGGTTCGAATCCCAGGTTATGTCTTGAAAAAAAAAGGAAAAATGAAGAAATTATAACATCCCTATGCTTTTTTTGCCTAGGTCATCAAGGTGGTAGACGGTGTCGTATTACCCTCGAATGCAAAGAGAAAGTTTGATGTAGCCAATCAATGGAAAAAAACATTTCCATCAGTTCTAATAACATGCACGAAGAGCTAGGCAAAAAAAAGCACAGCGTAGGGCCCTGAGCTTCCAAGCTCTCTCGTTTATTATTCAGTGTGTAATGCATGGTCTGATTCTGGTATACCATTGTAATAGGGAGGTTTAGTTCCCACGTAACGGAAACGCGTACGTGGGTGATCCACGTAAAGTGGATGAAGGGCACCCACGTTGCACTGTTGTGTTTAGTCACACGGAACAAACAAAAGCATAAAGCGAAAGGCCCAAACCTGGTCAAAGACGAAGCTACCCGAAGCTCATCCAATATTTCGATTTCGTGAACCGGAAACTTCTTCAGCTGAGCACCCTCACAGCTCGCACAATGCGCTCCATTCTGATTTTCACCCACGTTCTGGCGGAACGTGGGTGAGCCTCCATACACGGTATGTCGTGAATCAGAAAACGTCTGTACGTGGGTCACTGAGTATCACGTGGTACACACACGTAAAGTACCCACGGATTACGTGGGACTAAACCTCCCTAGTATTCGATATAATTATCACGACTTCCAATTAGCCATTCATTGGTCATCATAATTATAATGATATTTTGAAGGAGAGGCTGTAGCGACTTCGGCGATACTCCTACGTGGGAGCTCGTGCCTTAACCTGCTGACTTGAAACCGTGGTGGTGCAGCTCTCAACAAAAACATGTTACAATGCAACGCAGTGCGTCTGTGTTAAACGCGACGCGATAGTCACTTCAAGCTACAGCTTATGCCAGTCCACCGGCATTTCTCAGACAGCGATGGCAGTACGGACGCGACCAGGGAGAATGATGGGATTAGAAAACAAGGGCACACTGTCAATACCGGCACTATATGCCGTGGTTGGCTATCACCCCTCTCTCGCACTTACTGGCACTATATGCCGTGGTTGGCTATCACCCCTCTCTCGCACTTACTGGCACTATATGCCGTGGTTGGCTATCACCCTTCTCTCGCACTTACTGGCACTATATGCCGTCGTTGGCTATCACCCCTCTCTCGCACTTTGCGTGCCAATTGGTCATGGACCACGAGTTGAGTGAAATAAATAGATAAATAAACAATACTGTCGTGGACATGGAAATCCAGTCGAATGACCGGAGCCGGCGCCCTCAGCGTGTACAGAGTGTTGCATGCAGTGCACATGTAATTCCGATGCGACCAGCGCATAAAATTAGGGCTGAAACGATCGTGTATTTTCACCTATCGATTACTCATTAGCTTAACGATCGATTAATCGATTATAATCGTTGGCAAATAGTGTGAGAATTTTGTGCAAAAACTACCCTGTTTCCGAAAGCTAGGCCTTCGTAATACCAAAAATCTGCATTAGTGTTAGGGTAGCTCCGAAACATGGCAGTTTTGAAGTCAATTTAACCTCAGAATATGTACCATGCCCCAGGCAACTGCATACTCATAGTGGAAACTGACTTAAACTTCTCAAAACGAGAGTTTTCAGTACTTTTTGGACTCAAAATCTCAAACAAGTAATCTATAACGTAACGATTACTTGATTGATAAGGAATTATCGATCGCTTAGGGGCCGTCCATAATTATCGATCTTTTACACGAAGAGAAAAAGTTTCGTATATGGGTGGGTGGGTCAAGGGGAGTTTCGTTTTGAAAAATATTGATATGTGAGACATCAAGGCATTCTTGCTGCCAAGTCAATCTATTTTTTCGTTCAGGGGATGGGTGGGTGGGGGAGGGTCCTAACTAAACTTTTTCGTTTCGTGAAAATTATCGATAATGCCTGATAGCCCCTTACCGAGTAATTGGTGTAATCGTTTCAGCCCTACATAAAATGTGTGTACGAGTACCGCTTACTCACGATCAAGGCTGCACGGCCAGCGCCCTGGGGCCCGCTACACGTGCGACCGGATTTCCATGTCCACGACAGCACCTGCCATCTTGCTGTCACTGGTATGTCGAATTTAAATTTACCATGCTTATGGTGGACTTGTTCTACTTCGAAGTAGTACACACTACTATACATACTTTTTACTTCACCTCAAACTGTTGTCATAATTAGGCAGTCGGCGCGAGAATTCAAAGCGAATTAGCGGGACGTCTCCAGAGAAAGCAGGCCTAATCAGTATGTGCTCCTTTCGATGTACGACCAAACAATAGCCACTCTTTTTGCCATCTGCCATGCATCTACTGCAGACTGACTCACATGTAAACGCTTAGCAACAGTTGTGCCCGGCATCAATAAGCAAACAAACAAGAACGAACAACACGATGGCAAAATACACTTGGCGACCAGGGTGCGGAAGGACCGAAAATGACCAGTCGTCACGTCACGGGTGAGATCCAAGATGCCGGCAAGAGAATCCGACACATCTCACTGGCCCATGATTTGTCCATTGCTTGTCTGACCATCACAGCCCCGTACAACCTATATCTCTCCTACACAGCAATGACCTTGGAACACACAGGCCATAGCGCTGGCTCTACAAGACCTGCTCGCATGGGCCAGGCATGACTACAACTGCAGTGCAATAACACAGCACTGCTGACTGCACGTGGGCTATCGCCCGGCAAGAGCTACACCTACCTTCCACTTCTCAAGTCTGCTCGTACACACACGTACACACACACACGGCACTCTGAATTGATCGATGAAGACGCTTGGATCTACAACATATCACTTACGATCTCCAGCCACATGGACGACGGCTTGACCAGGTAACCAACTAGCGGTTTATCAGGTACTAGCTTGGACAAGGGTGGGATTTCCACCGGTGCAGTAGCGACAGGCTTGGATGGCGCTGACGATTTCTCAGATTGAGCCGATGTGGGTTTGGATGCGGCTGCAGTTTTCTTGGACGGAGATGTGGCAGGCTTGGAAGAGACCGCAGTTTTCTCGGGGGCGGCTGCAAAGGAAAGCACAAATCTCCTTATTCACAACGGCCCAATCAAACCGCAGGACATACAGCAATACCAGCACTTAATTCCGGGAGCTGTATAAACCCAGGAAAGGATACGACACTGATGTCCGCGAATCATGTTTGACATAGCTCGACGCCCATAAATAATTCCGCTGAGTACTCCTCAGAGCAAAATAATTCACGATTCGATAGATTTGAAAAGGGTTTGCTCCCCACATTGGAGCTCGCGATATTCCGCCGACTTGACACTTGACTTTTTGAAACAAATCATCGTCGAAGTCGCAACCACTATTTCGATTTGATAGATCACAAGAAAACCCCTCTGGGAGCTGGCTATCCATGACTATTTCTCTTAGAACTTTCAGTTAGTGGTAAGAATTCATCCAGTGGGGCGCACTGACCACTTGAATTGAGCAAAGCAGAAAACTACGAGATCGTGGATGCAATTGAAGTTTGGTGACTTTTCAAAAGCAACACTATTTTTAACAACGACACGACAGTTGAGAGGGACGTGTTGTGTTCCCTTCACCCAACCTTGCCAACTCATTCCTCTCCAGAAAACTGATCTAGGGCTACCAGGACATAATCGGGCTGAGCTATTTTTTTGGTTTGTTCTGGTTCTTAGCCGTCACTGAAGGCTTTCTCTTTATCCTTTTTTATTATGTAACACATGTACCGGTAATGCAAACCCGGAATCCTTCACGGTTTTCGTGATGGGAGTGAAATAGCAAAAGTTACCCGGTGCAAAACGTAGAACTGTAGCAAAGAAACTGAGGAAATTGACTCCAATCGCAAAAATCTCCAGGTGCAAACTTGTCGGTGCTCGCAAATCGCGAACTAAAACGGGCACCGGAGTTTCCCGGTTCACAGTAACAGGTTTTCATTTAGAAGTTGCAACTTCGGCGGTATTAGCGATGAAGTTGGTTGTTCCAACGAGGAACACGCGCTTCCTGCCGAACTTGACTGACTAACGACTGCCATTCGGAGCACACGAGGAGCACGTCGCACCTTCCTCTCGGCAAACCTGCAAGAAAAAACACCACTCAAGTATTCATTCCCGTATAAAACAGTTGACGAGAGTAATATCTTTCGTACTCTTGGTTCATTTATGGTGAAAGCATCTCCGAAAACTTGAAAGTCGTAGTATGTCCGCACATTCTGAAGGCAGTGGTTAGAGCATCGATGGCTACAAGCGAGGGTCCCTGGTTCGAGTCCTGGTGGTGACAGCCAGTATTTTCTTCAGATTTTTCCCGTTTGTGTCTTTTCCTCAAACTAGTGAAGATTTTATGACTTGGGGCTCCCCGCGTGCTAGTTTGTACGTGAAGTGTGTGGGTACAGTGAGGGCTGTGTCCCACCCGCCTGTGTGGATTCACAGGAAGTGTGAGTTACGAAGTCTGAAGAAAATGTTGAACGGTCTCTGCTGGGATGACGACTACACCATAGCTCAGTGGTCAGAGCATCGCTGGCTACAAGCGAGGGTCCCTGGTTCGAGTCCTGGTGGTGACAGTCAATTTTTCTGAAGTTCCCGTGATTTCTACTTGAGGTCTTCCCCAATAATGGCGAGGTATACGTCGCCTGAGCTTTTTCATGCCATATCCTCTCCCGGGTTTATACAACTCATTGGAATAGTACAGCCAGCTCCCTTTGTCATCCGCCATGAGAAAAAGTCTTCCCTTTTAGAGAGGCATTCACTTACAAAAGTTAAATTCACTGTAGGGTAAAGATAACAGCGGGGAAGAAAGAAATCTGCAATGGCCGTCACTCTAGGCACAAGTACAGAATTCAAGCTCTTGGGGGAATGGTGAACTAGAAGCCTTGAATGCGTGTAGAGAGGAAAAGCCAGCAAGAGATAAGAGAGAAGTGATATTCTCATCAGACAGACCTGGTTTTGACGATTCCTTTACAGCCTTTCCCGATGCCTGACCATCCTCCTGCTTTGTCTTAGAAGACCTAGATGTGCCAAGACAAAAAAACCAAATTTAGGTTGCGTTTGGTTGGTCACATTCCACAATGGGAATCACTGGGAATCATTCTTGCCCGTTTGTTTGGTCAAAAAATTCCGCTAGGTTGGGCCCATTGGGAATCGCCGAAAATGATTCTTTTTGGAGAATGATCATTCCATGTCACATGCTGGAATGAGCGTTCTCATTCCGGAATCAAAAATGATAATGGCTGCCACGAGCCAAAACAATGTAGCAACAGGTTCAAGTGCCTCAAATCATGTACTCAGAAGTACCATGACTCTCTAGAGTCGGGTAATAGAAAGGAGAGCCACCGTTCCACAACGACATCATGGAAAGGTTATGTCAAGTGATTCCTAATTGATTCTGGCACGTTTGTTTGGTCAGGTAATTCTTGCCAATTCCCATTCCAGAATAGTTGTCATTTACATTTTGAAAATGCCCAAACAAATGCAACCTTAGAATCAGCAAAGATACGGTGAGTACATGTAGTTGGATAGTGAGGCGAGAGAGAGAGAGAGAGAGAGAGAGAGAGAGAGAGAGAGAGAGAGGAGAGAGAAGAGAGAGAGAGAGAGAGAGAGAGAGAGAGAGAGGAGAGAGAGAGAGAGAGAGAGAGAGAGAGAGAGAGAGAGAGAGAGAGAGAGAGAGAGAGAGAGAGAGAGAGAGAGAGAAAGGGAGAGAGAGAGAGAGAGAGAGAGAGAGAGAGAGAGAGAGAGAGAGAGAGAGAGAGAGAGAGAGAGAGAGAGAGAGAGAGAGAGAGAGAGAGAGAGAGAGAGAGAGAGAGAGGAGAGAGAGGGGAGAGAGAGAGGGGAGAGAGAGAGGGAGAGAGAGAGAGGAGAGAGAGGAGA